AAAGTTCTCCACGAATTATGGGGAAATGGATTGGGACATACTGGCATAAAGCCAACGCAACAATGTGGGGAATTGAGGTCCTGCATGGAACTGGACAGAGGCATTTTTTTATTAGGCTGCGAATGCCGTGTTTTGTGGCGATCGCGAATGTATTCAAGATCCATATCAACCTAAAGTCTACCAAACTATTCGAATATGCAGATAGATTGACCGATTGAGTTGATCTTGCAAAGTAACAGCAAGATCTGAATTCGGACACGACTTTTGGAACGGATCTAGTAGTATTCTTCCAGATACAAAGTGCTTCTGATGAATCCACAGATGTTACATGCGACCATTGCACATGAGACTGATGCGGGTTGCAAAAGAGTTCTGCAAGCAATCCAACCAACACACTGTCATTACTCTAGCACCCGCGGGTGCTAATCGACATGGGATTGAATGCTCAATGAAGCTAGTGACGACACTGCATTCTGAGCTTATTTGATTAACATTCTGGATCTTATGGGGTTTTACATTTCTCTACGGGGACTCTAGGTCATCTGGACTTGTGGAACACTAGGGCGTGGGAGCTCTCAGAACTTTGGGATTCTGGGTTTTTGGGATATTAGGACATCAGATACATTCCTGCTGACGCTACATTCTGACACTACACACGATGACTCCATTGCTCCCAGTCAGCAGCCACCTCTGTACATGAATCTCTCTCTACCTGGACATCTCTTTATTTTGCTTCTGACCTACATAGCCGAAAGGTGGCAAAGGCTGTTGACATCATGTTTATGCTGCTGGGAGCGGAGTTGGGTTTAGCGAACGCCATGTACTCAAGGAATTCATCATCATCATCATCATCAACACACTGTCATCAGCAGGACACACCTGCAGTGGGTATGTCTCTTTGTGCCCCGATCTCAGAAGCTCCACAAGCATCAACAGATCGCATGGTCCTGTGGAAATTCCACTGTGCTGCAGAAATCTCTTCTCCAGGGACTTGCCATCGCAGTGTTGCTGCGCACTAATCTCCCCCTGTTGGCCGGACAGGGAGGCAGAATGGCACTCATGTGATACAGCCAAGACATGCGCCTCTTGGAGGAATGGCCATCCGACAAACACTGTCATGCCTTTGAATGACTCGAAAATCTGTGATCGACAACAATGACAGGAATAAACTACCCAAACACTGTTAATAGAGACACACATCGACACATTGCTGCACACGGCATTGCTTTGCTGCTATTATTCAGCACAGGCAACCTATTGTGTGGCAGCTATGGCACTTGCTCAGCACCACGCATTAATTTTGGCTCCATGCCGCTTGCTGCTTTGCACGCTTGCAATTCCTTCAATTGCACTCTGCAAAAGCACCAAACTGAACTGTTGCACCTCACATGCCAAGTGGAACAGCCTAACGTCCACTCAAGCATCCATCCTTCACCGAACAATATGGCGAACTGTCAATAAGCCCAACTGGCCCCTCAACCATTGCCAGAAGCAGATCACAGAACACACCCGCTGAATCTTTCAGGGGATGACAGTATCCATTGCTGCTCGTCACCGGAGCTTTGATTCCACGATGGCAGGTTTTAACCGCCTGTATGTGTTGATGGTTCAGACACAGCACTTGCACACTTGAATGCAATGTGAGCTAGGAATAATAGAACAGTTAGACTTGCTGTGCCACATCTCGTTGCATGGCCCTCCCAGCGGCACCAAAAGATGTTGGCAACAATTATGTTCTTTACACCAAAACAGCACACGAATAAGATCACAGTCACGGAGGGCAGGAAGATCACTGAAAAGCAACACTGCATTGACAGTGTATACAAACATCGTATGCACAGTTCATATACATAGACAGGATTTTGCCTGCACAAATACTAGGAGGCAACAAGCCCACCGATTTGGCTGAAGGCCTTCGTCGCTCAATGTCAGCGGCACAGTTTGTGTCAACCCTGATAATGAACTTCTGATGCTCTCCATCACTGCTGTCGTCTAGACTCCCAGTGAACTGTGGCAACATGCAACCCAAGAAATGAGGATTGAGCCTTGGAAGTGAAAAAAGTTCAAGAAGGTAGATAAACACGCAAGCTCAACAAAATCGTACGGTTGTGTCAAGCTTCCATATCTTGTTGGAAAGCCAAAGGCCTGGAGGTGACTCATGACAGAGTGTGACCATTTCATGCACCCATACTGAACACTGCTGTGTGTGCCACTCCATTTGTCTTCAGTGACTTCAAAACCGTCGAATCTGCTGCGCGTTTTATTCTGCTTGAGTCACATTTGCCGGGGACATGCACAAAAGGAAGTTGCAGATGAACACTGTTTCATGCTCTGACAGGATCTGGGCTCACAATCACAAAGTCGATGCTCAGGTATGGGGCTCCAGCAAGTCACTGCTGCGGCTCCAGGAGTGCCTGGACACGTTCTGGGTTTTTGGCACCTTTACTTCACTCTCTGCAGTCATATTTAAGGCCTCCAGGATCCACACAAAACAGAGATGGCACTCTGGATGCTTGGCAGTATCTGTTGTTGTCAAATCTACTTGCCTGCAGTGTTCCCATTAGAGAAGGGCTGCGCTCTTGTAAACGTCCTCTATCACCAGACATATGCGCATATGACGATCCAGGTCTAACTTTGTCGATGCACGATGGTGGCAGGCGACGCAGGAAGGCCAGACTGTTGGGCTCTGTCACATCAGGGAAGTGGCCGGGCAGAGTGGATGTGCAAAAAGCCATGTCTTTCATTCCTACAACACAGCAAGTCCCACAGGTTTACAAAGTGAGCAAAGCGCAAAACCAAGAATACAATAATCAACAACAAATAGTGAACATAGCCACATAATAAACAAGGTCAGCAATATATCCAACGGTGGACCAGCAAAGGAGACCATGCTTAATTAGGTGGACAGACAAATACTACAAAGAAATGGATCATACAAGCAGCCTCACAATGTGGCATCAAACTGGGATGAGTTCCCCAGAGTATGTTCAACATCACATGACATTGGTAAAGGCAGTAATTTGCCATACTCTTAACAGCCAGTTTCTGTCCAGTTCTCACCCCAAATCCTTGCAATCTGCAATGTTTCAAGGTTGATGCTCCACTCAACATTTCGCAGCAGAGTATGTGCCTGTTTCTGTTGCATTCTGGTCATCTCACACTTGGAAGCAACTGCATCGCCTTCCATGGCCATGCAGCAAAGCCCTGCAATAATTCTTGCCAAGGACTTGTGCATATGTGGCACATTCCCTCCTTCTCTTTCTTGGGCCAAATGTTGAGTTCACCTTTTCCCATTTTAAAAAAAAATATGACAAGCACACCTTCCGGTTGAAAACCATTGTTGGCTTGGTACGATGCCGCCTCCCTCACCTTGAACATGCTTCAAGATTACCACCTCGCCAGGGCTGTTCTTTTCCACCAGCCGCTCACCCAGAACGTCCAACTTTGCCAAGTCCGCCTCCCGGAAGTGCTCTACCAGGCAGTCGATGTCGAAGCGGTCAAGTTGGATCACCTGCTCCTCTGGACACCGGGCACCATCGGTGTCCACCATGTACTGATTAGGGTATAATGATGCCACAGGGGAGTTGGTGTTGGTCACAAGGCTGCGCAGATCGTCAGGCAGCAGGCCTGCTGAGATCTTGGGAAGAACACTCAAGAGATACTCCAGGTTGGCAAGAGGATAACCTCTCTCAGGTGGGGCTGGCAACAGCGTCAGGATGTCAGAATGCTTTGGTGGCGCTGGGGTTTTGGCATGTTGCGCCATGTGACTATCAGTGTTATGCACTGCATCCATGCAGCAACAGCGGGTGTATCTATTCGGGACAGGTGAATCTATTCTGGTTGAAGAGCATGAAGGATGGCACAGCAGCAGAGCTGTGCCATGTATTGGCAGCATGAAGCAATGAAGTAATGCCAACTTAGATGTTCCAGGGATACATGTCCAATACAAACAAGACTGTGTGTTGTACTGTAGATGACTGCATGTGAACTTGTATCGGTGCATTAAAGCCTAGGACACAATGTTGACACCTGGCATGAATCAAGATCAGAACTCGCGCTGGAGATGAGGGTGCCACACCAGGCTTACACCGATAGTAGATAGTTTAGAACATAATGTTGTACTATATTTGATATATTACACTGGATTCTTAACAAAAACAGAGTACTGGTGTAAGTTGCTCACAAGGGTGCCTCCAAGAAATTTCACATTTACCATTTTAACAGTGTTTTTCCACCTGCATCACAACATTGTAGTGTACAAAGGGTGGGGGCACTTCTGCCAAACTCGGCTGCGCCGTTGCTGCACAGTACAACGTGCATCAGCAATCTGCTGTTTTTACACTGGCCCATGAAATGCACCAATGACCTCGATATGGAGTCACTTTGGGTTTGTGCTCTCATGCTCTACGTAAGGGACTCACATGGGTGTGGTCGATGGGCCCCTGGCTGGGCGATGTCTGTTAGCACTGGGGCGTAGTCAAATCGATAACTCCAGGTCCATGATCGTATACCCTTTGTGTAGTAGTCCCATAGCCAGTGCAACCCCTCAACGTAGGCATGCACGGCATCCAGTCGTTCCTCCATGTTGCCCCTCTCGAACTTGAGCTTGTCATAGTAGTACATGTCCTTCCCCCAACATGAAAATACATCGTGAGCAAGGAACAAAGAAACAAGGAAACTCATGCTCTTAAATGTGACCTACTATCTCAGAATTTGACCTTACTGATGCTGTCTCAGTTGTCGTACCAATCCAATAATATTCCATACCACAAGAGTCTTCACGTCAGAAAAAGTGCAAAAGGGAACATGGAGCACAAGCCACAAATTGGGCATCCCATTCCTGAGCAAGAACTCTGTGGGGAACCTTTCCCAGCTGCCAAACATAATGGAGGGGTCTGCAAGAGCAACTGTAAAGCATTCAACATGGAGTAGCACATGTTGTGAGAGCTGCTCAACACAAGTCAACTTCATCCGCTGTTGGTTTAAGTTTGAAATTGACAACAGTCTTGAACCATTGCCATGGTTGGGCACTTGAGGCCAAGTCATTGGTGCTCCCTTGATATCAATCCTACAATACCCTCTGTCATACCTTCTCAAGTAGAGATTGTAACATATTATGCACTATTTACAACAAAACATAAAACACAGCATCATGCGCACCAAAAAAAAATAAAAAAAAACAGAGCATGTAATAAACTGACTAAAGCATGCAACAATGAACAATGCAATTGCACAAAGCAGGCATCAGTGTAATCTCACCTTCCAACACGTGTACCACTGTCCATATGGCCAAGCAATGAGCCTCTTCAAAAGTGCATCGGAGAGGGGAACACTTCGACTGCTCATTAATGGGTCAGGCTGCGCCTTTGCCAACAGTGTCGCCTGCAGACAAGCTCCAGCAACAGAACTTGACGTGCTGCTGCCTTGCACGCCAGTTTGCCATTATATCAGCACACAAGGGCAAGAAGTTGGGACTGCGATTGGCAGCCCAAGCAAAGGATGCTGCACGAAAGGCAGCCCTTTATCAAAATTTCACAGCTTGCAATGGACAATGATGGAACAAAAAGGGAAAGGTATTCCAGCCATGACTTAAGCTCTCTCATTTCGGATCATGGACTACAGAACAAAAGCCAACAAATGCCACATGAAGCAATCAAGACGACAGAAAGTGAATAATTGCATCTGATGCTGCAATCGGAATGGCACGCTCAACAGCTGCAACACTCACTGTGTATCGATTTTCGATCCTCTTCTTGTCCAACCTGCCCATCTCGTGCAGTAACTCTTCCAAGTGACCAGACTGCACTTCACCTCCATCAATAATTTGCTTCTGAGTCTTGAGCAGTGTGTCCTTGTACACAGCCATGAGCTGCTCCAGTCCCCCTTCCAAGACGTCCAGAGTGGGGACACCTAATAGCCAGAGAAGCAACCACTTTGCCCATCACTTCCTGAAGACACTGACCAAACTATGCACAATCCATTGATGGCGCAGTGTCAGGATGTTTGCCAATCTCTTTGCACAAAATCCTGATCAAGATGTGACCCAAAGCTGTGAGAGCAGGGAAGAAATATATGTTAGGGTTGAGCACAAGGGAGGCCAGATGATGCTATTTGCGGCCCGATCCAGCATACATGTTAAGCACATCTAGATGTCCAGACACCTTTTTGTGTGGCAAAGATGTGGTAGGAGAAATATCCTTCAATCGGTTCAAAATTGGATTCCAAGCTGCATACATCAGGGGTCAGTTGTGGGCCCTTCCAGTATGGGATCTGTGGATGGGCCACCACACTGCATTTTGCATTGATGCCTAAGCAGCAACTTTGTGCAAAGCGATCATCCCTGCTGCTCTAACAGAGCTGAAACACTGAACAGAACATTTCTTACTGTCTCTTTTGCTAAACCCAACTTATTGCCTTGAAACCCTCATATATTCAGCAGGGCGTTATAAGATCAATGTGCAAACAATGGACTGCCACGTTGCAATTCGTCAACAGATGAATACACAGAGAAAATGGGCGCCCGAATCGATGATATGAACGATCTGGACATTTTACGCAGCATGAGATCATTCTGGACGAATGTGAAAGGGGCCAAATCTGTTCAACAACAAGTGCAAAGCATCAAAATCACTAGCCCATGGCCACTGTAGCCTGGCAGATTCACTGCCAAATTGGCAGACAATTGTTGAGAAGGGGCACACCTGGGAGGACACTGTTGCCAAATAAGAGGCACAGGAACACAAAATCGTCCATCACTCGATCGACTTCCACATGAAATGATGTCGGCAGTCCAGAGTACTCCAGCTCCAGATAGTCACGCAGGATACTGGGCATGAGATGAATTCCAACAGACATCAGCAGATAGGCGATATGGGAAAATTTGCACACAATGCATCGCCACCCCAGCAGCAGATTAATGGACGGGGTCAGTTCAGTCAACATATTTTTTCAGCCAATACTCATGGGAAATGGAAAGGGACAGGGGGTTCGGTTCTGGGATCAAGCAAATTCGGTGTTGAGCTTGGGGTTAAGAGCAGATAAGGTTTCTTTTTTTTAAGGTCGCAAGGGCACACAAGTTCTAAGTTCTCCAGGTAGAGAATCGGGTAGGATCAGCTGCTGGATAAGAATTACACTTTCGCATTGCAGCAAGGCTGCACATTTTGTATTTTCGAGTCCTGAGTTACTTGCAGTTCAGATTCTTATGGGATTGCCAGCTGCAATGCGCATTAGCGTCTGTGTACAAGTTATTACTGCCTCTCACAGACAAAATTCATTACAAGGAAGGCCTCAAAAGTACAAAACAAGTTCAGAATCGACAAGACTGGATCCCAAAACCCCTTTACTACTAGTTCTTGTGAAGAACACTCATCCCCATTACTTCTGGGGTCCCTCAAAATTGCCTAAGATATGGCCGAAAATTATGCATTCTGATTTGGCGTGGTTTGGAGATCTGCGCAGTTCCGGGTCGCTCCCATTCCAGATGTGCCAAAGCAAAGTTCTTGTTGCCGCGCTTGCCAAACATGCTCAACCATGTTCAGACCCCCATCAAAGAAGCTTGTTGTCACGGCGTCGATGATGGCAGCAGTCACATCCCTCCCTAAACTCTGATGCAAGGACTTGCAACTGCCCAAAAAGGCCATCACTCAAGACGCCCAAGCTAGAGCTCTGTGCGGGCTACCACCCTAAGGTTGTGTTGTAACTTTATTCTGATCTTTTGCCTCGATTGATCTTTGGATCGAGGCTTTTGTGCATGGCTGGACCCACACTGTGGAAACTGCCACTGGCAGCCAACTCGTACGTGCGGTCCGCAAACCCTTCGCAATCTGACCAGTCTCCACTTGTGAGACACAAATTTGTCTCTTTGACCGTTCGCTTCGCGCTCCACCCTTTCAATTGTCGATGCAAGGGTCGGCTACTCCATTCCGCCTTGGAAGCCACTCCCCTAATTGTCCACCGGTGATTAGGGTGATGGCCGTGGCATTCCTTCGCACCTTTTCGAGGGGCTTGGGAGGCCTTGCGCGGTATCTCTCACAGCAGCGATGGAGGTTCAAAGGTCGCAGCCCAAAAATCTGGGCTACAAATGCATGTCCGAATTGGCTAATCGATCTCGAATTAGGGCAGCGAAGCCATAGCGACTTCCACGATCAAACCCACCAAGACACGTTTTCTATTGCTTTGCTTCTTCGCAGGGAACTCTCCAGGCTTAAGTTCAAATGGCGTGGATAGTTTTGCACGGGCAGCTCTATTTCGCCACCATGAGAGCGTGCTCCTCGAAACAGCAAAAACAGCTGTGTCGAGGAGTCGTGGAAAAACGGGCGTTTTATGGCCAGAGTACCCCCACTACAAAGTACTGCCAAATCCTTAATACTTGACGGATTGACTCGAAATTTTGACTGTATACTCCGAAAACGTAGGCACAGCCTTGGACAAAATTTCATCAAAAAAGGGAGAATCTATGATGCAGATGTGACGCACCAAAGTCACAGAGGATATTTATTATGTGGCGGAGGAAGTATGTATTAATAACAGCTAACAAATGGATGTCAAAATGGACTGCTCAAAGTCATGGACAGATCTCAGTCCCTTTTTATCTATTATTGAATGTTGCAGCAAATGACGATCCCATTGTCAACTTTGCCAGAGAGCACTTCTAGATAGGACAACACTGAATCGCAATTCCAATACCAAGGTGAGTCCATTTCTTATGCAGTGCTAAATCCTCCACCGGTTCCATATGACAGTGCAATACCAAGGTGCATCTGCATGTATGCTACAACACAAGATCTTCCGGGCATACCCAATATGCCATATGCAAAAGTCATCAGGTTGTGGAGCTGTGTGCATTGCAGTTTGGCCGCCCACGCCATCCTTCGGTGAGACAATGCAGAAATGGGGCTCATGAGTGCTCAGAGCAACCAGGGCCATTTCCGGTGCTGTGCTGTATGCACAGTGGCTTGCTAGGCCTGCATGAGGCAGTGCCTGCTGCTCTCTAATGCACTCCAGCATTTTGAACTTCGCATCACCTGCAACTCTTGACCCTGCAAACAGGTGCAGGCAACTGATTTTATGCTTTGGGCTTGTTCTCAAGGACAGCAAAGCCCCATTCGGACATTCGATTCGAAGATGAGTTTGCCAATGCACATTAATTTGTATTAGTCAATAGTGGCATTTGTTGGACTGCCAGCAAGCCAGCAAATTGCTGGTGGATCAGACAAAGAAGGGCTCACAAGGGGCTCCTGGGTGGACAACACTTGTGCTGCTCAGGGGATGAGCTCCAAGGGGCTGTGGACATTTTTGGCGATGAGCACAGGAGAGAGGTTTAGTACTTTTGGTGTTGGTACGCCACGCAGTCTTAGCAACTAACGACACCCAGAATTGTCATTTTTAGGGACCATTTCATCTTGCTGGCAAAGGGAGTTTTGCCATCCATTTCAGAAGACCCAGCTTGCTAGGTATGGTCCACAATAGCTGTCCTTTGCGGTCTGTTCGCACTCAGGATGCAAAGGGGCATGCAACACTAGATAATAGCTTCGTTGCAGACATGTGTGCATGCATCAAAATGCACAAAATGCATAGCATGTGATAGCTCAGACACAACAACTGCAACACACCAAGACAGTTATGCCCTCTCTGTGTTAGGCAATAGAAGTGACCCTTTCCCTTTTTGTACTGCTGCCCGGCAACTCTGAAGAACCAATATCCAGATACTCCTGTCTTAAGGTGACCATGTTTTCCCATTTCTATTGTCTGGTATGGAATTGTATGCAAATCAAGACAAATCAGTCAGGAGCACTCTTGACCTACACAGTGTTTAAACAGGCAACGTATTTGCTGTTGGGCACATTAACGATTGCGAAAAGAGACATGCAGTTAAGCTGCATTCCAAAACATAAATGATGGCAAAGATGTGCAGGTTCCAGCAAGCAAAACCCCACAGTGGAAGCAATTTCCCAGCACCACAAAGATGCTGAATACAAAATGCCAGTCAAGGAGACAGCGCAATGTTTCTGCCCCAGAAACATAGCGCTAGAAACCACGAGGTACAGCAAATCTCCACATGCCAATGAGAGCAACAGGAGACAACAAGCCAAGGACAACCATGCTGGCTGATGATGACAATGGAATGCACATTTAGGCACACCTGAGAAAACCACAATGGGAGTTTGCCAATTTGGGTCTTCCGACATCTTGCGTCGCAGGAAGAAAGTGATGTGCTGGTCCAGACTGTGCATAAAATCTGTTCCAGGTGTAATCGAGTTCGTGTCGAAGTGCTCTACCTGTACCCAAGACACCGCTACATCGTTGCTGAAAGACATTCGTACAGCATTTCAACAGCTGGGTCATGAAGATGATTTCCAGCAAGAAGGAATACAAAAAATGGTGTCTGTTATGTGCTGTAACGTGCCCAACAATAGCCAGAGCGATTGCAATCTTGGACAACTAAACTCTGTGCTTTGACTTTTGGCTGTTGGGGTGGTGCAAGGCCAATGGGCCCATTCAACCAATCAGCACAGCATCAGGGAATGCCTGCTTCCTATGATTGGTTTTCTTCACCCTTGTTGCTGTGGCTGTCACAAGTCTGTAAAGGCATACAGCAACGCTTGGTGCGCACGTTCACTCGTAAACTCATGCATGAGCTCACACATGTGAGAGGCTTGGTGGACAGGCTTTGTTGCCATCACAATCGAGATTCTTCCAACCACACATGTTCCTCAGCATCCCCAAAACACATGCTTTTTGTTTCTCAGTCTGTTGATGCTTTCTTGATGTGCTGAAGGAATTACAGACTCCAACTTCTAGCATTAAAAATACCTGCCAAACCAAACTGCCTTCTAAAGTTCTTTTAGTCGGGAGTGGAGTACACAATCTCAGCCTCTCCTCTTTGTTTCGGAACAACTGGCATGCAGCAAGAGTATTGGCCCCAGGCAACCAGGTATTGGCCCCAGAACTGGTCGGAACAACAACTCACCCTCTGCTTTGCTGCACTGAAGCGCCTGCACCTTTCAGAGTGGAACAGAGCAAGGGGAACAACGCCTGCAATAACGTGGATTGTCAGGCCTCTGGAAACAGAAATTTGTGGTCGTAGCAAGGGGGTGCAACCTCTTCATCTCAAGCAGGATTTTGGATAGTGCTACATTGGGAATCCGTTCAGTGCGTGTGCATTCGGTAATGGGCGTGAGCAGCGTCGTCCTCGTCGAGGTGAGATTCAGCACTGCCGTGAGCAAAGCCGAGAATATCACAAGTAAGCCGCAATGTCTGATGTGGGAACGGTGCTGCACCTTTCACCCCCTGATGGCCACGATCATCGCACCACACCGTGACCCTCCAAGGACTCCAACCCGCACACTCACCGTCAAGAGCCAAAAACACCTTCTTTCGGGGCTTCAACAGGTCCACTAAGAAGTCCACATAGGCCAGGATCGCCAGAACCACGTCTTCGCGGCGGGGCGAGGAGGACTTGGCCCCCGCGAGGACCGCAATATCGGTGACATTGACGTAAAGGTAGTGAGTGACCTCCGGGCCATTCGCCGCAGTCACGTCCTGGCGGATCAGCGGGTACCGCTCCACGAGCCATCTGTCGAATCTAGGCGACCGGCGCCCTGGAGACAGCGGGCACAATGGTCCACGAGTCACCCACGAGTCCACGATGCACCATTAACTCAGCGAGGCCGATCAAGGTCCCAGATGGTCGCGGATGTCGCAGCGGGCTCCGCGCGTGGACCGACACGATGGACGCGACTCCCTTAGGCGCACAAAAGGGTGGAATCCGATCGACTGGAGCGGAATCTCCCATTGGCAGAGGTTGGTCGCGGGGGCACGCACTCTGCCGGTGAAGTTCACGCCGCGTCGCGAGGCGAAGGGAAGCATCGCTGAGCCCGCTCGCACCATCCACGGAGGCAGTCAGGCGTTCGGGGCACAATCGTGGCGGTGAGTCACGGGCCCACGGACGGGCAGCCGAGTCCGTACCCATTGAGAGCGCCGTGCAACCGCCTCAGCCAGCGCGATCGACTCTCCTGCGATCAAGCCAGCCTCTCAGGACTTTGTGACGGGTCTGCCCTTCGAAGCGAGGGCCGAGAGCGGCGCCACGCGGCGCTGGCCGTCGTGGCGCCCGCGCGCGCAGTCTGGCACGGCATTCGGTTCGACCACGAATGCTCGGTCTCCGGCCAAGTCGCCTGAGGGTCAGGGGAGGGGTGTTGATTCATCTACCCCACCCAGAGGTACCTCGAGGTACCCGGGTCCTCGGGTCAGACATCTTCTTACCGTCCGCCCAAGAACAGTCACACTCTCCAGTCATGCGAGAGGAAATCAGTCCCCATGACTTTTCCGTGGCGATTCCTTGTTCCGATGACAAGGCCACTGCCATGTTTAGGGTTTAGGGTGCCAGAAACAAGTAGGGGTCTTCACAGAAAATTGTGACAAGGTGGGTGTGTAGAGTGTCCGAGAGAATCCACTTCAAGCCGAGGTCGCTGGAACCGACATGCTCGAGTGCCCGTGAGGCATGGGTCCGGAGCACGATTATTATAAGGAGTCATGTCCAAGATAATCATATACAGTCCGTCCGAACGTCCAACATCGGCTTTGATCCTCACTGATCGTCCAAGGGTCGGTTCTGAGCTACTCAAAGTCAACGGCTCAGCATAACCTGAAGCCCCCACCAAACAGAAACACGGTTGATGTCCCAAACGTTCCTGAGGGCCCAAATTACCGCCATTTGCCTCACAAGAAGACATGGCACCTAATTTCATGCCCCAGGCATGCCCTTATCGCTGATGAGCCTTCCGTGACCCTTGAGTCACAACCAGTCACAACCAGTCACAACCCCCAAGCAACTGGTCGAGGACAAGTTCGCCAAAGACGTCAGCAACGAGTCACTCGGCCCACGCTCGCGCCCCCCGGCAACGAGCCAGCCCCCGCGGCCTACCCCCCGGCAGCCAGACCGCCCAGCGCCCCTCCGCCCGGGATGCCGCCCGCATGGCTGCTCCTCCTCCCGGTCGTCCTGATCTCCGGCGCCCTCCGCGACGCCCGGGCCGCCCCCGTCCTGATGGGCCACGACGTGGTCGAATACCACAGGCTGCACGAATCTGGCCTTGATGCAGCGCCGGGGAGGATTGGCGATCCCAGGCTGGCCTGCAGGTTGAGGTCGCGGGGCGGGGCGAGGGAGGCGGCCGCGGGGGCGTTCGAGTTCTGGTTCGCTTCCGAGGGGAACTTGGGGCGGTTCCGGGACGACCCATGGAAGTACGCACCCAGGCTCGGAGGCTTCGGAGCCTGGGGAGTGGCACGGGGCAGCGGGCCCGGCTGGCCCTGGGGAGAGTGGCGCAGGGGTGAGGACTGATCGATGTTGAAGGAGTTGGATTGCATTTGGCTTAGCAGGGCCAATTACTTCCCTGAAGCTAAAAGCAGGAATGGAAATGTGCAGTGCGCAGAAACGACGGCTGGGATCCTGAATACAGTCTACTGTCTGGACCACCGTGGATGGCAAAGGTCAATTATTGACTTGCCCAGGCCCATCCCCTCTCCCGGTGGTAAAACATAATTGGTGGCTAACTGATCGCGCGTTCCTCCATGGGCCCGGACAGGTCCCTGCATGGGAACCTGCTGTCATGACAATTTGCAAGAAACTGCGATATGTGTGGATCAGACTGTGGACCGTTCGTTTGCAGTTTATGGTAGTGGTGGTTCGGCTTGTTGTTTCGCAACATGCTGTTGATTGTGTCTGTCAACGGAAAGTTGGGTTTGAAAGCATGTGTACCCCACCTGCTCCAGTAATGCAAGAACAGCGAAGCACGCTCTTCTTCTTGAAACCAGCTTGGGATTGTGGAGAATGTACGCAGGGCCGCCCAGTCAGCCTTGGGACTCCTGGACTGTCCACAATGGCTCCCTCTATCTGCATTTCTGCCCTGGGTTGCGTGACTTGTGGCTCACTGATGTGGACGAAAACATCAGGATGGCTGAAAAAAGGTGACTGCCCAAGATTGCAAACGACTCTTGTGGTTGGGCGCAATCAAAATTCAAGGATAATACACGTGATTGCCACATCATTCTGGTGAAGTTGGCACGATAGGCGGAGCTTCGAGCACTTCGTTGTGCCTCTGACCCCGAATTTGCTTTTGCGTTTGGCCCGCTAGGTGGCAGGAGTGGTGGGGATCCTTGAATGCTGGCCCTTTCAACTTGGAATGCTTCGATGTCACTTGCTTGCAAGGCCTACAGGGCCAGCAAAATCCAGGGGCCATCCAACAAAGCGAGCCAAACTCTCCTGAATTGGAATGCACTACGGATGGATTTGCATCAAGTTCTGGCACTTCGATGAGATCCACAGACGGAATGACAGATCTGGGCAGCAACGGCAAGGAAGTTGAAGCAGGAGATGCTGTTGATGTCAAAGGAATTGAAGTTTTGAAGGGTTCCCAATCTTCGGGATGGGCAGCTGCTGATATGCACCGATATACCCAATCAAATCCGCAAGACATCTCTTTCAGTTCTTCGGCACGGCTCCTGAAGAGCGTTGGAGGAGGTGGCCGCCCTCAGACTGTCGTTTCGCCACCCCAACAAGCACAGTCGTGCCTAACGAATTCCTCTGTTGAGCCACCAATGCCCACATCCACATTTGGGGGCATCGTTCGGCCAGTGCTCATGGGCTACGACATGGTGGAGTTCAGGAACCTGGCTGACGGAGAGGAGGGCGTCCTGGGGAGGTGGGAGCACGTGTGCCACTTGGCGGCGTACAACGAATCAAAATCGCTGCAAGGGCGCCAGCTCATTGGGGTGTACGAATTCTGGTTCGCCAACGAGGCCAACATGAAGGCGTTCGGGGCTGACCCATGGAAGTTCGCGCCCATGTGGGGTGGCTTCTGCAGCTGGGGGGTGGCGAACGAGAGACGCCCCTCATGGCCGTGGGCGTCGTACCACCTGGGCCCGCCGGCGAATCCGTGGAACGCATGGACGATCTACAATGGCACCCTGTACTTCGACTACTGGCCGTCCATTGCCAGGAAGTTCTTTGGCAATGCGACAAGGAACTTGGAAAGGGCAGAGTCCAGGTGGCGGGAGTGGTTCGGGGGGCTGCGTGCGGGCCCGTTCAACACGGACTGCTTCACGCCCCTTTGCTTGGATTGGCCTCAAGGCCCCCCACCATGCCCACCAGGCGCGGAGTGTGGAGACTCCGGGGATGTGCCAGAGGTGAGGTGCTTCACACGGAGCCGCACCAGTGAGCACACGGAGTCAATGCAGAGGCTGTCTGCAGTGGGCGGGACGGCGCTGTAGGTGGTCGGCTGGTGCTTCCGTGCGTTACAGTAGGCACAATGGATGCCTGCGTCTCTTTGAGGGTTTGGCGTCTGCATGAACGTCCTGCATAAATTACCTGGCTTGAAGGCTGCTCAGCAGCACTTACATTGCTGCAAGCAACCACAGCAATTGGTTGTCGATTGGGGTCTGGAGAGCTCAGCGGATTTCGGGAGCATTTGCTGTGGTATGAGAAAGGGGTATGTTTCAACCTTTCCCACTTGCGCAATTGCAAACAGCAGTCTGTTGTCGAATTGTTGAATTGCCAGATCTCCGACTTGTAACAATAGCTGATAGCCGGCCATGCAGGATTAACCGCATTAACTTTGAGCCTTGCCGACCATCGTCTTTGGTGCAAGGGCTCGCCGTTGTCCTTGTTGATGAATATGCGGTGGGAAAGACAATGCAACACTTTGTCGAGCAAAGCCCGCAAGAAGAGCGCTCCATTTATTCGGGCTGCTGCCAGGCCTTCCAAGGGCTGGTTTGCAAACTGTAGTACAGACATCGCCTAGCATCAGAGTTTGATTTTTGGTATGCAGACGACGTGAAAGGCACTGATGAATCATGATTGTCCCCGTGTGAAACTGTGTGGCACATTGATGCATTCGACACATATGTTTCATTCATAGTGGCGCAAGGCAGAGCGCAGATATTTTCAGGGAGGTTTGGTGGAACTCGCCGAGGGCATGCCGTTTGGGAATTCCGCATTTGATGCTGAGAAGGCAAAAATGTTTCTGCTCGCGGTTTTGAGGGGTCTAATGATCATGCTCTTCTGCGCATATCGCGCGAGTCGCTTAACACGAGCACATCGACGTGCTTCGCGGATCACAGACGCACTCCACGTATCACATTTAAACACCTGATGTACACCACGCGTTTGCTTTAAGCGTGTCACGATCACGGTTCAACAATTCAAGGCAGGTTGTGTTGCCGCTATTTCTCGGACCAGAATCGGCAGTGCTTCAGCGTGAAGCGGTGGGTTTATGGCCTTGCGCATGCACATCTTGGAGCGTGCGGATCTTGCAATCGCGCATGTCCACAATGGACATGAATTGCCTTTCAACTTGCAATCGGATGCAATCGGTTGCGTGTCCTTTGAGGCTGGGACACGCCGTAGTCTTCGGTCCTACCATCATGCTATCCCATTTCACAATGACTAGGATTACAGTGGATTCGGACAGATACGCTGATAGCTGACGTCGTGAACGACTCCGTGCAGAGCCGTTGGCCTTGCCCAATGAGAGTTTGGCATCTGCAGCTGAATCTCTCGCGTCATGTGTCATTCTTTCATGCGTGCGACACATCGCATTGCCGGAATGCAGACTCTGAAAGAACGTTACCTCAGATTATGCGTTCAGATCACAACTGCCAGCTCACCAGGGAACCCAAAAATTTACATAATCACATGTGATACACAAAAGAGTCCCATGTGTTCGAGGAAAACAGCAACAAAATCCGGCACTCCCTCCTCTCCTCCCGATGTCACGAGCTGGCAATGGCGACACCGACGGCCCACCCATTCCCCGCACTGAGGCTTTCGCCACCCAACGAATTGTGCCGGTGAGAACACCCGCGCCTGCGACCGCCCGTGTGACCGGCACACGTGACGCCCCGAAGCACATCGGCGCCATGTCCGTGCGGCGCAACAGGTGTGGGAGAAATAAGACGAAGTCGTCAGCGTCTGTCCCACGCCGCCACATCGTGTGCCACAGCACCCTCAAATACATTCATGCGGCCGCCGTTTTCCAACTTCAGACTGCATGTGAGGAGCCCTTGGTACGCCAACAACGGGCTGCCAAACATCGGAGAGCCACTCATGAGTGGGTATGGGTATGGTGTGCCGAGTGGGTGTGGCGCGATCTCGCCATACCCAACATTCAGCGACTGCGCCGGAACAGCGGCTTGGCTGCGTCCGACACGGCACAGTCACCGAACCCAACTTTGCGCCCTCGAGAGCGGCAACGTCATTCGAACACACGCTCTCCTGTAGAAAACAAATTCCAGATGACCGTCCCCGTTAAGTACAGCGCGACCGCGACACCCCACACGTCATCCCATGTGCCGCTTTGCAGGATGTGGCCGGTGGCGTAGGTGCCCATGACGCCAGCCAGCACCCCAGCGGTGTTGGACATCCCCAGCAGCACGCCGGCATACTTTGGCCCGATGTCTTGGTGGTTGGAGTACAGCCCCGATTGGCTGAATGCGTCCAGGCCTTGAGAGCACATCATGCAGGCCACCGCCTCGGGGACTGTGTTGACCCTTCCAAGCTGCGTGAGGAAAAATGCGGGGCCGAGGAAGCCAATCTAGTGCACAAAGGAATGAATTCAATGTCTCCCAAACGGGTAGTGGCGCTGGGAGCTCCAGGGACAGTGCAACCGAGCCCGCTTCGCTTCATCTGCGGCCCTTGGGCATATGACGTTGGAATAGAATATCTCAAATCATGCGCGGTGTAAATTTGCTTCACGACGGATAGTGCGAATTCCGGTTCTCATCACATCTGCCACAATCTTGGAGTCTCTCTTTGAGTTGGGTGCGATGCCCGACGTACGTCCAATGGTACAGCCTTCTACTGTCTTGGCAGTCAATTGAGACGGCGCAGCGCAAACGCAGTCAACAATGCGTGGTATGATTGTTCCGTTTGCAATTGCCCACTGCAAGCTTCTCCAGACATATTTCAGCACAGACAGCAAAAAGGGATGGACATTTTCTATCGCACAATAAAGCTTTGAAGCTGCTTGACAGGCAAGTATGTCACCCACGCAGTGCGTTAACTGACTGCCCCTCCACCCCAGTTCAGATTTCCTTTCACGACAGCTCCATGAAGGGAGAAAGCTTGCCGTTCAGCAGCGTCAGAGATAGTCAAAACAGATATACAATTTTGTCATCGCAGCAAGGTTTTCCTAATGAACCTAGGGATGTGTGCATCATCTTTACAGCCCAGAGGACGGTCTCCATATACTGTCAGGAAGGGGATACCCAGTTTGGCACATGCCATCCTATTGACTCAGACAATCTTCAGCCTGGCACCGTACCGATTGCATGACCTTCCTCACGGCTGTCACGCTCATGCCCCGTTGCACCATGCTGTCGGCGATCCAGCCACCAAAGTTGGAGCAGACGGCCATGGTGATCCATGGGAGGACGGAGAACAGGCCAGAGCTCATGAGATCCATGCCCAGCACCTGGTTGTAGTACGTGGGCGTCCATGTCAACAAGATGAACGTGCCCCAGTTGTGGCAGAAATGGCACACGATTATGGCCCACACCTCCTTCTTCGACAGCAGCAAGGCCCAGGGAATTCTGTCCACAGAGTCCTGCAAGCACACCAACAGACAGTCGAAACTGGCGCACATGAATTCAGGTGACAGAAGCTGACTTGCGTGTTTTGATGTCACAGGCACCTTGCAGCCAGCTATGCGACAATCACTGAACATTGTACTGATCATATGCACGGCAGCCCCTTCAAACAAAGTGCAGCCCTTCCTCATGCTTTGATGAGTAGGCAATAGACAGTGGAGACGACATGGCACACACAGCAGTTGTGTGCACAGAGTAATTGCTCATCTGCACAAACTCAGAATCCATCCAACTGTCAGAGGCATTGTAGCTGCGGTGTTCACATCAAAGACAGGTTGGCTGCTGTATCTGTTGTCAATCAAGCGTGACAAGACATGACTACCCGTCTGGTAGCAGTTCGCAGGTGTGCAAGTTCATTCTCAGAAGTTCAATGTTGTATCGCTGACCCACACAGGCAGCAAGCAGCAAGAAAGGGAGTACACCATAGCTAACAAACAAGCTCCTTTTAAAATCCACAACAGAACAGAGCTGGCCTGTTGTAGACATGCGAATAAAGTTGTGCTGCCCTTCATTCCAAACGTTTTGTGGGTTACATAATACTTGCCTGGTTGGTGTTGTTCTCCATGATGAACTTTCTTTCTTTCTCTGATATTAAAATGTCCTCCTTTGGATTACTGCCAGCGAATCTTTGCCAAACCAAGTACCAAACGAGCCCCATAGAGCCAAAGGTATAAAAAACGGATGGCCACTCCAGCAACTGGATCATGTGGGGGGATATGGACAACCCTGCGATGGAACCAAAGAACATTCCACTGTACACCAATGCCAGCGAGCGCGACCGCTCCTGTTGAGGGATCCATCTGCAGCACAGCAGAGAGATGAAACTCTTATGGTCGTCAAACATGACAGAGCAAAGAACATGCGCACATTTTGTGGTGACTGGAGCACAATATAATACTCACTTGAAACTGGTAGGCTATCAGCACAGAACATCCTATGGTAACAATGTAACATAGTACAATGACAATGGTACCACCATGTTGCACTATCCTTTTGGGCATTTCTGAAGGGACACTAACAGCAAAGTGGAGTTAGTCCAGCTCAGCAACCTTGTTCCTAATATGGACTTCCAGCACGTGCGTTTCCCAATCTACATCAATACACCAAAAGTGAATTTGGGAGACCACTGTGCGAGGTGGCCCGTTGGGTCGTCAGTAAGCCACAGGATCCGGTGCCCATCACATGTCACAGAGCAATACAGCTCTGCACCTGCGGCTTTTATTGCATTCAATTGCCAAAGACAGGGCATCTGCACATGGCGACTATTGACTGCACCAATGCCAACCTGATGCACTCCTGATATGAAAGTCTAAAGTGGATGTTGCATCGTCATTTGATACAATCTGCTGCCTCAAAGTATTGCGTGGCTGCCATTCTGGGCATGATGCACTCCAAACAAAACATGCATTTGGCTGCTTTTCCCAAGCAAGTAAAGTGACGTGATGGGCAGTTGGCTGGCAAATTTGGCAAGTGACATACACCTGCATCAATCGCCAAATTTCCATCAACATGCTTGGGAATGATCAACTGGGGGAACAGTATATTTGGATGTCTATGTGCTCACTGATAACATCTAAGTCTCATGGCACCATTGTGTCTGGAGAAGACAAATGCTGTCCAACAGGATTTTAAAAACTGGCACAGCTCCTGCTTGGCATTACCATTGTCCGCCTGAACCACGTAAGCAGTGGAGAAGAAACTGATGTTTGCACGTTTTGCACAACATTGACTTGGTGCGCACCTTGACAGAAGATTATTCATGGCTGGCATGGCTACACCTTCACCCACACCCATGCAGGCCCTGGCCGCCAGCAAATATGGCAGTCCAGCACTTGCAGCCAGGGGTGTTAAAGCTGTCGCCATGGACCACCACACTACGCCGAATGCCAGGACCTTCTTGCCGCCAAACCGATCAGCCCATATCCCTCCTACGATTTGTGTCAATAAATAACCCCTGAACGCACCGACAGGCTGGTGTTGGAACTGGGCCACAACTCATCAACAGCACAAAGATTGTGAGACGGGGAAAATTTGATGAGAGGCTGGTCATGTCTGCGTGGGGAATCATTGAGTCAGAGTCGTACAACAGCCAAACCCCAATAGAAAGAGCAGAAAAGAAGTTCACAGTCATGTACTGTGTACTTACCAAAAGAATGATGACTGCACCAGTCCCTTGACTTGGCTGTTCCATTGAAACTCGTCTGACATGGGCAGAATGGATATGCTCATGTTCACCCTGTCCATGTTGCACAGCATGAAGGCCGCACAACACAATCCCACGATGGTCCACCTCCTGGGCCATCTAGAAAAGTCAAATGAAAGGAGGCCTTCTTCCTGGCGATAATGTTCTTGCTTCTCTCAGGTTCGTTATCCAAAAACTCAGTAGCGGTGGTGCCGTGATTCAAAGACGATTGCCTGAAAGATCTTGGAGTAAAGCTGATGCATAGCACATACGCATAGCCTCGCAATGCACTGCAAACCTGCTCCCGCACCGGTACCATACCAGCCCCGACCGCCGTCATAGCAAGGCCGCCTACAGAAACAGGAACAAAGGACACAAACAATGGAGGTAGAACAAATCACATTCAACAGCTACCATTTTGCAGGGCATTGTCCCAGCCTGATTCAGGCATTTCTGCAGCAATGGATGCAGCGACATGCAACGGTTTGAATTGCAATGTCAGTTTAGTTCTCTTCCTGTCACGAGTTTTTGATGTAAACAACAATTCCAATCCTTCCATTGAAAGCCCTGTCCTTAATAATCTCACAAGTTGTCAAATTGCCAAGCTGCATCAAATAATAAGGGAAGACTGTGCCTCTGAGCCCCCGAGCAGATGCTGGACATTTCTTCACCAGAACACTGTCAACACCTCCAAGCTGCAAAATACAAGAAGAATCCTTGCACCTGCATTCCTATGCCTGCTCCATTGCTGCTGCCAACCTCCTGCACTCCAAGCTGGGTGGCTGCAGTGCCTTCTTCCACCACGGCCTTCCTTAGCGACACTTCTTCTGAAGCCTGGGCATTGACAGCATGCACATGCTCACAACGTTTGTTGGTTTTTATTCCTGCTCAGGCAGCAATGGGCAAAAATATTGTTTCTCCCATGCACACATTCAGCAGGGCAAACATGGCAAGGGACTGGCCAAAAAACACACATAGTGTCCTCACCAATTGTACATTGCAATCCCGAACACCAGATTGCAAGTATGAGGCGGAATCTGATTAGATGGTCGACCTTGTGTTCCATTTGTGCCCATTCCATCAGTTCACGAGCTGCTGTGGATGTGTTGACAATGTCAAGGCATTCTCTTTATGACGCGACACAGTGCAGCAGTATGCCTCAATATAATAACTCTGTGTCTTGTAATGCCCAAATGCACACTTTGTCTACCCATATTATCTGAGTGCTGTGATGTGTGCAGTTATACACAGATGAGCATGTCACACACAGTGGCACTTGACGTGGGAACATGGCAAGCCATCCTTTCAACCCCACAGGCTGACTCAGAACATCTGCGACCCACACCGCAACTCTCGTAGATTTCGATTTGCAACTGTGCTTCACCTCAACATAGGTGCCCTTTGATGCAGCCGGTGCTACCGCTTCACCCGCTGTCTTGCTGGTTGCTTTTCTAGCTGAATGGCACCGAATCCCCGGCAAACATGGCCCCTGCACCGACAGAGTCAACAAGTACATCATACCAGTCTGAGCACAAGCGAATGCCACCAAACTTTGCAGGCAGGAGGTAATATTTTCAGGTTGGAGTGTATTTAGGTTAACAAAGTGAAAGCCTTTCTGAAACAGAGTAGGAACGCAAGCACCCCCGTTACGACTGGGACAGCCAGGCCCCAAATGACATCAGCACCCTAAGGACCAACTCCAAGTCTGCACGCCACCACTTGTTGGCAGAATTTAGGAACGAACTTCGCGCTTCGCGACGCGGAATGCGCCATTGGGCAGCGCAGGTTGTTGCAATTGCAGCAAACTAGTTGGCAAAGATGACCGCACATCCCAGCGCGCAGGATACAAAGGACGACGTACCGGTGGTGCAGATAGGGCGCGGCCGCGTCGGCGGACCGCTTGAAACCCCCTCAGTCCCCTGCCATTGAAAGATGCCCCAGAGGTCAGGACGCCATGGAGGTAATAGTGATGCGCGCTCAACACGGCAGACACGATCCGCGCCTTCGCGGCAAGGGAACTGACGGAGGGCCCAACAAGAACGCGCAGCCTCTGAAAGCGTCTGCAAATGCTGCGCCAAGCCAGGACCGTGGAGCACCAATGCACAGGGAGCAGCGTGGGAGGGACACTACGCCATCAATTCGAAGGGGGCTCACTTTGTGGATGCGAGGCCGCGGATCGGAGATGGCCGAGGTGGGACAACGGGCCCAGGGGCGCCCTTTGCCGCGCGCCCATCCCCGCGCCGTCCCCGTAGCATCAACACGCTGCCCGGCTGGAGGGGCTGCCTGCTGCTTCAGCGAGCGTCCACAGCGCTCGCCCCCTCGATCCCCGTCGATCCAGGAATGTTGTAAGGGCCCTGTGGGCAGAGGCGATCGTATGGGGGATATCGTGGCTGTTGCGTGGGTGCAAATGGAGCCTGGGATGGATCCGATACGAATCGGATGCGGCAGCAAACCGGCCCATCAGGCTGGTTTACTGGCCCGATAGATCCGCGTGTGCACAAATACTTGGTTTCGTCCATCCGCTGGCCATGCAACTGTGCCACCCGCTGTGCAGTGGCCGTCAAGTGTGAATTCAGGGTAATTGTTGTGTGTGCATTGGTCCACTCCGGGCTTGGAATGCAGGAACAGGTTGCAGCTGTTCAAATAGTGCTGCAGACAGATTCGAGGGGATAATCCGACGGGGCTTCAGTAATGGTCAAACAAAGACAGACCCCATGTCACAGAGTGGATGGGATTATCCCGATGAGTTTGCCTCCGGGCAATATCCAAGCGCGGCACAGTAACGAATGGCCAGGGCGCTTATCCAGTCCCAGGATTGAAAAACCAACCTGCTCGCATAAAGTAGCCGGTGGAACAAAACCACCGGCCTGGCACAGCATTAACTGGCGCACCAGCGCACTGGCGTTCCGTGGATTGTGCACAATCTAATGGCCTCTCTACCCTTTGCTCATCGCGCCATCCACACGTCCACCCGTCGAGCTGCGCACCATCACAAGTGTGCCGCTGTCGTCTGGCAGAGGGCGAACCCATAAGCACTGAAACAATCGGCATAGGAGAATCTCCGAAGATAGAAAACACAATCTGGCCTTCAGCCCTTATCCACATTGTAGAAACCTGCACCCGCTTTTCCAACCAAAACAGCAAAAGAATATTTTCTTGGGAATGCAAACAAAGGAATAGTACACAGAGGGATGGTTGCAGAGGCGTGTAACCAAGCTTGGAACGAAGATACCTGGCGCAACATAGTCCATGCGCCCAACTCTATGGGTTGATGAATAGTGTCTTCCTGGGCGTGGCAGCTGATGAGCAGGCAAGCAATAATTCAAAGAAGACGAATCGCTGCTTACAACCGCTGGTTTACAAGAGACTGGTTCAAGGTGGCACGGTTCGGATGAGCACACTGTTTCGATAGCAACCTATGCCAAGGCCCAATGCCAAAGGCAATCGCCCCACTGCCAACACCTGCTCCTTGCCCACGGCTCCCCCCCTGCTTGCACACCAGGGGATTCAGCCTCCAGTTCAGCAAATCACCCATCAATACTTCCAAAATTGTAGGACTGCGAATGACAAACAGCGCAAGCGTGCTCCCTCTAGCCATCCTCACGGCCAGCTGCCAGTGGCAGCACTTTTGCACCATGTCCCCGCGCCCAGCTTTCAAAATTGCGACCGAGGGCGCCCCGCCCGGAAGCGGAAATATGAAAACGTGCCTTGGCGAACTGGTTCAGGTCCTGGGCTGGTGTCAAGCTCTCCCGTGCACGTGAGGGACGCCTCACGATGCCGCAAGATCCAATGCCATGGCCATGCAGCCTTATACCCAAACCTGGCAATCCCAAGGCCGACTCGTACACAATCCCACATTAAGAAGGTATCCTAAAAGATGCTCCAGCACTGCCGGTAGGATCTTGCCTGAGGAATGCTGGGACCCCATTCAAGGAACGCAGTCGCCTTGTTGGAGAAAGTCAAAGGAGCGCCACAAACTTGAGAAATCCTGAACGAAAGCAAAACGGTTTCGAACACATTATTCCCACTGCCAGTACATCGAGTTGCAAAATTGATGCCTTGAGTCAAAAGAATTCCCGCCACGACCTCCATCGGCCTCTCCGCAGCAAAGTAACAATTTCAACTGGCTCAACATCAAGCCACATTCATTTCATCTCCACATCTCTACCACCAAGCTGTCCTGCTCGTCCTGCCTTCCATGCCTGGCCACTGCCCAACAGCACCATAACGTCCAAGCTAAAATTTTGCACACAGAATGCACATACACTTTTTTGGCCGCTCACCCCAAAATTGTTCTCCATAATTATCTGCATCGACTGACCTCCGCTCCCCGATTCACATGCAGAATCCCTGGACGAATCCCTGCACGAGAATTCTGCGTCCCTTTGGAAATTCAAAACTTGATTGAAACAGGCAAACGGCCCCATTATGACCTTTACAGCAACCATCCCAATCCATGGTTGTCATTGTCCCCCTCTGTCTGTGCTTGCAGAGGATGCACCGTGGTCTTCCAGCTTTTCAGCATCTCCTGCGTCAATCCCAAGTTCTTTCCAACTGGATTGAGGGCAGTCAGGGCTGAGTTCCCCGCTTTTTAGTCTCGCAGTTGGAAGACCAAATTGTGCCCCATAATCGCGACTGAATTCCAAAACTTCCGGTATGGTAGCTGTGGCATCGGATCCTGAAGCACCTGTGGCAAGTTGCATTTCCACAAACACTCACAGGTACCCTAATCATGTTTAACAAGACAGTGTCCGAACAAACTAGTGTTGTCTCTGACTAAGTACCGATCCCAACTGTAGCAGGTCATGAGACGACTGCACTGCCTCTACTGGCAGCCATGGCCTTCTAGCATTGCAGCTGCAGGCTGAACTCTCAGAATCTGGAAGTTCAAACCACTGTGGCGAATGTATAGGTACAGCATCTCACCCATTCTCACACTGAATACACACTTGGATTTCCTATCCTGGGCAACATGTGATTTCAGTGCCAATTTAAGGTTGCATTGGGCAGGATTATGAATGCAAGTGGCACTGATGTCTGAGATCCAAACCCACCTGCAGCTTGCACAATACTCAACCACTGCAAACGAACAGCAGCATACACGGTTTGAACAGGCAGATGAACTTGGAATCTGCTGTGACGAGTTCATGAGGAAATTTCCTCCCAATCAATTCCCACTCACATGGTGTTTTGGATTGTTCATCTTTGTTCTCCCCTTCTTGCTCCTTTGGAGCTTCAAAATGCGTGTCAACAGGAGGGTAGCCATCCAGAGCTACACCACGAGAAGTCAGCACTGCTCGATGCGAACTGTTCAACTTTGCAAGCTTGGACACTTCACGTCGGCTCTCCGCCACCTGAAGAGGAAAAAACGCCTCAGAAGATTCCACCAGCCAGCCAGGTTTCACCTCTACACAACCTGTGGGACATCTGCCATTCTCCAAGGCTCATCTGCTTTTATTCTATTAATTGCAGTTTGACTTTGAACTTAGCGGTGCTAGTTGATAGAGCTTCTTTGTACAACAAGGCTTTGCCGCACTCCCTGCATGGTGACAACAACTTGCTTGATCCAGAGGTACTCCTGATTTTGAACACTGTGGCATTACACAACTCTTCACATTAAGCCTGACTGCAGAGTTTCCTCATTGCATGCAAGGAACACTTCCACTGAATATCCTTTGTGCACTACACTGCCAATGCCATGGCATACAATTACAAGTGGGGGGAACAAAGAATTCCCATGCTTAGAGTATATTGCCTTTTCCCCTGCCAAGCCTTTGTGATGATCTGCTGTGCTTAGACATAATGCCCATCAAAACATTGCAAGCACAGCAGTGACAAAGAAGAAACAGCTGACCTCGGTTTTCAGATCATCGTTTTCAGCCATGAGTTCCTTGAGGCGCATCCCCAGGGCCTGTGCCTCGACCTTCCTCCTGACCTTTGATCTTCTTGCGGCATCCCTGTTAGCTTGTTTTCTTTTCAAAGTCTTGAGATCCCGTTCGGACAACGGGGCTCCGCCTAGCACCACGTCAAAGTCTAAGCCAATGAACAAACCTTGCCAATGGAGAAAAGCTGTTGTTGCTGGATGTGCTGAGCTGCTGACAGGCTGCACTGCAGCCCTTCATTTGCAATTTTGTTGCTGTTGGTGACAACTGGAAGATGACTGTGTGAACCACTCTCACAAGAACACCTCTCATTTCTCAACCATCAATGACCAATTCTCAACCGGTGACCAATGTCAGCATCTGGAGTTTCCTCAACTAGACAATCCCACTTGCCTCTTAGCCATCAACCGCCAACGATCAACTAACCGCCAAATGCCAAGGGCACCTCAGATGCAAATTCAAATGATCGCTGTGTAAGTTCCATCAGTTACAAAGGCAACCGCCACGACAGAATCCATTGCGAGGGCTCGCTGGCTGTCAGTACCTTGGTTAGCGGGGGGCACCTGCTGCAAATACGACCAGGCCTCAGGTAATGTCTGCACTGGAGTCATCTGGATCGCCTCGCTCGGCGCCTGCACGCCGTCGAGGCGCTGCCGCCCCAGGCCGTCGCCGCCGAACGGATAGCCAGCGGAGGCACCGCCCTGCGCGGGAGGCTGGTAGGGCGCCACGCTCAACGGAAGGCTCGAAGATGGGCTACCGTTTGTTCCAAAGAACTGCCCGCTCATACTTCGGGCGCACCCTGCAGCCAACTGCAGTCGGTCAAAGAGCACCGCAGCGGCGAGCTGATGAGGGAACCGTGCCCGTCGTCGACCCAAGACCGCGATCTCCGGTTGGCGGGCAGCGAATGCTCGCAAGGATACCCAAAAGGCGCGCCCCACACAGCTGCAATGGCGCAAACGATCAACACAGCAGCGAAGACTCGACGAAGCCCGCCAGGTCCGCCAATGCGAACGAACGGGGCATCGCTTCGTCGCCTCGTTTCCGTCCGGTGGCACGCGCAGGACTCGAGGGCCCCGCAATCACCCTCGAGGCCTCCGCAAATGCCCAATCATCAAATGAACGGCCAAAGCTCAGGGCTGCGCGGTGGCTTCGGATTCTGATACCCGGTTGTAATCGCCGCGGAGGGGCAGCGTCGACGGCCACCGCCGCGTGTCAGATTCCCTCCGCGTTCCTCGGGCACCCGGGAAAGGCCAACTCGGCATGAAACAGGGACAAAGCCCGCGAATCCGCATCGCGGGCGCCATCCCCGCCAAAGCGAAAGACCTGCCAGGAGCGGCCCAGCGGCTCCGCGGGCGACCGGCTTCCAGTGGCCCCGCGCGGCGACCTGCCCGCATGCCGCGGCACTGCCGCCTGGGCCGCCGATCGCGGGGCGCCCGGCTGGCCAGCGTGGCGGAGCGGCCTCACCTCGGCGCTCAGCACGCCTCGGTCGCGCGCGGGCCAAGGACGCCACCGTCGCACCCCAGCCCGGGCTCGGCGCAGGGTGCCGGGGTTGAATTCCCAAGATCCGAACACATCAGAGTCGGGGGGCGGTTGAGGGGGTGGTGCGCATGTGGGACGCGGGCCCACCCGATGCGGGGAGCCATTTCGGGTTGGTGTTCGTTAATGTGGGCGTGCCGATGGGCCGGCGCGCTGTTTGCTTGCGCTCAGGCTGGTTTGGGAGACGAGGGCGGGCTGATGGCAGATACTTTGAGGGGGAGAAAGCAAATCGAGATCCGCCGATCGGATCAGGGCTGGGGCACGCGCGGGAAGAGTGCATCAATCCCTCTGTCTTTTCCGTGAAGATTCCTTCTTCTTCCGCTGACAAGGCCAACGCCGGTCAGGACCAGTGGTTAGGGTGCAGGGTGTCCGAAACAAGAAGGGCCCTTAACGGAAAAGACAAAGGGACTAATTTCATGCCCACGTGCGGGTGAGGGAGGCTTGTCCGAAGATGGCGTGTGTTGTGAGCGCCTTTTCCGAAGGCATCCAGCCTGTTTGTTGTGATTTGGGTTTGGCGCTAATTCTGTCATCTAATTCTGGGTGTCCGTGAGAGGCTGGCTGCAATTGATTATTTACACTCGCACAAACACAGCACTGTATGGTGACCTTGAGCAGGGAGCGCTTTTTGATAGATGTGTCTAGGGGATTCATGCCTCTTAGTTTGGAATTACAGACGTGGCGCCCTTTGCCTGCTCTGGAGGCGCCCACCTACCCACCCATCACCTGGGAGGATCGCCCTCCGCCAATTTGCGTTGTGAGGGCATTCAAATGCACAAAGGAGGGCGTCCTTTGTCCTAGCAATGCAACTTATGTTAAACGCGCCATCCGATGTTACCAAGGATGCGTCGATCTTCTTTGTGCGTGCATGGTGCACTTTCAAAAGTGAAAGGGGCCCCCTTCACTTTCGAAAGTGCACTACGCATGCACCAACTCGACCAAACTCAGCCCGGGCCGACTTTGGTAGAACGTAAACTGAACCACAGGCTCATAGACAACGAAAGGGACCTTGTTGGACAAAGCTAACGCAAAGCTTCGTGTCCACACACTAATCAAATGGTCACAATGCGCTGTCAACGCAACTGATCTTGTGCCACCCACTCAAGAAGAGCCCGAACAAAACCCATGTCGCTTGAATTACCCAGATTGCTGCAAGTCTGCAAACCGCTTTCCACCACGAGTTCCGGCACAAAAATCACCCTTCATAATAGCAACGAATAGCAGAACAGACCTCAGCTCACGACATTTTGGCACGATCACAAGTAGGATCTGTGATGCACCTGTCACGTACATCATTGCATGAGCCAAAATACACAATGCCGACTGTCTCTACTATGACAGGACCCCCAATGCAGCGGTGCCCGAAATAAAGAAGTTGTTCTGCCTCAAAACAGATTTATGAATGCCTTTTCAAATCGTCATGATTCAGCTACTGTGACACAGAGCATTAGCGTGTTTGTGATCAGTTTCTCTTTTATCACAAATTCCGCAACATGCTGCACACTCAAGTTTCTGACAAGCCTCCTAATGGAGCCACCAATTCTTGTAATTCTAAATCGCTTTCATACTATGAAAAACATGCTTGGGCTTTACATCGTAAACACTGAGCACAGTATTAAAAACTAGGTCAGGTGACATGATCTGCTCAAAATCTGACCGTGTCATATGCCACAGTGCGGGCCCAACTGAGTTGAACATAAATGCAGCTCACTGGTATGATCGGTGTTGCGCAGATTTGGTACTGGGCGTTCGAATTCGAACGCCTGTTCGAACAGGCGCAACAAACCCTATTCCAGGAGCAGCGAAGGAATTGCGAAAATCAGCGGCAGGATCCAAGGGCCGCTTGGATCGATAATGAAGACACCGGAGTGTGTTCCGGCGAAGCGGGGCGGGCGCTAACAGCAAAAACGAAGAAAAAGAAGCGAGGCGAAGCTTTTGACACCATGCAGGCAACTTGTGCACCATGCAGGCAAGCTCGACGTGTGCGCACTCCAGTGGTGCGGCAGCAGGGGACAGAATCGCGGGGGGCGTGAAAGATAGGAGTGAGGCCAGTTGTCCTTCCTATATTATGTCATGCTCTGCCGGAGCGCCAACCACAGCTGCATGTTTTGAGGCAAGGGCGACGTGGCAAGGGCGTTATTGTTTGTGACGACGCTGCTGTGCCGACCACCCATGCCGTCCGTCACCCATGCCGTGGTTGTTTTCCCTGTGCGCTGCCGGCCGTGTCGCTGAACAGTATGGGTGGTTTGCAAATCAAGAAAACAAAGGCAGTTGACCTCTGTACTTCTCTATGATATATGGCTCAACGTTCCACACCTTCTTTGGCTTTTATGCCCCCGACCCCTTGCGGCGATTCCGTGCCAGATGCTCGTAATTCCCTTCATTCTGTCCCCAAAATCCACCTCGTAGTTTATGGTCAAAAATTGTTCCACAGGGGGCCACAGACTGCCTTGGGCCCCCAGCTGACACGTTGGCTCTGGGTTCGGCCGTCGCCCATAAGAATGTTCTGTCGCGCCTCGGGTCTGTGGAGGCACGCCGTGGACGCAGCGGCCGGACGCCTGCGCCTGGCCTGGCAGGAAGCTGCGCCGCCCAAAGCGCTGTCTTGGGAGCGAGCGACACGGCCCACCTGTTCGCCGACACGGCCCGCCTCTTCGCCGTACTCAACGCCCGCCATGGCGACCAACGAGGTGATCAACGACTGGGGTTGAACGGACCTTCGATACTGAGCTTTCGAACTTTGATTTCGTGCTTGCCGGCAGACCATTGCGCCGTTTGAGTTTGGCGCCGTGGGAAGGTCAGATGCAGTAGGGGCAGTGCTGTTGGGGAAGAGGGACGTCATCCTGTGTGTGATCGACATCTGGGCGCTTCCAAGTGGCCCAACCTTCCGCGCAGGGCAACTTTTAAAGTGAGCTGACGCTGTTTGCTGCTTGCCATGATACCCCTTTGCAGTGTTTGTGTCGACTTGGCACTGGTGTATCGGTCCATTTCCTGAAAGCTGCGGTCTGTTTGGGCGGTGCTGTTTGTTGGCTCCGCGGTTTCGTTGCTCTGAACCCCGAACCCAAACAACGATATTGCAGCTTTCAGCAAAGAAACTGCATTGGCAGCTTGCTGTCACCTTGGCCCTGGAGGAGTGCTTTGGTCTTGAGGTCCTGCTGGCGTTGCAGTCCAGTTTACCACGCAAGGACAGCAGATCTCAGTTGACAGTGGGGTCGAACTGCCCAAAATGACTGCAGATTGCCTTGTCCGCTTGCCTGAATCGTCGATGCCATGTTCCATGTAGGTTTTCGTCCAGCAAGCCAGTGGCTGCGCAGTGGCTGTTCTCAACAGGTGCACAAACTGAAATGGATTTTGGAGCCAGGGTGACGTACCGCAATTGCTTGGTACTGCAATGTCGACCTATCTTCAGTAGACTCACAGGCGGCTGTCAGATGATTGGGACTGTCACACTTTCACATAACTGATTCCAGCTGGAAGATGGGCTTAGGCCGGTCGTCCAGAGTTGTTTGAGCACAAGGAAATGAGGCAGACTGCTGAGATATAGATTGACTTGTCTGTGTCATTTCTGCAGGCCGAAAGTGCTAAATGCACTGAATTTATCCATGGTGGGTGCCCAGTATTTTTACTGGCGATGTGACTGGGAGTGCACTTGCGATCAGAAACCTGGAGTAGCCTGTTTACACTTATCTTCATGCCATGATTGGCATGCACAGACACAGTGCACAGCCGCAACAAGCTGGATGTCTAATCGGATACTGCTATTGCCAATTTATTATACTGTTTATTGTATATTGTTTATTGTTTATTGTATATGTACTGTTTATACTGTTTACTGTTTATTGTATGGTTTTCCCCTGTGTTAGACTTGAAGCTCCATCTGTTGTCAGTTGGCCAATTTCACTCCTGCTTTCACTGCCTAGTTTCCTGCAATAAACTGGAAATAACTTCAATTCAATTTGATTCTTTTTTGGTAGTTTTCATCTTCTTGGACTACAGTCTGTGTTGCATATGGGTGCTGAAAAGATAAGTCAGCACAACAGCGTTTGCAATCAGATTTGATTCAGGTTGTGCTTTGGGCTGGCAATGGCAGGTGGACAGGCTGTTTGAGCTGTACTCCGAGTGGGACAATCCAGGCAACGATGTGCACTGCATTTTGCTTAAGGGCGCAGGAGAAAAGGTAGCAGTGCCTTCTTCTGCTTCCACACTTCTGATGAAACAGAAAATCTTTGAACTGCCGCTGATCTTGGTTGCTCATCGTAGCTGAGGTGCAAGGAACCATATTCAGCCAAGAGGTTGTGAAACGATGTATGATGGAAGCTTGCTAGTGCAAATCCATGTGGCGCAGCTGTCACACCACTCGTGTGCTGAGAAATGCAGTGCTCCAAATACTGAATCTTGAATGGCAAGATGTTTGAAATTCCCTCTGCCTGCAACCATGCAGCAATCACTGCGGATGAGGAACCGGAACCAGTGACTGGATAAGAACCAAATTAAGAATGCAGGAGTTGATCAAGTCAAGCCACCAAGGCACCTGGGATCCTGGGTGTAGGTGCAACACCAGTTGGTTGAAAGCTGCCTTGCTGTTAGGGTTGGCAAATTGATGGTTTCCATCCATTCACCCCATTGGCAGTGAAGACTGTCTTTTGATAGACTGCAGCAATTCATGCCATGGACACCCACCGCTCATGAGCAAGAATTGTTGAGAAGCTTTTCTCCCATCCATGGAAGAAGATTGTGCAGAAATCTCCACTCAAGCATCGCTATCACATTGCAGATGCTGCTTGAGGATGTATAGAAATCAATGCTGGGATCCAGAGGTGTGGCAAGTTGCGTCCATCGTTGAGTTGCAAGCTCTTGTTTGGGCACGTGGGCATTTACCAACTTTGCCAGATAGGCGAAAGAGAAGTCACTGTCGCATATTGGTACCTGTCTTCGTAGTTGGTTGATGCACCTGAACACTGTGGTAATTGCTTTCAGGCGTTCTGTGCCGGAGGGGATGTGAAAGGGGTTGTGAAAGAATCGATGAAAGGCAATCCTGAAGGTGCATGCAGCTTTTTCCAGAACGAGTACATGTTGGACTACCAGATATCGCAGCTTCGGAAGCCACACATCGCAGTAATGGACAGGATCACGATGGGAGGTGGTGCAGGCCTGTCCATGAACGGACCTTTCAGAATTGCCACAGAGAGGTGTGCCATACAGCCTGAAGATGCAGGCCTTCTAACTAACCTTGCAATGTTCATCAAGGGCTGTGGTTGTCTCCCTTCCAGGGCAAATATGAAAATTAGATCTTGACCTTCTGTGAGCATGTTGGATAAGCACCTGGGATAGCACGCCTTCTGCTTCTGCAGGGCATACTGTGGCCAAACTGTGCAGGTAATCTTCAGTACCTTTGTTGTTGCTTGTGCCATGCAAAACCGTTGTGATCTGAGGTGTCAAGAATTTTGTCTTTGCAGAGCAGCCACTTTTTTCACAGCCACCATAATGATTTGCCAGTAATTACGAGCGTTTCTGTTTGAAGATCCCCTTTCAGAAGACCAGCATGCGCATTTCTGAGCATGGTTGCTGCAAGGTAATAGCTAAAACAGTGTCACTGGAACTTCTACTGCCTGGTTTTGGTCCGCAGTGGCCAATTTCCCCCTGAAGGGTGTTCACCCTTGCAGCGATGTGTCCTCTGTCCTCATTTGCGGGGTTTGTCTGTTAGGACAGTTTTCGCCATGCCAGAGTGCGCCATCGGCCTATTCCCGGATGTCGGCGCCTCAAGGTTCCTCAACGACCTGCCCTACAGGATGGGAATGTATATGGCACTGACAGGAGCACGTTTGAAAGGTCAGCTTGTTGGTTAGTGTGCTGTTGTTTTGGCTATGTATCGCCCATACCATTCTGGCTCAAACAGTGCCTTCGAGTCTCACAATCGATGCCACGCAAGACACCAGGCTGCACTGCAGACTTGATCCTGCGCCCAGCTCCTGAACGTTTGGTTCACACCACATGTCCATTTTGATTGCACTGGCTGCTGACTGGCTGCATATTGATTGGCTGCCAGTCGTGCTGTGTTTGCCCCATAGGTGCAGAGGTTAAGGCTGCTGGCTTGGCCACACACTTCATCGAATCAGGGCACCTCTCCAGATTGGAACCGCAGTTGGACGCATTAGGTCCCAAAGCCCGCGACTGGAGTGTTGTTGACGCAGTGCTGAAGGAAGCAGAGGTGGGTTTGTGGCGCATAGTGCAGTGCAATGCTTTGGGCAATTTATCCATGGGCCCATGCTTGTGAGGAAGACTTAATTTAAGGGCAGCTCGGTGGTCCACCATCGAAATTTCAGGATGGTAAAGGAGGGAATCTGCAAACAGGCTCCCCATTGGTGGGATGTGGGCTTACTTGCTGCAGTACCTTGATTTGACCAGGAGCTGCACTGGTGTTTTGCCCCCATAACATTATGTTGCATCAAGAGAACAATGTCAGGGAACTGGTTACCTTCAGCCGGACACTGCTTATGACGTTTGTTCCTGGTGCACATCAGCTTTTCACAAACTTCACATCAGGATGCCAAACGCCACACCGAGCTGCACGGTGCCTCGAATACTTAGTGTCATTGTTTAGTGCTGCTTGCATTGTCTTTCCTTTTATTTCTGTTGCGGGCTATGAAGAAGAAATGTGCTTTGGGGGCAGGGGGCAGCTGACAGGAAGGGGACAGCCTTTTTTGGCTGCTGCCGTTCGCTCGCCTCTGCATATTGTATGCAATGTCTTTGCCTTGACAAATGTGACGGGTGGCATCCAACGACTTGAAATTATTGAAGCCGAGTCCTGCGTCACTCGTTTGGACTTAAAAATTGCTGAATTGAAATAAGTGCAGTAGTCATCCAGAAAGTTTTCTCTTGATCATCTGCAGGCTTTGTCCGCACACCCTCCTATGGAAGAGTTTATGAAAAAGATGAATGCTGTCAGCTCAATTTTTGGCAAAAACAGCCTGGCACAAGTTGTTGAAGCCCTGCACAGTGGAGAGCCCGAGCACAGAGAGCTTTGCCAGGAGTGTTTGAATGCGATGGGAAGGTGAGTGCTGCAGCAGAGGTACTTTATTCTGAATTGATTTTTGTAATTTCAACATTCACATGTGCAAAGGGATTCTGTGCAGCATGTCTTCATGCTGCCAAACGCACACAGCTCGCATCCTGCTGACCTCCACGAGCTGTGCAGAGCCGTCTTTGATGTTACAGGCAGGCTGCAGGGCAGCCTTGCATTTTGTTCCTTCCTGAAGCTGGCACAGTTCCATTCGTTGTTATGGGAGGTTGCCACCGGCAACCTGTCCATGTGCGAGAAAAGACGTGGTACCAGGGATGGCATTCAGTGACTGCGCTGTTTGCCCACTGCCAGGGGCTCGCCACTTTCTATGGCGCTGGTTTTCGAGCAGCTCACCCGCCTTCGCGACACCGACCTGGCGAACTGCCTTGAGATCGAATTCCGACTGGCGCAGAGATGCAGCAGGGGCGATGCGGACTTCTGGGAGGGTGTGCGAGCCGTCCTCATCGACAAAGACCAAAATCCGAAGTGGAAATACCCCAGCATAGACAAGGTGATACAGGAGGCCTGGGTCTGCAGAGCTCTTGTCTCTTTCTGCATGCACTGCATTCGAAATCTGGCCTGCTGCTCATTTCGGAATGGTACAAGCGATGGCACATGGTGCTTGAATGTGGATTTCTGTTGCCAGTATGACAAGAGCCATGCCGTTGTAATTGGGGAAGCCGCACAACAGAACCCCATTGCGCAGTTGAGGAGACTGAACCTGAGCCATTGTCCGCCCAGGTCCCAGACGACGTTGTGCAGGAATTGTTTGAGCAAAGAGCGGACTTAAAATCGCTAAATCTCCAGCCCCGGGCGAAGATGTGAAGGCACCAGCGCCTCTCGAGAATGCGAGCCGCGCTCCCCGATCGATGGACGCAAGTCGAGCTGATGCGTTTTTGAGTTCTTTTCACTGGCCCGCTCCTGTCCGACGTGGCAAGTCCTCGAGCGACAGAACGACGCCTGGCAGCGTGTCGGACACTGCAAGAGATCGTCTGATGCACACAGATTGGCCCATGACGGATTGAGAGAAGCACGTTTTTCACTGCAGCCCATGTGCTTTGGGCCGATGAGATGAATTGGACCAATTCCCGCCATCAGTTATGGCCAGGGACCGATCGCCCGCTGCAAGAGAAGACATCTGAGATTAAGGACCAAGCAATTGTATGTAGAGTCCGCGGAGGAAGGCAGCATTGCAGAAAGCTCGAGTTCGCACCAGAGGTTTAGCTTGTTGGCTGCACAGCCGGCACAAGGACAGGATCGGTTTCAGTCTCTGCTGCATAGTGGCGTGCCAGAGGGGCCAGAATGACGGCCTGTACCGCGGGGATGCTTGGGACCGCGTGTCAGGACGCCTCGATTCTATAGACTCCTTCCCAGTACATTTGCGCTGTATACCTCGTTACATGCGATGAAGACTGCCTTTTGCCAAGGAGGCAAATCATACAGTGGGGACACCTTTTGGGCATGCACTTTTGCAAGACTCAATTCCGTTGTGTAGGAGGCGGTCCTGCGCCGTGAATGCGTCAATACCCTGTGTACTGTGCAGAGCACAAGATCCAGACGTCAGGCGCACCTTTCCAGACAGTCCTGACTATCGCTTGGCCATTCGCAAGCGGCATGGCGTGAGCATTCGCGCTGTTATTGGCACACGCTTTGCACGTGACTCTGCGAGTGGCAGTCACCTCTCCGCCATGCTCATGGACACATGCGAACCCAACCCGCTGCAGGTGGCCACCCCGACCCTGGTCACACGGTCGCCACGCCGGCAATGTGCGGCGCCAGTAGGCTCAGCCCCTCGACGTCGAAGCGCTCGGCGTCCACGTCCTTGAACCCCGCCGCGCGGATGCTCGCGAGGGTGTCCCGCGTGAGGTGGCAGCCGTCCGCCAGCGCCTGCTGCAGCGGGCTGAGGACGTACTGACCTGCTCGAAGGAGGGACCCAGGGGGCCCAACGACGTGCTCTAGGAAGTAGTAGCGGCCGCCCGGCCTCAGGACCCGCCGCACCTCGCTGAGTGCCGCCTCAGGGTCCTCCACGCTGCACATCACCTGGCGCCGAAAGCAGCACTGACGAAAATTGGGAAAACGTATGAATAAACAGAATAAAGAATGGCGAAAAACGGGGTCGCGATGGCACAATCTGGCATGCAGCAAATCGGCGAACGCCATGGTTTTGGGTTGGCGTTGGTGGCGTCCTCTTCCAGCTGGCATCTTCAGCTTCACTGACTATGAAACTTCCTGCCCCATGACGGCAACATGACTGCAAGCGCACGGAGGACGTGTCGCCGAGGCACGCGCACATTCTGAAAGGATCTGCCGCATGCGTGATCGAGCACAAGACCGCTCGCAGTATCCAACTGCTGCTGCAAGCCCTGCACTGGAAATTTTTAAGTCAATCGATAGGCCAAAGGATGCTGCGCCAGGCACAGGGATCGTCTGCCGTAAGTCCCAACCACAAAGCTGCTGCGATGACCATTGGTGAGCTGACAGCCTTCAGAAATTGACTGACGGCGCTGCTGCTACGCCATCGCTTACCAGCGTTCCAACAGCAGCGTCGAATGCACCGTCCTCGAATGGCATCTCCTCCGCGTAGCCATCCACAAATTGGAAGTCACTTAGGCCCAAAGATTCCGCCGTAGCCCTGGCGTATGGGCCCATTCCATTGTTGGGGTCCAATCCCGTGACCTTGGCCTTGTGGTCCTTGGAACTGTAGTACTTTAGGTTGGGTCCTGTAGGCACACGGAATTCTTTCCGTGGAACGGCGCTGAGGCAAGTTGGTTCCATGGATATCTCCTTTGACTATACTTGTCGCAACTCAACAGACGGCAGCGATCGCGCTGTGAAGGCAATACACTGGAATCGCCCCGAATCGCTGCACGGCTCTGGAAATAGCGTGCCCTTGAAGGTGGGCAAGCGCACCAGCTGACAACTATCGTCTGGAAACCAAAGAAAGCCAGCAAAGTGCTATGCGAAAACAGCAGGAATGAGGCAAGCGCTGCAAGCAGAGGCGAACAGAAGCAAGGGGAAGAATTCAATATCAAATATGTTGAATACCCATTTCAAGGTGAGCACCGTAAGAATTGAAGAATTGAACATCAGGCAGATTGAAGAAAAATTGTAGAGGTTCAAGGGCAACTGCGCAGTTGCTCTTGAGTCTCTCTAATTTTCCTTCGATTCCTTCAATCCTCAAATTTCATTCAATCCATCAAGCGCTTCAATTTCATGCCTGCATGCAGGTATTCAAGCAGACTGGAAGGGCACAGGACACCCCTTTCGCTGGAGGAAGGCAAAGGCACTCACCAGGTCCCACACCAACTTCCAGGACCGTGGCCCCATCCTTCGCCCCCTGGAGATTGGCAAACAGCTTTTGTTTCCTGGGTGCCAGGGTCTCTTCATACGAGTCCATGGAATGGGAATAGAGGGATGCGAAAATATCGTCATACCATCGCGAACGCGGTCTGCATACTGCGCAAGAGCATGGAGCCAGAACACCTAGCAGAAAGCAGACAAGGCAGTCAGGGTGGATTGCAGTACAATTTGAAGGCCGATGACGAGTTGGCCCTCTGCGTGTCATGTCGTCCATATAGGCTTTGGTGATTCGGAAGCGCACCAGCAGCAAGATTGTCAAGAAACACGTGAGTTTGGTATTCTGCGGTGGTCCATCTTTCATGCTAAAGAATTAGTTCGATGGGGTGTTCCTCCTTTAGGAGGCTCAGTCGACATGCGACGCGCCATCTCGCCGCCATCTCGCCGCCATCATTGATTCCCTGCTCAAGCAGCTACAAAACCTTCCATGGCATCTAACATGGCATGATGGACGTTGTCAACATTCTACAAGTCACCAAACAGCCATGAAGTGAGAAGATTGACGTCAAAAACACAGTTGCGGCCAAATGATTCTGTCCGGTTCAGTGCATGGTACATGCTAAGCATGGTTTTCAGCAATTTATCTAAAAACACACATAAGCTGCGAGCTGACCATGGGGATGCTCCGTTGAAGCTTCGTTTTCACCCATTTTATTCGTATTGTTGTGTCTCAGGATCCCTGCTAAATTGCCTTGAAATAATTGAAGGGAAGGTGGGGTTGTTCCCTTGTTGTCTCGTCATTATCGCCTTGTCTGCTTTGTAACAATCTTCACATATACTGATTGAAATGGGCAGATCCTTCCCAGTGGTATTGAAGGTGACGGGGACTGGTGCAGCCGGACCGATGCTGCCCAAACATTTATTTCGGTTGAGAGCGATGAAGCAATCAAGCAATCAACTTGTCCTTCCATACAGCCAAGGAACTAGCCAATATGCCAGTAGCAATGTGGGATAAGGAAGGAAGGCTTGGCTGCTACACTGGCTGGAAGAACTTGCTACAATAATATGGAGCCAAAGATCTGTGCAGTTGCTCTTTGAGGCTGTCCAGTGGTGCAAAATCCTCTAATCCTCTGAAAAGAAGTTGCCAAGCACAAATTATGTCTACAGCCACCGTTCACTCCCTATTTCCTTGTGCTCCCTATCCCTTCATTCCCTATTCCTTGTGTTCCTCAGAACCAGCAACGAATGCACTTTTGCATAATAGAGAAATTCCACAGTGGTTGAAGTCTGTTTATTGTATACATCCAGTGAAGGTGTGAGCAGCCGTCCTACCGAGTGCAATGGAATGTGAACTCCAACAGACCCATTTTGATGGAAATTCTGCACACTGTCCCCCCTGGGCCTGCTGCACGCAGTTTCCCTGGGGATGTTTTGTCAGCTGTTTGGTGACCTGCAGTACTTCATAAGCACAGTTGTACAACCTTTGGGGTTTTACGTCACCTTGTGCTGGTTGCTATACGGCACTATGCCCATATCTCTTCCACCAGGCTGGGAGTGGCACCCGCATTTTTGAATGTGATGTAAGAGTTAGGCATGAGAGTCCATTTTGTGTGAATGTATTCCGATGAACACTTGCAGGGCCCATGTGTTGGACATCCACAGAATTCCGTAGCATTGGCAATGTTTTCAGGTTATCCATCAAAATCGTATTCTCTTGGCTGAGGCTGGCAGGAAAGCACAGGACCATGATGGATGATGACTAGCATGTTGGTTCAGCACGCCACTGCTCCCAGATTCATAGTCAGTGATAAGTCACTGAAGAGTGTCGGCAATGTTGGTATGTAGCAACTTTGTACTGACAGTGATGGGGGCACATGCTTGGCAACGCAGTGAAAAATAGCAAAACACACACATTCCCCTAAAACGGCGAAAGAGTTTTCTAGTTAGGCACAAATACCAACAGCTGCCTAATAATCCCATGGCTGCAACCGCGCTGTACAATCAGCATTGCCAACACGATGATGGTTGCAAATTCCGCACGCACAGATGCCACCAAAACATCCACATCATCGACATTCAGCCGCATACTGTGTTGGCAACGACAAGCTATGATGCCATGGAAATGCGACTGAGCCCCCATGAGCGTCGCATTGGTAGGCAGGGCGCGTGCCATTGAGATTGCCAACGGCGGAACCGATAGGCGAAAAGCAAGATTCCTGGACGCTGATGGCCACTAACGCCATTGCTGCCCTGGGCAATCCAAACCAGGGTCGACACCCTACCAGCAAGTAGCGTATCCCGCCTCGATGGAGGAGGATTGGCGTGATTATGGCAGCACAGGATGACCCGTTGCCTTCTGCCTTTAGGAGTCCCGACTCTAGAGCAAAGGCTGGTGCCAGGCCTTAGCCTTGTGGCGGATAACGAGTCGGCCGCGCGCATTGTGGTCATCGCATCGGGGAACAGGCCAGCCATCGGGCGCGATACAGTGGGACGCATGTTGCCGTGTGTTTTGCCGCGATCGTTTTGCCGTGTTCATGCCGCAACCATGCACCAGGACCAGTGTTAATGGACCCGTGAATTACATCTCATTTGCTCATGCACCAGTGTAGAGTTGGGCCGCCGACTGGTTCGCTGCCACAGAAAAGAAGCTGTCCGCTGGTGGCGGCCTGGGAACGAGCTGGAGACATCGGAGTTATTGACAAATCCCAAACAAAGAGGGCATTTTGCTGCCAGGCCATCCTTTTTCAGTCCACGAGTCATGCATGACTCGTATGCATGACTCGGACACCATATGATGCTGTGACGACACAGGCTTGCGGTCTGCCGTGAAGTTGTCGTTATGCTACGGCGAGTCATAACGCTTTCGCGTCAGCGGTTGGAGCCATCGCAGTAAACACACAACACCACACTCATGGAGGCCACCATGCACATTGAGTGCAGACCACCAGGCTCGTGTGCGGGTGGGTGGGTTTCGTTTGCTCAGAGTGCATTCGCGATTCGCACCTCGTTCTGGTGGCGGTCACTTGCCAAAGTGCAACGTTTGGTCATGCACCAGAACGCTCACGTGATTGCAATATTGCAGCCCAATTGTGCTGACGCTGCTCCTTGTCAATCTTGGCGCATCTGTAGACGAGCTGCTAGTCCGCCAACATCGTTGTCTCCGTGTCTATTACAGGACTTTGAGTCAATATTGATATTGAATGTGTGAAGTCATTGAAATTTAGATGGCGGTCGATGTTAAAGCGCAGAACTGGATTGGACTCTTTTTCCGTTCGTTCAGACCTCACCCCGAAGGATCACGCTGGTATCGGACAAGATATTGGTAAATTGTATGCCGCACTTAATGCGGGTCTGATTGTGTCATGGTTTGAAAGAGAAACGCCGAAATTCATGCTGTTTGGTGTGCAAGAATGTCGCCCGAGGCAACCATTTCTTGAGTGTGGCTTTGATCTTTACTTCCTTGGACAGTAAACTCGATTGTCATAACTAATAGCAATCGAGATTAAATTTAGAATCACGACATACTCTGTATCTGTTGCATGTGACACAGAATTCTTTCTCGAACTGTCTTGACGCATCATGCAGCAATTTCGGTTGACAGTGCTACATGCTGACAAGCGCTACCCGCAGCACCCGCCTGTGTGCAGTGCCGCGAACGCTGACGCAACGCCCCAAAACCGACGCTCCCAGCCCATGTACCCGGGTGTGCTCATCAACACCGGGCACGCTCGTCCCGGAACAGACCGCCCCATACAGCCGCAGTGACAAGTACGGAGACAGATTAGGATAGGCGCTTGGGCTGTAGGGCCGGGCGTTTCGGGCGTTCGGTCTTAGGGTATTTATGGGTGTGGTCTCCGTACGGGGGGTAGGCGTCACACCGGGTCGTCAGTAAGCCCGGGCATTGCGAGGCGGGCGCCTTTGTTGCCCATTGCCGGCTCGCTGTGGGGAGTTCACCGTCGTTCCCGCCTACCAGCGGCAGCGCCAGCGCGTCGGGGCGGCGACCCACCCCCGTGGCCTGCCGACGTCGCCGCGCCACGGCGGCCGGACCACAGGACTCTGAACCGGTGTGCCGGGCGCGGTTCGCACCACGATGGCAGTGGAGGGGCCCGATGCCCACCAAGCCGACCCTGAGGCACCAGCGACCGGCCGGCCGACGGATGCCGGCAATGCGGGGCAGGTACTCGGCCGCGCAGCGGGGCGCACGCTAAGCATATGAAAAATGTGAAGGGACAAAAAGAGGAAAATGGCGAGCCGCCTGTCGCGGTCGTCGACCGTCTGTTGACCCATTCTGCCTCAGTCCCCAGGGCAGATCGACGTCGACGTCCGTGAGGGGCCGGGGGCGCCGGCGCGCAAGGTGTCCGTGCTCATCGACCGGTCGGAGGAGCGAGGAAAGGCGTTCCTCGGCGGCTACCGGCGCGCAGAGGGGGGCGCGGTGTACCACCACGCGGCAAGCCAGACGGAAAGAGAGGGCAGCGGCGGCGCGGTCGAGCGGAAGCTCTGCAGGGAGACGCAGACCGTGGACACCAAAACCAGGGGGAGCCAGAGCCAGAGGGAGGCGTTCACGCAGATGGAGCGCCCCGGGCTGCTGCTCGACGACGGCGGGGACGTGGTGGTGATGCCAGGTGGGCGGCTCCCACGCGGGGCCCTGCCCGGCCGGCGGGAAGGCCGGGGCGATGCATCCATCCCCTGCCAAGTGAGTGTGGCGTTCTGGCGGGCGGGGAGGGGTGGGGGCGCTGGGGTCCGTGTTCCTTGGGGCCGGCGGACGGGGCGGGATGAGCAACACACCGACTTGGCCCTCGGCGCGTGAGCCGAATGGAGGGCTGCGCAGGGGGATGCTGTGGGCCAGGAATGGGAAGGAATGGATTTGTGAACTTCGAATGGACGCTGTTTGCCTGATGAAAATGTTATAGATACTATTATTATTGTATTTTCTGCGGAGCTTGTAGCACTGCTGCAGGGAATGGCACCCTCGATGGGCGTCAACATCTTCCCAGTGAGCACCAGGGAAACCACTTTACGAGAGATTCTTGTGAGCGATCGGCTTGGTGCTTTGGTGCTGTATCAACGACTTGGGTCCAGCGTTCATGGGCACCTGTGGACAGCTCTTGGCAACGGTTGTTCTTGCACAGCAGAACTGTGCAAAAGCAGAATGTTAGTGAATGTCTCAGCATGATGTTTCAGCACAACGAATGGAAAATGCAACTGACCATGTAACTTAACATTTTTCTCAATGCATGGGAACCATGGGCCCCATCCCCACAGGTAAATGCAGAACACAGCTAACGTTCTGGAACAGGAGGTTGCCTTCCTCCTGTAAATGTTTTGGCATGCCTATAAACAACGGAATGGTATCTGCAACAGGGGTGTATGTGGATTCCAAGCAAGTTGCGTGTGCACAAGAGTCAGCTGCGGTGATGATTCAACGCTTCGCACGAGGAGCAGCAGCCAGGAGACGAGCCAGACGGCTCCGCAAGTTGAAGCAAGAGCGGGATGAGTTTGCTGGCGAGCTGGTGAGCGGGCATCGGGAGTGTGGACGGCTTCTTGTCAGGATCGCTGGGCTTTTGCAACTCCTCCATTCTAATGTTGTCTCTTGGTGATGCAGGAACGCCAGCAGCAACATGAGCAGGAAGAGAAGAGGAAATATGCTGTAAATCGGCGAATGCACCCAAGGACGCAGGAGGATTTCGATCTTCTACATGAGGAACTGGAGGCGTGGAGAGTTCAGGTAACTGGTGGGCTCCATGTGCTATCCAGGCCGTTTTGGTTTCCATAGGCAAGTTCTGTAGCAGTCTTTCTGCTTCAAGGAGATTTTGTTAGCAAGATTGACATTCGACTTTTAAGACCAGAATATGTTGCAATATGGACTGCCTTCCTGGCTGGTGCATTGCTGCTGTGACCGCCATCTTGACATTGCTGAAGTAGCAGCCGATATGGAGTCCCAGCATGGCAAAGCCAGCGACTGCTTGAACTGGATTTGAAGATGGCCAGTGATCCGCCGAGTAAAGTTTGCAACCTTTGAAGCATGAAGTGCATATTGGATCTCAAAATATTGGTTGGGGTTTGCTGCTCAGGAAACAAGAAAGATTAAGGATCGTGGGATGGACAGCGAAGAAGAGCTCGCAGCCCTTCAGCAGCTCCTTCACAAAGAGACGAAGCTGCTGCAGACAATCGATCGGTTGAAGAATGTTGCAGATACTGAAAACAGGGAAATGCATGTGCATGCCACACTGAGCCGGATGTCAGAGCCCAAGAGCTGGGACCTCAGCAATGGGGCAAAGGTGCTTGTGCACACACCTTTCACAACAAGGGCAAAGCAAATGATGCAGTTGTACTTCGCCACGACACTGCCCTTGGTGTCCATTGAAGAGAGGATGGATGTGCTCTTGCATGTGAAATGGACAGCCAAGGAATATGACTGTGAGCTGACAAGGCAGCTGGTCAATCTGATTGATCGAGAGGCTGATCTTCTGAACAGGCAAGTTGGAGATGTCATGTTACATTAGGAGCGACGTACGAATGTTCTGAAGTCTGGTGTTGCTCTGTCCTTCACAAGACAAAGCAGGGCCCTTGCCCCTTTCAGACGATAATGGGCATATGCACATCCACAGCATTTGCTGTTCTTTGCTCCTCCTTGCCTGTGTACATGTTTTTTCTTGTGCTGGTGGCGTGACATTGTTTTTGTCGCAGGCAAAACATGAGCGGACAGACGGTGTAACAAAAATTAGTTTCGGGGGGACTGCCTCCTATTTGTTTTCAACCAATATCCAGCCACTGCCATGTCAAGATTCAAGATTCGTCTGAACGCGAGTTCGTCACGTCGCGAAATGCCGAAATCTCGCTTGTGGCTTGGTATTCATGTTGCACCATGAGGGATGCAAGCAACGGTAATGCAATTCGACACATGGCGTTACTGGTGTACGGTTCGCTCGTATGCATGACGGCAAACGGTTTCCCCTGCATCCTGGCGCCCTTTTCAAGTGGAGGCGTGCCTAATGTGCCACCCCTGAGGTCGATAGTTGCCCACGGCGCTGCAGCGCCAGAGTCGCAAATCTCTCAACCCCAAAACTCAATCCACGAGTCCTGCGAGAGCCCTGTTAGTGTTTCAGCTGGTGTTCGTTGGATACATAGCAGGAGAGAGGAGGTGCGCGCCATGGCTTTGTTGCAGACACAATACCATTTTCATCCAATTTGTGAGGATGGCGCGAGTGTCCGCGTATTTAACACCCATCACAGAGATCTCCCTGGGGCAACTGGGGCTGGTAGAGCCGTGGTTTATCTCCAAATGGTCGGCTGAATGCTGGGGGAGATGGCAGACTTGAGTACGTTGATCGCATCGTTGACATTTTGCCTCATTTCAAACGTGTTTATTTGTTGAGTATTGTGTCTCAACATTGTGCCATGTGCCTAAAGTTTCGGCCCGAAACCGGACCAAATAATCGTTTGTTTGCAATTGGGCTTTTGGAGGGCCATTTCGTCGGTGCAAAGCTCAGCAGACGTCCAATGTCTGCAGGGGGAGGAACCAAAAGACGCTCGAGGGCTTGAGGAAGAGGATCAGCAACACGCTGCTTGACTTCATCGAAACCCCGGAATTCAATCCCGAGGCCTCCAGATTCGTGATTGCAAAAGAAAAGCCAGATGCTTACATCTACGCCCATGTGGGCAGTGCAACTTCACTGGAACAAACATGGAAGAAGCCGTTGTACAGCACAATTTAAATTTCAACAGGGACTGCAGTGTACCGCTTGGGTGTGGCTGTGAACTTCCATCTTTCTCCAATCGCGCGGCACTGCACCCTGCTATGGACAGCGGCAGCATTGAGTTTCGCTTTCGGAACTGTTGTCCCCGCATGGCAAGTAACGCTGTCGCACCTTCACGGCGATGACCGAAAACAAACAACAAGGGCCTAGCCGAGTGAGGCGTGCGTTCCTTACCAGGGACACACAGCATGATGTCCGCACTCCGATCCAGCTTCCACATGAGTTCATCGATATAGCTTGATCAGCCAAAGGGCCGGCAGAATTTGCAACGGCGTATTGCTTTGGGAAACAGCGCAGCCCAGCACAATGTGGTGTTCCACATTGTGTTGCTTCTGATCGATACTAGCAGCCCTCGGATAACGATTTTCTGATCAGAGAGACGTGGTTGAGCTGTGGCAATGTGCCAGGCACTCAGGGTATGGATGGGTGCCACTACTGGCTTCTGGCAGTCGATCCCTTAGCAGTCCCAGAACCGTTGGTGCCAAAGACATGATTGAATCGGGTTAAAGGAATAACCGCAGTTTGGGCACGATTTCAAGAAGCCAAGACGTGGTTCAAAATGGTAACCTTGATACGTTGTCTGTGAGCACCTGTACACCGCAAGGATCCAACACCGCACGTGTATTGTTATGTGCCGCTGGCTCCCACTCTTGCAACAGTGATCGTGTAGGTTTGTGGTTAATGTGTAGAATGGTCTATTGTTTGCTTTGTGAGTCTCCAAGAATCCTTGTTTCACAGTTCATATTTCATTCGGTCAGCGTTCGCCAAGCGCCAGTTTGGGTTATGATATTCTCATATCTGAACTGGAGGGACTGCGCCATACTTAACTTGCCGATCGTGTTAGTCGGGCGCGAAAAAAATCCTGTCAACTAGACATACACAACCTACCTACCCTCACTCGTCCTAGTCGGAACACGGGCCGTCCGAGAAAAACTATGCCCCTCCAGAAACAGCGCAACTCTTCGTCGGTTCATTTGTCCACTTCGAAAAGGGCTCAACTTTATTCAGACGACCAACAGTGCTGTTTTCGTACTTCGGCACATTTTGCGTGTGGGTTTGGCAACACCGCATTGCACCTCAATGTGGTGTTTGGAACAAGAAACACAACATTGGATGAGATTGGATGCCCGGGCGCGAACACCGTTGCTGCTGCACCGTTTTGTGTACAGCGTACAGTGCACGCTGCAGTGTACACGGTACTCTGTACACTAAGTTTTCCACATCCTGCCGCCTGAGTGGGAACCCACAACCTTGTGCAAACTGCACCCTTGACCGCGGTGCAGCCCGCCGCCTGCCCTGTTCGGCCACCCCCACCGCCTGGCCCCACAGCCGAAGCGCGCCTGCGCTCAGCCTCCCGTCCGCAGGGGCGCCATGCCAGACAAGGCAAGTTCGCTTCATGCTCGCGACGCGGTCAGAGAAGCGTCGGCCGTCGTGACGACCTTCCACCAACGCGCGTCCGTGCGCCGCGCTTTGCCAGGGGGACAAGAAGAAAAAGAAGAAGGAGAGGGAGGATGCGGCGCCTGAGGACGCCCCGCCTCCTCCCCCTCCGATGCCAGGCGAAGATTTCGCGGTGGTGAGTTGCCGCCGCTCGGGGTCCCGCGCGCGCCTCTGTCAGCGGGCCGCTGCTGCCAAAGGCGGCGGCGGTGTGCATTCTGCGGCGTGGAGACCTGAGCGTCTGTGGAAGTTGCATGGGCGTGCAGAGTCGCTGAGGTTCCCTTGTGTTGCGGTGAACGTTGAGAGAACAGCTTCGCCCCAGCTGCACTGGTTGCAAGAGCGCTTCGGCTGGAAAGTCCGGTACCCTGGGCCACCAACGAGACGCCAAAGAATTGCACAGGGTGCAGACTCGAGGCCGTTCTGCGAATAGGCAGCCCACGTAAAAGAAGTGGCCGATATGCATAGGTGCCATGATTTCCAGCACAGGTCTGCCATTGGCAACAGCCCGCTGTGGATTTGGGACAAAGGAAAGTTTATTGAGCTTAATGTTGTGGTTGTGAAGCCCACGAGGGAGATCGTGAAGCCAGACTGCCAATTACAACTGACGGAGCAGGAGCTTGCTGAGGAGATTGCTAAAATGTTGACGGCAACCAATCCTGCTGCTGCAAAGAATATTGCACGGTTCAATATGAAGGAGCGGTGCTACAAGTTCGAGCCCATGGTGGAACAGACAATGGTGTGTTGTGGCCAGCCCTTTCATGTCTGAGTTTGCGTACTTTCCATTTCAGGACAGCATCCAAACTGCCTACTTTGTCTATTCGCTGTTGTGACACAAACTGGGTATAGAGCATTTGCATTGGCAACTTCTGTGAATAACAAGCAACACAGCTAGCTGTGAGGCCAGTCAGCACCACCGATACAGTGTGTGTGCGTTTGTGTGCCTAGCGTAGCCAATGTCAAGACAGTCTGAACCCACCAACCATTGCCCCATACTCGACAGTTTGCAGCCTGAAGCCCCAGCATTCCTTGTAATCAAGTGCTTCAGGTGCCAGAAGTTGCATGCTGGAACTTCTGACCAAATTCCATTCGTACATGTTATCAACCCACAACGTCGATCTGGTGTTTTTAGGCAGGTTTGTCTGTTGGGATCTCATAACAGCCCATCGATGGCGCACAGGTGCACTATGCAACAGACGGCTGGTTGTTGCACAAAGCCAATGACGAGGCCAAGAAGCAGATAGACATGGAAAAGCTGCAAGAAGATGCTCTCATGAAGTTTCAGGCTGAGATGGACAGGGCAGTGTCCGAAAAAAAGGACGAAGGCGTCGAAACAGAGCCACCCGACGACAGCAGGCAGCTTCGAAATCAATTCAACTTCAGCGACAGGGCAGCACAAACCTTCAACAACCCAATGAGGGAGCGTGCAACCTTCACAGAGCCACCTCCCACATCGGCAATGGCTGGTCAGTCCACAGCCCTCAAATACGCTCGGCCTCACAGCGTGCCTTGCAAGCTGTGCCTCTGCAGGGTTTGTGCCACTTCGAGGAGCACCTCAAACATGCACATCAAAGCAGCAGCGCAATTTGGGTGTTGTTGAGGATATACAGCTTCCAGAAGACATCAGATACACGGCAATGCTTGTCGTTCACGCCACAATGCCATCGCACCGCTCGCGTGCCGAAAGAGCTTGTCACGAATAGTCAAAATCTGCCACGCTGCCCTGATTGACAGCGACTGGCAGAATCCAATCCGTGAGTTAGTTGTTGGCTAAAGCCGAAGGGGCCAGAGAATGTGATTGCTGGCCAGTGCGCTCATCAAAAGAAGCCACATGCTCCGGTCTGGTTGGAAGAGCCGCCTCTTGTTTCTCCTCCATCCTGCAGGTAGTCAGTTCTCAGAAGTTTGTGAGCCCAGGACAGCCGAGCAAAAAAGGGAAAGCATGGATTGGATCAGGACTTGAGCAGCGCTCAGCACCGAGTTCCGCAGCACATTGGTCGAAAGCACTTGAATTAGAAAATGCATAATTGAATTTGTTACTCCTCACATCACAAATCCAGATGCGTGTCACCTACACACTGGTGCCATTATGTGGGGGACACGCTCTTCATAATACCCATCAAGAAAATCGCTGCTTGTCATCAACATCTACGGCTTCTCTTCCCCAGCCACGAAGCACTTGTAAGTAGTTCGTTCATTTGACACTGTTACCAGCTACCGCTGCGGTTGCTTGTAACACTCTCCCTCAACATTTGGTGCAGAGCTTGTGGTTTGTCATGCGTCACAAGAACAGTCCCAACAATCCCCAAAGGCTGCTCTCCACCGCAGGATCAGTCTCACAATGGGAAATATACGACCAGTACATTCAAGACATCGAGAGGCAGAAAGTCCAGGAGGAGATCAACAAAGCAAAGGCAGCCGCAAAGAAGGGTGGCGCGGTGCCTTCCCAGGCCCCAAAACCCTCCGCAGAGGAGGAAGACGAAAACAAAGACACCTCCAATACCATTCAAGGGCCAGAGATGAGCCGCGCGGCTCACGTGCTGGAAAGGATGGTCAACCAGAACACATTTGATGAGCTGTCAATGGACTTTAAGTACTGGGATGACGCAACGGATGCACTTCGGTGAGGCAAATCAAATCAAGCAATATTGTCACCGGTGCAGTCCGTTTTGCTCGCAAGCATCGGCAACACATCGCCAGCAGCGAATTCGAAGAAGCAATAGTTGTGCAAAACAGTAACCAAATAAAGGACATTGTTCAATAAGGAAAGAACCATTGGTATAAAATTAAAAACAGGGCTGCCGCGTGCGCGCTGCCGTAGAACATGGCTTCCTTGCCTTGGAGGCCAAGTTGGGCGGCCCATGCGCATATAGCAACTAATGAAATTTTCTGAAATTGCACGGCGAGCATGACTGCCCAACGAGGGAGGGAGCCAAAGGCGGATGATGCACACTGCGTTCTACATAGTAGATTCACGCTGATGGTCGCAGCTGCGGCCTGTTGCCAGAAAGGGAAGCCTGAGAGTTCGTTGATGATTGCCAGTGAATCGGGTCGCAAAGCCCTTTGAAGTCCTTTCATGTGTTGGATTCATCCGCGCAGTAACCCTGGCACTGACAACAGCTAACACCAAAAAGCAAGAGCCAAGCGGCCGTGGCAGCTGGGGGCGTGGCAAAGAGCTCGCTGGCTTGCTAGGTTATAAGAACGTCAAAATTCAATATCATTAAAAGTAGGAATTGCTCAATACAACGAACATAGATTGCCGCCGCTGAACGGGGAGACATTAGCGGAAAAGGGACCAAGTAACACTTTTCGCCAACACAAATATATGCATTACATTAGTGTTCTGCAGGCTAAAACTACGAAAACAGCACAAACCCGTAAACTTTGTACACGTTTTAACACGTCCTATTTGGCCATTTTCTTCCTAGTCAGAGATACACTGAGATAAGGGATATCTCGCCAACTGAAAAGTCACTGCAGCGTGACGTCTTGCCTTCATAGACATATGGGATTTGGACCAATCCATTCGAAGGTCCCACGTCAATTTGAAAAATTCACTGCAGAGATGCGTCCTGTGGTATTCCTGACCGGAGGGACTTGACCCATTCTGATTTGAGGCCATCGGCCGCATTTGAGCTGCAACCTCGGCCCCATGCCCAAGACACATCTCCCTCAGCCCACCCTGTGCTGGCAACAGAGAAGCGGAGGGCACCCTGCTGCCCCTGTGGAAATTCTCCAACGAGATGACCAGGCGGCGGCACGTCACATCCCTTTGCTGGAACCCCCGGCACCTCGACATGTTCGCTGTGGGGTATGGCAGCTACGACTTCCTCAAGCCCAGCAGCGGCCTGATCTGCATCTACTCCATGAAGAACGCCTCCTACCCGGAGTACACGTTCACCACCGATTCGGGCGTCCTGTCCGTGGACTTCAACCCCGAGCGCGACAACCTGCTGGCTGTGGGGTGCTACGATGGCTCGGTGCTTGTCTTCGACGTGTCCAAAAAAATCAACAAGCCAGTGTACCAGTCGACCATAAAGAACGGCAAGCGAAGCGACCCGGTGTGGCAGGTGTGCGGTGAACCATTTGGTTGCAGCGCCTGAGAGCGGCTGCACACGTTCTACACGCGTAAGGCCACGCCCAGTGCAATTCTGCGGCCTGATTGTCCAAAGTTCCATCCTCACAAACGCCAGAGGCCCAGTGCAGCAGGTGTGGTGCAAGCCGCTGGAATGAGCTCTTCTTCGGAGGAGTAGTTTGGAGCCCTGAATGTTGCAGCGTTCCACAGCATCCATTACATGACGCGACGGGTTCCTTGGTTGTGGAAGGTGTCCTGGCAGCCAGACGAGAGCTCCAAGCTGCCTCAGTTCTATTCCGTCTCCAGCGACGGGCATGTGGACTTGTGGACGGTGACGAAGGCGGAGTTGATGCACGAGGAGGTCCTGAGCCTGAGGATGGTGCCGCGTGCGGGGGACGGTGAGGCGGGAGGCGAAGCTCGGGCGGGGAGCCTGGCGAGGGGTTGCTGCTTCGATTTCAGCAAGGCAAGGAGCACCGGCGGTCCCATGCGTTCACTGAGCTGCGCAATTTCGTTGGGTAATCGTCCACGTTGCCTATTCAGTGAGACCTCTACTGCACATTTCTTTGTGTCACACTTTTTCTGCCCTTATATTCTTTGAAGGCATTTTGGCTACAGCACGTGGACGCATTGCGCAATTTGATGGCAATTACCACTAGAGTGGCTAACCGAAATTTAGATCAGGGCAGATCTGCTGTGACACGTAGAAAAGTCTTCAGTGCGATGCATTGTGATTCCGACTTGGTCACAGCTTATACAAGGACAGTTATGATTGGTATCGCAATAATCGATACAGCCACATTTATGTGAGGCCAGCTTGCATGCGCGTTCACTAACGATCGACTAGATATTGCTCTGGCGATCTTCATCACCATGCAAGGTACCTCTATGGACATGCGCCAAATTGTATCATCTCAATCAATGCACTTTTGAACCCAAACACTCGCACGCAATGGAACATTGCGGCAAGTCGCGTATACCATCGCCAATCCACCTACGGCTGACCAAATAAAGCTGCTCCCCTCGTCTATTATCCAAGAGCAGTTCCTGACGGGTTCAATCGCGACCAGGCCAACGCCTTCATCTACCTCGTGGGAACGGAGGAGGGCCGCATCCACGAGTGCTCCAAGGCCTACAGCTCGGAGTACCTGAACACTTTCGACGGCCATGGCATGCCCATATACTCCGTGAAGTGGAACTACATCCACACCAAGATGTTCCTCACCGCCTCCGCGGACTGGTCCGTCAAGCTGTGGAACAGCACCTCCCCGGAGAAGAACGTCATGGCCTTCGACCTGGGAAGCCCCGTGGGGGACGTGGCCTGGGCGCCGTACTCCTCAACAGTTTTCGCGGCCGTCACTGACGAGGGCAAGGTGCACGTGTACAACCTGTTCCGCAACAAGCACGAGGCAATGTGCGAGCAGAAGATCATCAAGAAGGGGCGGCTGACCAAGCTGGAGTTCAACCCCAGGCACCCCATCGTCATCGTGGGGGACGACAGGGGCTGCGTGACGTGCCTGAAGCTGTCCCCCAACCTCAGGATGACGTCACAGCCGGAGAAGGGGCAGAATTTCGAGGAGATGGAGGTGCAGAAGCTGGACAAGGTGATTGAGGTGGCGCTGAAGAGTGTTGTGGGAGGCGAGGGGGGTGAAAAGATCTGAGGCTCGGAAAATGCGAGTCTGTGTGTAGATTCAGTTGAGAAGTCGGGCCGGACTCGACCTAATGGTTGGATTGCGAGCGTTTGGACGAGATGCAGAACTTGCCAGGCAGCATAGGCATTGAATAGTTATTTAATACACTGAAAGAGTGATAGATAGAAATGACGTTAATGCGGGGGGCGCCGCGAGTCGGACATAAGTCAATATTTGGGCGACATGCACACCATGGGGCAAGACAAGCTGCGTGGCTGGTGTGCCCAGTGGTGTCTTCAAGACTTCCTTTGTTTGCAGCTTCCGGGAAATTTTCTATGAGGCTGGAGGGACGATGTACCATCCATTTCGAAGATGATATGCAGAAACAGCCATCAAATTGATGGCCGTTAGCGAATCTTTTTTTGCAATGATACTGAGATCTCTGCAACATGAATTTGGTAAGCTTGACAAGCATTGTGATCAGGCAGTGGGGTGTCACATCGAATTGCAAATCCGGCATGAATTGCAGGGAACATGAATTCATGCCGGGTGCAATTACTACTTTGTGAGCCTATGGATAGAATGAAAATGCAGCAAGAAAGCCACAATACAAACTCATGGAGATGGGAAAGGCATAGCCACTGGTGATTTTGCTCTTGATGCTTGACATGGATGAGCGGCAACTTCAATATAAGATATTCGATAATGTATTGGGGTTCAGCAGTGGCGGATAGTAACCTGGACGATACAGCATCAGGTCTATTATCTTGATGGAATTTAGGGTTGTCGCAATCCATGTACAATATTCAGTAGCGGCGATCTTTGCACGACGGTGTTTGCTGCGCTTCGCCCGCGAACACCTTATCCTATGTGTCACCCTGGAGCACGCCGTAACGGCCGTTTTGCCTTTCCACACGCCAGAAATTGTGGCAAACTCTTGACCAAAATATCCCCACAGGAGATTTGAAGCTTGGCCAGGCATCAAATGACCAACGGTACTTTCTTAATGCACAGAATGGTGCCTGGATCCAATATGTTGTCTGTTTTGCGACTCTCAAAGGACTTTTGTTTGCAGTTCACGTAGTTTTACACCGCTTCGACTTCCGCCTGTACTTATGAACTATTTGTGGATTCTGATGACGTGGAAAGTGCGTCAGCAGGCGCAACTGTTTGAGGTGCCATTGTATCCAGAAATTCAGGCAGAAAATGTTTGCCAATGGCGGCTGGGAAAACACCCACGAGCGGCGCCGAACTGGGGAGTGTGCCATCAAAGGGCCGCGGGACAAGGAGAGCTTCGTTTTCTTTTGCAAGGCAGAGCGGTTGTGAAAAGATGCATCCACCCAATATCTGAAATGTCCACTTCGAGGCGGCTTTCATATCAGAATTGGTGCCCCTCAGTTGCTGAGTACTGGCGTCACAGTAATCGGTGTTCTGAGGATCCGTGAGTCACACATGGAGTCTCGGCAGGGAGGCCAGTCCCTCGCACTCGTGTCAGCGACGCCCCCGGCGGGGTGATGATCACTGTGAGTAACGCTTTTGAAAAGCGGTGAAAAAGACGCTGCAAACGACAGGCCTTTGGTCGTGGGAGTTTCGGAGGCATTAGGCATTGCTCGGACGCACCAGGCGTCCGTTTCTGTCACTGGTCAATAGTTTCGGTTGGCCCGGTGCGCGAGGGGGGGCTACCCATCGCGGGGGGGGGCGCCATGAGGGCGTGCATGCGCGGGGCCCAGCGCGGACTCAGACACGCCCAGCTTGCAAACTGCAGGAGGAAACTCACCACGCGGCAGGTGCGACCAGTTGGCCTGCCCCTGAGCATGTCCCACACTTGCGTCCTGTGGACCCCTCTCAGAGGCTGTCCGCGATGGATCCAGGAACAACCGCCGTTACGCGCTGCCGGCAGACTCACAGCCACTGCGCGGATCAAATTCCCAGTTGATGGCCTCCGCTGCGCCTGCATCGATGGTTTGCTTGCGTGCGGGTTCCAGGACAACACAAGAGCATTGGCTCGGCTTGTGCGGCTTGACCCACCCCCTTTGTTCATCCCCCGATCTCCCCATTGATCTGGTTACACAGGGAGGCCACCCGCCATCCAAAGGGGCCGAACAGAAGCCCTCCGGGGATCATCAAGGGGCGAAGGCGACACCGCCGCAGGCCAAGCCGCAGACCCAGGCGGCCCCCAAGGGCGGTGCCACAGGAACTCCCGGCGGCACCGCACCTCCGGAGGCGCCGCGGGCAGGCCTGCCCCCATGGGTGCCGGTCGCGGCTGCCGCCTTCGGGTTCGGCTCCTTGGCCTACCTGGGAGTTCGCCTCGCGGCGGAGGGCCCCCCCAAATCCTTGCCCGGCTTCCTGGGAGGGCGCCGGAGAGAGCTTCAGGAGGAGGAGAGGGCGCAGGAGGCGCCCCTGGAGACTGCGGAGATGAGTCAGCCGGCAGCGTTCAGCGGAGCGGGAGAGGATGGGGCGGCCCTGGAGACTGCGGAGATGAATCAGCCGGCAGCGTTCAGCGGAGCGGGAGAGGATGGGGCGGAGAAGATGGGGGTGAAGATGCCCGAAGTTGGGGTTGGGGATTCTGGGGAGGCTGAGGAGCCCGTTGTTATCGACACGGCGCCCTTGGACCAGCTGTTTACTGAAGCGCTTGGCTTGCCCAGTGTGGCGGGACAGCAGGATGCTAGTGCTGGAGGGGTGGCAGGTGATGGGCCAGGTGAGATCAGAAGTTGCTGGTGGGCATGTTGAGATAGGGTTGATTGGACATTGTTGAGAGTTTTGGGGTGTGGATCCCGTTGTCAGTGTTGTGGGAAGATTGTTGTTTTGATGGTTTGCACTGAGCTGTGTCAAAACTGTTCTCTATGTTGTTTTCTATTTGTTGGTGTTGCTGATTGAAAGGAAGTAATGGCTGTGTGCAGATGGGCAGGCCACTTCTGCGCAAATCGTGGAGGCCTCTGAGGATTCGTCAACACCCTATGAGGAAGAAGGTTCGCTGTGTTGTTTGCTGTGTTGAGGTTCTTGCATAGGGCCTAACAATGGCTGCCAAGTGTTTGTTGCCTGGCATTGATGTCCACGCATTTGCAGCTTCACAGCAGCAAGACTGTTCAGGCATCACAATGAGCTTCTTGAACCCAGATGGCAGTTTTCCACAGGGTCCAGGAAAAGGAACAGCTTTCAGAAATGTAGAACAGATATCGCTTGTCTTACCTGTAGTTACGATGGGCTACAACCATGTTGTAGTGCACCAAGCATGCTTATCGATTCTCTCACAGTAGAGCTGCTTGGTTGTGCTTGGGCTGCTTTGGATCATGCACTCCATTCTCACAACAACAGATAGCAAAAAGCTCAGCACAAATATCAAATCTTGGCTCCATGGGGCTGCAGCACCTGGTGATCAATCACATTCAGTGTGTTCACATATTCAGTGCAGATCCAACATCAAGTCTGACAGTCGCGCTGATCAGCACCAAGCCTATGACAACCTTGCGGAACCAATGTTGCTAACAAGATGTGATCCTCACCTGCCCCAAGCTTCATTGATTTATTTTGCATTCTGTACACTAGCTCTGCTCTTCAATGCTCAAGAGGTTCACTATTTCCCATTGATGTCGAATGTTGACACCAGAGAGGGCAATGTTTTCAAGTTGTGTGCAAGGGCTGAATGTTGCATTGGTGAAAGTGCAAGTCTCAGTACCAGCCTAACAGTGGCCGTGGCTGTGATGTGCAGTGCTGATGGCGAAACCCTCTCCCCTGCCAACGCCAGCTCAAAGCATCACTGCAGATCTTGTGCAAAAAGTCATAGAACAGGGGGCTGGAGCTGGTGAAGACTGGGAGAAATACAAGGCAATGCATCAGCAGGCCACATGCGATGCTGAAACCGTCATCCAGAAGATGGCAGAACAGGAAGTGCAACACAAGGTGCTTTGCTTTCTTGACACTCTCACAGTCTGACATCACCAATACTGAGTTCAATGAGAATCTACAAGACAATCCCTGTGGATCCTAGGGCCCAACCTATTGTGTTTCACCCTGTTCGGGGTCAGAATAGCACTACTCGGTGCCAAATAGCACCGGGGGTGCTAATGGGGTGCTATTGCTCCCCAATTGTTAATGATGTTTTTTTGACGGGCGGTGCTATTCGGATAGCCGAATAGCACTGCTGGGACAGTAGCACCCACCGATACAGGGTCTTTTAGTGTTTCTTGAATCAATTGGGTTAGGTCTGACGAGAGGTTGAGGAGCTTGCACCTGTGCATCGCTCTTTTGTGCTATACAAATGCCAAATACTTCCTCCGTCCAAGATTAATTGTCCTCCATTTGAAAGATAAATTTCGTTGCCTAAACGGCTTCTAAAGTACTAATAAAGGTCAGAATCGAAAAGATTGGGTCCCAAAACCCTTGATTACCAATTTTTGTGAAAAAGTACTCAAACCCAGTACTGTTGATGCCCCCTTGAAATTGCCTAGGATTTGGCCGAAATTTGTGCATTTTTATTCGGCGTCCGTTAGAGACCCAAGTGGTTCTGGGTCGTTCCCCCCCCTCGGCGTGCCAAACCGAAGCCGTTGTCACCATTGTGGTGAAGGGTAGCATCCCTCTTGTGGTTGAGCGCTTGCCAAACACGCTCAATTGTGTTTGGATCCCCATCGAATAAGCCCATTGTCACAACATCGACGATGGTAGAAATCGCTTTCCTGCGTGATCTCCGACGCGAGGACTTGCCACAAGTAGAAAAGGCTAACGCAAAACACGCTCAAGCTTGGGCTCTGTGCGTGCTATCAATCTAAGGTTGTGCTATAGCTTTTCTCTAACATAGCACCTCGATCGATCTTTGAATCGAGGCTTTCGCGAGTGGCTGGGCCCACACTCCCAAAATTAGCACTAGCGGCCAACTTGTTTGTGTGGTTCGCAACCTTTCCCAATTTGCACAATCTCTGCTTTGTGAGAGAGACACAAATGATTTATCTGACCGTTCACCTCGCGTTCCACCTTTTCAATTGACAAGGCAAGCGTCAACTTTGCCATTCCGCCTTGGATGCCATTCCCCCAATCGTTCGCTGTTGATTAGGGTGATGGCCACATTCCTTCGCACATCTTCGAGGGTTTTGGGAGGCCTTGCGCAGTATCTCTCAAGGCCATTATGGAGTTTCGAAGGTCATGGCCTAGAAATCTGGGCTTGGAATGCATCTCGGCACTGGCCAATCGATCTCGAATTAGGTCAGCAAAGCCATAGCGACTTCCACGATCAAGCCCACCAAGACACATTTTCTACCGCTTTGCCTCTTCACAGGGATCCCTCCGAGCTTCTGTCCAAATGGCAGGGATAGTTTTGCATGGGCGGTCTTGTTTGGTTACCACAAAGTCGTGCTCTTCACCATCGCGAAAAGCGATTGTTTTGGTGACTTTGTTGAAAAACGGGTGGGTTTCTGGCGGGAGGACCCTACTACAAAATGCTGCCAAATCATCATTACTTAATGGATTGACCTGAAATTTTAACCGTATACTCCCAAAATATAGGCGTACCATTGGTGGAAGTTTCATTGAAAAATAGAGCATCTGTGATGGAGAAGTAGGGCAGCAAAATCATGGAGGACAATTATTCTTGGACGGAGGAAGTATATGATGTGTTGCTTTAGCTCATGGTGCCACAGAATGAATGCAAAGGAAATTCTGCTTGGACATCTTCAACCATTGGGGGGATCTTTGTGTGTGTGAATGTGAGTGATTCTTGAGAGAAAGAAACAACAAACCATTTCCCTGAGTTAACCTGCCACTAGGTAATGTTATGCGTGCCGTCCAGTGTTCTGTGGTGGCCACGGACCCTAATTCCAGCGACCTCTGATTACTGCCTTAGGGCATTCCTAGATCTCTGTGTGGGCACTTCTGCTAATATTTTTTATGTTTAAAGCCATTGGAATGGGCGCTGGCAGCCAAGTTGTGTGGGGAAGCAGACTTTCATCATGGTATATTGCTCAGCTCTGCCACAATAAGTCGCATTGTGGATTGGGACGCTGAGCATTGGGAACTTGATGGTGAATCATTCCATTTGGTTCTTGACTCGCTCAGCTGTATTGCAATCTATGCTTTCATCATCTGGCAGTGACGATAGGAGAAACAGAATTTGCGAGCTGGAGACCCTATTGCTATTGTACCTAGTGATTGGTGAGCCAGCAACTTAACGTGGAACTGCAGAGGTCGCATAGATTAAAATGCTGTTGCTTAATGCTGTGCCATTTCTGTGTGCAGGTGGAGACACAGCAGTTAGAATTGAAGATAGCAGAGCACGCTGCCAAGGTGGAAGATATCAGGGCAGAGGCTGATGACCAATTGAAAAAGACGCAAGCTCTTCTGGAAAAGCAGGAAGAGGTTGCGGAGCAGCAGGTGAGGAAGGAAATAGAATGCAGTAAGGATACCATGTATTGTCTTGTTCCATTCACAGGGAGAGAATGGTTGCGATTGCCACTCTTTCATGACTACCAGGTATGGTGTTTGATCAAGAACCTGCACACCTTCTGATCGTGCTGTGTTCTGCTTCCTTCATATGCTAATATTGGCTCTTGTGTCGCTTCTTGGTGCCTGTACCACAGACACGATGTGACTCATCACCTAATTGCTTTGTTTAGGATGCTGTCACTGGCCACAATGGGATGCAGAGGCTGTCATCGCCCTGAACCTGCAACATTTGGAATGGTGGCTTCGATCACCAACACACTGGTTGCCATGCTGCCCTTGTGCAATTTTCATTTTTGGTGCATCGCTCTGCTAGGAGCAAGGCATGTGAGGTGGCTTCAAGAGATGTCTTGGGATGCAAAGCAGGTGGACATTCGTAAATGAAGAATCTATGCTGAACGTGCAGTAGTCAGTTGCTGTAAGCAGTTGCTTTGTACCCAAAGCCTGACGACTGGGATACTTGACATTGTTGCAGCCCCAGCTACGGTTTTGTTGCAATAATAGTAGGGTCATGAAGGTGCATTGGACACAGTCAGGAGGAGAGAACGCATCCATCTAAGTGGACAGGTATCATCGCGTAACAGTTTGTCACTCAACAGCACTGACTCAGTGTCCTCTGTTCCATTCAGCGTGAAAACGAGCTAAAGCGACAAGCAGAGTACATGGCAGTTGCGGCATCTGAAGCAGCGGTGAAGGAGCGCACTGAGAGGATAAAGCTCATGGACCAAGTGAGCCACCATCACAATCTGCATTGAGTCTCTGTCTTGCCGATTTTGGCATCACTCTTTCCTGTCAGGATGGCGAACGTGCTGCCGGATGCCTTGCTGCTTTCGCTGTCTGGGCAGAAATCTTTTGAATGCATGCACACAATCGTATGAAAGAATAACAGAAACCTACCAGGGTTCAAAGAGCTGAGCTCCAACATCGGTGTTTGTTCATGAGCAGCAGCGTTTGCTGACAATGCGACACAAATGCTGCGTGAGGAACATTTGTCCATTGCATCAGGAACTGCAACCGGGCTGCTACTAAGCCTGCAGCTCCTGCCCTACATTTTGCGCATTTTAATACGTTCACTTGTGCCCAGGTCCGGGAAAAGCTGAACGTCCTAGAGGAGGCATTCGTTCAGCGTTCCAAAGATGCGCTCCTGAAGAGCGCTGTGCACAATGTCGCTCTCGGGGCGATGGCATTGGACCAGGCCCTGCGGGAAGGCCTGCCCTGCTCCAAGCCGCTCCGGTTCCTGGAGTCTGGCTGTGGTCAGGACCCTGTGGTGTTGTTGGGCTTGAGCGCGGTGCCCAAGGAGGTTGCCCAGCGGGGTGTCCCCACACAGACGCAGCTGCTGGATCGCTTCAAGGATGTGAAGAAGTCGGTGTTGACGCTGTCGTACTTGCCGCCAGAAGGAGGCGGGGTGCTGGCTCACTTTGCGGCGAAGATTGGTGCTGCATTGAAGGTGGGGCTGGAGGATTGCTGGGATGCTGTGCCGGGTGCACTTGGAATATCCATTCCATTACTGGCCACACCATTTTGAGTGTGGTTGCGCCCTTCCCCTCACGTAGTCGAGCTGGCTCCCAAGTCTGGCTACTGTCAATGTCTTTCAGGAATTGTGAAACCCGGGGTGGTTAAATCCTAAAGAAGTCGGGCCATGACTTCGACTTTGTCATGGCCGCTATGGGATGCGCATACAATGACAACCTGGTGCACTGCAGTGTGCTTGGTTCAGCAGACTGCAACAGTCCAATGCAGTGCTTTGTTCTGACAAGGAGCGGAGTCAGAGTCCTTTGGAAACAACAGTGGAACGCTATCTAAGCTGATATTTTGGGGTCCTCCTGCTCCTGAGGATTAGTTTTCTGCGCATTAGGCGCGTGCCACAGATGGTTGAGGCGTGACGCGCTGTTGTGTATCCGTGTTGACGCGGCACTTTGCCAGCAGTAGTGCTTATCGTTTTGTTGCCGCTCACTGCACCACCTCTGTTGGTTTCTCATCGGTTGCATTGACCACAGCATGGCGACTCGACCTTTGTCCAGCGCGGCTCAGTGCAAGGCAAGCTCCATCTTCGCCTTGCACCGTTCTATCTTGCCCCTATCACAATCCACTGCATCGCCTCAATTCCCTACCGCTTGTTTTTGCCGCACATGGCGCGCGGACACTGGGCGCGGATGTGGACGTGCCTTGCCCCAAGCGTCACGGTTTCGCCTGCTTCCGTTGCAGGTTCGCGAGGATCCGACGCCCACAGGGACACTGGACGCTGCACTTTCCCAAATGGAGGAATGGGTGAGGGACGGCCACCTGGCATCAGCGGCGCAGGAGCTTGAGAAGGCTACGGCGGGAACGGCGGCGGAGGCGTGCACGAAGGATTGGCTGGAGGCCGCGAGGTCACGGGCGGCGGCGGAGCAAACGGTGAAGATGCTCCAGGCGCGGGCGATGTCGCTAACAGTGGCTCTGTTATAGAGGCGCCGTCAGTGGGCTCGGGGGGTGCAAGGTTCGAGGGACGGGATTGGGGCAGCATGGGAGTTGGTGTAGGTGGGCCCACACCGCAGTAGGGATTCTCACTTCGCGCAGAGCATGGGGGCTTTGTGGTGTGGCCAGCACAGTTAGGCAAGCTGTAGGTTGGTGCTCGATGGAATTGGCGAATGCTGGCTATGGTTCTGGGCGATATCTCCATTGGGAGATGACCAGACCGCCCATTGCACAGGTGCTCATGGTACACTTTTGACAAGTTGGACCCATTTTATTGACGTTGAATATCCTCGACCGCAGTCGTTTGTCCAGGAAGTGCCTATCTCGACGCCATTTGGCACGCTACTTGGCTTAGTCCCAACGATCAAGCAATGCAAAACTGTTCATTCTCTGGAAAGACCTTTGCCCTTGCAGGAGGTCTAGGGCCAACACCGGCGACGGCTGTTTTCTCTAAGCTCGCCTAGATACGTTCATCCGCCAATGAGCACTGTTGGCTCGAGGAACTTGCTGGAAATTCCGCACAAGTGGTCCAGGCGCAATTTGCATGCATAGATATATACAGGCGTCATGTTCCCCATATGAAACGGCGCGTGTGTTACATATGCAGGCGCCATGCCCCGGCGCCAATGCCTCCCATCTACATGAATCAAATCAAACAACCAATCGGTGCCCGCTGAATTCGAAGCCAGCATACCCACACAATCAGCGGCCATGTCCTCGTCCCACCCAATCCCACTCTTCCACCTGTCCCAACGATTCTACCCAAAGAATGAATAGTGGTCCTCGCACCCACCATGCGCAATTCAATTTGTCCTTGCACCAATGTACTTCGCCAGGCCTACCAGAGGAGCTGCCTTTTCAGGGTCGAAGGAAGCGAGCTGGGAGATGGCGTCTTCGATGAGCTCCTCCGCGACCACTCTTGACTTTTCCAATCCCAGGAGCTTTGGGTACGTCGTCTTGTCCGACGCCAGGTCCTTCGCAGCCGTCTTGCCCAGGTGCTCGGTCGTCTGAGTGACATCAAGGATGTCGTCCACGACCTGCAGGGCCCGGCGAACGTCAGCAACGAAGTTTTCAGAATTCAGAAATCAGCACGTCAGATATTGCACTTCCAAAAGATCGGCCACAACGCCACTGGCCAGCCACGGCTGTGCGCGAAATGATTGGACCATGGCTAGGACTGTTCGAGGCCACCTGATAATCCCCAACCCCAGCAACCACAACTTTCCAGTAGAAAATCGCATCTGATTCAGAACGCAGCAAGCCAGACCGTCATGAATACTGCAAATACAGCACTGTTCCTTCTCACAACAGTACCCAAGACGTGGGTGCCCACAGCAGGACACGTTCCCCTTCAACCGAAATTTGGCATGCAAAGAGCATCGGCAGCATTAACCACATCAAGGCCTCTAATATTGCCATCTGCATATGTCAGGAGCAGTTAGGCTCACACTGTACAAAACTGCTGCAGAGGCATTTGGCCCGTGTTTAATGGCGCACAGTATGGTTAGAATACTAGTAGCACTGCCAATGACAAGGTTGCCGTGCTGGCTAGGTTAGCGGGTGGCACTCTGTGGGAGTAGAGTTGCAACCAAAGACGCCCGTCAACATCTGGACTAGATCGCAGCTGGCAACGAACTGATCAGAATATACAAACTTATGTCGCATTGCCCAATGGGTTTGGAAATACCGATCAATCTGAAATATCGAGGCCCATGTCATCTCCAAACATCATGTGCCCACCACCAGCCAACACCAGCTGCCACATTTTTGGACTGCAGAGACCACTGGTGGTAATGGAGTGCGCAAAGCAACGGAACATTTCAAACCTACTGCACTATGCCCGACCAAAACTGGTCCAGCAGAAGCATCGAGCCAAAGCTAGGCGGCCAGACCAGCAAGGTGCCAAAGGCCAGTAAGTGTCCAACCAGCATTCGTCTGTTACTTCTCGACCCGTGAAAACCACCTGCTTTGGCAATGATTCCGCATATCTTTAGTTCATTCACACCATCGTTCTCAACGTGCTGGACGGATTTCATCGGGCAGCTGGCTGTGTCTCTGGGCACCACCAAAGGCGCCAAGTTCAGGGACAGAAACTCAACCCTCCCTACCTGGAATGCCAGTCCAATGTCCCTCGAGTATTTCCTCAGCTTCTCGATTTCATCTTCTGATGCCCCTCCCAAAGTGGCGCCACACACGACAGCTGATTCCAGCAATGCTGCTGTCTTGTGCTCATGGATGTATTGCAGCATATCAAGGTCGACTGCCTTGCCCTGACACTCCATGTCAACCACCTGTCCTCCCACAACACCTTGTGACCCAACCGACTTGCCCAGAGTCGCAATCACCTGTGAGGGCAAAGGGCTCTTAGTGGCTTTATTCTACAATGGGATTGTTACACCCTTAATCACACTTGTCCAGAAGCGATAAGACATTCCCTTTGCACCTTCCAAGTTTGCCACCCTTCACTTGAGATTACGTGGCTACCTGAGTATCCTTGAACCAACACTTTCAGGCTTCCAAAGAGCCGTGTTGCACAAAAGGGCCTAAATGTGCTGAAGTACATGCCAACAGCAACCTGCAATCTCGCTAACACTGTGGCACAAGTTGTACACAACACAAAAGCAGGCGAGTTTCTACATAGGTTCCCACCTTCACGACCCTGTCTGCTGGGACACCTGTCGTGGCTTTCGCTATATGCTCGAATGCATAGCACAGGAGCGCATCGCCTGCAAGGATGGCAATGTCCTCTCCGTATTTCTTGTGGTTCGTCGGCAGGCCTCTCCTGAAGTCGTCGTTGTCCATAGCTGGAAGGTCGTCGTGGATAAGTGACATGGTGTGCAGCATTTCCAATGCACAAGCAGTTGGCAGGGCACTTTCCACAGAGCCTGCACACAAGATGTGGTGATCAATGGAGTCCATCTTTGTGGTCTTCAAGTGCAGGCAAGTATTTCTTCAACTGAAACAGGTGTGTTGCCAATGGTGGCTAGGGTGTATGAGTGGGGACGGGGGGTTGTTGCAGCTGAACAGATTAATAGGAGCCTCAACACCACATGGCATTTGCTGTCTTCACATACAAGAAACCTTCCAAGTTCCACAAATCTCCAACAAAAGAACACCATTCTCCAACCAGGGCTAGATGGTAAGAAATGGAGATTCCGCTACGATCCACTTGAGATTGTGCCTTGAAACAAGACCCCTGCACTTCCTTAAAGGCGCCACAAGCTGGATACATACCCAGCAAGCCACCAATAGCGTGCAGCAGGCTCTTCTGGCAAGGCCACAAACTCTACATTAACTTCTGCCAATAGTGTGCAGTGTTCATCATGCAAAATGGCCTGAGACGTTTGTGAGTGATTTGAGGCTAGGGAAGACTCTGCAGCTAAGCGATCCAGATTGTCTGGTGACGATCTGATATGTTGCATGCAAGATGCTGGCCCTGGAGACTGGGGCTCTGAAGGATCGCCGAAGACGAAAAGAAGGCGAAGTGTGCGTGTACCTTCTGCACCAATGGTGCATGTAAAGCACACGATCCCTGCAATGTGTGAAGGGATTGTTGAACCAAGCAATGCACCCGCCTCAGATGACCAAAACCTGCACGTTCCACACGGGGTCATGCCATTGCTCAGGCCCACTATCCTGGGATAGTGGATGGTGCTCTATTCATGTCAATACACTTCAGCATGCAGTCATCTTCTCAGAATACTACCCTTTCTGCCATGTTGCCATACCTCCAACGAGCTCACAAGCCGCCAGGCAAAGCGCTGGCCTCACTCGTTTGCCACCTGCCAGCACCGAGTACCTGCCCGCATTATTACACAGTCCTCAACTTAACTCCCAAAGCAACCCGATCTCACGGCGACAGTGCGACCACAAAGACCACAATGCCGCCCTCACCCCACAGCCTTCCACACATTCTTCCAAATAGTGGGAGAGCCCCCCCCCCCCCGGCTTTGGGACTCAGAAATGGGCGCACTTTGTGTGACATCCATCACGCACTTGATACACAACAGGCACACACAAGCACACATCTACAGTTCTGCTCCCTGTTCACATGCCGGCCCTCACCTCATGGACTCGTGAATTGTCTCGGGGTGCCGCATGGGCAGCGCGGCATCGAGCGCAGCGTCCACCCTGGCCGCCTGGTCCTTCATGTACCCCTGGAAGTTGAACCCATCTGCGTGGCCGCCAAGGAGGCCGCAGCCAGCAAGGCGTCAGTTCCGCGAAGCGACCGCCCGCCGCGCGGACAGGCGAGAGGACAGCGGCGCGCGGAGCGACCCCTCAGTGCTCGTGGGCGCCTACCTGCATCGCTGGTGGAAGGCGTGGGAGGCGCGGCCACGTCCAGCGCGTTGCGAACCACCTGCGACAAGACGGCACCGGAGGGATTGGACGCCGCGCTTGCACGTCGCAACTTCCCCACAGCCAACGATCGACTTCCGACACGGGAACCGGCAAAACATGGCGGACACTCGCGGAGAAGGAACTGATTCGAGTGCTCCCCATCCGGGCTGATGACGATTTTCGCCAGGGGCTGTGCAGGACGTCTTAGATCGGCCGCCTATCGGCGGCACGCCCTGATCCCGCGCTGGCGAGGCGGCCCACCGCACGGTGTCGCAGGACCTTGCGCGCTGCGCCGCTCTCACACGCCTGCTGCCGGCAGCAATCGGGCCATCGACGGCGCTGCACGGTCGAGGGGATCGCGCCCGCCCCCCAAACACGCAAGCTGGCCCTTGCAGCAGCAACAGCGCCCCGACAATTGTGCAACGCCGGCCTTCAGGCGCCCGCCGCCAACGGGGGCGACAAGCGTCAGCGCGGCGTCAGAACCGGCGGGCCTTCGATCAGAGGCATCGACTCGATTGCGAGGCAGCCCCGCGCGACTGCCTCCCTGGAAGCGCCGGCCGTGCGCCTGCCGACACCCCGCCGACCTCGCACCTGCGGCGCCCCTCCTCGGGCCGGCGGGACCACAATGCCACGGCCCCGCGGCCGCGCCGCGCCGCCCGCCTGGACCGCCACGCGGCGCCTGTCGCCACACGAGGACACAAGGGCGGCCGTCAGGACCGCCAATCGGCACCCGCGCTCAAGAACAGCGCATGTCGCGATCAGCAACGGGCGGCCAAAAACAAACAGGCCAGATTGGCGCAACCGAAGGAGGTGAGGGGGGCTCACATGTTCCCAAGATCGGCGCTGAAGCCGTTCATATCGGCCCGCTGCCCTCGGGGGGGACGTTTCGTCGCGGGGGCGGAGAGGTCGAGGTTTGGTGGTGGGGGCAGGCGGGGCCCTGCGGTGATGGCGCCTCCCCCCTGCGTGGGCCGTCTCCACCACGAGAGATCAAGATTCCGGCGTGGGGAGAGCGGAGAGGCTGCGGGGCGCGCTTTTTGGCCGCAAGCCCCAATCCAGAGTGGATGACGTGATGCTGCCGGGGGCTGCTCGCCGCAGGAGCGGGAGCGCCAGCCAACCACGTCGGCAGCCATCTTGCGCAGCTTTGATGAAGTATCTTGGCTATTTTTTTTCAAAACGAGCCGGCGTATTCAGCCAAAAAAAGATTCCAGCACTTGTGCGAAGGACGACCTTCACCATCAGGAGGAAGGAGGAAAGTGGGACTCTGGCATCCAATCCTACAAAAGCAGCCACCAGCCACCAGCACCAGCTCCGTTTTGGCATCGAGAAAACGTCCGCACAATTGCCGCAGTGGGCGACATGTGAGAACCAATGCAGAATGGGCATGAACTGGTTGAAAGTAATTTGCTGTTGGTGCCGGAAATGTACGGCGCAGTACATTGCCCTACCTGTCCACCGTGCGCTCACTCGTTATTCCAGCGGGACAGCGTCTGCTGCAGTTGTTACTCCCTTCCCTTCCAACTGCTTTCTCGTGGGCACTTGATGAACGGGGCTGGGCGTCTCTTGCGGGCGGACGAACGAATGGGCAATGTCGGAGTGGGTGAAGCGGAACCTGACGACCGTGAAGTCCGCTGTGCTGGGCGAGGATCCCACGGAGCGGCCTGGAGGCGTTCCGGCAGTCGCTTGATGAGTCGACGACGCTCAGCAAGACGCAGGTGCGCATCGGGGCAGAGGACCGCGCGCAGGGGGCGGAAATCTTGCGGAATGCGCCATGACACCGTCTGGACGAATCAAGTGGACAGTGTGCTCAAATCGAATTTGGCAGTAGGCGATATAGGGCGGATGACTGTGAGACGGAAGGGACGGTTCAAAGAACAATCTCGTCGTTCAACCAAGGGCGGTATGCGGATGGGAAACGGTGAGAACTGTTGGCTTTATTCCAAAATTTCGCAATTGTATCGTGAGGCATCAACTGCTTGGTCCAGATGCCAACGTACCAAGCGCCACCTGAGGCACGTTTATCTTCAGTGGACTTCAGTTACAGTCCTGGGCACGAAAGCAGCATGTTGCTGTGCTGTGATTGAATTGGGACAGGATGAAAACACCACCGACGCATTCGAATGCATCCAGTTTCTGCCTGTCAGATTTCCCTATTTGTGTGTCATGGCAGAGACTCCACGGTTTCTCAATGCGTGCTGCACTGGGAGGTTTCTTTGCCTTTCAGGTGAGTTTGTTTCTAGCTGCACAGGAAGGCTCCACTTGCATTCGAAGTCCAAGGTAGATTCACTGTGCCAGTGTTCACAAAACACGCAATCTCGAAGCTGGTGCGCCAACTTATTGTGATCCATTGTAGTGCGACCTGGCATCCATCAGAGGCCTTCCACTTCCCACCACCATTGCTTGCAGCATCACACTGTGCACCATTCAATCTGCATCGATCGCAAAATTTGCAAAGCATTGTCCTGCATCATCGAGGACACGACAGGCACTCAGGTTGGCTTATTGAACCTCACTTGGATTGCAATTGCTGTGTGAGTTTCAAACTGTGTGCCTACACTTGGAAAACTTGCCCTACTTCTCGCAGTTCTGGATATGGTCAGGCGTTTGTTTTCTGGATATCACCCAATACTTTTGCAGTTCTTTACACAATGGGCAGCCTGCTTCTCTTTAGCAGGTATGGGAACTTTGGGCTTGATGGTCGTGCAATTTACATGGCCAGATCTTGTTGAATGCTTTTGTGTAAACACAGTAGATTGTCCTTGTCAGGCATAGGATCTGTTGCAGCAATCAAAAACCTGAATGTTGTGTGCACCCTCGTGCTGTGCTCTTGATAGCTGTACATGTCCAGCCACTGCTGGGCGTATACTCACAGCGTTGTGCTGGGGATATGTGTTACCTGTAAAGGGTATGAAACTAGAATCACAATATTCATCATGTCCAGCGAAAGAAATAAAGCATGTATTTAACAATGACAATAGCCATCTCCAGGGATGAACAACTGCAGGCCCATTTTTCTCTTAGATGCAGGATCGATGTCAACAAGCATTGATGTCAACCACCGTCAGGCAATCAAACGCTCTTTAGGTCAGTACTGTTTAAGCACTCTATCCCATAGACTGTGTGCTTGATCGAACTGCTGTGATACACCATAGCAATCAGCCCAGTTGTGAGGCATGCCTTGTGACACATGCCTTGTGACACTGCAGTGTCCTCAACAACAGCTGGGATGCACAGGTTGCCAACAATGGAGATGTGCTCAAGTAGAGGAGCTCAGTACACCGTTTGTAGCAATAAGCATGTGGCTTCACACCACCAGTAGAAAAGAAGTTCTGCAGAATTCTACCGGAGTGTTGCAAGATAAAATGGTGACAGTAAAGTTAATATGCCACAGCCCAAATGCGAATGTGCACGTGCGAGATTTCTTCGTCGCAGTAAAGAGCAACACAGCATTGTCACCCTTTCCTCTGCAGTTGTTGCCAGTACACTGCTTTTGCATCCTAGACATTAAGACCTTGCATAATGCATTGCATGTGATTCACAGGGCTGGTGCCCTGGCAAAGTAGATAACAATGGGCATAGTTTGAGCACGCCATGTGCCAGAACCTCAGCTTGGCTGCTAGGCCCCTGATAGGACTATCCACATCCTCAAGTATATCAAGAGCTGAGAGTCGTCGACTGGCCTCGACTAAATGCTGATTTCTGTACTTGATTGCAGTACCTTCTTTTTAATGGGACCATGGTGCCAGGAGATCTGTTGACCCTCGTGGCACTTAGCATTCACCACATTTGGGATTATTGTGGACAGACCACAATGCCATGGGTTGAGTTTCGACACCTACATTGTAAACTCAGTCCCACCTGGCCCAACCCCACCTTTTTGATTGTCTTGCTTTTCATTGCTGATGTGCCAATCTGTTTGTCTTCAACTATCATATCGTGGGCGTTTGGGGGCAAGGAAAAGTGTGTCATGCTTTGTTCTGCAGAATTTGCTGCCAAGGCAAAATGTGCGCAGCCATTTGAAGCCGCAACTTGACACTGCAATATTCCATTTCTTGTCTCAATGTGGATCCAACACCTCTAGCTGAAAGTGTCTTCTTTTTGCAGCCTAAAAGCATAATGAAAAGCAGCCACATATTGGCCACAACAGCATACGTCCTGTCAATGATGTTGACGCTGTATGCTGTCTTCAAAATGGAAAGGTTGAGTGGTTTTCTGTCATGTTCACCACTGGTAATTCTCACCATGGCTCACAAGCTGGTAATAGCAATTGGCTATAAGTGCGTCTGACACAATCCTCATAGAATCCAATCCATTCAGCAACGTTTGAACCAGTCTCAAGGGGTGAACAAAAGGATCTGTACTGCAGTGCCACGGCATTGGCCTATGCAGCAACAGACTCCTAGCAAATTTGCACAAAGAGGACAAGATTACAGGCCCAGGAGAGGAAATCAATGCTGTTGTGGTCCCTGTTGAACTTTCCTGCGCCGCATTCTGTCAAGAATGCTACAGTAATGTAACTGTATTATAACATATTAGAAACACCAATTGTGCCATTCCTGATGGCTTTTTGCAACACTGAAGTACCATGTAATGTCGCGGAGGCAATTTGCAGCCGTATCTCGATGGAAGCACGAGTGACATGCCTCTTCATGGTGGTTCCAACATGTCTGGGAGTCTGTATATAACATGGATCCAATTTTGCTCCCGGCAGTTGGCTATTGCAGTGCAACAGTATGCTGTTCTCTGTATTGTCATGATGTGCAAATATGACGTTCGTGCAGTAAGACTTTTCTGCATATGTGGTTGAGTGTGGATCGTTATCAGCACACCACATTCCTTGGCACTTGTTGCACTGCCTGCGATCGAATCGACGCGGCCGGTCTTCAATGCGCAGGAATTTATTTTCAGACGGGCTGTTTCAGCTAATGCACATGTTTGCTGGATGGTTCTGCGCAGATTGCCGAAGTGCTGGTCGTCATTTTCTTACGCATCGTTAAAGTAATCACTCTTGGGTGGTGGGGCCACCGTCATTCTCACGCCATCGTTTGGGTTCGGTTTCCGTTTTCAGACGAGCGAACATTCGCCTCCTTTCTTCTGGAGACGAGCTTGACACCAGGCGCGGCAATCCTGTCGCCGTGTGCTGCACAGTACAGGATGCACAGTTGTGCGGCCCCATGCTATCAATGTCTACTTGCCCATCCCCGCTGTGCGCCCAACATTGATTTGTACTCATCGAGCGCACGGAACGCACCCACATGACACTGACTGTCCTGCCACCTATCGTCCCAATCCGAGCCCGGGCATGACCCTGTTTGGCGGTCCGCATGATTGCAGGTACTGTCGCAGAGCGCCTGTTGTGCCCGTGTCGTGCGCAGGCCTGCCTGCCTGTACCCAGGTGCGTCCTGAGCTGCATCCCCTACGGGCAGCTGGCGGCCGGCAGCGCCTTGGCCTCCGTGATGAATTGAGCAGCCGCGCGGCGGCGCCCTCGGAAGCGAGCGCCTTCCGTCCTGGACCCACACTCAAGCAGCAGCAGCCAGTCGCAGAAACCTCAACGGCTGCTGGAAGCTGAAACGAAGCTGTCGGGAACGTGCGGTGTCTCTCCTGGAATGGACTCGCGCCGCTTCGCACGCCATTTCCACACCTGCCCGCGTGGCGCACCAGGCGATCAGGCGCGCTGGAGAGTCCAAACCACCACGTCCGGCAGCCTTCCAAAGTTGGCGCTGGGTCCGCGGCTGCGAAGCCGGGTGCTGCGTGCCGGGCGTGCCGCGCAACGCACGTCCGAACTTGGGAGCTCAAACGGACGTGCCGTAACCCGAACACCGGACTGATCCCAGGTTCCAACGACGTCGTTGCCGCTCGAAGACAGGGTCGCAGGGCTGCCGTCAGGATGCTACTCTCCTCTTGGACGGAGGGCTGGCTTGGCGCCCATCATCGCGGTCGCACCAACCGGCACCTGCCAGACGCCAGCCAGCGCACGCATGCGCAATGCAACCGTGGAACCGTTCGCGGATTGCTGCATGTTCATCCGACCTCCCCGGCTTCGCCCCAGGTTTCGTGCCAGCCCTCTCGCCCGCCGCTCGTTGACAGTGCAGACCACCCGGCAGCGCTGTGGAAGCGGAAGAAGTTGAGCCAGGATGTGATGGGCCGCTGCGCTCAGCAATACGCACCCGCGGGCGTCGATTGGCAATACAGTCCAGTTGGTTTCGTCCAAGACCAACTCTGGATTTGTCCTCTCGTCCGTGTGTGCGAGCTACCAAGCCTCGCCGGCTGAGCGTACTGCCCACAGTCGTGTCCTGCTGGGGTTGGAGTTTGTTGAAATTCCAGTCTCCGGCTGAAACATTGTGGGAGGCACACATTGGATGAGTCACAGTGTGGCACTGTACACTGTGTGTTCCCAGTACACATGTTGGCGCTGCCACAGGCCAAGAGATTAAGAGGAGCTTCTGCTTGACGGGAACGCATCCGGCCGACTTGGAACTGCCGCCCGTCACAAGTCAAGATAATCAACCTTTTCCATCTTTGGTGTCCATCATTTCCGTTCGAAACCAAAGACCTGACTGTCGTGTAGTTTGTCCTTGCCTCGGACCAAGCGTCAGTACTAACACCCAATGTTTTATGTCGTATTCAGTCCAAATTTTGATCAGTCTAAAGGATGCGTGCATGGCAACAGAAGAAGAGTTGAGGCGGGCGTTGGGCCCTCTTCAAGCATGAAGGGGGCCGGCTGACCTATGTCAAGCGGAGCCACTGGACAATCAGTTCCAAAACCGCCAGGGACCCGGCTGCCAGGACAGATTCTGCTGCTGGCAGGCCGCCGAATGGCCGGCGTGCTGCCAGCACCCACCAACGTCTCCACAATCGGCAAAGTATTAGTGACAGTTAGGTCGCAATGTATGTGGAGCCCAGGAAGCGTACCGGATCGCCAGGGCTCAGACACGGGACGTACACCTGGGGAGAATAAACAGATTGGCAAGGGGACCTGGCGTTGGGTGGGTGAGGACAACGCCCAAGCGGATTGCATCAATGCGCACACTGCCCATACACCCGATTCTTCACAACTATGGTGTGGTGGGAAGGCCTTGTACCGCAGTGCCATGAAACAGAAATGTGCGCAGAGGATCGTCAGTGAAGCCTATGACCCAAATCTGCGGCAAAAATGTTGTCACGCGGTCCAAATATAGTGGCAGCCAGACACAAACACCAAGCATATCATGAACCCATGGATCCTCATCTTATTTTCAGTCCTTACGAAGGCTCAACGGCGAAAATTCCTTCATCAAAATTCTTCTTGCCTGGAGTTCACTGAGCTGCACTTGACAAGCGGAGGTTTAGAAAATGCCAACGTTGATCGTCGCGTGGCCTCGTGTTTATTCATCGATGATGGTTAAACCATTATTGACTAGACGTTGGTTGACCGGACTCGCACCGGATGCAACAATTGAGGCTCTCACACTTATCATCATATAAATAAATGGTGGAAGTTTGGGGACGACGAGGAAATTTGTAGGGAAATCCATACGTTTCAGCTCCTTGACGATTGTCCAGCACCGTGTTCTGCTCTTTGAGTTACGCAGCGACTGCGCTCATCACGTCCTTCGTTACTCGTGGCCCCTGTCGGAACGAGAAGTCACAATTATGCGTTCCAAAGGTCCTCCCCGATGCCACTGCATTTCAAACTGCACGTTGTCGGGCACCGAATCCCCCCACCCCCACCCCCCACCCCCCCGGGTTCATTGAATGGAGCGTGATGGCGATTCCTCTGACGGTTACCGGCTTTGTTGCGCAACGTTCCCAACGGGAGATTCTTTCCACGGGCGCATTTCTTGCGATCCGCCCTCCAGGGCATGGGCAAATCATGAGGCATGTGGCCGGGCGTGGCCGTGGCAGGGACTCGATGATTGGAGGACATCATCAGCCCCGAAAGTTCGTCGCTTCGCGTTCGACAATGCAGCGCCTCCTGTGGAATGAATGTATCCATGAAGGCAACGTGAACTGTGACACAGTGGTCGCGCCACGCGTCTTCTCAGAACTCAAATCGTCAGAGAGCCTCAGCTTTCCAGCGGCCCACACATGGCCCGCCACCTGGGTAAGCCCATCATCTCCCCTCTGTCTTACCGCGAGCGGGCCAGACTCTCCTGGACTCCGCGGCGAATTCACCCCGGAAGGGCAATCGCCAACGCCGGAGAGGTTCAGGTCGCAGGCCTCGCGATCGCCGCTGCCAATCGCGAGCTGCGGCCAGGATGCACCTGTTGGCGCCCAATCTCGGAGCACAGGAACCGGCATCCCGCCTCTTCAACACCATCCCCGGGATCACCCCCGGCTGAGGCTGCGCCCGCTGGCCCAGAATCGTTACAACGTAACATCCATCCCCCCCCCCCCGTCGCTCAAAAAACTCCCCAGCGCCCCCCTCAGTCATTGATGCCCATGACGCCCCGTCGCGCCAGGCCATCCAGCAATACAACCCAGCCACCCACGCGTATTGACGAACTGCTCCCTAGGCTCCCTTCCCCCCCACCCGGCCCCTCTTCCTCTTGCGCCGTGCGTGGCCGCCCCAAGAGTGGCACCCACCCAGCAAGCGGGGGCGCCCGCGGGCCGCCGATCCATCCGATCGCGCGCGATCGGCGGGGCGAGATGGCAGGGGAGGCGGGCGTGGAGTTCCGCGCCGAGCGGGGGCACGTGGAGACCGAGCTGGAGGCGCTCACCAAAACGATGAGCGGCCTGCAGGTGGGCGCGGGTGGCCGGCGCGCGGGGGGGCGAGCCTGATCGCCGCCCCGGCGACGCCGGATGATCGCGATCGGGATGGGGAGGCCCGGCGCGAGGCGGGGGCGGAGGCTGCGGATCGCGTCATCACTGCGGCGGTCGTCGGGCGGTGGTAGCCGGAGTGACCCCTGGGGCAGGGGAGGGGGGCCCGGAAACGGGCGGCGCGCCGATGCGCGGGTTGTGGGGCTGGGCGGGGTGGGGGGTGGGGTGGGGTGGGGGGGTGCACAGCTCGCCGCGACATTCCGCCGGGAATGGGAGGGTGGGTGCTGGCGTACGAGAGTGTAGGAGTGAGTCACGTCCCTCAATCGAATTGACGTCGGGCGTCCGGCGAATTGGCGTCAGACCTGTCATGGCCGTGATGCTGGGGCAGTGGGGGCGGGGGGGGAGGGAGGAGCGGAATGGAATTCGAGGGGGGATGGACGGAATTGTTGCGTCATCGGCGGGGAGTCCGTCGAAAGAGAATCGCTGGCCCAAGCCGCCGACAATCCGGTGGTGGAAAGATCAGGGGAACAGCGAGTTCAACGCCATCAGGGCTCTGAACGGACAATGCGCTGGTCGGAAAGGATGTGCCGTCCGATTTGTTCAAACTCATTCGGACGACATTCGGTTCATGGAGAAGCTAAGCATGACGCCAGCACATTGGTTCCTTCTTGTGGGAAGGAGAAACCACAACACACAGGGGGACACCCGGACCAACATTTGCGGCGCTCATACAGCACATGCTTCATAGTCTCCGAGCGTAGCAGGGATTGCAACTGCACGGCGAAGGCGCCTTGTTCGCCACACCGCGATGGCAATATCACATCGGACCGCGCAGTTGCCAAGACGCGCCACAATGAGCTGTTGAAAGGCGCAGCAGCTTTGGCCGCTGTGTAGTTGGAAGCTTTACTGTTGGTTATTCAATTCGAGGGATGACCTTTTCTGGATGTCCAAAAGACATTATGAACTAATCCCTTGCACATCGCAGGCGTAGAGACATGCAGTCAATGTTTGTTCAGTGTTCAAATCACAGTTCCACAGTGCCAGTGTTCCATGAGCACTTGTTGAACAACATCAATTTACGTTTGCGAGAGAAAACATTCGTTGACAAAAAAGAAACAAACAGTCTGGATGCCTAAGTTCTCATCAAAGCATTGAGCTTTTCCACCACATAACTTGTGCTCCGTAGCATTAAAAACAATACTTGGGCTCCCAAACGCGTCAACAAGAGCACTTTTGCCAGACTGCGGATTATCCCATCTTGCTTCTTCGTTTGCAATAAGCCAGACGACGGCTGCAAGAGACTGGCATATGGCACACACCTAAAGATCAGAAAAACATCAAAAGAACCCCACAAATTGCCATGCACTGCACAATTTAGGTATCCATTTGAATCCACTGAAGGCACAGCTGGCTGCATCAAGGCCTGCAATCGACATTGTGTTGGTGCAGTTCATGTTTGTCTGCGGGTGCAGCTGCTGCCCAGCAGCAGGAAACAGACAGCCAAAGACACTACTAGGAAAGGAAAGCTGGAAGTGTACTCATAGTCACATGAATCAGACCCAGGTTCTACGGTTCACCATCCCCAGAATGCAACACGCAAATTTTGCCTGAACGAATTTTCAAAGCAGTTTTGCCAATGTGCATATCCCCCACACATTCACCTACATAGCGAGTTTCCTCCTGTCTACACTGTCGCAGGCATATTGCTCCAAATTCCCCCCAATTCAAACGTTCATCGTAGATGCACCAATTTGTGCCACACCAGCACATTCCTGATGTGTTGCGCGTGTTTGCTGCAGTTGTTCAAAGATAAGGACCTGATGAGGGAGTGGGTAATGCTGTGTGAGGACTCTAAAAAGCGACTTGATGGCTTGAGGTATTTCCGCCGGATGCTGTGTGAAGGTACATTCAGTTGTCGGCTTCTGTTGCCATGAATTCCCCTCGCCCACCAACGCTTGTGCCCCAGAAATGCAACGTGATCTAAACAGCTCCCATATTTTTCTGCCCCTCCCCTCCTGTGTTGACACTGCTGCCCTGGCTTTGCCGCTTCACTGACTTCTATGCAATAATGGCTGCTGCAGACCACAACCCCCATGTGCAGCACATCATTCAGTTGGGGCTGGTACCATATTTCATCAGATGTCTCAAGGAGAACAATGCAGAGATGCAGGCAAGTACATCACCCACTGGAAAGGATGCCTAAGTTCAACAGCTGGCCAGCATGGACTCGCAATATGCTTGACATGATGCTACACGGAATGGAAGTGACATGATCTGACATGGATTTGTGTGACATACTTCCAGTGCCTTGCATTACTCTGCTGAAACAAATGAGCCCAAGTGCTGTCACTGAGGTTATGGGCTGGCTACTGCCAGGTGGAAGCTGCGTGGGCACTTACCAATGTTAGTGCTGGAACAACGGAAGAGACTGAAGTGGTGGTGGAGCAGGGGGCAATACCTGCGCTTGTGGACATAATAAAAAAGGACAAAGGCAGTCTAAGAGAACAAGTATGGTGGACCCTGGACAGACATTGATGCTTCCTGTGGTTTGAAGGATACGCCAAGAGATCCTTTCTTCCTTTCTTCCTGCAAAGGATGCTATGGTTGGCTGATATGTTTCCTTCCATGGTTTTCGTTTGCTCTTTATGGAGGAAATTTCAAACAAGGAATTGGTCCGAAACAAAGATCAGGTTTATTCACTGCTGCACAAAATTGAACTCCGGTGAATGGGGAGCACTCTACCATGTTGTGATGCACCTTGTGCAGAGTTAGAGAATTGTCTGCTGCGCACCTGCCACAGCTCTGTGGGCATCCAGCATCGATGATATTCAGCATCACGTACCAGATACCTGCAGGGACCACTGCTTCATTCACATCCCATGCTAGCTCACAAATTCAAAAGAAATGCCAATTGATGACCAAGTTGCTGTTCTTTTGCTTGCTCCAGGCGATTTGGGCAGTTGGGAACATCGCTGCTGAGAAGCAGTTCAGAGATCTTCTGATCGCCAGGGGCGCGCTGAACCTATTGCTGGAGACTCTGCAGGATGAGAATACAGGGCTTTCTACCACACGCATCGGGACATGGGCTCTGGCCAATTTCTGCAGAACTGTGTTTCCCAAAGATAAGAGTGGGGTGAGCACACGTGATGCTGCTCAAGTGTCCTGCACAGCTTTCAGATGGCATAGGCCATGCTGCCCTTTGTGTGCTTCAATCGCTCATTGGAACATGATAAAGTACACATTATTGGAAGCACGATTTCCATGTCTCGAGCTACAGTGTATGGGATCTGTGGAACACATTCTGTGTAGGATGCTTGCAGCTTGGCAGTATGCAGTAAGGACACCGGTCCACCTCGGAGTATGAATGTGCCACAACTGAGAACCACATCAGTCTTGTTGCATGTTCAAGGAGGCTGTATGTATTGCTGCAGTGCACGACTGGAATAATGGCAAATAGTCAACACTTGTCAACATGGTAGACAGCATGCCCCAGCTGCTCCTCATCGCTTGCAACTTCTTGTGTGCTGGGAATCTTGTGCATCATTGTCAAAGCTATTTGCTGGTAGTCTGGTGTGAGTCCCAGTATGCAAGAGTATCTCACGGAACGCCAAAGGCATTCATCTGCTGGCAACCTCAAAATGTTTTGGATTTTTGAAAGGGTTGCCATGGAAAGACAAGTGTCCTTGTTATTAGCAGATGCTCACATGAACATCCGCACGGAGGATGAAAGGGTCAATAACACAGAATTTGCCCTGTGTGTGCGCCCAACCCTGCAGGACCTGGTGGATTTGGTGATGCAAGTGTCTATCAGCTTGCTGAGCCAGAGGGACAAGGACACCATAGTGGACTCGGTGTGGACCCTGTCGTCCATCGCGGGATGGGACAGCAGCTACACAGACAGGATCGTGGCAGCGGGCGTGGTGCCCCACCTCATCCACCTCCTTCGGTGAGGCCCCATGGACCTCCAGCTTCCATTCGTCACCTGACGGAAACCTGGGGCACAGTTCTCTCATTCTGGATGCATGCACCATGCAACCCAGTCCCTCGTTGCGTCTCAGCAGTCATGGATCGCCCCAAAGTAAGGCAGGTACAACTTTTCTGGTGCTGAAGCTGTGAACCGAAAACACCCCGTTTCATTGGGATTGAGCGGCCACGTTCGCTTGGAGCTGAAATTGTAAACCGACAGGGACAGGACCGAAATCAGACTGAAATCATGCACTCGTGCAAATGCAATGACAGTCTTTTGCTGGCAGCCTTGAATGGTATGCAGCATTCTGAAAAGCATCTCTTGAGTGTTTTTGTGCAGGCAAAGACACACTTCCATTCTGCACCCCACCCTGCGGTGTTTGGCGTCTGTCGCCATGGGCCCCGACGCCGACACCCAGGAGATGATGAGCTGCGGCGTTGTTCCCCGCCTGAAGCAGCTCCTCATGGGGCGCCAGAAGAAGAGAGTGCTGGGCAACCTGTGCTGGGCGCTGGCAAACATGATGGGGTGTGGATGGTCGATGTGCCAAGTGGTGATCGATGCTGGGATCATTCCACTTGTTATGGGGGTCCTGAAGCACGGCATATACGAAGTCAAGAAGGAAGCAGCTTTCGTGGTGATCAATGCCTTCAATTCGGACTCAATTCCTTACCAGGTGGGTTGCAATTGCCTTTCAACACGTTCGTTGGGCTGCGCCCATAGCAGCTTGGTATTGGTGCTGTGAGGTCTTTCCTGGCAGTGCATTTGGTGGGTTGAATGCTTGCTTTTTAGTTTGGTGTTTGGGGTGCATAAGTTACACCAACAGACTGGCTTACAAGTTTGGATGCCGCCCTTGACGCTCACTATTTAGTGGTGGCGCTGAAAACCATGAAGCCCAGCAACTGGAAATGCTGCATGTGCTTGTCACCCTGGCACAGCTGTCAAACACACAGCATGTGGGAGTCCATGAGGTTGTGGTGAGCATGTGACTCAAACAATTTGGCAGCTAGTTCTTTCAAAAGGGCGATGCGCATTCGTACTGGGTTTTCCAAGTGACAGATCGATTGCGCATTGGCAACACTACTCCCATTAAAATCGCGTGCTCTCACGTTCGTTAAGACATGTAGCCAGCCCGTGAGAATTAACGTCTGCTGAGAAGGCGCTATTCCTGCCATTGCTTATGCTATTTGGGGCCTTCTTCGCCGCAAAATGCTGTACCAAGCACAGGCAAGGGAGTGATCGCATCAGACACAGCGTGCGTCATGAACGTCTTAACATTGGTCCAACAGAACTCAACGTCTCTGCGATGTATTAATGCATGGCGGTCGCATCAATCTATTCTAAAATTTTCAAGCCGTTTATGCGTCCATATTGTCACTCTGGCCCTGCAGAGGAGATACATTTGCTCTTTCGTAACCGTGCCTACAGCTGTACACGTCGAAGCCACTAGACTGTGTTTTCAACATACTAATGAACGGCGGTCGCATCAATTCATTCTAAATCCTCTAGCCGTTTGTGCGTCCACATTGTCACTCTGGCCCTGCAGAGGAGATACATTTGCTCTTTCGTCACCGTGCCTACGGCGGTACGCATCGAAGCCACTCGACTGTGTTTGCGCCACAGCAATTGCAAGCTACTTTTTGGCTTGTGTCCCACTCACCTTTTATAAAGACACTGTTTTCACATATTGTCATCATCAATCTATTAAAGAAACAAAGAGTTGGTGGATTCTGGGTTGCTGCAGCTCCATGGTTTTCAAATAATATATCAAAAAACTGCTCTTTGCGGGCGAAATGAGGAGCTGACGGCTGCCCATTTGCCTTGATACATAATATGTCTTGGTTCACGTCAGACAGCAGCTGTCACACAGTTGACTACCCATTATGGTGGTCACCCACTATTCAAGGCTGCAATGTCCACAAGATAACCTGGCAAGAACCGCCCTTCACCTGTCAGGAGGTGTCGGTCGCCTTTCGCTGGAGTCAGTGCTCTTTGGCGGTTCTTTGTTCTGGATCCCCACCATGTGGCGCGAAGTACTGCCGGTGTGCCAAATTGTCCACAGCAGGGCACTATCAGTAGTCCCTGGTCATTTATGATGAACAGTGCTTTCGGTGCTACACGTTGGCCATGTGCTATGTGCCCTGTGTCGCCAGATCGGTGAAAGGGTTTGGGCTTGACGTGCTCGACGAAGTGAAGAGGAAAACCCCAAGTAGTCCACTGCCAAGAGGCTTTCTGTTTTTCGACCGGCAGTGGTTGTGGCTGCTTTGCGGTGGGCGGCAAAAACTGCAGTGTTGAACAAGCCATTCATGCCACTCCAACCATGTTCAACAGAATCAATGTTACTCTGCTCGACAAGTGGCTGTCATATGAATTGCGCCTAACTTCGCCATACAAGTGCACGTGGCAAACGATACATAGTCAGACGCGGAAAGAAGCAATCGAAGCGGACTCTGAGCAGACAAACTACAGCAGCCGTGGGCAGCTGCTATGTGCCTTAGTAACTGCAATCTGGCGGTTCGCAACTCCATAAAACAACCTAGTAGACACCAAGCATCCCGCATACCAAATTCAACTCCACCACACTGAAACCATTCTTCAGCAATGTCACAGAACAGAACGGCGTTGTCCCATTTCCATCACGTTCCTGCTGTATTGTGTCACACAGACAATGGCAACCCTAGGAGACACGCCCACTCACAAATCTGCGCATCGGTTAAAGTATGATACGTCAGTGCTCCTACACCCTTGGCCGACGTCTGGAACTACGAGAAGTGGCTTGCTCTCATTACGTTGACTGTTTCAGTTTTGAAAGGTGATGCTCGCGGACGGCGTTGAATATGGCGACGCTCTTGCCTTGGAAAGCATATACTTAAGTGCTCATGTTTTTCGCTGCCAGGGCGTCATCCAGCTCTCCAATGACGGCTGCATCGAGGCGCTTTGCGGCTTCCTGACGTGGGAGCAGCCGCGCATCGTGGCCCACGCCCTCGAGGCGCTGGAGGCGGCCCTGAAGATGGGCGAGCTGGGGCGCATGAACAACGGCTGCAACGGCTCCATGCTCATGAACGACTCGTATGAAATGACGGAGAAGGCGCATAAGAAGCGCGTTCGGGCGAGGGGGTTCCACGGCCGCTCCAACAGAATAGCCTGCCAGGTGGGCGCAAACTTATCAGTCGAATGGGAAGGAAATTTTTTGTGGGAAATAGGTCCACTTGGCGCGGCTCCAAGTCGTGTTCAGATGTTGAAGTCTGGTCACAGCGATGCGCCTAGTGGCAGAGCGGCAACAGTTGTGTTATCATACCTCTGTGTTTGGTCCATTTTCCACTATGTGCTATGTTTTTGGTGTGCCCCACTATTGCTCATTTTTCGAAATAAATGCAGATATTCATCTGTTTAAGCATGTGCTACTAAATGGCCTTTTTATGTTGGTCACCTTTCCTGTCTGCAGTTGACTGAGTGATGACTGAGTGATCAACCTTTCAAGCACAGTTTTCTCGCAAAGAGGGGGGGCCCATTGCCCAACCGTCTGTCTTCGTCGCGTACGAATCTTTGCCATTTCGCCTTTGGCCAAAGCGAACAATCTCAATCCTTCCACGCGGATTTCTAGTCGTGCTTGCCGCCCAGAAAACCCATCGCAGACGCAGCTCAAACCCATTCCAAAATGTACCGCCAGGTGTCCGCCGCGGACGGCCGGGAGACGCTCCGGCAGCTGACGGAGCACGAGTGCAACGACGTGGCGTCGATGGCGAAGGAGCTGTTGGGAAAATATTTCCAGGTTGGCGTGACGGCCTCCCCGTTTGTCACCTTGCCGCTGCGGCGCCATGAAATTCACCGTGCCCTAATGGCGCCGGCGGAAAACGCCACCAAGGCCACAGTCGTGATGACGTGGTTGGGGCTAATCTTAACACAGTGTAGTGGACAAGTGCACGCTTTCAGCAACGTGGCATGACATCAAATAGTGCTGGTTGTTTTCACACCGAGTGGGTGCGCATCCTCTGCGATTTGGTCAGCTCAGCGCCGGTGCATGTGTCCGCTGCTTTGTCCGGCGCATCGTCGACTCATGCGTGTTTCGTGCCCCGATGATTGTCGCTGCTCACGTCCAACAGACTCTTTCTGTCAAGTGCGCTATTGTACAATCTTGGACGTTCGCTCGCTTTGGCACAATTGTGCGTTAGCACTGTGCCTAGGCTAGAGCCCCCGGACCAGGAGAATGCTCCGTGGTCAGGAGCACGCACGTGCAAGCCTTTTTCTCAGCCACACAGGGGCACCAAACTGTTGTTGAGTGATATCGGCAGTACATTGCGCGGAGTCATGCGTTCGCTCACCCCGAGCGGTGTCCATTACGGCATAAATGGAATGGCTTACCTCCAGGTGGATGGCGAGGCGTTTGAGGGGGATGACGTTTCGGAGGTCATGGAGGACGGGGAAGACGCTGGGCAGCTTTCGACGAACGGTCACGGCTCAGCCTCGAGCGCCGCTGAGGAGCTTCAGGGCATGCTGGAGGACTGGTCCGTCAGCGAAAGGGGTCCGGCGAAGCCGCCGGTGACGTGCGCGAAGTAACGCAGGCCGGTGGCCAGTGGCTGGAAGAAAGAATCCACAAGGGAATGCTAGATAAATTGCAAGAGTGGCAGGAACATGGGAGGGGACGTTGATGTAGTAGATTTGTGGCAGCTGGGGGCACACAACAAAAATGCGCGCTGGATTGCGAACATAAGATTTTGGGGGGCGAGGGAGGCAATAAAGGGAGTTTGGAGGCATTCGCGCCCGCTGCTGTGCGTGCACCCCGTGCTCGGCTGCGGCGGGAATGACGTCCGGCGGCCTTCTTCTCGTCGCAGGAAACTCAACAAGCATTGGGCAGCCTATTCCTGTGTGTTGTGTAGGTATCTGCATTTTGATGCTCGAGGGATTTTGTGGCACTGCCGGCGGCACAGGTGTTTTGGAATCCGTTGTCGAATGCTGCCATGAGAAGTCTCCCTCTCCCCGCGCGATTGTTGCAGTTCCGATTGTGCGTTTGAGCTGCAGTTGATGGCGTCGCATGCAGCGTGAGCACGTACAAGTATCCCCGGACCAAACCGTGTTATTGCCCGAGCAGATAGTGCCGGGTTACTGAAATTATAAATAAGCTGTGTGTAAGACATGGCCTGAATCTCACATTGCTATAGTATCAATTGATACTACCATAGGCACTGAGTATCGATAATACTCGTTAAATGGGTGCCAGTTGACGCTACTGGCCACATACCCACTCCCACAGCGGCGAACGTAACCGGCGTGTTGTGGCCATGCACTGTTGCCGTACCTTCCTTGAATGCGGATTGGCGTCTGGCCTTCGATCGCTGCAGGCAATCGGCTTTCAGACCTTCCTCTGGCAGTGAAGTGCCATATGTCATTTTGCATTGAGGGCAATGGCGCGCCGTGTACTTTTCTCGCATTCAATTGCATGATTACTGTGAGAGGTTGAAAGCAAATCTCCTTGGTGCAACGTGCTCAAGGTGCCCCCCTTGACGGCTGGAAAAAATATAGGAGGGAGTGCCACATATCACGCACTTCAAAACGTATCAATCATCATGGAGAGAGTATTGAATCATGGAGGCAGCTGCCAACTTCCTATTTGCCTTGGAAAATCGCTGTTCATGAATAGCTCATTGAAATTAAAGTTACTGCACCAACCAAATCCAGCACCCACCAATTCTCAACTCCTCAATCCATCCAACAAAAGTGCCAATGGCAACCATGCAACGAAATGCCTTGAGCAGGCACAGAAGTAAAAAGTGTTTGGGCACTGGGTATGGCGAAGAACACTCCAGTGGCTTCGACACAGGCAAATCACTGAAACACAAGGCAAAAATATCTCACCTTTACAGCTCACAATTAATCACTAACAATTAATCACTAAAAGGCGTTGTCGGTTTCCGAAATGGATTATTTGCCTGTGCAAACTGGCAAACATCCATGTTTGGCAGGCTTGGCTCGAACTGCCGTACATCACACCACGCTTTCCACCCGCCCTCCCGTCGAACACCCCAGCCGGGATACACAGGATGAGCGGCTCCGGCTTCCGCGCGCCGCTGTCGGCGCAGTTGAAGTCCCTCTCCAAATCCATACGCACCCGGGACCGCAGGCGGGCCGAGCAGAAAGAACAGAGACAGGTGAAGCGCACCGCCCAACGAGGCCGCAATCTCTCCTGCACCCGCAGCTGTTGAAGTCGAAAATTTCAACCGCGATCAGTGCGCAATCGGCGGCGCGCTCCTCTCACGATGGCGGGCACTCCGATCGACAAAAGGTTTTGCCGACTGCTGCTGCTACCGCCTCCGCCGGTGCGCTTCGGCTGCGAATGACTCATGTCCGTTGCCCAGCGGCAAGCAGTCTCGGAGGCCGATGGCTGGGACGCGGAGGAGAGGCGGGCGTGGGGCGACGGCGCGGAAGGCGCCCGGACGACCGCCAAGGCCACCGGCGGCATATCCCTGGGGCCGGCGGCGGCGGTGTCCGAGGCGATCGCCGCGGTCAGCGCGCTGGAGGGGCCCAAGGTGCTGTACTGCGAGACGTGCAAGGTGCGCCGGCCGGCCAAGAGGGGGGTTCTGTGATGAAGCACGCCTCAGAAAGTGGACGCGCCAAGACACAGGCCACTCTTGATGTGCTCACAGCACTTTGTTGAGCCATAATCGCCCTTTCGGGGTCCCGTTGTTGGGCGGCAAGCGCCAAGTTGCTGTGATGTGGCGTTGTCCATTTTTGGCAGGGTAGATTGGAGTGCATGGATGGGAGCAGCCCCAGCGCAGCGTCTTGTCTATGGCGGGGCATGGTAGCGTGGTGCTGGGATGGTGCTTTCTCGATTGCCTCATGCGCCCACGGCTGCTGCAAGAGGTGATGGATGCGGCATGGAACTCCATCGAGTCGTACCTTTCACAGGGTGTCTCCAGAATCACCAATCTCACTACCCTCTCTTCAGCTGCCTTGATCTTTTGTGCTCGATCCTGAAGCCATTGGCAACGTTTTCCAAGAACAGGCTTGTTGGGTGCCAGGAGGATCAACAATTCTGCAGCCCCCACCACTGAAGAGCAGCTTGTGAGGGTAGACGCCATTGACGGGGTGAGTTCATGTGGCTCTGCCAGGCGTCTTTCCACGGCAATGACAAATACCAGCAGCACCTGGCTGGTCCAGTCCACCGAAAGGCGGTTGCAAGGATGGAGGCCAACAAGCAGAAAGCAGCAAGGCTGGCAAGGCATGGCGCAGCAGCAGAGGCTGCCCTGGGAGCGGCCGCCTGGCACTCTGCCCAAGGGGAAGCCCTCCAGAACGCGCCCACTGCCAGCTCTGCTGTAGAACCTGCCGAGGCCCTGCCAAAGCATCCTGAGCCCAGGCAGTGGGAGCCAAGGCACCCATTGCCAAGGCATGGAGAGGCCAAGCAGGGGGCTCAGCACAGCAGGGGTCGTGGAGCCAAGGGAAGGGGTGCAGCAGTCCAGGGGACCGACAACGCCACCAGTGCCACCAACAGTGGGCCCCGTCATGAGGACTTGGTTGCGCAGGCTAGGGCAGGGAAGGAGCCCCTCAGCATCGGTGGTGGGTCGATGCGAACTGGAAAACAGCAATGTGTGGCTTCAAGACACTTGGTCTCTTTTTGCTAACCGATTGAAGAACATATTCTAGAAAGAATGAAAGCATTCAAGGCAATAATTGGCCAGTGTGTGGGCAGCGTGCTGGACATTGGTGCAACCTACACAGCTGTTTAAAGATAGCGATGGTTTTGGCTGTTGGCAGCAACAGGAACAAGAACAATGCTAGTGTGAAACTGGACCTGGCTGCAATGACTATCTATCAGCCACAAGATTGTGTGGCACACACCGAACATGAGAGCAAAAGCCCCTTTCAGCTGGAAGAGTCACGCACTATCTTGGACACTGGCGTTTCTTGTGCTGGCGAAGCGTTCATCCCTCTCTTCTCCTGGGGCATAGGGCCTCTGCTGTTGTAGCAATCGGATTCCAGTAGCAATCGGAGGTACACCATCTGGATTGATGAGCTATGCTTGTAGAAGTGCATTTGGTGGCAAACGGGAACTGAATGTCATGTATGGATGCCTGTGCACATGAGTGGCACCCAGCATCACCAGAGATGTGTGAGCCACTGGAAGACCGCTGTGGATCATCGCATATTGGTAGATGCAACTCATGTAGATTTAGCCACGGAGGCGTGTATATGCTAACTGAAAGCAATGATGGCCACCGTGTCTGTTCACATGTTGCTGCTGGGCAGCAGTGTGGCTCCAGAGCACATCAATAACACCTCAATTGTTTGTCCTTTGGGTGACCCTATGATTTTGATCGTCTTGTGCCTGCCTCTCTACAGGCTGGATTCCTCCCATGGTGCAGGTGCAGGAGCCTGAACCACAGAACAGCGAGGTGCCACCCAAGCGGCAGAGGACTGAAGCCCCAAGTGGCACGGACTCTGAAGAACAAAGTGGCGAACCCCAGGGGCTAGGCCTAGTTGCGTACAGCAGCGACAATGCCACCAGTGGCCAGGAAGGGGTCACAGAAGGAGAATATGAACGTAGGTCACAACGAAAGGGCGGGATGGGTGGTGCGGAACCGATGGGTGCAATGTCAGCACAAGCGAATGTTGGTGAAGAATCTTCTGGAACTGAGGATTCCGAATCTGGGGGCTCTGAAGTGGGGTCACCCAATCATTTACAATCATTCTTCTGATGCACTGCCTTGCCTGACTTGAAATCGCGATTGAAATCACTGTGTTCCATCATCTGCTGTGCTGTCTCTCCACAATGTATGTGAGTAATTCTCTCGGCAGTACCTGAGGATGAGGTGCGACATAGGGCCACAAGGACCCCAAGGTCGAGATGCTGTCCTGAGGCCGCCTTTGCTTTCAGCGAAACCCTTGGCAGCGAACGAGACCAAAGGCCTCAACAGAGAGCCAGTGTTGAGTATGCCAGAAAGTCAATTGGCAGACGCTGTCCCCTTGGAACAACAGATAGCGAAACAAGATCTCTGGAGAACAGTGGATCCCAGTGCCAGTGTCCAATCCTAAGAACGGATTACAATATGATAGCAGCGGATCCTGGCAGTGCACCGTGTGTGTCCAAATCTTGTATTGGTGTGTTACAACCTGGACGGACGTCGTAGAAGCAACGGTAGAAGCAGCCATGCGATGACCCACCCCCTCTGCCCTGCACCCTATCTTGGCCAAGGCAATTAGTAGTCTGTGAGTCCAGTGGGCACCAGCGAGAGATGAACAATGCAGGAAACTATGCTCTGCGCCCACAAGGGCACCCACAAGGGCACAAGAACAGACCGCTCAGCGCGATGGTTCTGGCCACAAGGTACTTTTACTTGCAGCACATCCACACATACAGAAGTTCTGAGCTGCAGGCTGGGGGGTTTTGTTGCTGAACTCATTTCTGACTACATGGACGACGTGTGAGGCCCTTGCACCTGCTCTGACGGCTCTTTTGACCACCGTGGCATGCTTTCCCAGAACGCTCATGAATGCCCCGAACGCCCCACGCATCGACGTGGGACAAGTAAGGCAGTCGAACTCTGGCTTCATTTTCTGGAATTTCTGGCTCCATTATCTGTCCTTGTCTTATAATTCCTTACCTGTCGTCTTATTTTTATTTGCGGGCCTCCGCAACGTCGTGAAGCACTGCATGTGCCATTCTCTGATGGTCTTTTTCCGAAATCCCTCCGCCGTGGCAACAGAAGTGCGTGTCCCACCTCGCGCAGCAGCCGCGGCCGCTGCCCGCCCCCCTACTCATAGCCTTACAAAAAAAATGGGCAAAAAAGTGCCAAGACAATCCCCGCCAGTCCTGCACTCAGCTCACTGCCACAGCCCCCTTCCCAACGCCCCACACATCCCGCGGGCTGGGGTCGTCCTAGCCCCTCGCCACCGCTGCCAGCCCCGCACCGCCGGCGACCGTCCCAGGCGGGGCCGAAGTCGAATCCCCTCTCGGCCGGGCGCCCCTCGCTGGCCATGACGCCGACCGTGAAGATCCTGGCGTCCAGGCCGTGCGTCGCGGCATGCCTGCATCGCGCGCGCGCCCTCCCCGCCGTCGATCGCGCTTCATTGTCGCCGTCGTTGGGGCCGACGGGCTGTCGGGGAGGGAGGCGGTGCGCCGCGCAGGCCGCGGGGCCCCAGACGGCGCTGGCGCCCAGCCGGGAGGAGGTCATCACTGCGGACCCCGCCAACAACGTGACGGACAACATCTTCAGCAAGATCGGCGTGAACCTGCACCAGCAGCGCGGCCACCCACTGTGCACGATCAAGGAGGCGATTTACGACTACATGGACAAGGTGGGGGCGGGGGCGGGGGCCTGCGGCTGGCGCGTGCTATTGGATGGGATTGGGGACGCCGGGGAGCGTGCCGCCTCGGTCCTGTGTCGCAGAATGTCTCTTGGAATCGCTTATCTTGAGTTGGTTCGCCGTGATCGACCGTGTTGGGGTGGTGGATTATGGCCCGGTCCCTCTTGAGAACAACGCCGCTTGGCGTCCTGGCAAATGAATGCATCACCAAATGCATGGTGCCCCGGAGATTGCCATCCTGCTTTGATAGCAGTGCCGCGCAAAAGCAGCCATTATGTTGGTTACTGATTCGCTGAGTTGTCAGGAATTTCAACTTGGGCTCGAGAAGACAGAGGGTTGTCCAACTAAGGAAGTGGCAATAGAGCATCCCAGTGCCATGGTATAGAACTTGGTAGCAGGACAGCAACCCAATTGAGCATGGAGCAGACAACGTGGGGCGGTTGGCAATTCTGTTTCATCTGTGCGTGTGCGCGCATGTGCAGGAGTTTCCAGGCGTATTTTCTAAGCACGACAACCTCTACCCTGTGGTACCTACCGTAGCCAACTTTGATGACGTCTTGGTCCCACTGGACCATGTGTCCCGCTCTCCAAACGATACATACTACGTGAACAAAGGTGCGCTGCTGTTGGTGTTATGCAGATATTGGGGAGCCCGAAGCCATAGACATTGCTTGGAAAAGTAAGCACACGTCTACACCTTCAGGGCATCCTTCAGTGCTAGTACACCTTCAACAAACCTGTCAATGACATCGTGTCTCTTTCCCAATTTGCTGCCAACTTGTGTTCACCAACAAAGGTGCACCTGCCCACTTTTGGCATTCGTATCTGGGATGGCAGATGCATTCGGTATTCTGCAGCCGTGCAGTGGAGCTTCAGCAATATCTGAACTGTGCAGATAGCGAGAGTAATGTGTCAGCAACAGATGGTCATCCCAGCGTTGGAGAGCCAAACCCATCGCAAATGCCCACCCAATGTCCTCTGTGCATCGAGTGCAGAAGCTCATCTCAAGCAGTATCTCTTGTTTTACTGTGAAAATATATGCCCTTGACTGCCAGATACACGCAAGGTTGTTCATTGATATTCCATAGGAGATTAGGAGCAGAGCTATGCTTGAAGTTGTGCTGCCTGGAAATGAGTCAATGCAGAAGTTTGAGTGTTGTATTCAGTTGGTGAAACAGTTGGTATACTTACCAGATGCTGACTGCAAGCATCGCCTTTGGCACAGCCACTGTGCTCCGCTGCCACACATCTGCTCACCAGGCAGAGCTGCTGAGGAAGGGTGAGGGCAACTTCCTGGCTACGGGCGACGTGTACCGCCGTGACACGATTGACGCCACCCACTATCCGGTTTTCCATCAGATGGAGGCTGTGCGGGTGATGAAGGAAGACTACTGGAGAGCCACAGGCCTGGAGCCTGTCGTTGCATGCGAGAGGGAGCTCAAAGCGACTTTGGAGGGAGTTGCAAGGCACCTGTTTGGCGATGTGGAGTGCAGGTGCGCAAGGACTCTGGTCAAGGCAAGGTGGTTGTATTGATTCATTTCGAAAGAGTGCATGTGCTCTACTGGACTCACCCCTCCCAAACGGGGGTCATAGAGTGTCTCCCTTTGCTGTGCACTGATTTTGCGACATGGTACGAAGCCATCAGCGACGCCATTGTCAATCTGAATTCAATGCATTTTTCAAAAGGTGACACCCGGGGTGCTTGTCCGTGTTCTCGAATGCTGAGCAGCCTGATGGTTGACTCACAGGTGGGTGGATGCATACTTCCCATTCACCGAACCATCCTTTGAGCTGGAGATCTACTTCAATGGTGACTGGCTGGAGGTTCTGGGCTGCGGCGTGATGCAGCAGTCCATTCTCGACGACAACTACGCTGCAGGCACCAAGGGCTGGGCCTTTGGCATTGGTCTGGAGCGATGGGCCATGGTGCTCTTCGACATACCTGACATACGCCTCTTCTGGACAGACGACGAGCGCATGACCAAGCAGTTCCCACCAGGGGACCTGTCCGCGCGCTTCAAGCCCTTCTCCAAATACCCACCCTGCTTCAAGGACATGGCGTTTTGGGTGTCACCCGAGTTTTCAGAGAACAACTTGTGCGAACTTGTGCGCTCGGTGGCAGGAGATCTTGCGGAGGAGGTGAAGCTGATCGACGAGTTCACCAACCCCAAGACGAACCGGACCAGCAGGTGTTACCGGATATCTTACCGGTCGATGGAGCGGTCGCTGACGGACGAGGAGATAAATGAAGTCCAGTTCCGTGTGCGAGACGCCGTGGCAGAAAAGCTGAAGGTGGAACTCCGATGATGGGCCAATGAGCGGCAGCTATGCTGTATATCTGGTTTCGTAGGCTGGGTGCAGCTGCACCGATTGCCATCATCTAACGAAATGGTTGTTGGCCCTTCGCAGTGGCAACTATTCTTTGTTTCTGGACGGTTTATGGCATCACTCGGGGCCCAATGGTGGAGGAAGGGATTTGGCAAGCACAGTGAAGGAGGCTGCACAAAAGTCGAGGTGGGAGCCGTGGTGCAGGAGTCGTCAATTCCTGAGGGCCAATGTGATTTTGCTGGCGGTGAGGCGCCGCCTGGGGATCTCTTTGGTGTACACACATTGCATTCTTCTTGTGGGGATTCGCGGGGAGACGCTGGACAAATTGTGCAGCTCATGCAGTGTGGGCCTTCAGTCTGGGGCAACTGATGGTGGAGAGGAATGTCCAAGCTGATTATTTGTGTTCCATCGCGGGCAGGGCACAACCTTCTCTTGAATTGTTGGATGTGCACCGATGGCCGCGCCTCATGGATCCTGCGCAGAATTTGTGCCTGTGTGTCCGTCGTCGCCAGCGGAGGTCCTGCGAGAGTGGATGACTAATGAACGAGTCGTGGTCTGCCAGGCCGCTCGTGGATGTTGCAACTGCATCTGTCGCCTTCCGGCTCCCGCCTGTCGATTCAACATCTGTGCGAGCGGCGTAGAATTGAAAAGTAGAGCAGGGCACGAGGCTGGCGTGTTGAGCATTGCAATGATTTGTAGTGCTCGATTTCCTGTGGAGAAGACAACGGTCGTTCTGCAGTACTACAGTATGAAGCGCATCGCCCCGACATGCCTGACTGCCAGCACAGGCAGATTCGTGGGATCGACTCCAATGTATGGGATAATCACAAACAATTGCCTTGCACCATAGTCCTCTTTCGTCGGCCTTAGTTCATCGTTAGCGGGTCAGCCATTTTTTGCATGCCGCATCCCTAAAAGCGAGCCAATGGGCTCTGACGCCTCCATCACTGACCCACGCAGGCCCATGAATCATCAGGCGCATGTATGTCGAATGGCCCACGTATTCTAACAGACCCGCGGCCCTTCCCCAGAGAACCCCAAAACAGCCAATTGGACACAGGTGAAGGTATCAGGCTCCCATTGACATGTCTGGTCCGGGGCGTGGCCAGTGGGCGCCTCAGCCGCCTTCGAGGCCGCCTCGGGCCCGACACCCTCAGGACAACATGGACCGCAGGTACCTGCAGACAGCGGCTTACACGACAAACCCGCGGTTGGGGAAGGTGCGCAAGCCCACTTGCCTCGATGTGCAGCATTTGTTGGTGTGCTGAGAGGCGGGCACAATTGGGCCCCCCATGTGTCGAGTTTTGTCCATTGACTGCTGGCCTATGCGTTGACAAGACCCGCATCATTCGAATTTCATCACCTGTGGCGGGCAGCGGGACACGCACCGCACCGCAAAGCTGTGCATCCGCTCCCAAGTGAGTATGCATCTAAGTGGTCTCATGGGACATTCCGCCGCAGACTGTGAGGTTGGGGTGATGATGGGCGCCGATTCTAGAGAATTGCATTCGGCACCCTTGTCGCCCTGAAGGTTCTTGAGTGCTTCAATGTCGTTCGCGGATGCCAAACACGGTCTGGGTCGGTGGATTCAAACGCTTCTTCATGTTACCCGACTGCCTGTAATTTGGCCAGGGTGTGTGGGTCAATGTTACGTACTTGTCACACCCTGGCCAAAAGCGGAACGCGAGAAAATTCCCCTTTGCCTCCTCGGACGTGTATTGTTATTACCGTTAAACGGTGTGTTGATATTTTTTACAGCTGTCGTTACAGAAGAACGTCACCTTATTAGACGATGTTTTGGGTGGGTCTTCTCGCCTTCAAGATTCCATAATACGGGACATCAAAGATCTCAGGTGCTTTCTTTTCGATGACACAAATTGCTGTCGAATGTGGATGGCGCATTATGCGGCCACCATCCCAATTAAAGAGTCGCAGGGAAAAATGATCGCACATTCCCTGTCAGGTATACTGTTGGGAACAGCATCACAAGGCCAACCAGCTCCTGTGGAAGCAGAAGCTGCGGCAGGTGAGCTGCGGGCGACACTTACGGCCAAGGAAGCGTCGCCAGGGCCCTCCCATTGCGCAGGGCAGTCGATCGCAGCGAATGCCATCCCAAAGATGCTGGTCTTGTAGCGAAGACGAACGAACTCGGAGCCATTCGGTGGCGCAAGATGGATGACCAAGGGACGGGCGAGGCGACGTCGGTGTGATTTGATGGCCGCAGGAGCGCGTGCAGGAGATGGCCGACGCACTGAGGAAGGAGGCCCGAATCCGGGAGACAAACGATGTGAGGGCAATGCAAACGTCAAGGCCTGGACCCCGCAAAGAAACCATCCTCGGTTGCGCACCAATGCTGCCTTTGCAGTAGATTGCAGTATGTGTCCCCATACACATCCCCATAAGCTTGTGGGGTGCGCCGGCAGCCAGTTCTCGGCCTTGGGGGGGCAATGGGGTGACAGAGATGGGAGCACAGCCCAAAATGTCTCGTTGAGAATTGTCCAGGACAAAAACAGCCACTGCCCATTTCTTTCCCATCAACCTTTCATACAACAGCCCCTGCTCACGGAGCGCTGCAGAAGCTGGCTTTTCTGTGGAGTTTCCCCCAGGAATGGCCAGCCATGTCAGGTTCCAGGCATGGTTTGAAAGTGTTCTATTTCAAATCCGCCCATTGCAAGCACCGTCTTGGCTCCGAAGCTAAACCCTGCCCATCCTTGCAATGGATGGACTGGTGTTTGGGACAGACCACAGCACAAATGACTGCTTGCTGGGAGGCAAGAACGTTCTTGCAGCACTGGTAAGGGGAGACCAGAGGCTTCAGTCTGCCCCTCCAAAAGCTGGGCTCAAAACTACCTTGCATGGTACAAGAATGCTTGCAGCTTGGTAAAGTGGCGTACTTGAATGGCCTCGCTGGGTCCATTGCTGGAGACACTGTTGGATGAGCAGTGGAATGGCAGCCTGAGGATACTGGTTTTGCCTAGTTACTGCTGGAAATGGTTTGAAAGGTCCTTTGTTGCGCAGGTCCTGTTCAAACTGTGGTGCCTCAGAAAGGACAAGGAGAAAGGCCAACGGCTGCGCAGAAACGAGGACTGGTTGGCTGCGCTGGCGCCCCGAACAACCATGACCGCAGTGCCAGCAGGTTCCAACACCGCCCAGGACGAGTGGGCGCCGGTCACGAGGACGGGGGTGGATCCGATCGGCCGCGTCAGGATGATCCGCAGGCCGGGAGTCATCACGAACCTGCCCTGCTGAGGGCGCCTGCCACGCATCCTCGGCGCTCACCCGCGCCGAACCGCGCGGGGGCGGTGCTTTAGCCGTCAACGATGACACTCGGACCGGGCTTTGGGATCGCCGGACGGGGCCCTCCGTGCGTGCCTGATGGGCAAACTCTGTTGCAGTTACCGCCCTTTTAATGGACAGTTTGCTGTCTCGAACCGTTTGCACATGGGGGATTCTGACTCTACAGGCTGCTTCATCAAGGGACTGTCCCAGACAGGCAGCGCTGCAGCGACTGCCGACCGGCAGGTAGAGGGCGGACGCCCGAGGCAAAGATCAGACCGCGACCGAAGCAGGAAATCATATTACAAGCAGTCAGCTCACTTGTCCGTATGTTCGGCCGCCCGTATGCGACAAAACCATGCCCAGCCTTCCGTCATTCGAGCGGCTACCGCCAAAACCCTCGGCAACACGGTGCAGCGCCCCCCAAGAGTTCGGGTCCCCGCCAGCGAGCTCACCTCCCCCCCATACGCACGCCCGAGGGGCCCGGGCGAGATTTATGTACACCGAATCTAAAACAAAGGCCAAAACCGCCCCAGGCGTGCAGAGCCGAGAGGTCGCCACGGGGGGCGGAAACGGCGTCCCCAATCAGCCGGCCGGGCTACGTTCACCATCCAGCGTCGATTCGCGAACGTTCCAAACCCAGCGCCACACCTTCGGCCCGGAAACGGACCCCGGAAAACCCATGCCCACACACGCACCGGCCCGTGGGATCGGCGCACTCAGCCCTGGGCCGTGAATTTCGTAACCGCCTTGGTGCCCTCAGAGACGGCGTGCTTGGCCAGCTCGCCCGGCAGCACCAGCCGCACGGCTGTCTGGATCTCCCGGCTAGTGATGGTGGGCCGCTTGTTGTACTTCGCCAGCTTGGAGGCCTCCGTGGCCAGGCGCTCGAAGATGTCGTTGCAGAGGGAGTTCATGATCGACATGGCCTTGCTGGAGATGCCCGTGTCGGGGTGCACCTGCTTCAGGACCTTGTACAGGTAGATCTTGTAGGTCTCCAGCTTGGACCTCTTCTTCTTGCTCTTGTCCTTGGAGACGGCCACCTTCTTGGCCGGCACCTTGTCGCCCTTCTTGGGAGCCATCTTCGCGCGAGGCGGGGAGCAGATGCGCAGAGGTCAGGGATCGGGCTGCTGCTCGGCGGCTCCGGCGTGCGGCAGAGGGCGCTGCGGGCTGGCTGGCTCGGTTGCAGGAATGGAGGAATGGGGGGAGGGGTGGGCGCTTTTATGCTGCCTGGGCTGTGGGCGGGGCGCGGAAATTTGGAATTCGCAGCGGCGGGCGCCCTCCAGAAACGGCGGTGGCGGGTTCGGTTTGAACGCCATGTACGCTGGGTGGCCGGGCGCTTTGGGGGGGCTGGTTACAAATTCGAAATTCGAAACCAGGTCATTCGCACGACGCTCCGGTGCGGTGGGGGCGCGCCCTGGTGGCGTTCAGTGATCCGTGTCACGTGCTGTCCCTCCGTTCAGTCATCGCTAATGGTGCCCAAAACATATCGATGACCACCGGATATAGCCTGGTGCACCGCCCGCCACGTCAGCAGAAATTTCAAATTCAAATGGGGAACTGCCAAAGTGCACCCGCTTCATGCTGGCGTTTTCCAGCAGGCGGCTACCAACACAGCACCCACAGAACTATTCAACTGCCCCAAGTGCTGATCCGTCTTGTTCTCACAGGATGCTGCGGCCCCAAGGTGCAAGAGGGCCGCCCACCCCCCACCCCCGTCATTCGAAGCGAAATTTCCAAAAGAATAAAGCTGAGTCGCTATCCCCTGCCCCAACCATCCCCAACAAGGCCAAGTCAGGCCACACAACACCTGACGTTCAGAGGCAAAGGTCTTCGCATCGTGTCCCATTGGGTGCCGTCCTTGTTCAGAGTTGTAGATTTCCCCTTGCTCATTTTTCCCGAATTTCACGTGCTTGAAAAAGACTAACGGCCGTTCCAGCCGGCCAAGACTGGGCCAAAGGCGCCGCCCACGCTGTCAAATCACACTTGGCCACCCACCGACGCAAAAAATCGGAGAAAGCTCCGGGTCGAAACTCATTTGCACAAATTGGCCATCCACATCGTGGACATGACACATCGTGCATTGCACAAATCACACCACGCAACAACCCCCCTCCGCCACACCTAACCCGACGCCGCCACGATGCTGAACCACCTACGTTCGGCGCTGTCCGCCTGTCGCGGACGAGGACACCGGGCGTGCGCCTCCGGCGCCGAGCCCTTGCGCGGCGCCCTGGGCCCCGCCCCTCACAGGTGGGGGCCCCGCGGCGCCTCGAGCCGCGTCACAGTTCGGCGGATCCCGATCCTGAAATATGAATCAGGTCCTGACAGTGTCAGGGCCTGGCTCGGGGGGCAGGGGGTTTGCCATTCAGCGGCGCTGCGCGGCGGGACGATGCTTGGGATGCTCGACTCGGAATGCAAATGATCCGTGCGTGCTGGGGGGATGTCCGCCCGTTGTGGTTGTGTGGCATGGTCCACGTGGGCATATGTCGCTTGCTGGGAGCTGCCCATCGGCGCGCCCGCGGCAGGACGTGCCGCGGGTGTGGCGAGGCCGGGGGGGGGGAAGGGGGGGGGGGACTTCGTCGAGCGGGCAAATGCCGCATGGGATTTTATCGGCCAGAATCTAAGCATTGACTCGGGGCGGCAACTCGCGTGGTTGACGTTGGATTGGCGCGCCAGGATCCTTAGGATCCTCGGCGTGCCTTGCCTTGCCGGCCTTTGCATCGCATCAGTTCCAGGCCCCTGGCGCCTTGACGTGCCGTCCTGCAGAACAGCAGGTGCGCCGGGAGGTGCGGCCAGCATCGCTGCGGGGTTGTGGGCGTCCGGCACCCACACGGTCCCAGGCGGTCGTTCGCCGCGGCCGCAGCGGACGACGAGGGCAGTGCCGACAAGATGGCGGACGCCGCGGGGGAGGCTCAGGTGCGCTGATGGGCTGCCGCCCAGGCACGAGGGGGTGGACATGTCCTGAAGAACAGGGGGAGAAACTGGCAAAGGTCGCCAAGGGATGTGTAGAGCATTCCTGACTGGCGGACGTTGCATGCTTTTTTGTGGTGCAGCCGGGCTTAAAGCTGTTCGCGTTTTGGTGTTTGAGGTACGCCAAATGCTGGAAAGATTGTTGTTTAGGCAGAAAGACCACAACGCGATTGGGATGCCCAGCGTGTCACCAAGTGCTTGATCTTTGATACATGTTCATCCAACCCCGTTCCGAGGGAAGCGGGTGCCCCGACCCGTTGTGAACCCTGGACGTTGGTGCATGCCGTTGTGTGGGCATCTAAATGTGCCCAGGGCGGGCTAGGGATTGGCACAGGATCGATGTTCCTATGACTTTGGCCAAACAGCACCAAGGCAATGGCGAGCTTGTTTTCAGCGTTCTGTCCCATGCACCCCTCTGAGGTCCTGGGCTGGTGGCAGCTCTTGAGTCTAGTATCTGCAACGAATGCCTGCACCTGTGCCGCGTTTCCTGTATTTGTGCCCTCCCTGCCCTTGTGCCTATGTCACTGAATGGCCTCCTCAGTTGCTGGTACTCCACGTTGGTGTTCTTTCGCCCCAATGCTCCACATTGCCGAAATTAGTATCTCCTGCACCTGCAACCCTGAGGAAGACTAGAGCAGTGGTGAAGACTACACAAATTGCATGTGCTGCCCTTCTCTTATGCCCTGGTGTGAGAGCAACAAGCAACGCGCTGGCAAGCGAAGGAAAAATGGGGCCAAAGTCATATATGAATGCCAAGATGTTCCAGTACATTAATGCAGTCGCATCTCAATAATCCCTGGTTTCCGCAATCGTCCTATAGCAGGAGATCCAGGACATAGCAGTGCAGATCCGCATGTGTACCATTGTTTGCCAGACTGATCGTTCCCAATACGCGCCTGGAGTGTCCAAAAGGACCACCAACCAAAGAGAAACACCACATGTATGCATGAAGCTTGTTTGAGGATGTCCAGCACTGCCCCTCATGCCCCACCTTGCATGCTTTGTGTGCTCTCACAGGCAGATTCTGGAGCCCCAAAGATGGTGGTGTTCGGTGGCAATGGATTCGTGGGCAGCAGGGTGTGTGAGCAGGGTGTGAACATGGGCCTAAAAGTTGTGAGTGTCAGCCGTTCAGGTGGGCACCATCGAAGCATTCGCCCTTCCTCTTTTCCCTGGCCTTCACAACCTAACCAGGCTCCTGGGTGCTGGCCTCGATCCAATACTCATGTTTGTCAAATTGTAACGCGCTGCTGCCCTGTTGAGTGCAGTGTTTAGTGATTCGTATAAGGAAGAAGGCTGATGAACCAGGCATACGCCACTGAACCACCTCTTAGCACGCTTGAGAATGATGACCTGTGTGGAGAAAACTTGGAGTTGTTTGGATACATCTGGAATACCACGTTCTGCAGTGCACTCCGTGGCATTTTCATCAGCTTCTTGAATTCTCTGAATTGTTTCTGCAAAGTGGTACAGTGTGGACTTGTTCCATTGTGGGCCGTTTTCAATCAAGAACTGATTTGCCATTGTAATGTTTGTTAATGCAGTAAATCCACAGAAGCAGTAAGCACTTCGAATCTCATTTGCCCTATGTGTCAGTAGCAAGGCAACTGTTGCTTAGCTCAGCGTGCTGAAAGGTTCATCACTCAGGAAGCTTGTACCTTTGTCTGTTGTTCTATATTGGCCTGTTGCCAAATTGAATATGGGGTTCAGCAGACAAGGCCACCAGCTGGGGCACACCACAGGTGTTGCACAACAGCAACAAGAAAGATGACAGCAGCTCATACACAAACACATTTGCTATCGATGTGGCACTGTCTCGGTGGAGCACATGAACACAATTGTATTCAATACTAGAAAAATTGCATCAAGTTAGAACAGGAGGCAAGCAAATAGCTGCAGTGGACACATGTCCTATCACAGTGCTATTGGCTGCAACAGTGATAGCCGCACTGATTGTGGACGTGTGTCCACCACCCGCAACCATATCGGCCATATTTGTTGTACGGTCGAGTGTGCACCGTTGGACTGCACCAATTCCAGCGGGGGTTGTGCTCAATGTGATGTGCACATCAAGGTCCCATCTGTTGCTATCCAGGTCGACCAGGATGGCTGTCTGCTGCCTGGGCTGGCCATGTTGACTGGCAGAAGGGCGATGCCCTGGAGCCGGCCTCATACTCTGAAATTCTGAAGGGGGCTACAGCAGCAGTGAGCTGTGTTGGGGGCTTTGGAACCAACGAAGCCATGTACAGGGTGCGCTGTGAGGGTGGTTGCTGCTCCATTATTGTGTGCATTGTACAATTATTCTTAGCGTTGCTAATCGGAACGACAGTGACAGTTGCAAAAGAATTTGGCTTGAATTCTGGACCCTACACAAATTTCCTGATTTGGACACCTTGTGCAATCAGAGCAGGCCAATGGGTGGGGAAGTGCTAACCTGCCCAGAGAGTGTCGTTGGCATGAGGCATGCACAATGCCTTGAAAGGGATTACTGTTTTGCATGCCTGGGTTCAAAACTAGGAGGGATATTGCTATCGATGCAGCTGACTATTGTGTTTGAAGGGCAACCCTCATGGGCAGTGCATGTCATTTTCCCTGTCATGCCAGTTCCGTTGCTGCAGATTTGGGGGGGCGGGGCTCATATCGGTTCTCGTTGCTCAATGTGCGCTTGCTACAGATCTGTGGCCGAGCAAACATCTCAGCCATCGATGCAGCTGCTGCAGCTGGAGTGAAGAGATTCGTCTTCATTTCAGTGCACGACTACAAAGCACCAGGTGGGTTTGCAGAGCAGTTTCCAAGTGTGGTGCCAATGTCATCCACATACAGCAAAGTGTTCCTCAACATAGGGCACTGCACATTAGGGACGTGCCAAGACAGGGCTTGCGCTTGTGTGTATGGGGCGCTGTCCTCCTAATGCACAGCAACTGTGTGCCTGAGTAACGCATCAACAGTGTTGCGCTGGTGCATCTTGGAGAATCAGCATGTGTGATTTGTGATGAGCAAGGATCAGGGGTCCAGTGAACTTGCCAATTTCTACTGGGTCTATAACATGTCATGCCAGGTTTCGTGGCTCGCTGTGGTTACGGCAATCTCAGGAGACTCCGGGCCTGGATCGTTTGCACATCGCAATACACAGTCACTCACACTACGCTTGGGCTTCGATAGCAAGGCCTGGGGCTCAAGCACACATCAACAGCTGCAGATTCTGTGGCAGTCGCTTGAGTGGTGTGCACCAGCTGTCCCGTTCAGCTGCGACCCAGTTGTCGGCGATCTGCGCTGCCACTGTTCTCAAGTGAGCCGCCACATGCATAGCAGTCACAATTGGACAATCGCGACCCTGCTTTGGATAAAAACTTACAGATATTCAACGTATGGGAGACATGGTACTGATGGGTACCCTTTACACGCTCTGTCTCTGGCAGTTCATGTGTCATGAAGTCAAAGATCATGCTCTCGAAAGCAAAATAGGTATAACATCAGAAAGTTGTAGCAGCAGATTGTTGCATCGCTCAGACCTGCAATGGTCTGATTGAGATCATACCAAAGATCACCAACGAGTCCGCTTATGCTGTCTAGGCTTCTTTCTGGATGGCTACTTCAGGGGCAAACTAGATGCTGAAAAGGCTCTGCAGGAAAAGTTTGGGGACAATGGTGTGTCCTTGCGGCCATCGTTGATTCACGGCACCCGCAACGTGAGTGGCTTCGACATCCCTTTAGGCGCCTTCTTCGGTCCAGTCGAGAAGGGCCTGAACCTCATTCCAAATATCCAACAGCTCACTGAGCTGCCGGTGATCGGCGCTGCACTGCTGCCGCCAGTCAGCGTCGACGCTGTGGGGAAGGCGGCAGCCACGGCTGCTGTGGACCCCTCGGTGCCGGGCGGCACCATGGATGTATGGGCCATCGCGAAGTATGTGTGAGCCCAGCGGGTGCCGCAGCCTCTTGGCAGCACTGCCGCCTCAACACAGCTGCTGGTGCGTCTCTGCCTTAGAGTTTTACGTACTATTGGGCACCAGGAGATAAGTTGGTTGGGGGCGGCAGGCTTGGCTGAGTTGAGGCGCTCCAGGCACATGTGGTTCGATCGGAACAGGGCAGGCGCTCAGAGAGGTCTTGTGCATTGGTTATGTGGCTGGACAGTTCAAGTGCGCTTTGGGGGGGCGAGGGGATAGAGAGGATATGTGAAAATTATCGGCAGAGTGTAACATCAGTTGTGAAGGGCTGTTGACCTCATCAGAGAACATTCCCCAACAACAATAAGAGACCTGGGCGCCCAGGGAGTGGCCAGGCATTGTGTGCCATTGCTCGCAGTATATTAAACCAACATGCATGAATGCAAGCCCTGCATCACAAGCTGCCCAGGTACCAGTGCAGGCAAAGACAAGGGAACCGAGTTTAAATACGAATGTTAATTAATTGTTTGCAATTGTCTATCATCTACGTCCTCTGTGCTAGAAGGGATGAGCTCCTAACCTCAGATACACCGCGACCATCCATGTCATCTTGTGCCCATGCCCAAGAGCATTTGAGAGCCACATGTCGAAAGACAGCTTGCCGATGCACATCTGGGAGCAACAAGTCCACATCTCGCCTGCCTCGGGCAGTTAGCCTTGTCGTCCAACCAAAAGATGTCTCAACACGAACTCGTACGACAGGAACGTGACAGCAGCTGCAGGGCCAGCCTGTGAAACCACACTCAGCTGTCAGCCTTGTTGCAAACAATGGTCATTTTGGCAAATTGGCAGAAGCACACAGCGATCAGCGCGGGTAAGGGCACTGTGGACATTGAGCGCTTGGCCAACGCTCAGAAGAATTTGGTCATCGCTCAGGCCACAGGCTTCAGATAGGAGACAGACACACCAATCCACAAGAATACGATTTTGTGAATCAAAATCGGTGAATCGAAGGCGAACGATATCCTAAATCGTGCATAGTGAACAGTTCACGTAACAAGCCATGATCTGAAACGCTGGCAACGCATGGATTTGGATGTTTCTGAACCAGTGATCGTCTCAGTATGCAAGGAATTGTCTTGTCCTCCAATTGTCATAGAGCGCAAAACAGTCACTGCGAGCACAATCATCACAGAACGCAGCAGCAATGGCTGCAGGTGGCTAACGCCCCTTGTACCTTCAGGATATTTGGGAGACTGCCTTTCCAGAGCCCTGCAAGACCCTCTTGCTTGTACAGCTCGGTGAAGCAGATCGCCAGGTTCTGAACGGCCTTGGGTTCTATCCTCTTGCCATACTGGATGCTCCTTTTCAAGCCTGCCACCTGGTACCGTTTCTTTGCTACGTCCAGTGGAGCTGTCACTAGCTTTGCAACAATGCCTGCCATTAACCCACACATGAAGGTCTGCAATGTCGACGGGCTGCCATCCTTGGATCCCTGAAACGAACAGAGTTGCATCAGGAGCAGCCACAATCTGGCAACGTTTGTTTTCACCACACTGCTTCCTACCCATCACAGCACAGATCTCAAAGCGTGGGACGCATAGAATGCTTGTTCGTTTGCAAGGGACATTGATAAAATCTCAGCTTCATCAGTCTACCTCAGCCTATTGACCTTTTCAAACTTGAAGCTGTTAACAGTAATACTGAGCAACACCCAGCAGAGGATTCCACACACTTGTTGCAGTGCTAAGCTTTGAACCAATCGACACATTCGGATAGATAGCATAGACTTTTCCTCCAGACAGGACAAACCTTTATATTATGGCAGCCACCTGCTGTGCGGGCCACTCAAACAGCACTTTAGAGTTTGGAAGCACTCACCACTCTGCTAGTCCAGACTGCATTAAAGTAGTCATACGATCCGAAAGTTATGGCAGAGTAGGGAAAGATCTCCATCAGCGTGACGCCCAGGCCCATGTACAATCCTGGCATCCCTCTAACCTCCACAATCTTCCTTGCAGCATCAATCATACCACTGTACACCTCACCACAAATGCGGAATGAGTGTCAGGAATAAGGACCGAAAGGCACTTCCCCATGTGCAGATCGCACAAGCCATGCTTTGTTCATCGCCACTGCATGCACCACATCTGCTTGCAACATTGCAACTGATGTTGGCAAGGGACAAAAAAATTCAGGCGACAAATTGGTGACAGCCTCTGATATGGTGCGGAGGGATATACAGCGATATGCAGCGATTCCAAACATCCTGATAAGCACAATCGCTGAGCTCCAATCCGAACAACGACATCCTCTAAAGCAACGACACACTGGCGATGGTGTGTGTCTCTACCAAGTCCAGCCTTGATGTGCAGAGCAATATCACCAACGCCCACTCTGCAAGTGTGAATAAGACTGGGGTACGTTCCCTTTTGTGTGCGATCAGCTCTATTTAGCAATGCAGGATGGGCAAAGCCAAATTTTTGCACATACAACATGCCTGCTAACGATGCCAACGGAAGTTGCTCACACAGCACCTGCCATTGTGATAGGGCCATCCACTGGTGCAGTTATCTATTTGATCAAGACATAGCTTCTTTGACAGTCAGTGTATTCCAATCCAAGGTACAAGTGACAGCACTTTCAGCACAAAGTCAACATTGTCAATGGAAATTCAGAGATTAGCCCCTTCGATGGGTGCCTCACCTTGGGTTCCCCTTGGGCCGCCAGTGTTGTGCGCAACAAGTCGAAAGGGTACGAGGCGATGGTTGCAGCAGCGCCTGCCAGCCCCCCACTCAGGAATGAGACCCATGGTGGGCTGCCTACAAGATGAAAAACAACAACCTTGCCTGATTGGACGCAGATGGAAACCCCAGTCACTATGCAGTGCGTCCCTGGTTTCCAGTTTGAGCAAGACAAACAGCCCAACGTGCCAAGGCAAACATGAAAGAGCTTGATGTAATATTCGTCTCAGCGAGCAGATGGTCTTCTTTTATCTGGTGCCTCTGGTGCACAAGGTTGCCTTCCTGATGGCCATTGCCGCCCCAATCGGCCAGTAGTCAAGCACACCCGCACTGGGACCCCCTCTCTCATTGTCCATTACGCTGCTGCATTGCGTTGCCGAGATGTCACATCGCTGCACGAACATTTGGGCCCATTCTCTCTGACAACCCAGTTGGGTCAGGTCAATGCCAGTGTCCAGGCTAGGGTGCCCTGCGCCATTCCGCGCCACATCAACACGCACCCTGCAAGCCCAGTCGCTCAGCGACCGCCTTGCACTCCTGAAGCGCCACGAACTGCACCGCTGTGTAGGGCACAGACAGCAGCTGGCCGGGCACCGTTCCCCGCCACAATCCCTGCGGCAACAGTCGCCATCAGGCATGGGGCGGCCGAGCATTGGCGCGCCGCAAAAGCGGCAACCGAGCGTGGGGCACACGCACACCCGCGCCGGTCGCTGCCCAGAGGGAAAGGACCAAAGGCAGACAGACGGACTTGCTCCTGATCAACGGCCCTAAAACTCCTTCATCACGGTGGCATGGAAGCCATCAGACCATGCTCTGGGAAAAATACGCAACGACGCAAATCCCACGCACGCAAAAACAGCTCGCGCCCGATTGTGACCGCATTGAATCGTCTCTGAAGATCTGCGGGCGCCCCTGGGCTGCGTCCGCCGTCCCGCCCAATCCTTCGCGGAGCAGTTTGCCGCTCCCCACCTGGATCCCCTCCTCCCTCAGGATCGCCTTGAACGCCTGCGCGATCCCCGTGTACTTGGACCCCGCGCCCGGTGCCCCCGCCGCGATCGGCTCCACCTGCACCTGGAACCGAATCTTTATGACGTCCAGGGGGCCCACCACGAAGCGCGACACGCAGCCGGCGATGGCGCCCGCCACGGCGTGCACCACCGGCGGCTGCTCCTGTCGACCTCTCGCTCCCGGCATCCCGCGAGCCGCCGCACCCGCGGCCGCCGGGGACAGGAACAGGTTGGCGGCAGGGGGCGGGGTCGGCTGGCCCCTGTGCGGGGTTGTGCGTCTCTGCCTCTGTCTTGCCTCGGCATTTGCCCATTCCAGAACGGAATTTCCATCAAAGATTCCTGAAGTTCTTCCGGCTGTGATGCAGGGTGGAAGAGCGGCGGCAAAAGGACTGGACAAGTGAATACAGTGGTGGTCCCCATATAGCGCCCCCGGCGCCCAATAGCGCCCCCTTTTTTGACTTGTCACCATTTCTGTGGTACTTTATGCAGCTTTGTTGCGCAGTGGGACCTCAAACTAGTACAGGGAAGGCCCGGTTTAGCGACCCCTGTTTAGCGGCCTGTCTAGGTTTTGCGATCCCCTGAAAGGTTTGTCACCGTTCCTGTAGTACTTTATTTCAATGCGACAAGCCCCGGCGCCCGCACTTCGGCGCTGCATCTAAGTCGCTGGCACCAAAAGCCTGTATGGGCCCGGTAGGCCAGGGGCAGCGTACCCCCTACGCTGGCGGCCAGAGCACCCTGTACACCGGCTGCTTGTTGTACCTCCCTTAAGACAACAGCGCCCCCGTCCCACAATAAATCCCCCCTTTTGGCCATGTCACGTGGGGCGCTATATGGGGACCCCCATTGTACTACATTTCTGTTCACAACCTTCTTTCGCTCTTCAAGCCTCCGGGTTCTTCAATCCACGCTCCCCAATTCGATTGCGGGATTACAAGGAGACGGTGGTTTGCTGAACTTTCTTTACAGTAAAAGATAACACATGACTAACCGACATAATTTCGCTTGTGCCCAAGGGCTGTGGACCTTGCACAGTACTCTGGCCCAGAACCCCGGTTCCTGTGGGCCTCGTATTGTCCATCAACACGCACCGCCGATCCGTCCCGGGACTGACACCCTACGGATTGCACCCTGGAGTCTCGCAAGCCTTGGCTGGGCCGCATTTCTGGGAAGGGATGTGCTTGGAAATGGAATGGCAGACAGGGCATCTCCAAGATGTGTCACAATTCATTTCCGCCGGGCCGGGCTCTTTGTCCCGCCCAGGTCCACACACACACTGGACCAATACATTACAACGACATTGTTTGTCCCAAAACAACCCGAGGTACCCACAACTTGTGTGCCCAATCGCTTCGCTAGTAGTTAAGCCAGTCCCATACCAGACTCAACCCTTGAGTCAGACCCACCACACCCATTCCATCGTGCTTAACTCCCACACTTGCCTTAAATCAACCGAACATCACCCTAATAGGGAGGGCCGGGTGGGAAGCGAAACAAGATACGGTGGGGACCGAGGGGTGAGCCTAAGTAGCCTCCCCGCTCAAGCCCGCCAAAGCCCGCCACTCCCAAGGGCGCCAAAAACCACTGGCTCTCCTTGAACGCGACGGACCAGCCACTGACCCGAGGTACAGGGGGACAGAAACCCCAAGGGGCCGTCAAAACCGGTGTACTTGAGCAGCGCTGGTCCGACTGGGCCAGCGCGCCCGCCCCTCGTCGCCCTGGGCAGAAACCCCTTAACAAGATAGTTAATCCCATTTCCGCCGGGCCGGGCTCCTTGTCCCGCCCAGGTCCACACACACACTGGACCAATACATTACAACGACATTGTTTGTCCCAAAACAACCCGAGGTACCCACAACTTGTGTGCCCAGTCACCCTCGGACACACTGTGCACCTCCGGCGCAAATGATGTGGCCATACCTCTCATGTAAGTCCCAGGCGGTAATCGTCATCCACCCAAAAAGGCGATAATCCCACTCCGATGGGATGCGATACACATCGATATACCGCCACATGGCAGCGCTGCGCCAGTCGCCCCAGTGGCGGATGCGCTGCTCGGGCACCTCCAAGGCGAAACAGGCCGACGCCCCACCCGCACGTAAGCCATGGTGATCGAACGCGCCGGGGTGCAGATCCGGCGAGGAGGCCAGGAGGTCCCGAAACCAAGAAGAAATTGTGCGGGCGGACGGGTCGCGCTCGCTCGGGAGAGTGAAGAAGTGCGTAGGGGTCCCACCCGTGTCCGCCCAGGCGCGATCCCTGAAGGCGCCCCATCGAAAGAGGAGGTCGACGATCTCGGGGGCGCCCTGCGACGGCCAGGAACGTAGGCGGATGGCCGGGTCGGTGCCCGGCTTGAGCTTGGTCCTGCGCTCCCGGAAGATCACAACACCGTCGGTAACCTAAACATCGTCCAACATAATGAAATGGCCACTTTGGGCCCTATTGAAGAAAAGGAAGTCGAGCATGGCAGAAACCGACGCCCGCAGCACCCGCAGATCGTCCGTGCGGAGGCCCCGCTCCAGAATGCGGAGCATTAAGGTCGCCGGGACCGGAGCATGCGAGGACGCCGGCTCCGGGCATTGGCGACGCCAAGACCGGGTGAGCAAACGGGTCACCCGGTCGAACGCCGAAAACTGGAGGTGACCCGCGACCTGGTGCACCATCGAAATTGCAGCCAGGTACTGGGGGAGGCTGCGGACGCCAACCCGGCCCTCCTCCCGTAAGAACCGAATGTAGCGGTAAATGGTGGCCGGGCGGGCGGGAAGGGCCGGGAGCTCCACGGAGGCGCAAAACGCCTGGAATTTGGCGAACTTGAGATCGCAGATTCATCGCCAGCAAATGTGGATTGCGTTAACTGGGTCGACATCCAGCCCATAGAGCGGGTGATCTGGCGGCATGGGCTCCACTGGCAGCGGGTCATCCGGGGGAAGGGCGGGCTCCCCGGAGGGGGACCGGGTACCCGCCGGTAGGGAGCCGTCCGAGGGCAGATGTGAAATGCCCGAAGGTTCCACTTCGGCGGAGGAAGAGCCGCCGGAAGACTCGGATCCCTGGGGCGAAACATCCCCGGATGGCGGGGAATCAGCAGCTCCTGCGTCGCCAGATTCTGGAGCGGCGGAAACCAAAGCGCGCTCGGCCAGTCCGGCGCGAGCACGACGGCCTCGACGGCGGGCCGAGCAGCGAGGAAGGATACCAACCGAGGAAGGAGGCACCATGGCGGGTTGCACCAGTTGGAGTCCGCCGTCCAGTCTTGGAGAAAGGCGTCCGTCCCCGCACTCCCCACGTCTGCGTGCAGGCTGTTGTACCTTGGACAGAGGGTATTCGCCGCGGAAGCAAAGCGGTCGCACGTCCGGCGACCGAAAAGCCGAGTCAGCCAGCGGAAGATGGCTGGATTGAGCTGGTAGTCATCCCCCACCCGGATACGTGACAGCTGGTCCGGGATGACGTTGTCCTCCGACCGAATATAGTTGGGGTCGAGCAAAAGGTGGCGCGTCGAGCAGACGTGGTGCAGCTGTCGGAGGGGGCGGAGGAGCTCCTTGGAATGTGTAGTCATGCTGCGGAGGCAGTACATGACTACTTGGTTGTCCACCAGGAGGCGGAGCCGAGAAGGAAGGCCATGGGAAGCAGCCGGAAAAAAGCTGCGAATGGCCCGCTCCACCGCCTGCATCTCACGCACATTGATGTGCTTCAAGGAACGGTCCCAAAACCCCCTTGCTAGGAGGGGGCGGGACGGCCCGGCAGGAGAAAAGGTGGCTCCCCAGCCGGTCAGACTGGCATCCGTGGCCAGGGTGCCGGCGAAGGGGATTGCGTCCGGGTTGAGAGGGCGACTTGCACAGCGCGGAAGGTTGACCCACGCCTCCAAGTCCAGCCGGGCCTGGGGGGTGAGGCGCAAACGATCCCGCCAACTGCGTTTGGACCGAAGAACTGCATAGAGGCTTTGCAAGAAGAAGCGCGCCAAGGGGAAGGCCAAATGTAAGGAAATGGCCAATCCAGCAAAACGGGCCAAATCCCTGGCCACAACCCAGCGATATGAGCGCAAAAGTTTGGCCTTAGAGGCCACCAAAGCAGCCTTCTCCGGCGGAACTTCAAAACGGCAATGGGCCGTGTCGATGATCATGCCCAAATGCTTCTTGCGCCGAACAGGGGTCCACTGACATTTGCGGTCTTTGAATTGGATACCCAGCGAGGCAAAAACGCCCCTCACAAAACCGGACCAGTGAGTCAAACGAGAGGCGTCATGCATTGCCGCCAAAAAATCATCCAAATACGCCAAAAGAATGGCGGGAGATTCCTTAGTGTACACCTGAAAGTAATTAGCAATGGCGTCATCGCCTGCTAAGCATCCAAAACGAAACTGTCTCGCTGCCTGGGGGCAGCTGCCCGGGGACCTCAAGAAACGGCCCACTACAAGCATGAACTGCGTAAAAAAGAATGGAGCTAACGAGAGGCCAAACGGAAGTGCCCGACATGCAAACACTTCATCCCCCATTCGAAACTGCAGGAAGCATTCCTCTGATCCACACACCCTGAGGTGATGATAAGCATCCTTTATGTCGAAACCCACCAATGAGTCATTTCGTCGAAGAAGGTGACCAAAATCATGCAATTTTTCGTAGCGAAGGCCCACCTTGCGCAGGTGACGGTTGACCCGTCTCAAATCGATGCAGAGGCGGTACTTCATGACCCCGTCCTCCCGACCCTTCTCCACCAGGAAGGCGCGGGAGATGCGCGACGTCGGGCCCGGAGCCACCTTGACAATCGCGCCCGAAGCGAGGTACTCCGCGCGAAGGGAAGTCCAAGCCGCTCGTTCCTCCGGAGAGCGGAGCGGATAGGAGCCCTCATCGAAGGGGGCTGGGGGTCCACGCGGGCCCCAGAGAAGCGGGGTCCCGGAATGGATCCATTGGAGGACTCTTGATGGAGCGCCGATCCGGCGCCAAGCGGCAAGGCGGCCTCGAACCCGGTTGTACGGGAAGTCCTTTACGGACCCGGCTTGGGGGATGGAGCCGGGGCGCGAGAGCCTTTGTGGGACTTGTGGCCGGTCGAGGGGGCCGAGGTCGACGGGGGGGAGGTAGACTTCTTGGCGGCCGCGGTCTTGGTGGCGTGCTTCAGTTCTTGCGTCAAGAGCTCCTTGCGCATGCGCTCGATGGTCCCGTCGACGCGAGCGGTGCTGAAGCGAAGGCCGCAGTCGGCGAGACGGATCTCCGCTTGAATGGCGTGCCACGATCCCTCGAGGCCCGAGCCCTTGTGCTTGGCGTAGATGCGCTGCAAGGAAAGCTGATCGTGGAGGGCCTTGGTGACCTCCACGTACGAGTAAAGGTAGGGGAGGAGGAAGTCTCGTACGGACGCCGGGAGATCAGGATGGGCGGCCACCTCCACGAAGGCCGCGGTCGTGTTGAACAGCCAGGAGACCGGAGGAGCCCAGCCCGCGTACTCCTGGAAGTACCCGGAGTTGGTGCCCAAAGAGGTGGCGACCGCACTCCCCTCGGCGGTGACGCGGACGTCGAACCAGTACGGCGAACGGGCGCCCACCGGTCGGGCGACCGGGTTGTTGACGGACTGGGGGAGTAGCGCCGGGTCGGGCAACCAGCAGGCTTCGATAGCGGAGCTCGGAATACGGTTGTTGAAACGGCGAGCTTGTTCCCGGCACCACTGCTCCGCAGGGGACGGGTTCATAGGCAAGAACTCGGCAAAGAGCCGGAGGTCGAGACCCACTCAGTGGGTCCGGGTTGTGCCAAAGAGTTGGCGCGAAGCGAAACAAGATAAGGTGGGGACCGAGGGGAGAGCCTAAGTAGCCTCCCCGCTCGCGCCCGCCAAAGCCCGCCGCTCCCAAGGGCGCCAAAAACCACTGGCTCTCCTTGAACGCGCCGAACTGGCCACTGACCCAAGGTACAGGGGGACAGAAACCCCAAGGGGCCGTCAAAACCGGTGTACTTGAGCAGCGCTGGTCCGACTGGGCCAGCGCGCCCGCCCCTCGTCGCCCTGGGCGGAAACCCCTTAACAAGATAGTTAATCCCATTTACTGGTACTTTGGAAGCTGTTTAGATAACTAAATTTATATTTCAAATAGAGGACAACTAATCTTGAACGGAGGAAGTATATGTCTGCCCATATCGTAATTTCCGACGGCCTTGCTGTTAGATGCCCAGTCGGTCGCCACCGTCTGCCATGCACCATCTTTGAGATGACGGGACATTTGACCAATCACGTTCAATCATGTCCAACGCATGCTCACTCCTGGAAGCAGCACACTGCATGGTGCAATCGCAACACGCCTGCGCTTAGGAAGGTGGCTTCAGTTGTCACCGGAATGTCTCCCAATTTGTATGATGAGCATGTCCAATCAACCACCACTGGTGAGACCGATGTAGTAGATGTAGCCCCTGCCCACCCGGTTTGCATATGTCGCATCCAGTTCCAGTTCCCTTGTTCGAGTTCTGCACTGGCACCTAGCTGTGCAGCCCGCTGAACATACACGCTAAAAATGCATGCTGTGCACTTTCACCACGCCAGCCTTTCGGCTTAGGCCACCAACGACACGGAAAGGTATCCCACCAAACCAACCCGTCACAGCATCCTGGGGCACACGCTTCTGCCAGAGGCGAATCTGCCTCGTGGTTCACACGCCCGTTGCCAATGTGAACCACCTCAATTGCCTAAAAGCAAATTATCATCACCTTGGGGAGCACACCACCTTCTGTCACAAGGCTGGCTGTTCCCCGAGCCAATGATATGCCTGAAGGCTTGTGCACCGGCACTTAACTGCGGCCACAGCAGTTGTCTCATTCAAGCACATGTGGTTGTGCCCATTCCGGCAGCGTGCAGGAACACTGAACGCCAGATGTCGGAGACTCGCCCAAGTCGTGCTGTGTAGGCCAAAAGATCAACATTCATAAATTTTCCGGGTCCTCTTTTGCATTTTACAGTTGCGAAACAAGCAGACAACTACAGAAGAAAGCCACCCACACTCCCATCTTGGCAAAGTGGCTGGTGGGTGCAGCTGGATGCCCCACACTTCACTGCAACATCTCTGATGCGCCTTGCAACCAAAACCTTCCCAACACCCCAGTGCAGAAGCCAGCCGCTTCACTGCCCCAAAAGCTTGGCAACATCCGCATTCCACACGTTGTTAGTCCAAGGGTCAGCCAAATGCGCAGTCCAGTTCTCCAATGGGCCGTCACCAGTCTTCCAAGCCTGCACACACAACAGTACCATGTCAGCAAGGCCCCAACATAACTTCGGACAACATACACACCCCGTACGAAGAACACCTCCATCGCGTCATCGCATCAACATTGTCCTGTGCGTGATGATGTCATATCCCAGTTCAGCAGAATGTTTGGGATGTGCACACTACATTAGCATTGCATCCGTTCATGACAGGGGAGGTAATCAACAGCATTAGTACTTTCATCTGCAGTGAAACGACTTGTTGCCTGGACCATCGCCTGAGGGACAATGCAAGCACCACTGTTCCACAGTGCACAAGAACGGTTAAGTCATACAAAGCCAAACCACAGTGTGTGCACCTGCACACCAACAAGATCCCTTCACCCGATCAACAAAGCACATCCACCACTCAGAGGATGGGGTCCAATAATTGCAGCTTCGCCAAAAGACAAGCAGCTATCTCCACCTATGCTGAGACAATGCATGAAAAATGTGCTTGCGCCAGACATGCAATCCACGCCTCCCTCTTGAAACTGTTTGTCAACAGGCAGCAATAAGATGTGCACACCTGTGCATAGAACCCCAAGCTGGCGAACATAGCCAACCGCCCATTCTTGATCTCCTTCAGCTTCAGATTGTCGAGGTCACCCTTGGACCAGCCAAAGGGGTCGAAGATGCCACCTGTGTTGGGCAAACGACGAAGAATCAATACATTAACCCATGCAAACTGTGCAATGACGCCGAACATGCCACAAATTCTTGTCCACAATGCCACAGGGCCACAAGCCGTCAGCCAACTGATGAAATTTGTGTGGCTAGGACCAGGCTCATGCAACACTTGTTCCCGACAACAGCACTGTCTGTCCACCTGTGAGAAATTGGTGTCCAAATTAACAGGCACAGCTAGACTTTCATCCCACTATTATCATCTTTGCAGACAAGCCCCTTGCCAACTGGTCAGCACAGTCCAACTTTTGGAGCCTATCTACATTTTCATTGCCATTGTCTCTGCAGAGAAAGCATGCACTAGTCCACACAAGGCAATGTTGGGCAAAATGGGGACAACTGGATGCCCCATACCTGGGTACCCTGGGGTGTTGTCAGAGGGGAGACTGTTGGAGGTGAAGATAGGGTCCTGATTCACTGACCCAGGCTTCACATAGTCCTGGTACCTGTAGGGGCAAATAATTCGTCTGAATAAGATTCCAAGCTGCTAGGAACGAATGAAACTACCATAGGCAAAACAAAATTGCAGCGCTGCATGCCTTGGTTGCCAACCACTGAATATAAACTACCCCCTCACCCCCACCATGTGGTTACCTGTTGAGGTTTCTGAGGGACGAAAGCCAGTTAAGTTGAAAATCGCATCCCACAGTACACGACAACATTTCTGTGTGCATTTCTCTTGTGAACACACAACAAAGAAATAGAGCACGTGCCCACTATCAATTCCAACATCACTTGCTCAACTCAGCTGCAATGCTGGGCAAATAAGGGCATTTTGTGTGTGCGCTTACCTCCTCATCTCGGCCCAACCCATCAAGATAATCTGCAGCGCATAAATCAGAGCTGCGGAGCCAAAGTAGCCGTCGAATGCTCCAGCATCATACCACTTGACGCCAGCTCCGGGCCACTTGATTCCCAATTCCGCTACAAGATTTGGCAGCAACATGCCAGCCACTCCGAGCATGGCGAACCGAGCATGCACAAGCTCTGCCTGTGCATACCTTCAGCGCAATTAACAACACAATCTATTAACATCATCTTGGAAGCGCGAGGGCGGGGCCTAAACAATTTCACAGAGGCAACAAAAGGCACATGAACTTTTTAGAGGTGCTGGTTTGTTTTCGCCTTTCTTGAATTGGCCTGCCCTGCGCGCAAGGAGAGCCCTGTGCACACTGATCATGGGTAGGCGCTCAACGCTCATGACTTCGGGAAGCAGTGTACTGGATGGCGTACATCAACAACACAAGGAGACCACGCGCAAAATCAGTTGCCAGAAGTCACCGGGTTCGACCTCACCATTTCAGAGCCTCTGGGTCCTTGCCCAGCCCCAGGGGGTCATACCCGAAGTCGCCAGGGAGCGATCCGTCCAGATAGTCTGGCCGTTCAGCCCCTGGAAGCCATATTGGCCTGTCAGACGCGGCCCTCACCACCTGGCGCGACGCCCGAGAGACGCACACCTGGCGCCACAGCCCCGCCATCAAACTCAGGTGTCGACGACAGGGACAGAGATCACAACGTGCCGGGCGCGAATCAGGCCAAGAGCCTTTCACAACCCCGACAACGTGGGGACAAAGCCTTTGATTCTACAAGCCGTTAAAATCGGCTGTGGCTCTGCTGGTTTCTGGGCATTTCGGTCCAGGCGGGTGCGCACAGCAATCCGGCAGGGCAGTGTACGTCGTGAGTGTGGATACGTCTTGCTCAATCAGGCATCGATGCTGGTGAAGATAGAGGGGCGAACCCTCTGTGGCCAACGTCCCGTAAAGTGGCAAGAAAGTCCTGCATTCGCTTCGCATCAAGCCGCTGGTCCAGAGCAACAGGAAGCACGCATTGCCCCGCAAGATTGCCCATCCAAGCAGCAGCTGGACGCTTTCCATGATCCACCCAGGGCCACAAGCACCCATTGAGCACCGGAAGAGCCGGGGCCACAATCCCGATTCCACAAACGCCGCGTCGAGAGCACGACGCAACGTTCGGCCACTGATCGCGATGCTGGGCACCGCAGGCGCGCTGAGCGAACCGCTCAGCCAACTGCCGTCCGTTCAACTCACCGCTGGCACGGCGCAGGGCACCTGGGTCCCAATGAACGGCGCCTGCCTGGAGGCGGCTTTGGGGGAGGTCAACGCGGACGCCATGGTTGTGTGACAAGGCGGGGCAGGGCCCTTACAAGGAGGGTTGGGCGTGGGGCTGCGCGGCGACCTGGGGGGTAGGCGAGGCGCACCAAAAGCAGCCCGGGGCCCAGAGCTTGTGGGCCGATCGAGAGATCACAGATCCGTCGGGCCGCTTTCCTTCAGGCACCAGGGGCTGCATCATTGTCCTCGGCATTAAAATTGGAATGGCGCCATTTGGGCTTGTGCGCACGTGCGGTGGTGGTGCGGCTTCCGTGGTTCCGCGGAAATGCCACAGGACGTTCCCCATAGGCACAACGCATACCTTTGGTTTTTGAACCCTTCCGCATGAGGAAATTTTACCGTCACGCTTTTCGCTTCGCATCTGTTTTCCAGAGCGGCATTTTGCTTATTTTTACGCTGCTCCGCACATATTTATTGAAAGAGCGTTATTCATTTTATCGTTTTCTGCGCAAGAAAAGGCCCAGCGATACGTTACTGTGCCGAAGGGTTTAAACCAACGGTACACATACACTGTACCGCAACGCCCAACTGCACAAACCTAATCCATCCCCGTCGCTGTCACCGTCTCCATTGACGTGGTCCATCGGGAGGAGTGTGGCAATGTCGCTCTGCCGACTTGTCACCAACACAACGGTGGAAGGAAGGTCTTTTGAGGAGCGCGGTCAGGCAAAAGTGCACACTTGCACGTTTGTCAATCCCTCCGCTTTTGTGTGCCTATTGCAGGCCAAGCTTGGATGTGCAGACTTGGTCGCAGCATGCCGAGTCCAGGCTTCCCGCGCACTGTTGGTGAACGTGCCCAGAGGCCGTTCGCTGGGCGTTCCAGCCGGGCGCAGCAGTGTTCTGCAGGAATGTTCGGAAGCCAAACGAGCAGGCCTTTGAGCAATAGCCTTGCTGAAGAGTTTGAAGGCAGCATCGGACACAAAGACCAGGTGTGCAGCTGACCCTCAGCAGACCATACAGAAGATGGCAAAATCGCACGCACTCTAGAGCGCCAGCTGAATCTGGGCAATGTCAACCTTTAAAGCAGCAAGCTTACAACGCCCACACATGCACACTGCTCATAGCCACAGACGGAAGAAACACAGCGGAATAGGCATGGCCATCGCGCCCAAATGCCACACAAGAAATCTGTTTGCCCACCCTGTTCCCCAAAATCGAGTAACCACATAGCAAAGCTATGGATTTTGGCCATCAATTCGTGCACAGCTGTTGTGCCACTGAGCCGCTGCATTAAAACACCCTAACCAGAGGTCTTCTGTGCCTGCCTCCCAAGATATTCTGCTATTGCCAGCCTCTTGCAGTTCGCATCACACAAGAACCGGCTGCTCTGTTGGTGTGCAGAATTTGCTTGTCCAAAATCTCAGAATAGATGTCATGCATTTACTGAAAGGTTATGAAACCCTAAAGCAGGGCCAACCACCTGGAACGCCTCTTCGTGGCCAGGCAAACCATGCAGCATAAGATCTGCCACCAAAATTCTCACACCTCAAAACTTACGAAAGTGGCCCACACCCCACCCCACCCTGTCAGGAACCCCAAAATTCTGAGCAACGCCGATCGGTGCCAGAAATAACAAAACCTGCAGCAAAGGCAGCTGCCGCATCCCTTTCAGCAACCCCAAATCCAACCAGCACAAAATTCATCCACATCCAGGTTTCCTATCCGCCCCTTCACCACCTAGCCGCTTCCAATTCCATGACGAATCTCAAGTTCCCTCAGCCTCGACGACACAGTTTTTGGCACAGAGGGGTCGGTGAGGAAGTGGTCGCCATCAACGGGCTGGGGACGGTGCCTGGGGCCCGAGGTGGGACCAGCATCAGGCAGCTGGCGCGCGGACACACCCGTGGGCTCGGAGTCGTGCACATCCAAGGGGCAGCTGGCGTGGAGCTCAATGGGGAAAGCCTCGTAGCACTCGTGGGTGGTCCTCATCGCGTGGCGCTCTTTGGCTGTCAGCTGCGCCTCCTGGGGATCAGGCAGGTGCCTGAGCCCCGTGCCTGGGGCGTCCTCTCCGGGGAACGTCACTAAGGTCGAGGAGAGGGACCTGTCCATGTTGCCACTTCCTGGTTGCAGCAACAGGAGGGAACATGCTCAGGGGGCAGCAGGGGATGAGGATAGTGAGAAGGGGAAAGAGACAAAGACCACGGGGCTAAACCGCAAGAAGCAAACAATGGCCCGACAGTGTGCACAGCAGCTCTTTCCCACTGCCAAAAGGCGACTGTGAGCATCTCTATGCGAGCAACTCAGCAGTGCAGCGAGCGCAGTCTTGCACGGGTTTCACGCAGAGACAGAAGGAGGGTATCCGTTGCCTGTAAAGGCCCAAGCCACGCCCAATGATCATCAATAGAGTGATAAGAATTGGAAGTGTACAGGTTCAATGTGTGGGATCCATCCCAGTGCGGAAGAGTGAGCACCGCCCCAGCACGTGTGGGTCCGCACCTCTCTCCAGCTCCGCCGGCTTTCCGTTCGTCCAGCACACCACGCGAGCGACCTGGCGATGTTGCCTTCCAGCCCCGGCGGGGCGCGCCGCTCCGGAAGGAGCCCGCAGGACCGTTGTCGCCTTGTCGCCTGCAGATGCGTAGAAGCAGATCTGAGCTGTTGGCTTCCCCTTGACACCGCGGCCGAACGGGGGCCGGACGCGAGTCTCCGAACAGCCCCTCCAGCAGAACGCGACCTCACCGCAGCCACATGCGCCGATCGAGGCATCGCGAGGAACACCAGTCGGAAAAGATCCGCGCGGAGCGCCATGGCCACAAACATTCAATCGCCACAGCACCTTACCGTAGCAACAGAATATTCGGACCCCGCATACCGGTGCGGCGATGCAGGCGTGCCGACGAGAGGCGGGGCGTTCAGCGAGCAGTACGCAAGCGGCCCGATCCAAAATCCCTTGCAAGGAAACTCCGCAACAGCGGCGCGCAAACCGGGCCCCGCCACCTGGGTGGCTCGGGCCCGCGATTGCACAGCGGGCGTCGCATCGCGCATCCTGCGCAACCAACGCGAGGCCCACCTCCCAGCATGGCTCCCTTGACGCAGCAAGACCGGGTGAGAACGTCGAGCAGAAAAGGGGAAAGGCGCGGCTGGCTGGCCTCGACAGCACAGCGGGCAGACCGGCGCACAGCTGGGGGACGGCGGTCGTGTGCCTGACCGCGGTTCAGCCCGCCGGCAGCGACGCTGGACCGCCCTTTGAGGGGTGCTGGGGAGCTGCTTGTGGATCGCGCGGGATGGAGATCGACGGCGGAAGCTCGGCGTTGGCCCCTTTGAACGAGGAGAACACGCGGCTTTTGTAGGTGGAGCCCCTTCGGTCTGCCAGTGGGTCGCTGACGGGGTCGCCTGGGTGGCTCTTCGTCAGCAGCTGGGTTCAGTACTTTGAGGTGGTTGATTGGGGTGGCCCCCCACGGGATCTTGGTTTGCATGGTGGGCCCCAGGGCACTGGTGCCCGTGGCCTCTGTTTCCCACAGGACCCGAGGGCCGTGTGCACGCCATTTAGAACAGCGGGACCTTGGAACGGGAAAAGCCTGCGATTGCGGGTCAGGGTTCACTTGGGCAAAATAGAGAAATGACGGCTCTCCCTTGCCTTGGTTGTAGGGAGCTTGGGAATAACTCTTTCAGTGAACCCTGGTTTGGGGCATGACATCTATGCTGTGTCATCTCCACTGAAGGTCGTAGATCGTTTGCGTGATGCTGCACATCTGGGGTCAAGGCTCGCGGTGCACGAACTGCCAAGTCCGCTCACTGGACTACAATTTTCAGGAGTGAGCATCCAGCGTTGCCTGAACGCCTCAGTCCAGGATGTGTCGAAAGCTCGAGACCTATGCTGCACCACGACGAGATCTGGATTGTGTTGCATACAAGCCAGTCAGGCAGCCGTATGGTCCATGTCCATCTTCTAATTGCACTTTTTCAACGACACGCGATTCCAGGCCTGCTGTTTTCACATTGCCTTTTAAAAGGTATTCATTCAACCATTGAAGGGCACAGGCCTCTCACCTTCAAGAGGAAGGCAGACACAGTGCCTTCCACACAGATTGCTTACTACCGTTTGCTCGTCTTTGCTAGATCTAGGTCGCTGCATCTGCTGACTTGGAGAGGTCGGGACGCTAATTTCCCCCTCTCTACAAGTCATGGTTTGCTCAGCAGCGGGACCCAGCAATTGGGTCACCTGATTGTGTCAGCATTCCCATGGTCTGGAGGTGGGCATGACGAATGGTGATAGGAGATGCAAAGCAAAACAAAGACTCACTTCATCAATGCCGCCCTGCACCACCTTGGCACCGAAAGCGTTGGACGTGCTTCATTATTGATATAGATATGCCTTTGTTCTTGAATTGAAAAATGTCAAGTGGCACTTTTCATCGTTGAAGGTGGTCGACATGGTTGGATTGATGTGCAGTCTGGCACCTCTTTTTGTCCGACTCATCCGCACATCGTGTCAACAATCAACAGCAGTGTCCATGCTTGCAGTGCTTCCACACAGACACCGTTGTGCTGATGCTGTCCAACTATTCAAACTCTGAAACTGATCACCTGTGCCCCATAGTTCTTCCCTACTCTTCGAAACTACCCTTCAACCAGGCGCCATATTTCCAGGCAACAAACAGTGCATCAACTGGGCTGCACTGCAAATTTGACAGGCAAAGTGATGTGCTCCACAGCTGTCTGTTTTCTCCCTCCTTTTAGGTACCCTTGAACCACAGCCAACTTGTGTAGGCCTGCATGCGCTGTACAGTGGCAGCTGCTTGGCCACACCATGAATACCATGCCAGGATACCAGCTTGGCAGCCGGCCACAATGCTGCTGAGTACCACTTCAATTTCAAGTTGACATGTGCCGTGCTGCACACAAAAGTCCCAAGCCAACTTCCAATAGCAAGCTTGCAAACCATCAAAGATGATGTGCAATTTACCACTGTTTGAAACATAATGCTCATGGAAGCCTACCCTCAAGAAAAGTGTCTCAGTGTATTGTATGTCTATAAATATCTACAGTCAGGCACAGCAACAAGTGTGCAAGAGCAACCTATGCAGTCAAATTGCAATGGACCCTCCTACTGCTGAGCAGGACACTCCCTGCCATAAGCCTCTACCCAATACGGCACAGAACCAGCCACCAAACATGCTTTTAATTTCTCGGAGGTGCACAAAAGCAGCGTCATTTGGTGCCACCACATCCATTGAATTGTATTTCAGCCTTGTGTCATTGACTTCCAGTCAAGGGAGCATACCCCACACAACTCGTGGAAAGTTGAAATTGTAGGACAACTCCACTGGACACCGATCCAACAAAACAAAAATGGATTGAACGGCAGTGGAGAGGCTTTGCCGACCAGAAATAATTGGTTCTGTTCTGCACCCGCAGACCCTCTTATGTCACTCTGCAGCATGCACAAACACTCTTGCCAGATGGGCAAATGTCATACGGCATGCTCTGTCCACTCTTTGCCAGTCAATAATGAAGCAAGAATTGGCTGCTCAAGCAAGGTCCACCTCGGGCACATCTGGGAACTCATCCATATCAAATTCTTCCTCTTCTTCCGTGTCCTGCTGCCACCTCTCATCCATTACGTTCTCATCCTCCAATAGTGAGCTGTGCTCTTTCAACATCTCCAGCAGCCCCTCTGTTATGATTATCTGGTCATGGGTGGGCATCTTATCATTGTCCTCAACAGTTAATCCCTCAGGCCGTATCCGCAGCACTGGATCTGTGGCATCAGGCCCCGCCTTGTCTTTCACCACCTCCTTCACGAGCTTTCCTGCCTCTCCATCCAACTTGTACACGTCGAACATATCTACCGCATAGGGCTGCAAGGACAGCTCCCGCACCAGGTAGACGCTGAGCGTCTTGTGGTCTGGGTCTTCCTCCTTCATCACGTCGCCAAAGTCATATAACTGCCATTCCAAAACTCTGTACTGTCTGTACTCATCGGGGATGGTTCCCTCCATGTCGGGCCGGGAGTATTTTTCCGTGGCAGGATCCCACATGTAAGTGTCACACAGCTGCAACAGCCCATCATCAGATTCTGCCACCAGAAATTCGCAGCTTTTCATCTGAAAGGAGCGGTACCTCTGCCCAGGGGCACCCCCAGACTCTTCCGGCAGCATTTTGGGCTCACCGCGCTGGCCCATGGGCTCCTCATTGAGGAACGCTTCGGGGCAGTCAGCTTCATTGTCGACCCCCATTACCGGCCATTGCTCCCTGTAGATCCTCTCCGCCTCGCTCTGCGCCTTCGCCACGGAAGACGCAACGCCCTCATCAGGACCCATTTGGCTCCGGACGCATCTTTTGCGTCTCCTCAGACCGCCACCGGCAGAGTGCACCAAGCCCAAAGGCTTGCCGAAAATGAGCCAGGACGGTCCCGGCGAAACAATTTCGCGGCGATGTGGAGCCATGCGGCGTCCAGGACGGTGTGAAAGGGCGGGCCTTCGCTCTGTGGCGTGTTGGCCGGCCGTGCCGCACCTCAACAGGTAGCGGCGGTTGCTGTGGCGCAGATAGGCTCCCAGGACGCGGCACTGCGGGCGGGGCAGCCCATTGGCCAGGGAGGTGGCCACTGGGTCCATCCCTGGCGGGTTAGGCGCCCAGACCCACGGTCGCCCGAAGAAATATTGCCCCGCAGGTCCGAAGGTGGCGCTCGAATCCTGCCCTCGCGCCGAACCGGACACCGCTCAGAAGGACGAACAGCGCCGGCTTGGGGAGTGCTTGCGCCCCATTAGCGCCGGTTGGCAGCCTCTTTTCTCTGAAAAAAGAAGGCATGACAGCGTGCTTGACACTCCCAGCCAGCAAAGAGAACTGAACCACACAAGTCCCCATTATAGGCATTGCAGCTATTTCTGGGCAGTTTGAACATGTTTGAGGGGGTTACATGAAACCTACGGAAATTATGGGTTGGTGCAGTGACATGTTGTGCAGAGGCCACATAACAGGACTCGTCTGTACTCACTGCAGGGTCGTAGTCTCCTACACCAAAAGGGGTGCTACCACGTTCTGAAACAAAGCAAAAAGTGCGCGAATGCAAACAACAGTGAAGACAACTGTGCAGTGTGGTGACACAAATGCACAAGCAATAAAAACAACCCCACCTGGATAAGGCTGGCCGATGAGGCAATGCCCACAGTCGGACCTGGTCAGCTCCTCCTCGCACTCCTCGCACTCGATGTCGGAGTCGCATTGGCAGGCGCTGGTCTCCCTGTCGTCGGCGAGCTTGCAGAACACCTGGCACTCGTCGCACAGGCCGCCACCCGTCTTGCTGCAGGACGCGCAGTAGGGTATCTCTGCGTCCGGGCACTCGCACTAGCCCAACCCGTTGGGGACCTTGGGGTCCTTGTGTACCCTGGAGTACTCCAGCTAGTCGGAGTAGTCGATATCGCATTCCATGCAGCAATCCAGCTTGCCGTCGGGGCACACGCACACGGTGGCGTCGTCGTTCGGCACCAGGCCCGGCCGGCACTCGCCGCACGTGGTGCAGTCCTCGGCATCGCATTTGTCGCACCCCAGCACGTCGCAGTTTTCCGGATCGCATGCCTGGCAGCTGGTAACCTGGCAGGCGTCGCATCGGCAGTCGCTGTGGCCGCTGGGGCCGTGGTATTCGTCGCAAATTCCACAGACCCCGCAGTCGGCCCTGCTGCACTCGCAGCAGTGGGGGATGCTGCAGGCCTCACACACGCACTCCCCGCCGCACACCCTCTGAGTGTAACCTTCCGAGCACGCCATGCGCAGTCCGAGCTGTCCGTCGCGTCGCAGTTGGCGCACTTGGGCACGTCGCAGGTCCTGCATGCACAGGCGCCATCGTCCTGGAGCACATGGGTGTCCGCACAAACTTTGCAGGTGGTGCAGTCGTCGGGATCGCAGCTCTCGCAGCCGGGCACCTCGCAAGTCTCGCGCGTGCAGCTGCCGACGTCGTGCTTCATGAAGCCCGGGTAGTACTCGGCGCACTTGGAGCAGTTCACGGCATCACAGACAGCGCAGTGCTTGCAGGGGTCGCACACGCGTGTGGGCGGCCCCTCGTAGCCCTCTTCGTAGGTGGCCATGCCGTACCCGCGCAATAGCCCACCTCGCAGGCCGCCCATTTGCAGAACGTCTCGTACTCCAGCACGATGGGCACGGACCCGTACACGCACTCGAGGCAAGTCGTGCAATCGTTGTCGGGCTTCTCTAGCTTGCATGTGTTGCTGCAGCTCTTCTTGTCGGAAGACAGCTCGGCGTTGCCGGCGCATTCCTCGCAGTCGTCGCATTTCTTGGTGCTGCACTTCTTCCACCCCTCGATGGCGCAATCTGGGCACACGCAGGTCTTCTGATCTTCCGACAAGGTGAGGAAGGGCCCACACGTGTCGCACTGCATATACACAAAACGCAGTCTTTGCATTTGTCTGACTCTCTCGTGGCTCCACAGTACGGCAAAGGGTGAAACTAACAAAATGTGCTTCTGAATAGAGTCGCTGCTTTCATGTACAACAAAATTTCCAGGTATACCAACTCGCACATATACATACCCCATAATCGATGACTGCGTCAGCAATAGTACTTTACAATCGCTGCTCACTACACTTTTTGCTGCTTCTAAGTCGCATGTGCCCATTATTGCTGCATTCAACCAATGTGGTATTCACACAACACAGCGACTTGATTCGAAGGAACATATCCAAATACAAACCAAAGCTTTGGAGTAGGATGCAGATGTTCACACGATGGGACAGTAAGAGTCGCCAACCACATCGAACTGCTATGCGATCATCACTAAAAAAGAAGACAGCTCGCTTTCGCCATACTTCAATATGAGATTCAAAATGATATTGAAAACTCTAACTGATGTCGAAGATGAGATCAAGATGAGCTCAAGATGGACTTCTGCCAGACCACACGAACTCCAGCAAAGAGGGCTTCGCTCAGTGGCCACAACCACCACGTAGCAGTTGTCCACGGAGCACTTCTGGCAGTCGGGAACGTGGCACGTCGAGGGCTGGCACTTCCTCTCCTCGTCCAGCTCTTAGCCCTGGGCGCAGACCAGGGACAGGTCGCAGTTCGTGGCGTCGCACTCCAGGCACTTTGGGATGTCGCAGGTGGGGCACGTTTGCCTGTCGTCGAACAGCACGTTGCCCTCGCAGCACCTCTTGCACTCGTCATGCATCAGGGGGGCGCACACCACTCAGACGTACATGGGGCAGGCCGGGCACTCGCCGTTCTTCAGCCAGGTGGTGTACACCACCTGGACACCCGGACATGTCCGGGTGGCGCGGGCACTCGTAGGCCCAGTGGTCTTTATTGTCGCAATGGCAGCCCAGCTCCTCCCTGCGGCGGCCATTCGCAAACGTTTCAACAAATCCTGCGACGATGTGCCGAAGGGACGTTTCTGCTCTGATTGTGTTCACCTTGAATCTAGGCACCGATCGAACGGTGACCGTTTGAGACACCGTTTGAGTGCACGGCGTGCATCCAGGTGCACCACGTGAGCGACGGGCACCTGGGAATCCCGGGCCGATCCGCTCACTGTTGTACCCAAACACACACGCACCAACGTCGATTCATGCGGCTCTTTGCAATGGAATGACAATCTTGGACCGCAACGCCCACGTGGGACGTGGGACTGATGCCTGAGAATTGCATGATGCCTTGTGTGGCGGTGGTCTGTTCCCACGCGATGCTGCGAAGCTGGGGCCGTAAGCCGGCCTCTGAAACGGCCCCAGTATGAGGCTTTGGTCCACCCCGTGGTGCCTCCCCTTCCGACGAGGCCACAACAGTTTTGGGCCACACTCGTCACCCCGCAGCGGTACATTCCACCGCAATCTGACAGTATAGGACCAGCCCACGTTGGGTACCGCACCGGGGCTCCACAAAGCCACCCACGGTTCGTTGCTGCCACGGGGGCGCCGGAAGCCAAACCGAACGTCCGCGTTACACGAAATGAAACGCGCTGTGAGTAAGCTGGCGTAGGCGACACGTTATCCGGCCAGGTGTCGCGTACGAGGGTAGTACATTGCGCCCAGCTGCAACCGTACTTTGCCGCCGTGGCCCGGCGCAGCGCCCGGGCGTGGGCGCACAGCCCGCCACCATGTCTTCCGCGAACCCGGGCACCGTCGTGCAGATTGCAGTGCGCCACCACCTCCTGACACCCATACGCTCGAACACCGAACTCGGGCACCTTTTCCAGCCAGCCTGCCGTCCAAGGCGGCTGGAATCACCTTCTGGGAGCACTGGCAGAGGATCGGGGGTGCCGGAGAGCGGGCGTGACCGGCCGGAAGGCGGTGACCCTTGCGGTGAGGCCGGAACCGGGCATGGCGCACTCGGAAGTCGTTTGTCCGCATGGTGGGCTGGCCGCGGCCTGGGCCTTGAGCCGTGTGGTGCAGTGCTGGCGGGCGGGCAGGGGCCGGGAGGGGGGGTGGGGAAGAGGAGAAGCGGGTGTGTGTGGGCGAGCCGCTGGGGCCGCAGTAGATCTGTTCGGTCTGCTGCTGACTTAGGCGTCTTGGACCCGCTCAAACGGAGCCGGGAAGCGGGGGCGGTGGGGCTGGGCATGGAGCCCGGACGGCGCGGGCTGTGCGCATGGGTGCCAGCGCCATGGCTGCGGGCGGGCGCCCCAGGCGTGCAAACTGGAGGGGGTTTGTTGGAGGGGGGGGTGGGGGGGGCGCGACAATCGCCCTCGCAATGGGGGCGAGGGTGCGCTTTTCGCGGGAAGGCGAGCGCGCGGGACGGCTGGCTGGCGGCGCGGGGCATCTGCCCGGGCGGGAGGGCTGCCGCCGTGGCCTGCGTAGTTGGTCGAGCGGCGTGCGCTGGGGGCTGGTCTCGTGGGTGCCGCGCTGTCTGCCGCGACGAGCCGCGCGTTCGCTGGGAGCCAGAGCACCGTCCGTTGACGGTCGCCCGCAGGGCTCTCGTCTCGGGCACGGTGGATGCGGGGGCCGGCTGGCGCCACTGCCCGTTGCTCCACGAGGCCCCCCGTCCAAACGCGATACCGGCGCGGCCAGTCGCGCTCCTCTTTTCCCGGGCGGCGCCGCTGATCCTCGCGGGGGCGCTGGGACCGCTTTTGGATCCGCGCTGCGCGAAAATATTCGGTGCTGAGCCCTTTCCGTGGCGTGTCAGGGTCGCTGCGGGCGCTGTCGCGTCCCACGGAGTCATCCGTCAAAAGGCACGAGAATCTGGTGGCGGACGGATCGCCGGCTACGTCGACTCCTGCGTCCCCGTGGCGGCCATCCGGGCCGAAGAATTTTGGCGGGCTGGGCCAGCCGGTGGGAGGCTCATTCTCGAAGGATCGGAGTGTGGGGCGAGCGGGGGCCGCGGGGGGGCGGGGCGGGGCCCCATGAGAATGCCGAGAACAGGGCTTGACGGGATGGGCGGGGCTTCCGCGAGCGAGGGCTGCTGCGGGGCGGGGGTGCTGCCGTGCGGGTACGCGCTGGCGCCCGGCACGGGAGTGAGCAAGGGCCCGAGGGGCCCTCGGGCGCGACGGTGCGACTACAAGCCCCTGCTCTTGTGCGCCGGCATCATAGACGAGAGGGAGCTGGTCGCGCTGGAGGCGCTGGAATTGCTGTCCAGGGCCGCCGCCCGCAGGGCGGGCACGGCGGCCGCGAGGCAGGCTGAGGAGGCCGGCAGGCGGGGGGCAGCGCCGGGATCGGCGGCGCCGGCGAGGAGGGGCGCCGCGAGAGCGCCACGGGGCGCAGGTGAGACCGATGAGCCGCAAGGGCGTTTGGCATGGGGCGGGCGAACGCGGCAGGGGGGGCGGGGAGCGGATTGGCATTCGCCTGGGGAGCGTGCGCGCCTGTGGGCTGCGAAGTGGAGCTCCCCGGCTGCGGTGACCGCGTGGGCGCCGGGGTCGGCTGCCGTGAATGCATCGCGTGCCCCCTTCGCCGCAAGCGCCGCCGTCTCGAGAGGCCGCCCCCAACGCGGGGGTGGGGGTGAGGGTGCGCGGATGCCCGACCCAAACGTCATCGATTACTCCACATGCCCCACGCGCTCGGAGCACGGGGATTACGTAATATGTGACCGGTAACTTCCAGTCTATGCCCACGCGAGGCGGACCGCGAACGGGCCCGTCGAGCGTACCCAACCTCCTGAGGCGCCTCCCCCTTTGGCCCGCAGGTCGCAGGGACGAGCCGAAGCTGCAGGTGCTGCTCAAGCGGCTCAGGGATGTCTTTAACCCCCCGGATGGGCCTCCGCAGCCGCTGCAGCTGGAGTGCCTGGCTGAAGAGTTTGGAGTGGTGCCTCGGCGCCTGCTCAACATCGTCAGCGTCCTCGAGTCGCTGCAGGTCAGCCTGGGCGGGGGCCTGTTTCCGCACTGTTGACCTGCTTCGAAATCGTGTGACCGCTCTGATACTGCGATGGTCTGCTTGGTGATCTGTGGTTGCCGCGCAGCGGTGAGGTAGCGATTGGACTTGCGAGGTTGCTCATCAGATCGAGTGGGCCGGATTGTGACGCAATGCTCGTCTGTGTGCTGCATCCCCAGATCATTTCTCGAACGGGGAGAATGACGTACGAATGGCGCGCCAATGGGGACCTGCCGTCTGTGTTGGAGACACTTGCGACAGATGGGGAGAAAAGTAAGTAGGCTGGAAAGCGGCCTCGCGCTTTGTCGTGGGATGCTACTTCAACCGCGTTTTTCTCGCTCGGTCTGCGCCCTGCCACCACCTCCCTGGCTTCTCTTTTCTGGCCTTCCTGGGAGTGCAGGGTGGCATAAAGATGTTGTCGAACAGACAACGTGAAAGGAAACGTGGCTATGTCATCTTGTGCGCTGCAGGCGCAGCGTTCGTCAGGTTCCAGCGAAATGGAACAAAGCTTGATGCTGTTCCAGCCCTTGACCGTCTGTGAGTCGATTGCATTGCAGAAACAGGCCAAGACAGCCCATCGTGCAGTGCATCCCTGCAACACCCTTCCCATCAAGAGGAGGTGTCCCACTGGACTCTGAGCAGGAAGTATCTGAGACTGCTTCTGACCAATCAGGTAACACAGCACAGCCAAGGTTGTTCAGGTGCAGTGTGGAGTGTTGTTGGGCATTATGTTGAAAAACTAACTGGATGGCTTGCGAGAATAGCTCTCCAAACATGTTTGATGTGGCATGTCACCATATGTCTAGCATCGCCTGAATGGTGCTGGTGGAGGCTGTTTTGGCTGTGATGAAGTGAATCTGATCGAATTGTCTTGAAGCTTGTGACATTGAAGACATGCCAAAGCAGCAGCTGCCGCTGCCTGCAGTAATTCCCTGTGCCTTTGCTCACTTCTTACCTCTGTGCCCTCAGAAACCCATCTCTACATCAATGGCAGCTGAGTACCTGTGCAATTCAAATGGGTGGCACGCCGATGCATCAGCCAAAGTGGAGGAGCAGCTGAAGGAGGTTGTCTGCATACTCACAGAGTTGGGACTGGTGAAGAAGTGTCGAAGGTGCGAGAGTCTGATGGGATTGCCAGCACAGCAGAGCTGCCATCACATATTGTATGTTGGTGATACCTACGGGCTGTAAGTGCAGGGTGGTGGGGTGGAAAGGGTTGTTTTGTGGGTGTGTGCAGTATCCTAATTTGGGCAGTGCAACCTGTGCAGTGTAACAATGTGGCAAACTAGCTGAAGGCGAGAACTTTCATTCAGTTGGGCCAGAGCAAGACGTCTTTGGGTATATGACAGCATGGAACAGAACTATGGCAGCCACCTTTGATCTTGAGCCTTCTGGTGTTTCTTTCTCATGACATCACCTGCTGGGCCACTGCATTGTACTCTTTCCTAATTTTGCTTTGCTTTGCCCCAGGGCGCGTGGCTGTGTTTACAAATGGATCGGATTTGTCGATGGAAAGAGCAGCACTGCATGGGACAAGAAGCAAGAATCCAGCGAGCCGATCGTTGCAGAGCCTCCAGGTTTGTGCGCAAGCCACCCTGTGCCATCTTTATGCTCTGCTTTTCATACGATTGCCACAAGAAAGGTTTGAGGGTGGCCTGCTGAAAATGTCAGCCATGACACTGGGGTGCAGAATTCAAGGTTCCCCAATTCCATGTGCTGTGATGCTCTTCACTTTCCACATGTGCATTGGCAGCCTGAGTCACTGCTGTGCTATCGCTGCACAATCCAGATTGCGGCAGCAGTTGTTGCTGCAGTTCAAGGTTTTCACGCACGAGGTTCCCACCTGAGGGCAGGGTTATTGCTCGTCTGCGTACTTGGGCAGTCGATTCAGAGCCAGTCACGTCGAAACAAAATATGAATCAGTCCAAGATGATAGGAAAGTTGTTGCTGATTTTATGCCTGACACTGTGAAATTTTGGTGATGGTGTCTTTGACAGGTAGCAGAGGCATTGCAGCATTCCGTGGTGACAGGGAGCAAGTGCAGCCAGTCAGGCCGGCTCCACAAGCATTCACCTCTGGCGGCAGTGGTCAGGTGGTGTCTGCCCCTTTCGCCTACATGCCCATACATATCATGCCAAACATGCTGGGCTCCGCCGTGGTGGGCCAGCCATCTCAAGCCCCTCCATCCAACAGCATGGCTCAGACGTTCCAGAGCACACCTACGTTTGGGAGGGTGGAATACATGAACGTTCTGCCAGTCTCCTCCACCATCAAGGCACCCAGCGTGCATGGCGCGAGCACACCATCACATGCTGTGGGTGTGCCCACCTATATCCACAGTGCCCATCCCACCTATTGTGTACAAGTTGGACAGAGAGACAGCAGTGGAGCTGTCTCAACAACAGGTCAGCCCCTGCCTGGTGCTTCTGCTGCGATGAATCCAGGTCTGTTCGTCCATGCCGTGCAGCAGGCAGTTCCCCAGTCCTGTGATGACAAGACTCAAGGCTGGGCGAATGGCAGAAGCCGAATGGTGGTCATGCCACCAGCATCCGCAGGCTCTGCAGCCCCTCTTGGCGTTCCCCAACGGGGCTTTGGCTGGGCTGTTGCAGCGTTCGATAGACGCAATGGCATGCCCACGGGACATGAAGCGTCCTCTCGCTTTCCTGAGGCTGCCTCAGCTGCAGCAGTGCCAAGAGGAGCGATGGAAGCGGGACCAGGCTCACCTGCAGCCAAAACGACGCTCAAACAAGGGGTGTTGGAAGGCCAGTATGGCGGAGGTGGTTCTGCAGTGGTGGTGATGCCCACAGGGCCACCTGCAACAAAGGTCAGCAGGCAGCCTTCAAAGCGGCAGGACACAAGGGGGGCTGTGCCTGCCCATGCGCTGGTGTTGCCTCCGTCGTCTGCAGACTATGCGACACTGATGGCCCTCCTCGCCAAGGGACAGAATGGCGAAGCAGGTGTGTGTTAGCTTCCATGCATATGTGTCTCTTGGAAGATTTGTGGCCAGAAAGAGTCCATGCCGTTTTTGACGATCTGTCGCTCGCAAAGGCATGTGGCTTCTGGTAAGCTTTGTGTGCATTGCATTGTGTGTGTGCTTGCACCTTGAAGAGAACAGATGCCCTCTCCCCCCCCCCCCTCCCCCCCCTTTTTCTGCATTGACGTCGAGTGTGAAAAATTCAAAATAGTGCCTCCTTTCGACACAGGAGCAGACGTTTCCAGACATCGTTTTGTTTGAGTCCTTGTCTGCCGAAATGCTGTGTTGTGATTTTGGGAACCCAGAGGCTCCTTTCATGTCCCGCTGGGACTTTTGTCCCCCGTCGCCACTGTTTGTACATTGCGCAAATGGACAGGCTGCTGAGCTGAAATTGCGGAGAACCAACAAACATTTGCTGGATACTATCATGGCCGCAATCTTCGGGGTGCATGGGCTTGGCCTTGTCATGCTCTGTTGACAATTTGCAACCAAAAGGACTGAATTTCCTGCCCCAGCTGAGCGGACCACGGCTGCACGGGATTTTGCAACTGGACTCGCGGCCCTGACTTCATCCTGTTTCTGTGCTGCAGGACTTGCATTCAACATTCAAGATGCGTCGATAGATGTAGTATCAGGGCAACGAGCGGAGACTGCGATGGGTCCCAGGTAGATAGCGCCTGCAGAGGGTGGTAGTTGATGCTGATCTGGATGCGCCGTCCAGTTTTGTGGATCTTTGGCTGGGGAGGTTCGATCGGCAGCTTTGCCCCAGCACAGGCTGACAACGTGGTCCTGCCTGCTTGTCTGGCAATGTGCTTGACTGCGTCGTGCGCACAGCAGGAAGGGCTGAATTGGCAGCGTGTGCGTTGAAGCACGACAAGGCATGTGGCTTGCCTTGCACGTGCGCGCATTGTCACTGGCATTGTTGTTGAGCTGCACGGCGAAGTCAGAGGGCGTTGGGTTGCGCAGTGTGTTGCGCACTTGCGATGGGAGGAACGATAGATTGAGGGATTGGACGGAGCTCACGTTTTCCTTTGCGACAAATGTCATTTGCATACTGATGGCAGTGTATGTGCAAGTTGTAAACGAATGCTGCGTGTAAACACCCACATGTTCGCACGATCAGCGCCAGGGATGCAGCAATGGTGTTATCGCTGTGAATCTGCGAACGCCAAGTGTTGAGCGGTGCCATGGCGAGCAGGAGCCGGGCCCAAACCCCGTCCTGGGGAATTCACCGATCCCATCCACATGGATGGATGCACGCATTGATTGCAGCGCCTTAACACAGCGATCGATATTGGTGAGTACGTATCCCAAAGCTGGGCTTCATTCTCCAGGAAGCCTTGCTGCCACGCTGCGTGACTCTAGCGTGCATCGCAGAATCCTGCGATGGGAATCGAGCTGTGGATAAGCGTGAAGCGGCCTATACTGAGGTGGTTAGGCACCCCCTCACGAACGCATCGTGCTTGTTCCATATGCCCCATGTTTTGACCCCACAGCATACTCTCTTCCCACCTGAGCCGCCACTGTCCACAACAGCTGCTGTGCACGGGCGGCATTGCAAGGAGAGCCGTTCAAAACCGTCGCAGAACCAAAAGTTAGATTCGGAGGGCACATGGCCACTTGTGAAAGCACCGGACGCCTCTGTGTCCCAAAGCGTGTTCATGGGACGCTGCATGATGCGTGGCAATCATCTGAGGCGCATCTCCAACTCGGCAACGGCAGGGGTGGCATGTTACCATGCCTGCTGTTCAAGTCGTCAACAAGTGGGGCCAATCTAAGTTAACAATTGCCGCGATCTGAATACTGCCAATTCGACATTTGGAAAGGCGATGATTGTGGAGCAGGGAGACGCAAATATGCTGAAGGGAAAACATCCAAAGGGCGTCACGGTGCAGCACGCCACAGCCCTCGCCAGAGAACGGCACCGGCATCCCCGCACACAGGCGCAGAACACAGCCGGGCGCGTTCGTGAACGTTTGCAAGTAAATAATGACGAACAAAGGATCTCCGTCAATTGGCAGCCGTTCAGGATAGCGGCGCTGGGCAGCCGACCTGCCAGTTGCGTAGGCTCCACGGCCCCGCCTGCATTCACACGGACAACCTATCCAATGCCAAGCAGGCACCCGACTGAAGCACTTCACATAAGGGCCACAACTGAAAGCACCACTCGTTTGGAGTGGCCAATGCCCTCGCTCGGCAGCCCCACATGGGCTCTAGAATCCAGCAACTGTTCGGCTGGTTCCAGCAGACCATGCAAAGCGCACGAGCCAAGTTACAATACAACTACACGGGAACCCCAGAATTAGCTGCACAGACCCAGGTTCTGAGCAGCCCGTCCCGCCATTGTGTCCCTTCTGCCCACCTGGACAATGCCGCCAGGACATGCTTTCTTGTGGCGTGGGATGCGCTGGTCCGGTCATCCGCATGTATCGTCACAGCTTCGAAATGGCCTGTCCCGCTACCCCCCCTGTTGGGGTGCAGCACCGTCCTCTGGCACAGCCAACATCCCCAGATAAACTCCCAATTGCCTTTACGACCAGTCCAATGGCGTCTCAACGCAATTTTACTTCCTTTACACATTCAATGGTTGACAACGTTTCCCACGAAGAAGAGAGGAGTGTGTTGGCGCTTGCATCCCAAGCGGGTGCGAAACAATTCCTTTGGCCAAGTCCATAAACACTCGCATCTAAGTCCCCTCTCCCTTGTGCAGGCCAACGGGGCTCCCCTCGTCGCAAAATCGATATGTTATTGACTATCTCTCGCAACGACAGGATTGAAATTAAAAATGATTCGACCTTTCCATTCAACCCTGAAAGTGACGCACCCGTCGACAGCACCTGTGGCCAGAATCAAAAATTTGATTTCCCTCTCATGTGGAGGTAATTAGTGCATGGACGAAATCTCCGCCGTCAGGAACGACATGGGCACCATCGGGAACATGGCCCTGCGCCACAGGGACCATACCCACACCGCAGCCCAAGGGAATGTGCAGTTCTGTCCTAAACCTAAAACTACCAACGATTGCAAGCAAAACGGCTGGCGGTGGTGAGGTCAAACCTCGTCTTAACTCCTCCGCCATTCAGCTATGAAAGCTGTTGGATCGAAGAGCGGAGCTATGGGCATAGTGTCCAGTGGGGTGGTAGGCCATCGCATGTGGATGCTCGGCCACTGTCATATTGCGAACAGAGGAACCCAAGTGGTCCACTACGTGGCTCTTGTCCTTGTCGTCGTGGCCCCTGCCGTGGGCGTGCATGTACTTGGACACCTCGCCATGGTACTCCAACACGCGCTCCCTGGGCATGGAGGCCGCATGGCCCAACCTGATGGAGGAAAAAAACTGTGAGCGCGCCTGCTAACACAAGACCAACAACAGCTGCAAGGCACCGATCGTCTTCGTTGGTGATGCCCAACCATGGGTTGAATTCTCTCAAATATATCCATTACAGTAAGTAACTGCTTTGAGCTCTTATCGACCATGGGCCCCAGAGTGCCCACCAATCATTCTCAGGGATTCAGTATTCACTAGTACAAGGACAACCTCTGGGCTTTACATTCGCCTCTTAACTTTCTTGCCAGGTGGCATGAGGGTCACATCACTTCTCTCAGGCTGTGGGTGGGTGGTTGGGGGCCACGTGGAGCCTCAAATGCGACTTGGTACTTGGGGACAAAGGTGGTGACACGTTCAGACTGCATCAACCTGTTCTACAGAGCATGTTCCTGTCATTTCCCCATTTCAGAAAAACTAGCACAATAAACCTACCTGGTGGATCCCCGGGGTAGTGGCATCCCCGACTCCAAGTGCGCAAACTGGCGCTTGAAGTTGTCCACAGCGCTGGGGTACATGTAGCTCATCGGTGTGCTGCCTGCCAGATACTCTGACAGCACCTGCGGGTGGTACTCCAGGACCTCCCTGTAAATCAATTCGCGGACCTCATCCACGTTGAGCTTCCTTCGCTCGAAGTCGAACGCAAGCTTACTGACCGGAGTTGCACAGGGCTCCCTTGCAGCAGAGGCGAGCCCATGGAAGTAGGGGTCTGCTAGGGCTTCCTCAGAGGTGGGACGCTCGGAGGGGTCGAAGGCGAGCATGCGCTTCAGCAGCCGAAGGGCACCCTTGTCCGCTCTGGGGAAGTGTGTCTCAAAAGGGACGCCGGGCTTTTTGCGCATACTGCTCAGGAAGCGTCGGGCCTTCTCGTTCTTCACCTGTGCAGTGAACCCATGGTCAGACAATCGAGGGCTGAGGAAGCCTGGCATCTGATAAACTGCGAGAATGCCATCAGCAAACCCACCAACGCATTGAATATCCAGCTCTGGTGAAACGATGACGCTTCAGACCAGAATCACACCAGTTGCGTCCACACACAAACCCAGTGCCACCCAAATCAAGGTGAGTAACAGTTCAAAACAGTGCATGTGAGATGGGCTCGACAAACCGACACAATGCACAAGGCCCTGCCACACAGCACACATGCATCAGAAGCGGCACACCAGCGGGCCACACACTAGACATCGAAAAGCTGTGACCTCAGCGTGTGGCATGCTGCTACAAGCCATGAACACGAACTATACTACCAGTTCTGCTGCACTTCAGCTACAACCTGCACACTGATGTGTCTTGCCCACAAAGACTTCGAGTGCACACAGCTAATGGCAAGGCACACTGCATCAACGCCACCCCAGCCAGATACCCGAGCCATCCAATCCTTGAGCTATGGGCCAATCACCTTAGAAACCACCTCTGCGGAAGGTGTCCCAAGGAGCTCTGTTATCAACTCCAGCTGGTGCACCACATTTCGCCCGGGGAACAATGGCTTCCCCAGCAGCACCTCAGCAAAGATGCACCCCACGCTCCAAATGTCAATGGCTGGAGAATACTTGGCAAAGAAGGAGCCACACAGCTCTGGCGCACGGTACCACCTCGTTGCCACATAGTCGGTCCAGAAGATTGTTGTGGGCATGTCGTTGAAGGCGGGTCGTGCCAACCCAAAGTCACAGATCTTGAGCTTGCAGTCAGAGTTGGCCAGGATGTTCTTGGGCTTCAGGTCCCTGTGGAATACTCGGGCTGCGTGTCCACAGAAGAAAAGCACTGCCTCAGAAACAAAACGTATGGCCCCAAGGTCAGAATCCCCTGCGATTTTTACAAGCCAAGTTCAGATCAGACTTGCAGAACGCCACACATCATCGCCCGAGCACCATGTGCCAAAGGTTAATTGGCATGAGACAATCTGCCACATTGCCACAACTCGCCACAAGGCCAATCGACCGCCTCCTGCAAAGAATAAACAGGCAAAACAGTCCCCCATTTCTGACAGGCAATCTCCCACAAGAGGCGCATTACCTGAGTGTATGTACTTCAAGCCCCTCAGCATCTGGTACAGGAAGAACTGGTGGTGGTCTGGAGTCAGGTCGTCGTTGGCCTTGATCACCTGGCAATGCGAGGCACGAAAAGGGGTCCAGCATCAGATATCAGAGATCACGACCAAAGGCCTCAGGCATCCCATGCTCAGAGCAACCACCCACCTGGTGCAAGTCGGTCTCCATCAGCTCAAACACCACATATATGTCCTTGAACTCGCGGGCGCTTGGGGGCAGCATGATGTGCTTGATTTCCACAATGTCTGCGCAGCCACGAGCCACGGGTTCAGCGCATGCGAGCTGCCAACGGGGTGTGTCCGCGGTGAAACGAACGAATGGGGAGCTGTCAGACGTTTGGAGGCGCACATGAACGTCATCGCCTGCAAGATGCAAGGGGCCAGGCTTTTGTCTCGTGATGGGCTCGTGTGATCCAAGGACCTGCGGGCGCCTCCCGTGCGCGCCGCCCGACTCACCGTTGTGCCGCAGCATGCGCAGCAGCTTGATCTCACGGAGGATGCGGGTGGCATCGGAGACGTGGTCGAAGACGTTGGTAATTTTCTTGATGGCCACTTTCTCCCCTGCGTCGCAAAACGCGCCGTTGTGTGACGGGAAGAAGTCGTGAGGAACCGACGCCCAACCCCGCACCAGCGATCTGAGAGGCGCCCCGCGCACCTGTCAGCTTGTCCACCGCGGAGCACACCACTCCGTAGCTGCCCTTCCCGATTATTTCCTTTATCTGGTACCGGCTGCTCTCGCCGCACTCGGTGAAGAAATCCCGCGGCTCCACGCTTGATCGCGACATCCCCCCTTTCTGCAAGGCACCCCCAACTTGTCAGTATCCCGCAATCCGCCCCGGGCCCGCCCAGCCTATCCAGCCCTTGACCACCCGACTGACCCGCACCTTCTGGTGCGTGCTCCGATGCTGCTGCGGCTGGCCGTGCTCCCTGGACTGCCGCTGCGGATGCTGCGCGTGTGCCTGCGGCTGCGGCGGCAGCACCTGCGCCTGCGCCACCTGGGGGCGCCCCTGGCCCGGCGGTTGGCAGCCCCGCTGTTTGACCTCGCGACTCTTGTCCCCCTCGGGGCCAGTGCTGACCGGCCGTCCGGCGGACGAATGCGACTGCAGTGACTGCTCCGAGGTGCTGGTGGCGGTGGTGTCGCCCGTGGCCTCGCTGTGCACCTGGCCTAGGCCATTCACTTTCCTACACCAGGCCCTGAAGCGCTCTATCGCTTTCATAAGACCGGGCAGGGCACATCACCGCCGCCCCCCTCGAGGCGCCCGGTCGGGTCCCCCGCGTCCGCAGCGGGCGCTGCCGGTCGGGGCAACAGGCCACCCCGAGCACCGTGCGCTTGAGCACCAGCCCGCTCAGGCGCTCCGGCCACTCCCAGCAGCGTCAATGCACCAATGGGACGTACCGCCCCAACCCCTGCCAAACTGACCCGCACCCAGGCAGCTGCCCTGGTACCCAACTCCCACTCCCCGCGTTTCCCACTCCGCCCCTCCTGCCCTGTCGGCTCGGGTCCCTGCGATCCCGGCGGGTACTCCCTCGACCGGTCCCACAGGGAACCGAGTCGGGCTTGGCAGGTCGTCAGGGGGTGCGTTTGATTCCGTTGCGCGCTCAAGCGGCTCTCCCGTCGGGGCAAGGGCACCGCCGTCAAGGCCTATGGTGGGAGGACTGGCTGATTCGGTGTGACTTTGAGTGGTTCGACCGCCATTACGGCTTGATGCTTGATGGAGAGGGCGCCTACGTGTGGTACGACGTGGGCCGCGCCCACACCAACCAGCCGCGCCGCCGCGGTCGGCGCTTTCGGCAGCGCCCCATTCTCGTCTCCGCATGATAGGCATAGGGTCAATGACAATTTGGCCAAGTGACGTTTTGGCCTGGTTGCCGTGTCGGAGCCAGAAAAAGTGCAGCCGCCACTGTTCTCGCAACGCTGCGATGGGGAAACGTGCACCAGCTGGGGGGGCGGCCGTGAAGTCGCTGTGAACTCGTGGGAGGATAAGGGCGGTGGCCAACAGGTGCCCTTGCGGTTGCGGCATCATTGAATGAAGATCCAGACACACGGTTGCAGGCGGATTCTGGCTGGAAACCTTGCAAGGGATGCGCGGCGCACATCCGCCTGGCGGCTGGGCCACGCAGATCTGGCCATGGCGCGAGGTCCATGGGCGCGCTGCACAAGTAGAACTTTTTGAGCACCCAAATTGTGGTGGGGAACTTGTACGCTCTTTCCAACGCGCCAACGCTCGCCAGGATCGCCACCAAGGTCGTTATTGTGCATCCAGATTGGCCTCGTGGCCACGGTCGAGTTCTCAGGCCAATGAGCAATGGCGCCAAGTGGCACAATGGCCAACGAAGATAGCCAATAACGGGCTGCGTAGGCTGGGAAGTCTGCGACAAAGCGAGGGGGCCCACGGCGCCCGCCCAGGACCATCGCGCTCTCGTCACCCTGCGTCACAGCGCGCTCGAGAGAACGGATGGGGGAATCTCCCACTGGTTGTACGGGCCAGCCATTCAAGCCCCGATTGAACGGGGCGCCATTGGCATTTGAGCTGGTCCCGTCCAGGAGCAGGACGGCTCCCTACTCCGTGCCCCGCTGCCGCCTCGCCCGCGCCCAAGAGGCTAGTCACGCAGGCGAAGTGCACACCGTATCGTTGCTGCGCCCTTGACAGGTTACGATAACTTGGCCAGAATGTCACTTGGCCAAATTGTCACTGACCCACAGCCTCATCCTTTTTTCATCCATCGCGTTGGGCCGAGAATTGTGGCCTTGCAGAAGGGACATTCTGCTGTTCTGCTGGGGCTTTCAGTCGTCCCCTTTCGCGGCAAGTCCGCCCAAGTCCTCGTTCAGTACTGGTGAGCACTCCCCCACCCAGCTGCATCCGTTTCAGGTTAGTTTCAGGTTAGTACAGAGATGGTTCGGCCTCGTGCATGGGAGCCAAGCGAGGGAGCGCAGAGCGGGCTCACCCAGGGAAGGCACTTCAGGGTTGAGCCCAGACATCCCAGTATTTGTATGAGCAGCACCCAGCCAGCTTTTCACCATGTTCCCCAAGGTCCGCTCATTCTCAACGGGGCAAGCACAGTTCCCAATCTTTTGCAGCACTCAGGGTGGGTGACATCCTGTGTTACGCTGTTTAGTGTCTTCAGAATAAGGGAACGGTGGCAGATTCCGAACCCACAAAGCTTCTCCACCATTGCTATCCGCCACTCAAGGCGCCGTTGGAAAATACTCGTTCGGATGGTTTTGAGCATGGGATTGGTTTAGTCGTAATCGAGTTCCTATCAGGATCGGATTCCTCAAATACTTTGAAACAAGACTGAAACCCGATTTGAGAAGCAACTCTTGCGCACATAGGTGTGCCAGTTGCGAGGTCTCCCATCAACCAATGGGATGGCCTAAGCAGGCATGATCATATTTCCAGAAGCTGCTTTGCTTGAAAAATGTCGTCAAAGAAGCTATGAGCCACTGCTTAGGAACCACAAGATAATGCTGCAAGTTTGGTCAATGAATTGCAAAACATAGAAGGTGGACACAGCTGTGTATGTGCGAAACAGTGACCACAGAATAGGTTGAAAGGAAAGGGCTAACCATGTATCCAATGCAACAGCTTGCCAGCTTCACAGCAATGGACAGTAACGAATCCACACAGTTGACTGAACACGAACAGTCGTACTGCTACAATAAATTTGTCAGGACACCCGTGACAAACAAAGCCCTTGCACTCAGTAGGCAATGACCAGCTTTGAAGGAGGTGCCAAGGACGTCCACTGTGTGCCCAACCAAAGAACTCTGGAACAGTGGAATGTAGGGCCTGCGGTCCCCCCCAACCAAAAGGAAAAGACAAACATGTGAGTCTTGGGATGGAAGGATGCAACACAAGGTGGAGATCCTTTTTGCTGAACTGATTCCAATCTTTCACACTTGGCTGCAAGAGAAATCTGAACAGCATCAAAGCACCTCACATCCTGATCCCTTGTGGTGGAGTTGTCGTGAATTTTACGCCTCCTAGTGGAACACAACCACAGATTGCCAAACATCGTTGCTGCCTTTTAGGCAATAACATCACTTCGCATTGTCTTGTGGGATGCCAAGAGGCTGCATATCCCGTGTAGGATGGGTTTGGCAGCTGGAATCCTCACTGCAATGTGGCAAGCAAGCAGTAGGCAGGTGTATTTTCAATATTGCTAGGAACATGAGACGGGGGGGGGACGGCCACGGTTACTGTTGACAGTGCCAAAATCACAGGCTCAAAAATACGACCCCTCTGGGAAAAACCAGTTCTGTTTACAGTTCTTATGCACCAAAGCGTGCTTCACAGATCTAAGTTCACACTGCAGATTTTCCATCACAGATTATAGGTGCTCCTTGACGGAAATGGATAGCTACGTTTTGTACAAGTGCAAACGTTGAAAGCACACATCTGAAAGAATGCATGAGCCCACGCCAAACCCAAGGCAACGGGTTCAGGCCCCATTCCAAGCTCGTAGCTATTTCTGAACGTAGCATGCAGCGGCATTCTAACTACTCTGTGCTTCCGAACCAGCCGCCCCCGGCCCCCCTCCTATCCACCACCTACCCGCCCTCTCTTCCGCGTGCACGCTCGCATTCGCACCCTGGCCCCCACGACCTGCCGGATTCAACCCGCTCCCCAATTTACAGCCCCAGTAGGCCACTCCCGAAGGAGGGCGCCGGGTCCAGCGCCCCTCCCGCCAAGATCTGCTGCAGCTCCGCCTCCACCTCTGCCCTGCCGTCCTCTACCCGCCCCCCCAGCAGGTACACCTCCAGCTCCGCCGCGTTCTTCAGTCGCCATATCCTGGAGTACGCCCGCAGCAGCGGCTTCAGCAAGGCAGGCGGCGTCCCGGCAAACTTGGGGTTCTTGGCCACAAGGGCGCCCACGTAGTTGTGCGAAGGCACCAGCGCAGTTGGCGCATCCTCGACGAAAAACCAATCGTCGCCGGCCGCGTTCTCCTCCCCTCCATCCACCTCATCCTCCTCGTCGCTCGCCCCCGACTGCGGCCACGGTGCGCAGGCCCCGCCCCGCTGTTGCGAGAAGTGTGCGGCCCAGCGGTAGCCCACGGAGATCGGCCGCAGGCCCATCCGCTGCGCGCCCGCCGCCAGCAGCGCCTTGCCCACGGCGTGGTGCTTGTACCACGTCGGGCTCCACGGCACGCACTTGGCCAACTCCCTGCTGGCCACGTGGAGGGCCGTCTTGCCCAGGGCGTCCGTGGCGTTCACTGCCACGCCCTGCTCCGCCAGGCGCCTCACCAGCGCCTCATCCCCCTGAAGCGCCGCCCAGTGCAGCGCCGTGCGGCCCAACGCGTCCACGCCGCCCGCCTGATCAGCAAACTCCAGCAGGTAGCCGATCGCGGCGCCGAACCGCCGCTTCACCGCAACGTGCAGCCAGTCCATGTCCAGGATCCACTTCACGTCCAGAAACTCTGCCGCCGCCAGGACGTCCAGGAAGAACGCCTCCTCCAACCGGCAGGTCAGCCTGGAGAGCACGTCCTTCTCCAGCCCCGTGACGCCGTCCGCCCCCCCCGGGTTGCACTCGCAGGACACCATCAGGAGGTGCACCGCGGATGCATCGCAGCAGTCGCAGCGGATGGTTGTCACGGCGCCACTGGACCGGGTGCAGTCCAGGGCGTTGCGCAGCGTGCCGCACTGCCGCGCCAGCTCCACGGGCACCGAGTAGGTGGAGGTGCGGCACTTGAGGCGCACCCACAGCGGGCCCTCCCCCTCCGCGGGCTCCATCCAGCCCAAGTGTTGGGGCCAGACCCGCGGCCCTTGCCCGTTTCACCGACCGTGCGACCAATGCCCCGTGTCAAATTGGGATGACTGGGACGGTATGACTGTATATCGGTGCTCGCTGGCTTCCCTCCGGTCTTGGCACCGAAACCCCGAAACCGGCCATTAGTACGGTGACCACGGCGTCGCAAGTTCTCATAGGGCTGCTTGCGCGGCCTTAGAGTGTTCCTTCTTCTGAAGTTTCTTCGAGAGTGTGGAAAAGACGCGCCACGGCAGCCGGATAGGTTAGTCGACGGCGGTTGGAGGGGGTACCCGAGGGGCAGGCGGGTGCGGCGAGGTGCCGGGAGCTGAGCGCAGAGGGCGAGCCCGCCGCGATTGGACCGAGGGCAGAGGCGTTGGAAGGAGCGAGGCGGCAAGATGGTGCTCGCCGAGCTGGGGTCGAAGATCAGCCGCGCGCTGCAGCAGATGTCCAATGCGACGCTCATCGATGAGGCCGTGCTGAACGCGTGCTTGAAGGAGATCGGCAACGCGCTGATGCAGGCGGACGTGAAGGTGGACCTAGTGATCGGCCTGCGGGGCAACATCAAGAAGCGGGTGAACATGGAGGAGATGGCCGCCGGCCTGAACAAGCGCAAAATAATCGAGAAGGCGGTGTTCGACGAGCTGTGCGGCCTGCTGGACGCGGGCACGGAGGGCGCAAAGTTCAGCCTGAAGAAGGGCAAGCCCAACGTGGTCATGTTCGTGGGGCTGCAGGGCAGCGGAAAGACCACGACGTGCACGAAGTACGCCTACCACTATAAGAAGGAGGGGTACAAGCCGGCGCTGGTGTGCGCGGACACCTTCCGAGCGGGGGCGTTCGACCAGCTCAAGCAGAACGCCACCAAGGCGGGGTGCCCCTTCTACGGCAGCTACACCGTCACGGACCCGGCCACCATCGCCAAACAGGGGGTGGACAGGTTCAAGGAGGACGGGCGGGACCTGGTGATCGTGGACACCAGCGGCAGGCACAAGCAGGAGGCGGCGCTGTTCGAGGAGATGAGGGAGGTGTCGGAGGCCGTGCGGCCCGACCTGATTATCTTTGTCATGGACGGCAGCATCGGACAGGCGGCGTACGACCAGGCCAAGGCGTTCAAGGATATGGTGGAGGTGGGCGTGGGCACAGGCATGGGATTTTCGGGGAACTGGCGGTTTGCTGCGAATGACGGCTTGCTGCCGGAGTTGATGGTGGCGAAGATGCGGGCAGCTTGCCCGTTGGGGATCCCTCTGCTCTTGCGCTCATTTTATGTTGTTTGCCACATTGCAAGAATCACAACTTTTATCGTGCTAGACATGATGTGCAAGTTTCCAGGTGCATCAGGAAAAGCACGCAGTGAAAATCATGTCCAGTTGTTGGACGGTAAGTCCTTGCTGAACCCGAGCGCTCTGATGTCAATCCCTCCCAGAAGCCTTTTGGGGCAGCAGGGCCAATGTATGAGAATGGGCCCCGAAGTCCAAGCTGAAGGTGGCAGGGGCAAGAAGATGGTGCCGTGGTGGCGTGTTTGCTTTCGCAACCTTAAAAGCATTGCAGACTATGAGGCTGTGCGTTTTGGAACATGCTCAGACTTGCAGCTTCTGCTCTTGTGCTGTCAGCATTAGCAACAGGGGACTCACCTGGCGTGGGCGCATGCAGGTGGCCAGCTGAAAGTTTCAACGTGAATTCTCACTGACTGCACCATTAGTTGTTGAGGAACTCGCCGCCCATTCACCTATCAGCTTATCTCAAACAGTGTCCAGCTACATCAACTGTGCTCATGGATGTTGAATCTGCAAGGACACAACCAAGAATATTGCTGTCTTCATTCGGGGTGGATAATTGGAATGGGCTGTGCTGCCGCACCAGCAGCCGATAGCTGCGGAATCACATTCACAGCACATCAACGTTCTCTGAAATTTTGGCCATGAATTTGTGTCGGTTTCAGACGACCCTGCACTGATGCACATGCCCCTGGCCTGCAGGTTGGCGCTGTGATTCTCACCAAACTGGACGGTCATGCCAAAGGTGGCGGTGCCTTGAGCGCTGTGTCAGCAACAAAGAGTCCTGTCATCTTCATCGGGACAGGTACATTCGTCCCTCAATCTATCAGCGATGTGTGAGTTGAACCCTGGCCCTTGTTGCATTGCTGTCGTTCATCATATCACCCTGTGTTTCAACAACAAATGTCACTATGCATCCATCATATCCAGGCAAAGCTTCCGTGTATGCACAAGTGAACTCATTTCCCATATTGGGGCCAATGTTGTCTAAGAGAACCCACCATTGGTGTGTCATGGGCAAGATCCCTGCATTGTGTCCCTTTCTGTAGATGTCTGGGTTCGGTGAATCTTGGAATTTGAGGGTGCAGTACTGCCTCTGTTAGGACAAGTTGTCACCAGCAACAAGTGCAATAGGGGCCCCTATATAGCCCCCCAATAGTGTCCCCGGCCAATAGCACCCATCTTTTGGCCATGTCCCGGGGGGGGCCGGCTATATAGGGACCCCTACTGTATCAAGAACTGTGCTCACCCTAAGCTAGCTCGCAGCTCGTGGCAAAGCACTGCACTTGCTGCTATGTGATGTCATGATGTCGTCCATGGTTCAATTGCATATGTGGTTATTCTGGAAGTGTGTGCTCTGTTCCCTTTTCCCTCTGCACAGCCCCAAGTACTGATGGTGTGGTTTCTACTGGTGTTGGTCACAGGTGAACATATTGACGAGTTTGAAGAATTCGAAACAAAGCGCTTTGTGAGCCGGCTTCTTGGCAAAGGGGACTGGGAGAGTTTCATAAACAAGATTTCAGATGTCATTCCCGAAGACAAGCAGCCAGAGCTGCTGGAGAACATTGCAAAGGGACAGTTCAGCATGCGCATCTTGTACGACCAATTTCAGAACATACTGAAAATGGGTCCCATGAGTCAGGTACTTATGCCATGCTTCACGGGTACAATGGGTCCCAATCCATGGGAAGTCTTTGTTGGAATCCAAGGAGTGCTTTGGAGCAGTTAGGTTGCCAGTCATCATGATTGCAACTTCAGTGCAGAAATTCCAGTTGCTCGATGTGAAAATTCCCAGTTTTCTTTGTCAAGAACAAGCTGAATTACTGCCCTTTCGCCTCCCAGGCGATCTCACGATGTGCTGGATGAAGTACGGAGGTGGATGATGCTGTTGATGTGAATGCATGTTTGCAGGTGATGTCCATGATTCCTGGCTTCAGCAATGCTATTTTCCCTAAAGGCCATGACAAGGACAGCCAGTCCAAAATCAAGCGGTACATGACCATAATGGACAGCATGACAGCTAAGGAATTGGACGAAACGAATATCAAGGAGCTGTCGAAGCCAGCGCGCCTAGAGCGGCTGGCCAGAGGCTCTGGCAGGCACAAGGTAAATGTCAGCTCAAGTTTATGATGGTGCGGTGCTTGGGAATGCAAAGGCTGCCAGTGACATTTTGAATACCATGACCTGTGAATCTCAGTCGCACAGGCCACTGCAGCCAGCACTTCATGTTACTTCTGTGTGTGGCACCAATGCCAAGTGCAGCTACCAGCCATCCTGCTGAGGCAGTGTGTTGCATCAAGAGCCCCAAGCACTCAAATATTTGGACAAGACCCTGGCTTGCCATTTGTACTGGCTACGCAACTGAGTGGCGGTCCTTTAATCAAGGGTGTCAGGCTGTGGAGAGGAAAACATTTGAGCATGTAATTCAGCTTCTGGAGAGCAATTGTCAGTGCTCTTGTGTACTGACAGCAACCCGCTGCATTGTGACCGATGAATCCCTTAGATGCTGTCGATCAAATGAAGCTCATTTGGCCAGGACAATGTTTGCCAATGGACGACCACTCAGACCCTCTCACTTTTCATGTGGGGTATTTTGCCCAAACAGCAGCAGCTGATCACTTTTCTGGAGGGATGTGTCTCTGGCGGATTTGTCACTCCTAATCCCAGTTGAAAGTGTGGAGATGGGTGCCGACTTTTTGCAGTATTGTTTCATGTTTGAGCTGGACTCAACATAAGCCAAGAAGAGGACAATAGTGCCCTGATACAACAGAAAGACTTCCTCAGGCTTGCAATGTGCAACAGGCAACCTCCCCAACAAAACCAACCACTGCACAAGTTTTCCAAGCTACAGATCAGTTGTGCTGATGCTTGCAATGTGCAACAGGCAACCTCGCCAACGAAACCAACCACTGCACAAGTTTTCCAAGCTACAGATCAGTTGTGCTGATGAAAGAACAAATGCAAAAAGGCACCATATGTGCACTCCTGTCAATATTCCAGTGGCCAACTGCCTTTGACAAGGAGCACCGCAGCTGACAGTCGTTTCTCATCAGGCATATTGGGTGTTTCCTGCTGTGTGGCACTGATGCCATGAGGAAAAGGGGGTCTTAACACCAATCGGACCTTGAGAGTACTGAAATCGCGACCGGGTCGCCCATCATTGTGTACCACAAGGGACAGATCGGGATCCCATGTGGGTCTACATAGCACAGAATAGCACTCACAATAGCAGTCACATGTGCAGTGTGTTGGCCTGCATGTTCGTTGGTTGCTTTGTGTGAGCTCTTTGATCATCGCCACAGTGTGCTCCAGCACCTGCCAAGGTGAAGAAGGGCATTGTATTGTGTTTTTGACAATCGTCCGCTAGAAAGCTGGAGAATCTGTGACATTCGTGAGAGCCCAAGTTTGAACCCATTTTCTCCGCTGTGCCTGCAGCTTGAAGTTGAAGGGCTCTTGGAAGAGTACCGTCGACTCAGCAAGGTCTTCAGCTCTGCACTGAAGGGAATGAAGATCCCAAAGAACATGAAGGGTGATATGCCTGTCAATCCGCGAAAGATGCAGGAGCAGCTACAGCAGATGAGCAAGGTGCTCCCATCGTCAGTATTGAAACAAATAGGAGGCGTTAATGCACTGCAAGGCCTGATGAAGACGATGGGTGAGAAGCGGTAGCGGTGGGCAGTGTGTGTTTGATGTTGGACACGTTCTCATGCGTCCAATGCACACGATTCTATGAAGGATATGGCCTCTGGTGGTGTCGTTGGAACACTTTTGGATGCTTCCAGCCTTTGGACTGGGCTGCCCAGGTTGGGGCTTTCTTGGCAGCAGTCTGCCATTCAATGATGTTGCAAGAGCGATCGACGTTGGCAGCCAGCACATGCCAGTCCATGTGCCGCTCAGAGGGTTGCACGATTGGGTTGTTTAGTGGTCCGGGCAGGGCCCACAGGTGTGATTCATTGAATTATTTGTGGAACACGTTCCTTTAGATAGCAGGCTTTTCACAGAGTGAGGATACGATACACACTGAGGATGTTGGCAGCTGGTGAGTGGAGAATCAACTGCTTAATGGGAATAAGCATTGATAGTAAACTGGGGATGAAGGACAATGGTGATGTGGCCAATGTCCTCAAGCCCAATGTGTGAGTGGGGGTCTAGTGTCCAGCCATAGGGCTTTCTGGTCTTTCAGGTTGCAGGTCCAGAGTATCTCATTAATGCAAGTTGTGCAGAGCCCAGCCATTGGACATGGCCAGAGTGACTCGATTTGCAACCATACAAGTGCCACAGCCAGCCAGTCCTACAGGAGTCAAACAGTGCCAGGGGAATATTGCATTGTTTGTCTTCAATCAGGCCATTCACTGTGTTCTCTCATCAGGAACACCTGTCATATTTCACTGGCGTGACAGCCGAACTTGCTTGTCCCCAAAACCGTCTTGGTGCCATGGGCTGATGCATGAGCAGCGAGGGGCAAGAAACATGCTTCTAGCGTTAAGCTTGTTCTGTGGCCAGGTTTGTTGACTTATACAACTATATGCAGCACACCCCCCAAGGAAACACAGGGCGCTGCAGGTCCAAACTCGACACAGCAGCAATACTGCCAACGGCAATATGGGCAAGCGCACACACTATGTACAGGGCAACAACATGAACTCCATCTGATTACATTCATCCAAAACAATGTCCCTTTCACCGATAAGGTGACGTCAGGGGCAGTGTGGCAACGCACATCACCAGTACTTCCACACAAAGACCAAGAAGTGCGAGCAAGCACTGAAGCTGCTGGTGTGTTTCTGTGCTCTATACAAAAAAGCAAAAACAAGGCAAAGCCAGAACCATGTGCAGCTTGCTTCCCTTCGCCTGTCACAATTCCCTACAATGCCTGGCTTCAGGAAATGGGCTAGCAAATGGCCCAAGGGAATTGGCTTGCATCCACAAGCACACTATAGATTGTGCCTGTCAAGGCAAGCAAAACTTGCCGAGATGCCACACTGTCGAATCCTGCACGGCGCCTTTCAGCAACGAGACAACACCACTATGGGTCTGCATACCCAACCATCTCAGCACAGGTCGCATGGCCTATTGGGAGCTACGCCATCTCTGCATTCTTCTTCTTGACCAACATGTCAGCTTCCGCCAAAAACTTCTGCTGTGCTGCAGGATCCATCTTCTGAAAATCTTTTGGTCGTCTGCAGTCACCACCAAGCAGCGTTTGCTTCAAGATCAACGCAGAAGAAAATCAACGGTGTGAGCTCCGAAACTATGCTCCAGACCACTGTCAGCTGGGAAGGCGATTGTTGCCAACAAACACATACACCCACAGAGGATTTCCTTGACACTGCTAGAGCCAATGTTTTGTGTGTAGGGACATTTGTGACAACGCTACGGCTGTAGCCTGCAATGCCAGTGATATACCCCTGTCAACAGAACATCCAGATCCACTGGACCCACAAACACAGGCATCTATGCAGGGTACAGTGATCCAATCCCCACACAACACCGTATGGTGATCAACAGGTGCATTGCTTCCAGAACGTTGCCAACCGGGCATTGTTGAATCGATGGGCTCAGTCAAATGGCCTATGCACATGCTTGCAAGGGTGTCGCTGGAGCCTTGATTGTTACCTTGGTGTCAAATACCGGCGATGTACAGCCATGCAGTTGTCAGGCGATGCCAGAGGAAGGGCACCAACACGATCAAATTGTTCTAATATGCCGACTTTTACTGCATGAGTTTTCATTTCATCACAGACTCGAGTGGTGTGCAAACATGCTACTGATAGCATGACCAAACTCTGCAAATAACTTTCTCAGCTTTTGTAAATGTACGTGCTGGTGGCATGCTTGTATATCCATCCCACACTTTCTAAACAAACCAAGGGCCTTTCACCATCCTGGAAACAGCAGTAGCACAATGCAAGAGTGTTGGGTGGTGTGCCACCATGGGAGCAAACCATGCAGTGATCCTACACTTTTGTTTTAATGGTGGCACACTTGCCCAAAGAGTCCCACAGGTGTAAATGCAGTGACAAAGTGATGAAGTGCTGATGCCATGGTGGACGCAGCGTTCTGCTTTACTTTCAAGGCAGTAGCGCTGATGATGCTGTCTGCAATGAAACAGTACACCCTCCATGTTTTTGTTATCAACGGATCGCATTTCGACACAATCAAGTGACAGACAAGTCCCATGCACCCAACAAGACATGGCCTCACTGCTCCCAAGGCCTTGATTGCACAGACATGCAGTGCTTGTGCAGCTTTCAACGTACTTGAAGAGCATGATGTGGGGCTCAGGTCTGTGTATGGCATAGTGCATCCAGCCCCGCGACTGCTGGATGCCCAAGGCTCTCCATTCTTTCTGTTGACAAACACACACACAGCAGCTTCAGGTGTACAGCTCTTTCCTATGAGGGAGCTCAGCTTCCAAGTTTGGGGCACAAGGAGATTCATGTTCATGGAATGGGGTCATGGCAATGTCCGAAAATCTTTGAAACCTGACTGAACATGACAACAACAGTAACAAACACAAAGAAAGCAGGCAGCAACCGAGGTCACGTTGCTGTGCACGATCTTGAACAGCGCCCTGGCCAAACAGTTACTGTTGCCTGCCATGCTCGACAAAATGCTCACTTTTTGTACATGCACAAATGTTTATACACTATTCGTACATATACAAATTTACATGTACAATCAAAATCATTTAACTGAACGATAGCAGTCTCATTTGAACGATGGTTATTGAGCCTTCCACAAAGATCATGGCATCAGTTCCAAGACCCACCACCACCACCACCACCCACCACAACAGACAACAATAACAGCAGCACAATGGAAGAATTCTGGCTTCTGGGGCATGTTTGCATATGGCACCAGTTCCAAGACCCATCACCACCACCACCACCCACCATAGCAGACAACAGCAACAGCAGCACAATGGAGGAATTCTGCCTTCTGGGGCATGTTTGCATCTGTTTGCACTTTACAGGGAGAAGGGATCCAGCAAGCTGGAATGCAGCGGAGCTGCATGTGCATTCAATGGCTGCTCACAACTGGCACCCACACGCAGTGGTCATGTCAACCATGAGTATTCACTCACTAACCTCTATGAGCAGCCTGCCCTTCGGAAGGCTCTTGGCCACTTTTTTTGGCACCACAACATGCCTGCAACAGCGATGTCAACAACCAAGTCAACCCAAGATTGCAGCTTTTGGATAAACAAAAATTCAGGTTGTGTATGTCCTATACATCCCACAAGGTGGACAGGAGGACAGGGGCACATTGGAGTGCAAAAAGCACCGCAGGGGTTGGTTCCTTCCGCTAAGTCGAGGTTGCCAGACAATGCAGTCTTCTTTCAAGGCGAAAGCTCACATGGCTGCTGCACTTGTTAAACACCATAGACAGTGACATGACCCAGTTATGTGCCTGTTCCATCAGCTGACATACACGAAAAATTGAACGGTCTGCAGCACGTCGTCGAATAACTTGCCGTTTTCACGGACGGAACTGACAGGACAATGCCCCGATTCCACCGAAATGCAAAGGACAGCGCGACGTCCCTTGCTTGCAAAGGTTGGTCTAGTCCTTGCTGTTTGAAACGGCACAGTGCCCTTCACCAGACCCCTGGACCCCATTCCATGGCCACGATTCGCCGGACTCGCCGTCTCAGTCACACCGCGGCAGTCTGACGCTCGAGAAGGCAGAAGTGTAGTTGCGTCAGGACAGCAGCGCGGCCTCCCCCGGCGGGGCGGCACTGCAACCGCCCTTGCTTCCCCACCACGACAGGCAGGGCCCATACTGTAGGCCAAGCGTTATTCTTGCATTTGCGAGGACAGCAGCCTTCCCAAGTACAACAGCATCCCGGTTCTCACCGTACGCGCTCCTGGGGCAACGGGCTAAAGTGCCACGGGCCACGCGACACGATCGGCTGGCCCGTGTATCGCCAACGAGTTTCTCTGCGCGAAATTGCGGCCAAGCAATTCTGTGCTTCAGCGCAGGAGGGAGTTCTCCTTTAGCCACGCGTTTCTTTTGTGTCCAGCAGGCAGCCTTCGCAGTCCCGTGCTGTGGCGCCGTGACTCTGTGGGCTGGTGTCGTTTCGCGCGAGCGCGATCTCACGTGTCCAGGGCCGAAAACTGCCCTTCAACCGGAAACGCAACGCGCCGCACAATGGCCGCCCAGCTACCAAGCATGCACTCCCATGAGGCCCTCGTTCGCAGAAGAGGGCGCGCAGAGCCGCCAGCGCACCCAGACCGGCGCGAAACAAAGGTTGGCCCGCCGATGGCGCTGGACGCAGCGCGGCAAATTTCGAGGAGTCCTGTCGCAGCCGCGCACAGCATCGCGCAGATATTCTGTTCCAAATTTTTCCCGACGCGCTGTCTTTGCCTTTGCTTTGGGCGCGGTCCGCTGGGGCCCGCAGCGACGCGCCGGGCTCCTTGTCCCACCTGTACTCGTGCTCGTCATCGTAGTAGCGTTCGGAGTATGAGATCTCGTGGGACATCTTTCGAGAGGAACAAGGCCGCCCAGCGGCCGCGGCGGCAGGGAGGGGCCCGGTGGGCAGGCGACCGAAAAGGGTGCCGGACCCGGCTGGGGCGGTTGCGGTGGTCGGGGTGGTCCGACGGAGTTCAAATAACTGGGGCGATTGGGCGGCGCTGCCAGAAACGTTGCTGGCATCCGGCCAGCGCAGGGGGCCCCCGGGGTTGAGTCAGTGCCCGCGCCAGATTGTCGGGATTGAACGACAATGTACGAAGTGCCCTCCACAGTCCGAGGGAAGCGCGGGCCGCGGCTTCCTTCTGCACTGGACAGTTTCTGCAGAAAGTGGCTTGTGGGTTACGGCACTGTATCGTAAAGGGGAGCTTCCACGACTCGCGGGTTTTGGTTATGGCCAGGAGATGCGCCGGTGGTGGGCATCCCCAACCAGTCCGTCTGCTGAACTCTCGAACATGTATCCCTTTCTCGGTGCGCTGGAGCGAATACTCCCGCGTTGGGGCTTCCCGACCGAATAGTGATGGCTGCACCATCGTCACAAGAAGCATTCTTGCCTTGTTATGTAGAAACGAATGATGACGATGACAAGAGCATCAGTGCGATCAAGCAATACCACTGAGTTGAATTAATACACCATTTGTACTGATTCGAATGGATCGTGCCTGCGATGGTGCCGGGTGTACGACCCTGTCACGCAGCCACTGACCCTGGGATGGAGAGGTGTATAGGCATGCGTGTCTCTGCCAAGTGCAGCGCCGCTCCAGCAGCTCGATCAGGTTGATCAGCCCCTACCATGGCAACCAGCAGTCGAAATGGACAGACCAGCTCCATGCAACAGTCGCACCAGTTCCCATTAGGTTAGAATAAACTTCAAGGGACAGTTAGCAGGGTTTTGGACGCCAGCACATCGTACAGAAAGTTCAAGACATGCGGAGTTGGAAGTGTACAGACTGAATGGGCAGACACCAACAGATGTGGCTGGCACATAGGTCTTGCCAGTGCTGCCCTTTACCACCTTGCAGGCGTTTAGTCATGCTTGATCTGCTTGGCACTTGTAAACAAAGGACTGTCACAAACATGAGGATCGATGGTGAGCCACGTTATGGCATTCAAACATGCTGTATTCTCACGTTATTCACCATGACAAGACACAACACAAAGTGATCCACACAATATATGCATGGATACGCATTGCCAGAATGACCTGCAGGATGGGGTTACGACACAGTTGCTGCTGACTCAATGCTCTTGTTCCAAATAAACAGTCCTCCAAGGGAGACCATCGTCAACTTCCATGTGTCAAGGCGATCTCAGTGACGATACCTGGGGAACTTGCGACATTGCCCCCCCACCAATGGTAACACAACGCCAGAATCGCCACCAAGCACAGGCACAATATCACCAGAGCTGGAGCCCGTCTGGCACATGGCCTTGCAGAATAGAAGCATGGAGACGCAAGCTCCAATAATGTACCTCCGGACATGTTCATACACCATTCACGTTCACATATGATCTGAGTTGAAAGTACAACAGACGCCGCAGCAGTGCAGGCACTCCACAAAGCCTCGTCTCGCCCAGGTTGTAACATGCCACCATTCTCACCCAGCAGGGCCATTCATGTGGTTGCAACGTCCTGGAAATAGAAAAGAAGGACAAGCCCCAGAATGACGTTGAAGGCCACCATGATGGTCATGATCACCAGCGACCTGTCCACAGAGAAGGTTAGGGTTTATGTGAGCTGGGTTGATACAACAAACTTGACAAAGCACACTGCCCTTCATCACTTTGTAGAAACTCAGGTATATTCCACAGTGGAACCGCGCAATTTTGAGACATCGCACTTTGTAGAAACTCAGGGATATTCCACAGTGGAACCGCGCAATTTTGAGACATCGCAGAGTAGCAAGGGTACACCAACCATTCCATTTGCCAACATCATTGACCAGCGTGGGCACATCAAAGAGCAGCAGAGTCATCTGCTGACAATGCCCGCATTGTGCAACTAACTGAGCCAGAACACCATCAAGGAACCAACTGTGCAAGCATTGCTCAAAAGGACACCAAAATGGGCTTATGACACCTCAACATATGCTCTCACAACACACTGGCTAACACTGTCCTCCATTTCCATATATCCAGTTAAATGGTCGACTCTTCATCCATGTTCCACAAACTGTCAGAAAAAGAATAACAGCTGGAAGGGGGATTTGAACAGGCGAGATCAGGATGCCATGCCTGGTCTGTCTGATGTTGGGCCGCAAACATGCTGCCTCATCGCAAGGTGGGCTGGTGCTGGTTTACACTTTTTATTGACGCTACTGCAGACTGTCACAATTTCACAGCATTTTGATGCAGTTGTTCAAAAGCGGCCAACGACATAACAGCTCTCTCTTAACATATCGCACATAAGGGCACCTGCGATTTTGACTTCCTCCACACTTGGCATGCAGATGGAGATGGCCCAAAAGAGGTTAACCCATTTCCGTAACATCCTTAAGCAAGCACAGTAGGTGACATGCAGAATGGCACCAAGGAAAGGTGGCACAGGTCAAGCACACCTTTGACACTTGGCAAGGCAAACTGGTGGCTGATGACAATGGACAGATGGGAAACACCTGGGACAAGGGACTTTCCCACAAATCAACGTCTCGGGTTAGGACTTGAAGCACGCTTGACAAAGCCCTTGTACTCTGTGCATCCATTTACATTCCCATGACAAGCTGCCACCTTTGGTCAGAGCGATAGGAGAAGGGCACAAAGAGCACAGTGGCAGAATAGAACAGCAATTTGACACACGGCCCTGAGCCTCCTTTGGAACAAAGAAATGACAAGTTTTATGGCAGCTGTAACACAGAGAATTAAAGTGGAATACTAATTCGAAGTAACTCACTTTCCCGGTGCTGCAGTGCTGATGTCCTCTCTGAAGTTGCGTATTAGGAAGATTGAAGACAGGAGCACCGCGGCGACCACCAGCACCACAGTCAACATTTTGAGGACGACATGGTTGGAAGGGAGGATGAGAACGATCGATACTGGCAGGAAAACTGTCAGGGAGTACCCTGTTCGAGTACAACCAAAATTAGCACTATGCTTGAACATCTGGCGAAACGTGGAGGTCATGGATAGCCATGACAGCTGAACCATGAAGGCCCACAAAAGCTACACAAAGTGTGGTATGGTAGGGCACCAAACACTGAAGAGAATCTGGCCTAAGGCAACTGTTCACACCATCATACAGCACACCCAATGCTGCTGCTGCCTGATGTCCTGAGAGCCCACAGCACTTGTGTCACTGAGTATTTTACTGATGGTACAGAGTGGCAGACAGTTCAGTCGCACCCCCATCAAGAGGTCCAACCCCCTGCCTATGAGCCCTTTCCTGGCTCAGGCATAATGATAGGCCATGCACACAGCAACAGGAACATCATGCCCCACTTCTCATTGTTGCATTCCTCAATCCCATGAAGGACATTCACAATTGGCACTCTATTGGAGGAACATTGCAAAGCGGTTGCTATTGATTGGCTTGGGGTCAGTGTCATGTGGATTCATCAATGTCCTAAATATAATACAGCAGCTTACTGTTGCTGCACCAGAACTCAAAGCACATTGCCCAATACAGCACTGTCGCATGCATCCAACGACACTGCTGGAGTGGTTTCCAAGCAGAGTTTGCACAGCTATGATCCCAATCAGGAGGCACACGTATGTTGGTCTTGAGGGCAGCACATGAACAAAAAACCAGCAAGCAATCAGGAACTGGGCACACTGGTGTGCACTTGTCACTCACCATAAATGCACCAGATTTGTGTCAGCTTCATTCTGGAGCTGAAGCATTTCAGGGTCGCCCACAGCACCAAACCAAGGAAGAATACATAGCCATAATACAGGCATGCTGCATATGGGATCTGCAAACAGTACAGGGAAGCGAAGTCACCCCCAGGATGCTGCTTGATGTTCTTGGCCTGTAATTCTCAACTTTTTGCACACAGTGCAAAACAGGGCCCTTGCACTGTGTATGTTGGTGACTTCCATAGAACACTGTCTGTCGCTTGAAAATGGTCTGAGCCCGAATTCCTTGTATGCAACAAGGGGCCTTCTATGCAAAATGTTTGTTTGGAACTCGCAATTCTGCCCATCTGCATCTCATGCAAAAGGTGGTGTCAAAAATTGGACATAATGCATCAAAAAATGACAAACCACTATTGTTGCACCCATGTGACGATGGCTACCTTAAGTACTTGCACAGACTGTGCTGTTGAATGTGTCCATTGATGTTAACAATGTGGCTTTAGGGGGCATCCAATGTAAGTCAGAAATGCACGACACATTTCCGTTCTAAGTACAAATGGGTGGGACAGCTGCGAGATGCTACTTGCCTTGTTGTAGTCGCTGACCCATTTGTTGTGTCCCTTGTCATCTCCCTTGTCATCTTTCTCCTTTTCGTCTGCATCTTCAATTTCGTTGATGTATGATTGGAAGTTGCTGCTCACTGCTGTGATAAAAACCAGTGTTGTGGCAATCCAGAAAGGGCCATACCTAAGCTTGCAAACACCAACAGTTAGAATGTCCATGCACTGAGCACCACACAGGCAGAGTGGCAACCACTGAAACCAAGCCCTGCAGTATACATCAGATGGTGAACATCAGCTACCAAACTTCCTGCAATAAACATGATAATGCTGTTTGGCATCACTGTTTGATACCCAGTCTTTTGGGGTCTGTTTTCATGCAAACATGGCCAGAGTGCACACTCCATGGTCTGCAGTTCGATTGTGAGGATGCAAATACCATTGAACTGCACAAATGCAATAGAGCATTCACCTTCCCTGCAACACGTCGGCAGTCACGTAGTACTGTGCCTTTTCAAAAAACCCATGAACAGGCACTTACAACTGGCAAATGCACTACACAAACCACACGTGCGCCGGTGACCAGCTACGATTGTGCAACAAAATCCCTCAAAGCCCGATTTTTGACGTTGTTTTTGCCGTTACAGGAATCTTACAGGAACATTCAACCAGGCCCAACTCTCCTCAAATGTCACTCACAGATCAGCTTTGTCTTGGGTGGTTTCAATGAAGCTGCCCCGGCAAAATCCCCCAGCAAGTGTGTTCTTCATACGTGACAACACATCCTGAATCAACAGTCAAAGCAATCGCTGAAGATCAAACTGCATTTCATCAACATCAGCAGCTCAACCAACACAGGTTCCCAACGATGAACACACCTTCTTGGATGCTTTGACAATCCATCCTAGTTCTACACTGTCTGTCCTGTTTTGTCTGCCAAACCAACCGTATTCAATTAACATGACACAGCAGATATGGCATGCCCAGCTTCCTTGCTGTGAACTTGATCAGCAACAATGCTCGTCAAAACACCATTTACACAACGATTCTTTTGACATGAAGCTGTGAACCACCGTGAACACCAGTCAGCCGCATGATACTGATGCGTTTAAACCTGCAGCACCTGCAAGACAGCAGCGATGGGGCACACACCACATGCCTGCCACTGGCCCCCCACAACCACCACTAACAGCCAAGGATGTCCCTGTGGATGTTGTGAAAGCTGTGTCCAGTGAGTGTGCCAAAAGTTGACAATATACTCCCGGTGATGGATCATGCAAGGTGGTACCCACCTCTGTGTCAACATCAAAGTGTTTTTGGAAACCCTTCAATGACACCCAGCCCCATCTGCCTGTCTGTTGGCCACTTGTGGAAGTACCACCTTCACCAAGGAGACCTGCGGACGGTTCTGTGTACAGCAGTGCACAAAATGCAAGATATGTCACAGGAGAGTCGCATGCAGTACATTGGCAGCCATTAAAACTTATGTACTGTGCAATGGTCCCCCCTGGTTTGATATTGACAATCCTCTCTTGCCTTGGGTTTCAAAGCTGAGCGATCTTGCTATCGATCACATCACCCGCATTGAGTGGCTATGTAAGCAGGTTACACACTATCCCAAAAGCGATGCTCTGTCATGCCCTTTGACCAGCACAATTACCAAGATTTACCACATATCACAAGTACTGAAGCATGACCGGTTTCATGATCTGCAAGTCGCACAATGGCATCTATGCATCATGTATTGCTTCCTTGATGGTGATTCCTTTGTCAGCTTAGGCACATCCAGGCAAAGGGTAGTAATACAATTCCTCATTGTCACTATGATCTGTTTCTGGACCCTGCTGCACAACCCAAGACAAGGAACGGGCTGTTCCCAGTGCAGATTTGTTCATGCTCATAGCTCACTGTGCTGGAGACTATTGGCTGTATGGAACTGTCCAGCCTTGCTGAAGCGCAAGCGATGCCGTTGACAGATGGCGACAACAATCTACACAATTTCGGGTTGAATATTTAGCATCATTCTTCTTTACCAGTGGCCACAGGTACATATTGACAGGTTGTGCCCCTAAAGGTGAACATGACAAGCAGAACCACCAGCAGTTTGTCTAACTGTTCGCAACAATTCGCCACCACCACTGTCTGTTGAATCCAAGCACAACACACTTGCCTTTTCCTAAGTTGGCCAGGCAGAAATAGACACAGGTTAGACACATATCAAATTGTTCCACTGATTCTTTCTGACGAATACAGTTATCTTCGCACCGCAAAGCAATAACAGCATAGTGACAATCATGCAATGTGTGTTAAATAATAGGCCTGGAGTAGGAGGGTGTTCGAAATGGTGGTCTTGCATTTCAAGCACAGTGCAGCCATGAAAATCATAACAATCTCATCATGGCTTGTGGATGTTCAGAGCAGAGATCAATTTGCTACTGCAGCAAGGACTCGAGTGTGCCCACAGCAAACCCAAACAGGAACATGGAAGGAGAGTGGAAGCAAAGCTGAGTTGAGCATGTAAATACCCCACCTTCGCCCTTGCGTGCAGCCATTGTTCCTTGCGCACTGCTCGGATTCAGATTTGAATCTAACAAGGCCACACACCAGCTCAGCACATACATAGCACAGTAATACATCTCTCCCTTGGTCCATCTTTTGACAGCTCAGAATTCAGCAACCCAACCCAATGCGGTCCCTGCCCAGGGCATTGCCACAGCCAATAGTTGAAGCTTGTGTCGCGCAATCTTTGCCGCGATGAAATCTGGGCCCCAACAAAGTGAGGGTTCTGTGCTGCGAACGCATTGGGTTTCTCTGCCGCGGTATCCCTGCACGTGATCTCCAAGCAGATCCGGCACCCCTTGCACAGCCCCAGCACCGCTAATAAACAGCATCCAACGCACCTGCGAACTCCAAACCGATGTCTTGCGCCGCAGAGGGGACGGTTGCGTCCGGCGCAACAGACGAGCCCGCTGCCGACGGCACGGTGGCGTCCGGGTCCACTTGGGGCACTTGCACCCCGCCGGTGAAGGCCCCGCTGCCAGCCTGCCCGGCTGGCGGTTCCTCATCGTCCAACGTGAACAGGGAGCTGATGTCCTGCGGGCGCAAATCCAAGCGGGGTGCTCTGTTGCGAACAAATCGAGCCCAATGGTCCCCAGCGCCGGGTACGGTTTCCAGAGCGGTGGCCCCTGCCTGCGCCGTGGTTCAAGGTGCCGGGCAATGGCTGTCGATGGAGGGCATGCGTATGGCGCTCCATCAGGACGGCAGGGCCCAGCGGTGCCCACGCAAAAAGACGATCACCGCCGCTGACGGGGGAAGTTGACCAATGAACGGGAAACGACCACTGGCATCGCCGTGGCGCGATCGCGCCCCAGCTGTCGAAAGAATGGGCTTCGGGGGTAGGCCCTCGGTTTGGGGACGGGCGCCGCGCCGCCGCAGTGGGCTACCTTGGCTGGCCTGGACATCCTGGCGTGGGTTCTCACTGGCTGCGAACGGCGCCAGTTGCAAAATGGTGCGGGGGCTGCTGGCTGAATGCTGCAGGAATATCGCATGAAAATGAATGCATGCATAAACAATGCACAGCCTGTATACCTCGTGACTCAGAACAATGCAACCCAACTTCGTGTATTCTAACATTGTTCACATATCTAGTATTAATTCTTGACATTCATTTTCTGCCTTTTTTGTACGTTTTCGCGTATTGTTTTCTTCAGAGACCTCAACAACTTTTGTTCGTCTCGACCTACGGAAGTGGCCCAAAATTCCTTATGCAGTCTTGCAGGGACAGGATGCCGCAGGCCACTCTTCAATTGCGTCGAAGCTCAATCAGGAAATGTTCCATATCAATGTGAGCACTTCGCCATAAGCTCCCTCCAGCACCCAAGAATAAGAAGTGTTCTTTAAAAGTCAAGAAATTTTTGCACCAACAACTGATTTTTGTCCGTTAGGACTCACAAATTCATGCCAAATTCAATACGTTACGACCTACTCTGCAAACGGCAAGCGTTCGAGCCCCTTGCCTTTGCCGAACGCTGGAACACAGTAGCAGTGTGCTGTCATGTAGTACGTGGGAATCAGTACTGGGAAAGAGTTTGGTTTCACCGCGGCACCGGTTTCGTCCTAAACTATAGGACGAGGCCAGAGCCGTGGTGCAAACGAATTCTTTCCGGAAAGAATGGGATCGATGGGATTGCCGTGGTGGGGCGAATTCGTTCCTTGAAGGAACGCCGCCGGTGCTTTGGCCTCCCGGTTGTGTTCTTTCTGTTGGTCTTCAACCAGCAGTACACCATACCGCTCTTCGGGTTTCCAACGCATCCTCGCCTGTACTGTCACACATGCCCCCACGGGAACAACCCAAAGGTGTCCGCGGACTGCAAATGGCTGTGGCGCCAGCCTGTGGGCAGAATCGGCAGGGCGAACACTTGAAGAAATTCGTGGATATCTTGACTGCAACCAGTGGGGCTTTCCACGTGGCAACGCTGACATGGCATCTCCTCGGTTGCCTTTCATTCGCAGAAGTGCTTTTCCGGCCACGCCGAAAGTCAGTTGTGACTTATTGCATATTGATTTCTGCAATACAGTCAATGGATGCATGCCTGGTACTTGAGTCAATGTCTCCGCACATGATCAGAAATCTCATCGCGCGGAATGCCCAGAATACGCAGTCGTGGAGGGACAGGTGTAAATGAGTTTGGAGCAATGGCAACGTTTTGGCCGAAGGAGCAAGAAATAGCTTTGAACGTGCACAGAGTGGCTGCATCGATTGCTCAAGTTACTAGGTAGGAATGCAAGAAACAAGTGGATCGACACTGGTAAACCTGGATTATAGGATAATCGTGACATAGAAAGAGTGAAACATTCATTTTAGAGAATTGACAGAGATCGTGGGGATAGTCGGAACACTTGTGCTCCGTGTTTCTCAACGTGCTTAGGGGCACTTGCTTTTGCGACACCGTCGCTGTGTTGTAATCCTTTTTCCCTCAGCAACGGAAAGAAAACTGGGACCTGAACTGAGCCGCAGTTCATGTAAGATGCCACCATTTTGGGTCCCGACAGGAGCAACAGAAGCGCTGCAGTGCGTAGCTATTTCCTAGATTCAAAGTAGCCTTCCAGCTTCGATGGCCGTGGACGCTGTGTCGTTCACGGAAAACTGATCAAAATGAGGCCGATGGTCATTCTGGGTGTCTTGGCAGGATGTGCGACTGTGCGACCTCGGCTGGCTCGATTGGTGCCCGTCCTGTGGTAGCCTATGTGCTTCATCGCGCCTGCGTTGTGCGGCAACTGCTGCTGCTTCATGGGACTGCTGTTCTTGGGAGAAACTTATTCGTTCAATGATTCCCCTGTCGTCCATGCTTCATCGTTTTTGTTCACAAGATGCGACATGGGCTCGGGATTCGCGAGGATTGGTGCTGGTCATTGAGGCTTCGCCTGCTGTGACGGCGCTGCTGTGATCGGCTGCAATATTTCATTCGCTGTACCATACACGACCGCGCGACGTGCCCAGTTGGCGCGGTTCCATCATGCTGAGAGCGACACACGCTCAAAAACAATGACGGACAATCAAGGTTTTGCATTGTCACTCCACGATAGTGGTTTAGGATCATCAGGCAGCTTCCGCAAAGTCCACTCCGTCCGGACCAACTGTGTATGGTTTGCTAACACTATTGTTTGTGCATGTTCAAATGTTTTGACCTCCATTTGTCGAAGAGCGACCATGCGCTCAGGTGTGCAAGGGATCTTTGCACTATGGTCGATCGGAACAAGCCGCTGCTCAGAGGTTTGCGTTCCTCCTCCGTTCCGGCCTCTCTCGAAGAGAGCCCCGCCGCGTCCCAGCAGCCCTTACTTTCTGCTGATCTTTCCTAACGTTACAAGAGTCCCCGCGCTTCGGCACCTTCCATGCACCATGTGTCACCATGGGATTTTTTGAGGCGCGCAGGCACTCCACGAGACCATTGAGCTGTCACGTGGAGGATCCGAAAGTCCTGCCGTACACTTCAACGCCATCGCCCGCAAAATGCAGCCGCTCGTTTGTTTCTATTTCAATTTTGCAGATTGCTGCAGTGGTAGTCGTCAAGTGTTGAGGACTAAAGCTGACTGTCCACAAGGAGACCCGAATTGCAATTGAGCTGCCCAGAGAGCGGCAACGACCTCATCGTCGATAAATGAACAACAAGGCATTTAAACGACGTAGAATCAACGAACGAGTGTGCAACGGCGATGACTGCAACCGAAAACGGGTGATTCCATCCCACACAAATGCATTTCATTTCTTGGCAAACTGATAAAACGCATTTCCGACACTAAATTCGCGCTGTGTTTGTGCGTGAAGTCCGATTGTTATGGGCTAGGCTACAACAACGATTGCACTTTCCCCAACATTTTGTCATTGTTTGCGTTGGTTCCATAACTGTTTAACATACAGTAATGCTGAATGCTCGCCTTCCCATTCCACTGGGATTGGGATGCAAGGTGGACCACATTGCTAGCATCTACCTGGTACTCACTCATGAATCATTGTCTTGGCTTTCCTGCCCCGAAACCTGAAGGATCAATGCACAGTTTGCGGCAACATTGCAAACTTGCTCTCGGTGCTGAATGTCAATTTGATGCATCCTCATATTCGGTCCACGAAAGTTGTTGCATTATGGGAAGGATATAGCCTATTTCAAGCAAGGGGCTGAAAGCATGGATCAGTGTCGTGGGAGTTTTGAATCATTGACGGAAGCCACTCGTCAATGCCATTCAAAGTGCCCCAGTCGACTGCATTCGTTTGTTCCGGGCGTGACATCAGTGAAAAGAAATGAAGGCCATGCATCACTCTTGCAGGCACCTCTGCCACGACGCAGCACCGCACATTGTGGGCCATAGTGCTCTTGTCGCAAACCATGTGGTCAGGTCAAGCGCCACATGCCTATCATCTGTCTCATATATATTTGGTTGCATGGGATGGATAGCTAGATTAACGTGCTTTTGGCACCGTGTCCTCTTCTCCCTTGGTGCCCAGACCCCGGTATTTCCCTGCATCGAAACGCTGAACGTCTGCCCCCGCCGAGGAAGATCTGACGATATTGGAATTTTGGTTCCATTTTCATGTTGCGTTTTCACACGAATGCACTGGATGAGGGGATATCTGCACGTGCCCATTGACAAGCCGACCATGCCCTTTGGTGCACGCTCGACAACAAGCATTTGATTCTCTGGCGCAGGAAAACATGAAATTTGGTGGAGATTTCCCCCCGGCATAAGACGGTCAATCGCTCACTGTGACCCTTGTTAATATATTCTATCCGTCTCCTTTTGCGGAGCAGCGGTTCTCATGTTGTCAGCATACTCTCTTGCGCACAGCACATCAAGTCATTAAAGCACGTTAAGACTAATAGACGAGTTTGCGCTGCATGTGCCCATAGTACGTGGTTGCACTCCGCTCATCAAAGACGTTTCCAGTGTTTCAGAATTGGGGTGACGAGATGGAACGGACAAAGCTGACGGCTGTAAGAAGCAGAGTGGCGTATCCATGCACACTGCCCTGAACAGGCAGCGCTTAAAGGATTGACAATAAAATAGCCAAAGAATCGTCCATTTTATTTCCCTCGTAGGGCGAAGCTGAAGGAATCACCGCACTAGATCAGTGCCTGGAGTCTCATGAACAACGTTTTGCTCAAATACGCCTATCTACTGCATCAATATCGCATTAACGTCATAAACAACCATGTATTATTCTCAATGCATCACTGTGGTACGAACCATCACTCCTCATCTGCAGCGACGTCATCGTCAATTTGACCTTTTCAGCTTCTTGTTGTTGGTGAGCCCCTGGTTTGTGGAAGATTTCAAGATCCACGCTTCTAGACCTGAAGAACGTAACAACAACAGTCACGGAAGCAGCGACTGGAATTTACAGTCGCATCTCTCCGCGACAATCTGCAAAGGCTGTCCACTGTTGCCGAGCTTCTTTCGCTTGTTTGCTAATTGACACCAGCAAAGCCTTCGCCTCCACAGCCAACGTTCGCTTCGGTAAATTGTCGGATTCAATATGACATGCATAATGCATGTGGCATGGTGCATATGAAGCAGCATGTTCATGGCATTTTTGTCTGTGTGCAGATTGTTCACGGTTTTGCCTCACAACGATCGTCGGCACACGCAAACGACAGCGTGCATGCCTTCTGTTCACCGTTGGGTTAATGACATTAGCGAACTGAAAAGAGCTTCAACAGGAAACCCAATCGCCAGCACAACGCAGCAGTTACCTTTTTTAGAATGCCTCTTTGCCTGCTTCAGGCCACTGCCGTTGTTCTCTTTGGCCTTCAGACCATTCACTTTCTCATGGTACCAGTTGCGATCTTTCTTGGGAAGGAAAACAGTGAAGTCGGCAAGCAGGTGCTCCCTGTTCGGAAGGAGCAGCTCGAACAGGCATTCCACAAAGGTAGATGTGTTTCGATTTTCCCTGCAACAGATAGAAATACAGCAGCATAAACAACTGGGATTGTGCACTGATGAAGGGGCAACGTCTCAACAGCTGTGGGAGACAAGTGATGGCAATGCTGGCACTCCCGTCATCTTCTTGAAAGTTCACAAACAGGGCTTTGTTCCTTTTGTTGCTTTCTGTAATTTCACATGTTTGCTGACAGGTATATATTTGCCACACGCTTTGCAAAGCTTGACAACATTTGGTGCTGACCCCCCCACCTGGCGGCAACAATGCAAAGGTTGCATGCATGTCGCCTGTGCCGAATGAATTGACAAAACACTCAACCTAAATGGACAGGGGCATCCTAAAACGTAGGACATATCATTCACCCCACGACCTCGTGGCTGCCGTTGACTCAGCCAATCTCATTGCTGGGGAGTCGGACAGAGGACCTGCCTATATTTGGACAGCAACTCTGACAGTTGCCTGTATTCTTCCTTCGACAGGACCTCTTGAAGTTTGGACAAAAACTCTTTTGCATCGCTCTCAACTCCTGTTGCCCTTTGCTGCCTGCGCTTCACATCCAAAGGCGGATCCAGACATCTGTGCGAAGTGGACGTGGTGCACTCCTTGGATTTGAGCTGTCTTTCAACTCCTGAACAAACGTGCAGCATGTGGTTTCCAATATGCGTCACATAGCACAGCCTTCAGCCTCACAGCGGGAAAGAGAATGCATACATTTGCCAAAGCAGCCATTGTCACAATTGGATCAAAGTAACCGCTGTCGATTTGCACAGTCAGCAGCCATCGGCGCAAAATTTTGCACCAGAGCAAAAGTGACAACAGCTGTGATGGCTAGCATGCATATAAAGAACCAACAAACTCAAGCCACGCATACTGCAATCCCTTTGTCCAGTCTATTCTGTTATCTACTTGAAGTAATTTGCATTTTCTTCACCCTTTGAATGCCACTCTGCAGCAGCATTTGCCTTCACATTGGGGGATTGAGGTAGACAGGGTAGGGTGGGTGGGATTGGGAGGGGGTGGGGGCGCTTGAAGCCACACAGTTGTTTTCATAAATTCTTCAATATTCACAACTTCATGTTTCCCCTTCAAAAAAAGAAAGCAGGCCATACAATATGCAGTTCCTCCTGAACACTTTGCAAACATTTATGGAAAATGATGCAGATGCTTCTGAGTGCAACTGGAAAGCAACACAAAAAGCCAAGGAGAGGGCTGTGGGAGCATCTGAATCCGGGCCATGTGCAAATCGCCACAAAGTCACCTGCAAACTCCAGTTCACCATCCAAGGCATCCATCAAGAGAGACCCTGAAGGTGGAGCTCTGCGTTGAGTCCTCACAGGGAGGTTTATTGCGAGTGCAGATGCGTCTGAGCAGTTGTGCAAGTCCATTGCGGCAGGTATTGCTAGGCTGTGGCTGTCTTGGCTTGGTTGGCAGGAAAAGAAACTGCCAGAACGAAATTGCGATGTGGTCTCCAGTGCAGTGTCCACTCCTTTTGTTGCATTGACAGGATTCCTGTGACGGCCAGATGCAGCCCTCATGTCCTGAAAATGCAGACATGGAGGTTCAACCAGCTGCTTTTTGAAGAAATTTTCAAGAGCAAGTTGAAAAATGTGACGAATGGAAAAACAATATCCCTATCGTTGACTTCATATATCAAAGCACTGCTTTGGGGCCCTTCAACAGTGAGGTGCAACACGCCACTCGGTGATATCACATTGATCTGCGAATTGAGCAATTGCCAGAACAGCAAAATCATTGAAACTACAGCAAATGAACATGTTCCTTACCTTGAAAAATTTCGACAGGGTGCCTGCTGCGGATCCAAAATTGGGGCAGACTCGAATGAAGTCTCGCAACCACAATGAAAGTTGCTTCTGCAGGCCGCCACCTCTGAAACGTTCATCGCACAATAGGATTGCCCCATAGTCATCTTTGTGGCGAATTACACGACCGATGGCCTGATTGACAGCCCTTGCAGCTTGCTGCCCATACCATATGTCCCCGGTGAGCTTGCTCTCACCTGCTGCAGTGGGTTGATCATCCAGGAACTGCCTCTTTAACTGAACCTAAATGACCAACACAGTTTTTCAGTGCGATTCGTTGTTTTACCAACATGGACTTGCACTTGCCGATGCACAAATTGCCTCTATTGCACTACAGATCCCTAGGTATTAGTTGGCCAACAGCTCATATCAACATTGACCTCGATCAGGGCCAATGCAGTTGTCTGCTATCTTTCAAGCTGTTTGGTACTTCCATCTGACCACAGCTACAACGTCCTGACTATCCAAAAGTGCAAACACCAGAAGCAGACACACCATGGTATATTCAACGATTACGAATTTGTAATTTCAATGTCACCATTTGCCCCGCACTTTTTCCAACAGACCATTATTTGAGGTGCCTCCGCATCATGGGCACAGCCTGAAAGGTGACTTCACTCAATCACAAGGCCTCAAATGCTGCTTTTCCAGCCCAAGGCGGCTCACGCATCCCGGGCCGCCAGACACCACGTGCACTCCAGAGATTCCTGCATCACGGCTGGGACTGCTCGACATTTCTTTTGGTACCATTACAATTCTTATTATTGCTCCACATAAAAGGCCAAATGTTACATTACTATGCAGATATAGCACACTACATCCAGAATGAAGGGTGGGCTGTGTAATGCCTTGCTTCATCATCATCATATCCAAACATGCTTCTCATCTTGAGAAATGTCACGCACCAAGCCGCTGGGCAACTTACCTTAGGATCAGTGATAGTTGGGTATGGAACGCCCACTATAATGGCAGCCCTTGCCATGTTGTCTGAGAAATCCATCCCTTCACTGACCTGTAGTGGCACACGAAACTTGTCTGTCCAGAAATGTTGCTTGCAGCACTTTCTGCCAAAATGGCACAGACTTGCTATGCCACAATCATAGAACCAACCTCTGCTTGTCTGGAAAGGATCTCAAGAAAGTAGGCTAACGATGGAAATGAGCAAGACACAGCAGCCCTTTTGGCACCAAAGGCCTTACTTGATGTGCTGAGTGGCACATAAACCATTTTGCTTTAAGCTTCTCTCAAGTTCAAAATGAGCAGAACTGAACTGACGCTCTGGGATATACCACCTGTTGTCATTTTGGAGGTGCAATGGCATTTAATTGACACTTCTGACGATTGAAATGAAGGAATCGACACTCTGGAATGGTCGAGGGCAACCATGCAAACAAGTGCAAGTTCTGCACACAAGTTCTGCAAGGTCCGGTGCAAGTTTTGCAGTGTGCTGGGGGCACAACAACAGGCTTCATGATAGCTTGGCTTCCCATTTCTGCCAATGCCACCATGTGTACCATGGATTGGTGTCCAGTCGAAAACCCTTGTTGGGGCTCACTCAATTCGTCTGGGCAAGAGAAAAGTAGTTGCACCTCTCTGGATGTGGAGTGCCAGTTGTTGCAAGCATTCGTGTCCCTTCAAGCTGCAACAAGTGCCGCAAACAAAATTGCCCTGTAGGGCCAACATGATGCAAAGATGATAGCTTCATGCCTTACAGTTTTTGCCTCCCCTCATCAAAGGGAAAGGAGGCTGTTCGGTTGCTGAGCAGCTGCAGGTCTGTTGGAAGTGCTTGAGAGCTAGGCAGGAACATCGGAAACATGCATGCCACGCTTCTGTTGCAGGCAGGCCCTCATGACCCGGGGAAGGATTTTGAGAACACCAATAAGGAATCGATGGTTTTGAACAGGACTGCAGGAGGACATTGATCGATTGTGAAGGCCTTCCATATTTGAGGTGGGCATTTGTGGTAGTACTGGTGTTGTCACTGACAATGCGGAGTTTGGAATGTTGTGAAGTCCGCAACTTTGTAACTCTGTATTCTGCTAGTAGTGCTGTCCGTGCAATTCATGTGCTTTCTATCCCATTTATTCCCATTCATGTTGTTTCAATTCATTGTTCCTATTCATGTCATCTCTGTCGTGTTTTTGACACTTTCTGTGTCTATTTTTGAATATTCTCTGTCCACTACCTGGATCGAGGGTTTGAACTATGTTTGCATGATCCTGTGCTGGTATCCGCCAGTTGATAGCTTCTTGGGGGTTCCCTTTATATGGATATCATTACCAGGTACACGTGAACACTGTGAATCCCTCCAACATCTGCCTAGTTTTTCTGTACGATTTTGATATGTAACTTGTACATTTTGTGCAACTGGGTTGCTTCAAGCAACTAGGTTGTCTTGCATGAGATACAAACTTGACATGCTGAAGTGGACCAGCAAGAATTATGGCATCTGAACAGATGGAATCTATTTGAGCCTTTTATGTTGCCTTGCAATGTGCTGTAAAATACAAAAACGAGTACTGCTTGAATTCAGCATTGTGCTGGGCATCGTTACCTTCCCTCGGAAAACTGAGAACATCATGCAGCCATTGTGTGTTGGAATGTCCAATTTTCTTTTGTAGTCATCAAAGGCCTGCTGAAATTGAGCTGACTCTTTCGGCTCAACTACAATATGCTTGTGCCTCAGAATGCCTTCCCACACAGAGTTTCCACCTGCACAAAATGCCAAGCACTCACCAACTGCATGCTTGGGTGAAGCCAGTTTGAGTATACCATGCAAGGAAACAGATCAGCAAGTTGCCTCCTGCAGTCCACCAACATCATGACGCGACTTGAGCCAACATGTCCAAAAGTGGCAGCACCAGCAACGGCTTCTTCTTGGCCTAGAAAGCTCTGTTGCAAGTTTGTTCTCCAGAATTCTTACCCAAGAAAAGACTGTTCGCCACCACCACAAAAGCAATGGGTACTGGGAATTGATAAGCAGACAAGTGCGTATGAAATGTTGCCTTGTGGGTGCAATAACAGCAACTTTCATATGCCAATGAATCCTGTCAACAAGAGTTTGCACACCTTTCCTGCTGGACTTCCAACGGTCGATGAAACTCTCCATCATCCAATACGATGAGAAAAAAACCAGCACACCACCAGGAACGATCCTTCCGAAATTCACGAGTGCGTTGCCCAAGTCGTCCTTAACTTGTGGAGAGTCCCTTGTTTTGTAGGAGAAATTCAGAGGCACCCCTGAGGGCCCCAGAGGCAAGATGCCAACACAAACCTGCCAGCACAAAGGGGATTGGATAAGCTACATTTTCGTATGCCTGCATTCTCTTTTCAGTCACAAGAATAGGGGGCAGGGCCAATAGCCTTGAGCTAGTTTGTCCCAGAACAATTGCAGAAATGTGACAAGACTCTCCCCTTGTACCTGCAAAGCATTGACACATTTAAGCCATCCACAGTGTTTGGTTTTATGTTCATATTTGCCCCTTTCAAGCAGGTAGTACAGAAAAATGCCCCCCACTTGATGCTCGACTTGCCAGCAGTACACTATCCAGGACCTCTTCGCATTTGAGGTTAGCCAATAGACCAGGTCCTGTTGTCTGAGCAAAACATCTCAAGGTGTTAAATATCACGTGTCCACAAGTGCAGGCATGCTTTCACTCTGCTGAAACTTGATCTTCAGGACGCAGGCTTGACGAGCTGCAGAAACCGACACCAATCTGTCAATGGAACTCTCTTCATGTCTGTACACGACGACTCAACAATGTTGTGCCTGCAACTAGCCATGGTATGGGCACCATCCCCAAAGAGTTTGACAATGCAGTTTCTGCCTTGTGTTTGTGGACCTGAACTGGTGGCTCATGCAGGGCAACCGCTGTCCAGATTGCTGTGAGGCATGCCACATTAGCCAAAATGACCCCAGTGCTCATAACGACCTGCATTCCATAGTTTGCAACAATGCAACTCTGCATTGTGTGGCCAGCTGAATCTCAAGTAGCACCAAGACGTCTTTCAGACCCACCCAGGCCACCATATTTCGTACAGCTAAGAATCTCAAAACGACTGAAAAGCTTCAAATGAAAAACGTGCAATCCCCCACAGGAAGTCGCACACACCTGTGAAGGATTGATGATGTGCCTGTTTTCCAATGTCAGCGGCTCATCAAGGAAGAGTTCCGCTGCAAAGGATTTCATGGGTGAGATGGTGCCACTGGTGAGAATCATGCTCCGAACCTTGAGGCCAGATAGAACATTCATGGTTGTGCCAGGAACGAAGCACCAAAAGCCAAGCGTGGGTTGAAGGTCACCATTTGAGAGCTTTTTAATGTACTGGTGCACCCTGTACCCCTGAATCGCAGGAAACGCTTTGTAACTCTCAGCATTTTTATTGCAATCACCGCAACTGCACGTTTCTGCAAAGCCAGTAATCCATGCATCCCACTCTTTGCTGTACACGTTGAGCAACAAAATCGACAGATTTGGAGAAGCTGCACAAAGACACCAAAGAAATGATGAAATTTGTAGTGCGGTGCTTTGCATTTCGTTCAAGTGGTTGGGCAATGACTGCTGACTTGCTGGCCTTTGACGTCACCATGAGCGAAATTAGTCAATCCTTTTAAGGCAGATAAGGAAGCTGTGAGACCCGAAAATGCAACGAAATTCAGCGTTCCAGCACCTCTGCATGAAACAGGTGCCACAGATACTGTTAACGCATATTGTTCTTCTTACAGCAATGCAGACAAAAATTGCATCCACCGATTGCACGCACCCAGCCATCCAACTACACAACTCAAAGACCAAAGATGGCCTAAGATTGAAAGATGCCTGGCAAAACGTAGCTCCACAGCCACAGAAGATGCCAAGCACAGCATTGTCAGAAGGTGAATGAAGGTTTACACATCTTCTGGGACGATGAGAGTTACAAATGAACAATAGCAGGCCAAACAGATCCAGAAAAAGAAATGCTGATGATGTCAAACACCCAAGGGGTAACTGCAAAACAGAGTTGAATTCAACTGTTGGAAGACATGTCTTCGCTTTCGCTACCAGTCCCTGTGCTGATTTTTGGCCAGTCCATTCATATGCAGTCAACACACAGTTTTATGCAAAATGGTCAACAAGTAATGTAGGAAAAATCCTTTAAATGACAGCAGAGTGTATCCAAACAGTCCAGCAAGCCAGGTCAGCACAACAGGAGGGTAAAATGACTTTTCAAACCTCTCACCCTGTGCAAAGGGGCTGCCATGACGCTGGGAGGATCTTCAGTCCTGAAAGCCAGTGAAAAGATCTCCGCGATGTATGTCGCACTGCATGCAGTAAAATGTACTGATGACTGGGCACTGCTCTCTGCCAGCTTCATCCAATCAAAATACAGCACAGCCTGTACTGAGTTTGCCCAAGGAAAGAAGCGGTTCCAGATGTGACAGCCGAGAATGCCAGAGATACCAGATGTTATGGAGGTGGCAAGAAATCCATGCAGTGTTGACTGCCTCCTGTTAGTGACCACTCTCCTCTCAGAGGGCACTGCTTTTCATATGTTATGGCTCATAAGAGGAGAATTTTTGGCAGTTAGAGCTTTTTAACTGTGAACAATGTGACGTGCTGCCTTCCAACAAGCGAATAACATGCTCAGAAAGAAACCTCCATTTCCTAGCTGACAAGATGTGGTACGCTTTGGGTCAATGTAGAATTGTGGAGGAATTGTAAGAACAAAGATAATGGCAATGCAAAGAACGCAATCTAGCATGCCAGTGTCCTATGACTCACTGTAGATATCACCTTGAGCCATTCCTTGGCTTCCCCATGTGTCGACCTGATGATCCCTCTTCAGAAAGCATTTCAGCAACATCGCCCAATGTTTTGTTGTATATATTCCACACCAGGCTGTGCAATGCACACAATAGTGAACCCACAATATGATGATAATTCACAGCTTCCACAGCGATCAACATCACAGTGTCCACACCATGCAACCAAAATCTTCTGTTGCCCGTTGGTGCTGTTTGTTAATGTTGAAGATGTAATGTTGAGACAGTATATTGGTAAGGAGGGTTCAGAGATTGAACTTTGGGCCCTGGCTGCCAATACACTGTCTCAACATAACTGTGACATCTTCAGAGTTTTTTTTTTGCACCCATGAAGTGCGGATCTGCTAGGCTTCCAAAACATACATCGTCCATTTCAGTGCACAGGTAGCAATCATTGCTGGACAGACAATATTCGGAACAGCCAATTAAACAAGCTCGTGCACATGGACAGCAAGGGACAAGAAGCCAAATGATGCTCCCTGTTCACTGTAGTCTGGAGCTTGGCAGGCTCCCTGACAATTCAAGCACTACCAAAAGGCCAGAAAGAACTGCACAGTTTCTTGCAGGAGGGACAAACGTTTCAGCAGGCATTTGTGAACAGGTTCCAAATAAAAGGCCCCTTTCATACGACACATGCTTCACATCGCACTGATCTAGTGAGATGGTGCTAGTGTACACACTGATGCGATGCTTCATCGTTTTTTGTCACGATATACACCTCCACCTGAGCAAAGCATATTGCATCTCCATGTGTCTGCCAGAAGAGAATGCAGAGAGCGTGACCACTGACATGCAGCTTCCAAGTTCATACACCAACATTGCAAGAACAGAACTCGGGAAATACGATCCTGCATGGCAACCGGATTTCCGTGTTGCCACCTCTCCTCTTTTGTCCCATGCATCGTCTTGAACTGGCTTTCAACATCACATCTTTTCCATTTGGAAATGGGTGCCAACTGGTCTGTTAGAAATGATGCAAACGTTGAGAACAGGTCAAAGAGGGGATCTCACCTCCCTATACCACACTTGTTGAGGAAATCGAATATGTACTTGCCCGGAAGCGTTCTACCTTGTGAAGGTATCGACCATGAGTGCATTGCGTTGGCCATGCGCTGCAGAACGGACTGCAGTGCACATCCAGCAGGACAGTGTCACCACCACGTGAACTAAAACCGCATTGAGGACCAAGCAAACAATTTGGTTGCTCATGTGTGCTGCCTTCAAGAGATCTACTGCAAAGTGTCGCTTGTGCCTTGCGAAGACAACAGTGGTCATGAGGACATAGATTGTCACTGGTCAACAGGCAGCTGCAGTAGCCCCTCCACAGAGTTTGAAAAGGATGCACAAACAAACATCCTGGAGTGCAGGTGTCATTGGCCGCAAGGTAACCTTCCAGCATGCCATCCAACAAGTTTCTTTTGCGGCAAGTGCCAGGGCACAAACACCATGGAAACAATTTGCTTCACTGCATTTCTTCGGCACCAAGCTGGCAATTCACAATGGCAGCATCGGTCTGAGGTTTCATTTTTTTACAACACCCTTTGTGTTGAAGCGACTTGTAAGGCAAAGAAGCTTGAAGCAAACAAGGCCTCAGTATGTTTCAAGTGTTGTCAGGGTGCTCACAAGGAGGGATTCAAGTTGCTTCAGAAAACCGATGCTCGACTCTCCTTCTTGCTTCACCATCAGGCTCTGTGGCTGACTGGCAGACCCGGAGGATGCCCTCTCAATGCATCTGGCCATGCCATACCAATGGGTGGTCTGTAAACATTCCATTCAGATTTGGCTCTGAGAAGAGGAGTGTGGATGGGAATTCTGTGGATGATTCTGTGGCTATGATTGTCAACGTCTTCATCGTGCTAGAGCTGTCAACCGTCACTCCAGTGCTTCATCACTTCTTCACAAAGCAATCTCAAGTCTAGCGCCATTCCTGAGTGGAATGACTGGTACTCCAGACCAACAAAAATACAAATCCTTTCATGCATACATCTGCAGTGTATGGTGACCCAGGCACCAAAATGCTGATGAAAGAAGCACTAAATACCCAGGGCATTGACTGGCCATTAATTAGTATACAGATGATGCACGATCTTTCAACAGGCAGAAACCACTGCCACTTTTGGTGGTGCAGGGCATTGCCAATTTTCGCCAAGCATGCTAAGCTAACTGTCTTGATCAACTGAGCCAATGGTCAACTGAGCTCACCTTGCCACCTCCTCCATGCAGCTGGTTACCTGCCCCACTGTCAGGTCGAAGCTGGCTGATCCTGCACAGACTTGCTGCAATGGAATCAGACAGGTGAATCGTCAAAAGGAGCAAAAAAGATTGGCAATCACTGCTTCCTGGCAGATGATGCAGAATCGCGATGTATGATTCATTTATGAGGATCTGTCCAATCAATAATCATCGATCCCTGGTATTTTTTCAGCAACTCCTGCCTTCAATCAACAAAGTAGAATTGAAAACAAAAGAGCAAAAAGAAGCAAAAAGCAAAATTGAAATCACAAGCATTGTCACATGAATTCAAGAATGTGGCCCTGTTCACAGACCATACCTCTAAATTGTGCGCCTCATCAAATATTATGATGGAGCCTTCCCATGACAGTCCAAGACTCTCCCTCTTTCGTTCATCGATAAGGTATTGGTAGGGGACGAAAACGATGTTGGCATTTTCTGCCATCATCCGTGACAGGTAGTATGGGCACACACGTTCCTTGTGCCCAAATCGATTCAGGTCCTCAATGTCCACTATCTCCTCAGGCAAATGCACCATGCCACCTGGTTCAGTTTTCATCTTCCTGAAAGCACATAACTCAACTAAGCACCATCATGATCGAGCAGCAAAGTTCAGCCCTGCCGGCATCAGGCAACGTTGGGAGTATTCCACGCACACAAGCTCCCCAATGCCACTGTCCTCATCTTACTTGCCACTGAATCTCTCTGAACATGTAAGTGCAGCCTTTGTCTATTCATGGGTTGAATATGGTGACATCTGCTGCTGTTTGCAAGCAACCCGAAAATCATAACATATTAGGTGCAGACGATGTCAATCTCAACAAATCATGATCAACCAGTCAACACAATGCAACCCAATAGCATTGTTTGGAAATGAAAACTGCTTACCAGGAACATCGACGCTGCCGAACGAGTCTCCTGCAGGCCAGGTTGATAGCATTCCCTGTGTATTTAGACACCTCAGGGTGGATGCACTGCTGGGAACGAGACCCCAGAACGGCTGACTTGACCCTGTGGAAAATCCAGGCGTTTTATCAAAGACTGACTTGCAAAATAATGAGAATCAAAACTCAACTTGATATACATATATTTGCAATGCTGACAAAGAACTGGCACGCTTGTCCAGTTCAGCATTTCTCTTTGTTCGCTGCCTTGTTCATGCTGTGTGTTATTCTGCATGTCGATGTCGATTTCCAAACAATTCTCAAGAATGGATGAGCATTGTGAATCCTTTGTTCTGGATGGAGTAACAAACCAAGCCTGTTGGTAGGACACTTGAACACATCGCCACAAACAAGGAGAAAAAGGCACAGCCAATCATATTGATACCTGTAGTCAGTTTTCTTGAGCTCCTTCATTACTTGAGCCAGCTGGCTGTGTGTTCTTGAGGCATAAATAATCAATGGCCTGGCATTGTATGCAAGTGCGGTGGGGTCCCCAAGCCCCACCGCTTTTGCTGCAGCCTTGGCCTTCTCAGAGTACCCTATCCTTTGAGATGAGTATGCAGCGTTCTGCAGGTGTGCAACAGGGGTAAGTCAGCACCAGGATCACTACTTGCTAATTTTGGCAAATTACACCGCGCTGAGTACAATTTTGGAATGCATACCATGTGCCGAATTGGCTATACAAGAAAAACACAGATGAATGTCATGAACACAGCCCCACAACAATTTGGACCCAGTCAGAAAACTACTGAACAAGAAATCTCTGTATCAAATGCAAAACACTGAAGGTCGCAATATGCAACTGTAAGCTGCCAGTCTGCCACACATGCCCTGTATTAGCCCCATCAAGCAATGAAGAGGTAGGACACAAAACAACGAATGAAGTCTCCATTTAAACATACCCCCCAAGCCCTCATCATTTCCTGGGGAGTACCAGGATAGGCATCCCCTGGGAGCAAACATTCGCCTCAGAAGAAACTACTCTGAGGACGGACTGGAGTGCCCCAAACTGCATTTCCCTGGTCTTCATCCTGCCACACTGGGTTGCGACCAGTAGCTATCACATTTGGATATGGATTGGCCTGAGGTAGTCAGAGAGCTGTCGCAATACAGCTGTCAGACACTCACTGGACAGTGAGTGTTGCTGTTCTGTCCAACACAACCTTTCAACGGAACAGCGACCAACGACCATGTCCTCAAAAATCAGCACGTAAAAGTGAGCTGCAAAGAGAGACAAGCAAGGAATGGACATCTGGCAGTGCATTCCCCACCTTTGCTGTGTATCTTTCTGTCCAGGCTAATGTTGCACAGAGCAGGCACAATGTCTTCCCAGTTCCAGTGGGGCTCTCCAGAAGAGCTGTCCTCCGCTGTGGGCACCACATCGCTATTGTGATGACAGAGGGCAGTGGTACTATGCCTTGATGATTGCAAAAGAAGCAGGAGACATTCACACCAGGCCAATGTATTGTTTGGTGACAAGAGTACTGTGGGGAAGGGAACCAGCGTAGTCCAACAGTTGTGATACTGTGCACATGTTTGGTGGTCGCGTATGTAACAACATCTTTGGCAGCCACACGCACACGCCTGAGAAGCGAGTACAGCATTGAGACAGACGCACAACATATCACATGGAAGGTATCCATCCTCATGTTCATTCAACAGCTCAGCAACAAGCAGTTCGACACAGGTGCTGGAAGACGAACCCATCATGGGGTTGTTGTTAGTCATCTAAACAAATTCGTCAAACTGACAAAGCACTGCATTGGCACTTCCAAGGCGATCGCTGGCTGTTATCCTGTGAAATTGCTTTCGACAAGGCAAAGTGCTGCCTTTGCACCTTGTAGGCGGTAACAGGCATGTAAACATCCAAAAATTTTTTGTGCCCCACATCTGTTTGATTGATGTGGACGCCACCCATCTGGTCAGATAATGCTACAAGGATGATCTTGTGCCTGGTGCCTTGTGTCTTGTGTCTTGTGCCTTGTGCCTTGTGCCTTGTGAACTCCTTGATCCAGGCTATTTTGACAGGAAACCATTCGAAAACCATTCGAAAACCAAGGCGATCACAGCACAATCTCTTGCACAACATTTGTTGAAGACTGCCATCCCATTTACAGAACTCAAAAATCCGGAAAGTCCAGAAAAGAAAACAACTTCAAGCTGAGTAGTGGTTTTCTTTTCTTTCGTCACAGCATCTGGTCCTCAGCAGCGGCTCATGATCTATGGTTGGAGATCATATGTGGGAACGAACCTCTTCCAACGCCTGTACGACCTTTCCCATATACAACACCTTTATGCAGCACAAACGAATCGGATGTCAGTCACCAAACTGGCAGTGGACCAGCCTCCTGTAGCTGTGGGATTTCGAATCAGCACAATCCCCAAGATAGCCACCCAATGATGTCCTCTTCGCATAAAGGAAATTGAACTTGCTGCGCAACAACGACAACCCTTCGTGCTCACGAATTAGGATAACCCTTCTGCGCACGATGGCGGATTATGCATCAGCAACTGGGTTCAACAGAGATGTCGTGGAGGCAACACAGCCATCACCATGGCCGGATGGCATCCGAGAAGAAAGCTGTTGATCAGATGATCTGAAGGAAAAAGGCAGGAATGCGCAGCCACAGGAGCCTGGCCGAGAGGGGCTACAAGAAGCGGAACGGACAGGTCGAGCGCCGGCGTCCGCATTTTTCTCCAGGTGGACACGTCGCTCGGTTTCACTCCCATCACCTGCTGCTCGTAAGCATCGTACGGGAACTGGACAGGCACGCCCCGCACAAGATACTCGGGCATCCTGTCCCCTTGAAGTTACAGGCCGCAAACCGCCCCTCTGCGTGACCCCAGCACAGTTCGCGCTCGCCCTGCCGTGTCCAGAAACCGGGACGGGAAAACGCGCGAGGCGGGGTACAGCGTGGCACCCCACCAGAATGCCTCCATGACTGAGGTGCACTCAACCGTTCCCTTAAGGTCCCGGACCCGGTGTCCGTCCGGGCCACTGGTCACCGTTTCTGCAAAACGCGCCCATCAAACAGAGCGCAGTTTTGAGGGCCGAGCCGCCCAGTCGCCCCCCCATCTCCCATTGCCCGGTTGCAGCCATGTGGAGGCAGGGCGCCCGCCGCGCGTTGCCTTCGCTGGTGCGTGGTGTGCGCAGCGCCTCCACGGCCGCGGCGGTCGCCCCAGCCGCGCCTGCGGCGCAGTCGTCCGGAGGATGGCTGTCGGGCCTGCTGGGGGGGGCGGGGAGCGGGGTGCCAATGACGGACGTCTTGCCCGGGTGGGCGGAGCCCGCGCGACGGGAGCCTCCGGCCGCGCCGCCCAAGACGGAGCTCACCACTCTTCCTAACGGATTTCGCGTCGCCAGCGAGGACTCTTGGGTGCGAACCGGTTTGGCCTGGGCCAGATCAACCGCCGAACTCCGATCAGTTTGTGAGAATTGTCTGTGGAAGGAGGGCATGTTGTAACAATAGGCGCCACCTTCCTGAACAAGGAGTTTGTGTGCCGTTTCCGCGCGCTGCCCGATCGATCACGACGATACTGTGGAAGATGTTGCGGGAGTCACTTAGTGCATTACACAAAGGGCACGCATTGTTGTTCACGCGAATAACACAGAGGCATGTATAGCAAAATCCGTTGGTGGTGGGGACGGCTAACCTGTTGCCTTGCGTTGCTGCCAGTCTGAATGTCGGCATCCAGAGAGGATCTGCTGATCTCAACGGGTGTTGTGGCTCTGAGTTGCTGGGATGCAGATGTGCTTAATTTCGTGCCTTGCATATTTTACTTTGAGGTGGCGTGTGTTGCAAAGGCGTTTCTGAGTGGCGGCCCCAGCCTCGCTCGTTGCAATAGGGTCATTGGAGAATGCGTTGCTGTGCCGTTCTTGTCAAATTCGGTCCTTCCCATGGACAAATTTGCTGGGTTCTTGTTACAGCTGAAACTGTCGATTCCCCTTGTCCACTTCTTCGACCCTAGGCCTCTTCATGTTCCAATTCCTGAATGTCACTATCTGACCGATCCAATATTGTTTTTCTTGAACATTTTCTTGGGATTTTCAGATTCTTGAAGCCAAGAAGACCTGAGTGGCAAGAGCGCCTTGCAAAATTCCCCACGCACAATCATGGCTCTGTCATTTCTACATCAACAGAACTCTATCCAACTGTTCTCATATCTTACCGTGCAGAATCGAAGAACAACATTCACACACGCTACTGTAACTTGTGCTGTTGTGTGTGTGGTGAAGCTTTGGTGCTAACTAGCACTTGCTCTATGTGTTATCCAGGGTCCCACTGCTTGTACTGCTCTTGTCGTTGGCTCTGGTAGTGTGTATGAGACACCGGCAGTGTCAGGTGTGGTCCCCAGTGATCAATGCACTTGACCACTTCTGTGGCATTACTGTTGGTTGATTTTGGGGCCATGGGGCACTGCATGCTGCTTGCTCCAGGATTGGGAAATAATAACAAAGTTGTTTGCAGAGACTACAACCAACAAGAAGCAACATTGTAAAACGAACAACAAGTGAAACAAATAGATTTGTTGCAAGTCTCCAACACACCAAAAAAACAGACCTTGGACATCTACCCTGAGGATGTAGTTGCAGCAAGCCTCAACATATGGTTTGTATCCCATTTGATTCTGATGAAAAAACTGCAGAAGAGCATCCTGGGCGAAACCTCCGCAGCTTACAGGGTTTTTGCCACAGAAATGCAGCGCAATCTCATCCAAGAATCGACTGCGCTCCTTTCTGCAAACGTCCTGACTTGTAGCTTCAGTTGCTGTCAGAGCGAATGTGGGCCATCTTGGGGCACATTACACACTCCCACTGCGTCCAAAACCAATGCCAAACTTATTCACTAGCGGCACTGTCTCCTTGTTTGCTCCTTTGGATTGAATGACCAGTGCTGTCCCACATTGCACAATGTTGGTGTGGATGATTGTTGGTAAAGTCCGCTGTGATTGTTCAGCTGGGCAGGAGTGCTTCATGCTGTGGCCTAAAGTTTGGGAGAATGTGGAGGGGACAAGCACACTATTTGAGCACTGTTTTTGGAGCAGTTAGTACGATGGAAACAGAAATAGCAAAGTCAGATGCATCAGACATTGTGTGTAAAGTTGGGATTCTTTCTGCAAAATTATTTCTGGGTTTCCTATGAGGAGTCAGCAGAGCACTGGGACAGATACTGCTGTTGCATGTGCAATTTGGGCACCAGATCAACTCTGAATTATTTGCGAGGGGCACAAGCCTGTTGACTGGTGCTTCTGATTTCAGGCATCTCACACATTCTCGAGTATCTTGCATTCAAGGCCACCACCAACCGGACCCATTTCCGAATTGTGAATGAGAGCATGGGATTTGGTGGCAATATGGTTGCAGCAGCGTCCAGGGAACAGGTGAGCTGAAAGGGGGCAAAGGTGGAGGTGCTTGCAGGTGTAATTGCACTGCAATGGCACTTGCATTTGCACATCAAATAGTTGCTTTGCATGCTGCAGGTATTGTTGGGCACGCGTGCATCTAAAATGCGCTCTGGAGCATTTTGCTTGTGGGGCATTGGTTAACTGCGTGACGATAGGGTGGACCCATGCTGTGCAGATGTACTACAGCATCGATTGTCTGCGGACACATGTGCCAGAAGCATTGGAGCTTTTGTGCGACTGTGTCTTGAACCCCAGATTTGCAGATTGGGAAGTGGCAGATGCGATGAAACGGCTGAGGGGCGACTTGGAAAACATGAAAAAGAATCCACAAGTTATGCTCACAGAGGTGCGGTGATGATCCCTGATGTTTGACTGCTGAGTGTGTGCTCACATAGTGTGATATCGCTTCTGGTTATGTGTGTTCAATAACCAGTTTGCCTCGGCTGCTTCCTACACAGATGCATCGACATGACATCCTGGCATCGATGAATGGAGCACACAAATCCAGTGTACAAAGGGCGCGTCCAGTCCTACATATGCTAGGCAGGGCTGCCTTGTCCAAAAATGTCTTGCACTCGTGTCTGAATATGTGTTGTCCAACCCTCAGAGAAGAGATGTAGCTTTTTGTTGCAAGGCATCCCATGTGAAAGACCCAGAGTGGTACACACACTATATGCAAAGCTGTATGGTGCCACCATTGCCTACAATGAGGCCAATAATGCCAGCACAGGTGTGGGGGAACGTGGAAAAGCTAATCTGTTGTGAGGAGTTATTTGTGACATAGCTTTGGGGGCCTTGGGGTCCCAGCACAGAAGGCAGCAACAGGGACACTGAAGATGTGATTGCATGCTCCTATGATGACTGTTTCAGCCCACTAGTGTGCATTCTGCACACTGAGGCTGTGCACATCGCTCTTGTCAGTCGTTTTAACCTTTGTGGGTGGCACAGAACATTCAAATTCTGTGCTGTTTGTGCAATAGCTAACCCGTTTCTGGCCTTTTGCTGCTTTCGATTTGGTGCAGGCCCTCCAGAGTGCCGCATACCAGGGAGCACTGGGCTGGCCCCTCATAGCCTCAGAGAACAGCCTGCAGTCCATTACCTCCAAGGACTTGCACGACTTTGTAGCCAGAAACTACACCGCGGATCGTATGGTGCTGTCAGTGGCTGGCGCTGACCACCAGGAGGCGTTGAAGATTGTGGAGCCCATGTTGTCCACAGTGGCAGCAGGGACAAAACCCAGCCCTCCTGCGTCAACATACGTTGGCGGCGAGGCTCGAATCCCAACAACTGATCCAATGACCCATGCCATCCTTGCATTCGATTCCCCAGTGAGTGCACCGGTCATTATTGTTCTTGTGTGTGCTGTAAGGCCTTCCACATTGCTGTGACAGGTGGTTGTCACAGCGAACTTTGACTGTTGGATAAGGTACATCTTTAGGAATGCCCTGTGCCACCATTTTAGTGCTCTCTTGTGTATGCGTAATTGGGTCTTTGTGTTGCTGTGAATGGAATGCCAGCAATTTTGGTCTATCCATGCACCTGTGTTCTCCACCATTGTGAGATATGTGCAGCAGACAGGAAGCCACACGCCTAGACAATGCTAAGATGCAAAGGCCTTGATGTTCTGCACAGGGGGGGTGGCAAGACCTCAAGGCAGCCTCCACGATGACTGTGCTTCTGTACATGATGGGTGGTGGTGGCAGCTTCTCTTCAGGAGGGCCTGGAAAGGGCATGCACTCCAGACTGTATCTCAACGTGCTTACCAGGTACACATGTGCAGTCAGTCAGTCCATCAGTGGTTTTGCACTGAGTTGTGCCTGCCTGCCTCTTGACACTGGCTTAAACAGAGTTTGTACACTTTGGTATGTGTCACCTCTTCTTAGCTCAGAACAAATTGTCATGTTTGCTCATCATCAGGTACAGCTGGGTCCACAACTTCTCAGCAGTCAGCACAGCCTTTGATGACCGTAGCCTGACTGGGGTGTATGGGGCTGCACCTCCGGAGCACGCCGGGCAGCTTGTGGACATCATGGTGAAGGAGCTGCAGGACCTGGCCACCAAAGTGAGTGAAGAGGAGCTGAACAGGGCCAAGACGGCGTCTGTGGCGTCTGTGCTGATGACCCTGGAGCAGAAAGCTGTGGTGGCGGAGGACATAGGGAAGCAGATATTGACATATGGCCACCGGTGAGCATATTTGTTTGGGCCTTGTGCCCACACACCTTGGCAATCCAGCTGCCCTGTGTTGCACTGTATTCCTGCTCCACATGGAGACCAGTGCTTCGCTTTATATAGTATGGAAGAGAATCCCAAAAAAGATCGTGTTCAGGAGGGTGTGCATATTGTAGGATATGTGTGTATGCTGTTATGAACACACATATTGCTGTCTCGGTCTTTGTTGCACCTTCGTATAAATAAGAACGGTGCAATTCAGGTTAGATCGATTGGGCCGAGTTGTGTGCTTTTCTTTCGTTCCTTCTGGATGTTGTCGCTGGCGCAGTTAATTGTTGGTGTTTAGGACGGCCCTTTGCATTTCAGTCGGTTTTCTGCACTCTCTTATGTTCGGTATGCTCCTCTGCATGGGACCGGTTGTGTCCTCTGGTTGCCTCTCAGTTGTTGGATGTTGCCCAGCTGCAGTTGGGAATTCGTTGCAGAATTAAGAGCCTTACGAATGCTGTCGCCTAGAGAGCACGGGGTGTCCGCAGCATAGCGTGTTTCTTGTGAGAAATGCAATGCCATCTTTGGGTACTGAAAATTGGACGCCCGCTGCTGATAGTTGCGATTGGTTGCTTCCAGGAAATCCGCCAACGAATTCTGTACATCGTTGATGGGCGTTACAGATAAGGATATCACGGGCATGGTATCTTCCATGCTGAAACAGCCGCCGTGTTTGGTGACCATGGGGCAGGTGTCGGGCATTCCGCGCTACACAGATGTGGCCAGACGGTTCGCTTAGAAGTCATGAGAAACGCTGGGTCTTTGAAATTCTGGCCTTCGGGCAGAGGGAGCAGCCCATTTTCCCAGCTGTTGGCCCTCAAGGCTCAACGGCTGCATGCAAAGCTCTTGCACGCAGCTCTTGTTGGCTTTCACAACGGCAGGGCATCGCCCAAGGCGTGGCTGTGCAAACTCTCAAACCATGGACGCCAGGGCGAACTGGACGTTTGTATTTGCAGCATGTGGGCTGCTGTGGTGCGCACTTGAACGACGGGATTTCGGCGGCCTCTCAACAGCACTTGCCTTTCACCCAGTTCCTGCAACCTCTCGTGGTGTCTATTTCTCCCCTTCGAACCTTGCACAGTTGGTATTGGCCACTGGTAAGTGACTCTGAACAACAGAGTGTGTGGTGCAGTTGTGCCAGAGCTTCCCCACACAGCCATAACCATACGGACTTTAACTGACATATTGGAGCAAGAGGTTGATACCCCCATGGCAATATACACTGGATGGCCCCTGTATGCTTGATATACAGCCTGTGGAAATCTTCAGGGCAGCAATTGTGCATCGTGATGGAATTATTCTGTGTTAGATTTGAACCATCGACAAAGCACAAGCCTCGCCTTGACAAGGCCATGGAGGGCGCTTTTGCCATTGTTTGTTCTTAGATGGAGCACGAATCAACTCACACAGCCTGTCCACACCATGCACCGATGGCTGGCAAACACAAGAGGAATAAGATTGTCAAGTCCTGGAACACGTACCACAAGCACTGCACCCAAATCTTCTGTATTTGGCAGCGATTTTGTACATGGACTTGCCACAAATACAATAGAAGTATAGCTGAATCCTGCATCCCACACTTACAGCTTACAGACCAATTTGTAGCCTCCCCCTTGCCAACATAGCTTCCTAGCTTGCAGACCAACACTGATTCGTGCAGCACCCATCCCCACAATGCCTTGGCCACCAGGAGTTGTCACAACAACTGTGCAACATACTGCGAAACCCGATGCCTGGTCCATCCCCTCAACAAGAAACATGGGCTGCCCACCAACTGCAGGCCTCCTTCACTCAAGGACATGAGACAAACTCCAGGCTTGTGAATCTAAACCATTCTCCCACCTGGCTGTTGGATGCTGTACTTGTCTGTTTTCCTGCAAATTCCAGATCAGGACCTGTTTGTCGAGAATTTTAGCACATGCACCTTTCCCAGCCGCAGCCGCATTGCGCTAGACGGTCGGAGGATAACACACAGCGGGTAGCGCCTTGGGTACCAGCGGCTCTTCGACATCTTCCAGCGGCTCTTCGACATATACTGCCCTCCTGGAAGGCCGCGGCCACAATGCGCAGCCCAGCAGCAGCGTGAGCACCTCCAGCACCAGGACCCCCGCCCCCACGTACATGGACATCCTCAGGTGGCTGTCCACAAACTTGTGGAACGCAGCGCACTGCCCGCTGGCTTCCGGGGGCAGCTCCCACTTCCAGCCCTGTTCGAAATAGAACACAATCCCGAAGGCCACTTCCGCGAGCAGGCCCAAGGACAGCAGCACACTATGGGTGCCGACGCAGCAGCCGTTGCGGCATCTGCCGCCTCCCAGGCCGAACACCGCGGTGATGAGCGCCCAGATGCCGATCGCAGCAATCAGCAGCGCAAACCAGTACCGCTTGGTTTCCTCCTTCCATTCGTCCTCCGGCCCATCCCGCAGGCCGCCGCTGCCGCCAGCGACGGGTGCGACATCCGAACACGCGCTGCTGCCGCTGGGGTAGCCCGCGGGCGGATTCGCGATCTCGATTGCGGCGTAAGTCGAGAAGCCTATCAGCGTCAGGCCCGCGGCTGCCAGGAGCCAGTTGAGGAAGAGAAAGATGCATCGGAACGTCCCTCCGCAACAGCCATCCCGCGGGCGGCCACTGCGCCGTCTCCTGGCCATGGCCGTGCCGACACCGTGTGAAGGGGACGCAGGGCGCTCGCCGATGCCGCAGCACCGGCAACAAGCAGACACTGCAGCATTGGATGGCGAAGAACTAACAATTGTAGGAACGATCAGGGACGCCTGAATCAGGGCCCCAAGCCACGGGCGCCCTGGCGCTGCAGGTCCGGGGGGCGCTGCACACGAAACTTTTACCGAGAGGACAGCCGGCGTCCAGACCGCTGTGCTAAAGTACTGGGAAATTGGCGAACTGCACTGCATTGTGGGGCGGCATCCTGCAAAGCATCCTCTTGTAAATGTATGAATTGTGTCCACAATGATGTTTTGTTCAATGGAGCCAGCCAACGTCTTCGAGTTGCCCACAAACTGCCGACCATCCTCAAGACATCATCAGCTCACACCCCTTGAGCCACGCATCCAGCCCGCACGTCAGTAGCCATTCGTGTGGTGGTTTTAAATCTTTCACAATGGCTTAACAACCATAGCGTCTCGACCAGGGCCGACGCCGATCCAGTGCACAGGCACGCCTGCCAATTCCTCTATTCTCTCAACATACTTCTGGGCATTCGCCGGCAGGTCATCCCACTTACGAATGCTTGAAATATCGGTCTTCCAGCCAGGAAGCTCTTCGTAACCGACCTCAATGCTCTCCAGGGTTTCCAAAGCAGCGGGGACAGAATTGAGGAACTCGCTGTCTGGAGCCTTGTATGTTGTACCGATCTTGATGACATCCAACGACGACAGCACGTCCAGCTTGGTGAGGTTAAGGTGTGTCAGACCATTGATCCTGCAAACAATGTGGACCTCTTTGGAAAGTTTGACATGACAAGCTGCACTTGTTTCCATATCATGAAGTCAACAGAAACTCTTCATGCACTCGCTTTATCCTAATGCACTGCCAGCATGAGCTTTGGCTGCGCAGCAAAAGTACATTCACTGAACTCCATCCGTTATATCCACATATGTTCAAGGATGTTTGCTCACTTTACATTAATCAGGGCATCGCTCAAAATGACGCGAAAGGGGTGGGAATTAGGAAGTGGGCAATACAATAGTTTTTTCTCATTTTTCCGTTCTTCCAGTCAAACACACTATCATATGCACTGGCATATGCACTGCACTTTTGCACTGTGCGGCCCACAGTGCAGACAACACAGTGAGCTTGTGCATCATCACTGATAATCTAGCACACGTTCATTCACTCCCATAGTTCTTATGTTTACAGGAAGATAGAATTCGGCTGCCTGTGTTTCTGGCTCACTCTCATCCCTGAAGACATTCTCTTTCAGTAAGATGTGGCCGACTAGATGTGGTATTGTTGCCAGCTCTTTGTCTCTCTTGTTTCTGCTCTCGTTTGCAGTGTGCTTGGATGCTTCATGAGAGCTATTTCACTCAACCAGGGCAAAACAACTTTAACATCTTTTTGCCCATTTCTTTGGCAAATATGGAAATCCCAGCATATTTGCTCAGTCGTTTGGGCATAGAATAGTCTAATTGAGAGATTCAGACACAAACAACGATCTTGATGCTGCTGCTCAATGATGCCCCGAAGGTTTGGGGATTGTGCCTTGCCAAGCTATCGCCTAATATAATCGATGTTGGTTGAACGACGACAGCAAAACAGGGCCAGTCCACAGTTGTATGCGGCACCTTCCTTGACAATGGTTGGGTCAATGTTATTCTTCAGAACCGAAATTCGAACTTCATAGGTACGTGCCATTACGACGCCAAGAAGTTTTGCTTCCTCAACAAGTTAGGGTTGCTGCTTACATTCCCTGCCCCACCTCATCCAATCAGTGATTTAACATTGTTTGTGGTGTGCTAGCAACATATTCTGCGGATTTTCGCCCATGCCTCCTACCTGCACACATATCTGAGTGCCACCATGTCCAGCCATCCGATTCTTCGCGGTCGTCCTGTAGTTGTCCCATATTCTCCCCCCATCTGCCTGAGCTCATCGCCCAATTGACCCATGATTTCGGTGGGATATGGGCCCGATCCAACACGCGTCGTATATGCCTTCACCTGCCAGGCACCAACACATATCGTTAGAGCTGTCACTGCAAAGAAAGCCGGCATGCGTGCAACTTCCCTGAATTGTGCATCGTTCAGTTGCCCATCGCCAACAATGACATGCCTTACACCTTTCGATATCACCCAATAGACAAAGCACATTCATGGGCAATGTCTTTGCCAGTCCAAGAAATGGAGGTGCATGTTCCCTGCATGCTCACACCATGGGCAGCATGACATCTTGTCACATGGGGCAGACGCACCACTCCAATGAGTGCTTCGATCTTTGAAGGTGGAAGTCCAAGTCCGCTTGTTACCCCTCCAATGGATGGGTTCGATGACGTCACAAATGGGTATGTGCCAAAGTCCAAATCCAACAATGTTGCCTGTCCACCCTCGATCAGTATCCTCTTCCCATCCTCATATGCATCGTTGATTAGCGATACGGTGTCTCCCACATACGGCAGTGCCCTCTTGGCCAAACCCTTGTACCTCTCGACTTCTTCATCCACATTGCTCTTGAGCGCACCATCGAACCTTCTTGTGGCATCATCCATCAACTTGGTCAATTTTTCACCAAAGCTGGGAAGATGCTTCAGATCGCACACCCTGAGGCCAAGTCTGTTGGCTTTTGATGCATATGCAGGCCCGATGCCCCTCCCCGTTGTCCCAATCTTCTTCCCTGCCAGCTCAGCCTCACGAAGGCCGTCCACCTCTTTATGAAGGTCGAACAGAAGGTGTGCTCGATCGGACAAAATCAGTCTGCCATCGATGTTGACTCCCCTGCTGATCAGAGAATCCAGCTCCTCGAAGAGCCCAGGCAAGTGCACCACGACGCCATTGCCGATTACACATGTGGCATCCTCGTTTAGGATGCCAGAGGGCACAAGGTGCAGGGCATATTTGTTGCCCTGTGGATCATAGATCGTGTGCCCCGCATTGGCACCCCCCTGGAAGCAGGCTGCAGAGGCAGAAGTCACGATGCAAATTGCGCCACGCACAGTAGAGGGGAACCCATCTCAGACACGGTCAAGACATCACAACACTGGGCTGGCAGTCTGTGCAGCCTCACAGCTCTGTACACAGCTGGTACAGTGCTTCAAGCGCTCACACAACTTGCTCAACAAAAGTCCTACGTTGCTAAGCCTGACGTTGGAGATGCCTAGCGATTGTTTCCTTTGATCACAGTGCCAACGCGAACGGAAGTGTGATGGGCTTTTCGAATCTGACAAGGCCATCCGACTACCGGAAATGGAAGGCCCACCTGAGCCCTTGCAACAACGTCGTACTGCTGGGCAAGGATGTCCACCAGCTTCCCTTTCCCTTCATCTCCCCACTGCGTCCCCAGCACTGTGCAAACTTGCGCCCCAAAGGTCTCCCCTGATGCGGCGCTCGCAGCGGCGCAGGCAATCGGCCGCCTCTGGGGATACGCGCATCTCCTCCCCGCGAGCGATGCCGGACACCGGACAACCCGAAGCCACGCAAGATGGCTCGCGGGGCCTGGCGGGCGCTGGATCAACACCGGCGGGCGCCCCATAAGCCCTGGGGGGCGACGGAGCGACTGCACTGGGGATCCGGACGGCGACTGGGCGCGGCAACTGAGGATTCGTCAAGGTGAAGAGCCGAGTTTTTTCGACGGTGGATGAAGAAATCGGCACACAGCACATCGGTTCAAAAAAACATCTAATATAATTTTCTTTCTTCTCTGTAAGCTCTGCGGACAGTCGCAATGTTGCTAGTAGCAAATGCGCCCCAAGCCCAGAACAAAAACAATTATGTGTTTACAGTTTTAATGTAGACTCCGAAAGCTCTCCGCTGAAGAGCTTGCGGCGTTGATATTGATTTAATTTAAAGTTTGCATCACGTGATTCCCAAGGAATCACAGTAGTTTGCGCATAATGTCAGTCTGGGGACAAATCAGTCCGTACGACGCTCCTTTGACTGCATTTTCCAAAGCGCGACAAATCGCTGCTCTGCCACTGTCCAGGCGCTAAAGGGACATTCCATCCGTTCATCAAAATCCCGACCACTCCACGGGAACACGTTACGGGCAACTCCTCAAATCTCTGCATTGTTTATGTGCTAGAACAACATAAATGGCCCGGAAGGGTGCTGCTTTCCTCAAACGCGGCATGACGTCCACTGTGGTGGTTATGCACCTGCCCCGGTCTCTGTCGCCCTGGGCACATCACACACTGCCTCTGGCCACTCACCTAGCAGCCTCTTTGTTGCCACTGACTCAATATAGATCCCTGGTATGCCTGTACCCGAATCTTTCTATTTTCTAAGAGACCCTTGCCGTTAGTTTAATTGAAGAGGAGCCACGATAGAAGCTCTATCTCATCCAATTTCAGGAGTACTGTGTTGATTTGCGATCTCCTGTGTGGGACAGGATATCGGCGGGCAACATAATACTCCCTCTCCAACTGTCCTGGACAATGCGGCCAGTGAGAGAGAAAAAGCTAACCAGTGCTGCAGCTGGTACCCTCGGGTTCTCTGCCTGCAGGATGGCTTGATCGAGATTATCAGAAGGGCGAACTTGGCGTGCTCCAGTGCTCCTTTCTCCGGTATCTCTCGTACGTATGGTTAGTGTTCTGTAATTGCCCAAAACTTTCAGTCAACAGTATCCGCTTTCAGCTCACACAAGTGACCTCGCCCTGGGGTTCAGTTCCCTTCAGTGGTAATGACACATCGCAAATCAACCTTTGTCGTGTGTTGCGACAGGGAAGGTGGCATTAGTGAGCAAACAATCCTGTATCCGGAGGCAGGATTATTTCGTTGTTTCCTGATTCTGCATGATGGGCGTACATGCTAGGGACGCCGTTCATTGTACAATGAACAAATGTACTATGTACAACTGCGCAATGTTTTAAAACATTTCAATTTAGTTTATTTCGCCTTTCTGCAACAGCAATGACGACATTTGAAACAGCCAATTTGGCTGCACTGACACATCTTCGTCTGAGATACAGTACCGATTGATCAAAGCAAAACAGTAATAACGGAACCAACGATTCCATTTTTTTTTAGAATGCCCTCTACAGGAACATATTACAGGAACATTCAAAGCACTTTTCCTGTATTTTGCTTCAAACCGAAGCACAGGCGGAGTCCTTTGAACGTTTCTGCAGTGCACACATCGCGAATTGCATATTCCTGGAAGAAGATCCAGCGGATCGTTCTTTCCCGTGGACGAGCACACTGCACGGGAGTTCCATACCTGGCAAACAAATTTACGTTACATTTATGTTCTTTCTTGTGTATGTGCATTTGCTCCTACATGAAAATTCAACGGTGAGAACATGCGCAGTGTGTATACGACAGCGGAGCATTCAGTTGGTTTGGCGAAAGCAGATTTGGCACGACGGAGCTCAACATCGCTATTGGGAGCTTCTCAAACAACGAAGTTCAGAATTCTACATGCGTGGATAGGCAGTCTTCGCACCATCTTATAACCCATCACGTTTTGCATGTGTCAGCGATATTGAGCGTCCAGGTGAGGACGTGGGCGTATGATTCTTGCTGAGTTCAGCAAAGCATCGGGGAGCCTTCAGCAAGATAAGACTCGCGCGGACTAATTTGGAAGCATAGTGTTCTTTTATGTTATTATTCCAAAAACACAAAGTTGAAGACATTTGCCGGATTAGATGTGTGCCTTGGGGCGGGCGCACGGCCTCTGGTGCTTAGATTACCTGACCCATGCGTCAGGGCCAGAAAGACGGTGTCTTCAATAGTCTCATTCGCACACTGTACCCTTATGCTGCTGCGGCACCCTGTATACTCCGTTTGTGATGCGACTGCGGTTTCATCTCATTTACAGTTGTTTTCCTTCTCATCAGCATAAACACTGGCAATAAAACGCATTGACATTTTCCTGTCAACTCAGCCGACGTACTCTGTTTTCAGGACCTTGAGAACTGCATTGACAACTCTGAGCGCTGCGAACAGTCGTTGACAGCAGGGCAAGCGGTGGATGTTCAGCACAGCATGGGGCAATGCCAGTCTAACTGCGATGCCACAGGAGATTGACCTACGGATCGGCTGACCCGGTTGTACTCGGTTTGATGGTGTCTGGGCAGCAGCGCAAAATGCTGGCCTGATAAGAGGCACACGGTCGGAGGGCAAACTCCCTATCGCCTGAGGTGCTTGGATTCGGCATCAATTCCCTTCTGGATGAATATACAAGGTGTTGACTTTCTTTCGTTCAAATAGCTGGATGCGGCGGAAAATGCTGGTCATGCTGCCCTCGCATCGCGGGGGAGCATCCACCAGGCAGGGCCGCGGCCACGTGCTCAGCCCCCGCGGCTTGCAGACAAGGACACAGAGAACGTGGAGAAGCGCTGATGCTACCAGCGACATTGGAACCAAGAAGGGAGGTCAAAATCACTTGTGGTAGAGCGACTACACGAGGCAATTTTCGGTGCAGCCACCCAGCATCCGATGCCTCTCCCAAACTTTGGCCTGCCACGATGGCTGAGCAGTTCGTTGTCGGGACTCTGGACGGGGGCGGTGATGTGCCTGCTGCTTTCCCGCCTTGGGGCGATGAAGGCGCGTGTTTTCACGATAATGGGGGCGACATGCAGCGTCTGCGGGCGATTTGGTCGGCCGAAGATGAGGCGTTCCAGGAGGAAGCGCCCGCTCAACATTTCAAGCACGCAAACAGTTTGGGAGGGGAGCGACCTGCAGTCTCGCTGCCTGCGAGCCATTGCACATCACATAGATATTGTCACGTCCGGCGACGTGCAGGCCCTGCCCTGCGACCTGGCGCAGCGGCTGTTCGACACGCTGGAGGCCACTGGAAAGCTGGACACACGGAGAATCCTCCTCTTCAAAGACCAGTACCTGGACCACGCAAATCTGTCTGGACACCAAAGCGCTGTCGACGACTGGCTGGGTGTGTTCTGCATGCCCACCCTCAGAAGTTTGGACCTGTCCTACTGTGACGGCCTGGGGGAGGTGGGCATGTTCCACGTCTCCCGCATGTGCTCGCTAACTTACTTCAGCCTCAAATCGTGCGGTGGCGTCTCCGACTCGGGGCTCGCTTGCCTGTCCGGGCTGATGCAGTTGAAGGATCTGATTTTGGACTCATGCAGAAGCCTGACAGGCGCCGGCCTGGTGTATTTGTCAAATTTGACGAATTTGACGAGACTGAGCATGGAGATGTGCAGCAGCCTGAAGGGCGGCCTGGACAGGTTGTCCCGGCTGCAGCGGCTCAGGGTCCTCAATGTGGGCTGGTGCCGGATGATCAGCGACAAGGATGTTTCTCAGCTGGTGAGAAACAGGGACCTGACTGAGCTCGAGATCAGCCGCACGAAGGTCACCGACGACGGCATTGCATTCCTCAAAAACCTGGTGCACCTCAAGAAGCTCAGCATGGCGGGCTGTCGCATACAGGAGGCGGCGCTCGAGACGCTTCGACAGCTGACGGAGGTGGAAGAGCTGAACTGCGAGCGGTGCCCCATATCGGACGTTGGTCTCTACAACCTGAGCGGACACCCCAAGTTGGGTAGCCTCAACGTTGCCTTTACGGAGACCACGGGCCGCGGACTCGCCCATTTGGCCACCCTGCGCAGCCTCCATACCATCAAACTCGATTCCTGCAGAATTACCGACGTGGGAATGGACGCTGTGGGCTACATGACGGGGCTCACATTCCTGGATCTCGCGGACACGATGATCACCGGCGACAGCCTCGTGTTCATTTCCAAAATCTCCTCTCTGAGGTACCTCAGCCTGGCATACACCAATGTCATGGACGGGGACTTGGCGTGCCTCTCCACCATGACTCGTCTACGCAGTCTCAACCTGGACTCAAGGCTCCTCACCGACAACACCGTGCGTCACATCAGCAGGCTGGACGGCTTGACGAGGCTTGACATGTTCGGGGCCAAGATCACGGAGTCGGGCGTGGCGATGCTGAAAGGGCTGTCAAATGCTTTGGAGCACCTCGAGCTGTGCGGCGGCGCTGTCACAGACGCGGCCTGTGCTCATCTGACTTCAATGAGTAAGCTGCGCGCATTGAGCCTCGCTCAGAACCGTTGTGTTGGGGACGAGTCGCTGCCGCACATCGTGCAGCTCACGTGCCTGACCAGCTTAAACATGACAGGCTGCAGCATTACTAACCGCGGCCTGCAGCTGCTCCGCCACGCCAAGAGCTTGGCGTGTCTTTCCATTTACGACACTGCCATAACGAATGGGGCGGCTCGCAGACTGCAGGAGCAGCTGCCTCATCTGAGGATAGCGCTCAGGTGACTTGATGGCCTGCTCCGTTTCCAAGAGGGATCTGGACACAATAAGACAAGGGGAGGCAGACCTTAGGGTAATGTTTGCGACATGTGACGCAGTGTATATGCGGTCATTTGCAAGAATGTGCCCAATGGGCATTGCATTAGGCCTGGGAACCTGGGAGCCTGGAGGCGGGGGAAGACGCGGCAAACACCTCCATTCTTGATTTCTGTGTCCGTTGATTCAAGGCAGCTGCTCCATAGCCATGTTTTGTGGCGATCTTTGCAATTTCAGCGAGCAGTGCTGTTCGTGCAACGCCCAGCGCCCACGCAATGAAACTGACACCTGGCGTTCATCTTCAGAGAAAGAATGCTCGACGTCGCGCAGCCCTAGCCTGCAGGTTTCCGCGACTTGCACACCAGGTAGAACTCCCTTGAAGTCTTTCTAGTTGCCTGTGGTCGCACGCGGCTGATTTTTTCAAAGTACTTCCTGGCATCAGCGACAATCTCTCCAGTACCCGAACCCTGCCACACAAACATATCGAGATTCTTCAAAAATGTGCAATTTGGGATTTTACTGCATTGGGAGGCTTCTCCGTGATATCCAACATAATCTGCAAGCATGCTGCTGCACAACACGCAGAGTGCTTCGCAAAACATTTGCACATGATCCCAAGCCCTTAAACATGCGAGCTGTTCGTTGCATGCTTCAAACCAACGTGTCGAATAGGAACAGACCAGACGCAGAACATGACACGAACATTAAGTAGGAGGCTGAAAGCTTGCAGTTGGCAGATATCCTATGGTGAGCTCCTTGCCTCGAAAATCTTCATCACCAGGCTTCCCTTGGCCTTTAGAACACCACTTTCGTCTGTTGGGGGCCGTTCCTCCTCAAATTTGTCAAACAAATATCCCACAGCTATGTGCAATGCAACCGAGGCCAATTCTGCGGACCTCTCCACATCAATCTCTGCATGGCCTGTTGTAGGGGGAAGCATATCAGACAGAACGGCATCAAAACCCTGGCAGCAGAGAGCTGTCAGCACAAATCACGAAAACGCTGGCAGGCAGTGCCTTGATGCAGTTTGCATTCTAATTGTCAGCAGAACGAACTGCACCTGAAAGCTGTTGCATCAAGGGCTGAGTCCCACAATCGACATCTGCCCCCAAACCATTGAGGTTCAGCATAGTCCAGCCACATAAAGCACAAGTGCATCATACCCTTCATTTCAGGAGATCAAGGCAGTTTGAGTTTTGCATGCAGGCCTTGGGGGTTTCAAGCTTTCCTTATTGGTAGGGTCAAACCTCAATTTCCACAAAGCTGGACCTCAATTGGGCTAGGCTGTGCGTCAACTGAGTGTGTATAGATGGAACCTCTACATCCTTTGACAATAGTGGTGGCAACCCATTGAGAAGCAACCATTTTACAATGGCAGATGCCCTGCGCGCCAATGTCACTGCACCATTTCCAAGATTGAGACAATTGCAAGAATCAAATCGTGTCATCAACATCTGCAATAAAATGCCTACTGCCCAGACACATCAGATCTGCGGGCAAACAATGATAGTATACCCAAACGTTCAGCCAAGTTATGCTGTGACAGTACAGCAAGTCTTACTTGCCAAAGTACACCTGGCACCATGCCACTCTACCCACTATTCTGTGTGGGGTACACAACTGTAAGGTACCTGAGGGCCATGCTCTCTCAGCATTTGGGGTGTCAGGTCACGTGCATCTCCCTGCAAAACTCGAACTCGGTCATCACAGAACTTCTGTGGAATCTTCACATCCTGTCCAAACAGTGCATTTCGCATAATTATCCGCTGCACAGCAAGCGCTGGCAGTTTGGCAAGTGCTTTGCTGCACCCACATTATCAGCAGAATGGTTCCAGACACATTGAGACAAGTGATTGTCACAACTTCTGGCCTGTATTGTGACCTATAGCACCAAATCTCCTGGCACCTGTTTAGCTGCCTTTGACACACAAAAAAATAATGACCCTCCTCAGCTGCTTAATCTTGTGCCATGGAAAAGACCGAAGTCGAGAAGTGGTGACTGGAAACCATTCAAACAGGCTTCATCAGTGCCTGGCTGACTCACCTGTATGTCAACCCCCAACACAAGTCCACCCCGTTTTCTGGGGCCAAGCTCCTGGCAGGCGACCTGTTGCAAAGCAAATGCCCAGCAACATAAGCACAGAGGTACACCATGGGTGTCTGCAAGAGCTGAAACTTCACACAGATCCAAATGCACCTTATATGACGTCTTAGACGGATCTGGTGCATGTGCCAGGCACAATTCTGGCAATATTTCAGGCAATCTCGCATTCACACGATACATTTCCTCACCTGAAGCCAGGCCCCAGGTGCACATCCTAAATCAAGCACAAATCCACCTGTAGCTCCACACACGGCTTTGCTCAGTGAGAGAATGCACATGCACTGAATTTTGCGTGATTTAGGAGAAGTAACAATGATGCCAAAAGGCAACGGACCTTGGGTGATTGACCCATGCACACAACAATGGATTGAGCAGGAAGGCAACATGGTCAGACACCAGCAAGTATCTTTGAATTAATTAAGAGAACTGAAATCGTGAAACAGCAGTACCAGACAGCTTACAAATATGCAGCCACAAATGTTCTACTAGGGGTCGCGTTTGTACGCCACAAAAATCCAGCATTCAATTCCTGTCAGTATTTGGCTCCACCTCTACTGCAAGGGATGGTGGCATTGTTCCATACTGTTCAAGATGATGTGGACATGCTGTTACACCATTGGCCACAAAGACTAACAGTTCGCATTTTGCTGTTGTGTTGACGTGCCAGCACTCCATTCAATGGGTATAGTGTTATTGTATTCAACTATGTTATTTTGCCTCCCCACTCTATGGTCTGAGTTCACAAAATGCTGGTGAGTTACCCTTGATTTTCCCAGAACTTTCCCAAGCATTCTTTTCGCACCAGGATTTTCCTTGCTGTCTGGCCTTGCAATTGGAAATTGACAACAGCCCTGTGACGCCAAAGTCATTTGTTGCAGCAAACAAATTTCCAGTTGTTGCAGCAAAGCAACAAAAGAACAGCATCCCTCCATTCCTTTTGTGCACCTTTGGTTCTCAAATTCGAACAGCAAGACCTCATACATTGCTTTCATAATCTCTCACAAGACCTAACCTGTTCACAACGACGTTCAATGTCCACTTACACTCTGGCAAAAGTCTGACAGTTGATCAGCAGGATGAACCCTGGCAAGAGCAGATGAGTACATTGGCTGTCCGGTTTGCTGCCACACCCACCCACCAACCCAACAGTCGTTGCAGACAAGTTGTCTGCAACTGTGACCCAAGCAACACGAATTCACGTAGCAGGGACACCGAATGCTGAGGGGTACTGGGTTGAACGGGAGGTGAGGTTCTGTCTCATCATCGAATTACAATTGGTTGCCTGAACAGCGTGAGGTAGAGCTGTTTCACCTGCCCACGTCAGTCTGCCTTGTAATGTGGGCAACTGGGCACATTGTACAGTGGCACTTACCGGGGCTGATAATTTTGTGCTTGTCCTGAATTTCCTTCAGCTTGAATGCTGCTCGAGACACATATCCGGCTTTCTGGCAGGGCACAACTCTTCAAGCGTCAAACACCAATCTGGATCTTGGGTGTGATAGCCTCCGTGTGGTGCAAAAGGGCAGACCCCTGGTTCCCCACCTTTGCCTGTTTGAAAAATTTGTCGTGGAGAACCTTGTTGGACCAGGACATGGCCCCTCCAAGGCCGCGGCGTAACAATTTCGCCCAAAATGCCTGCCCAGGTGCTTCGCATGGGACTGGCAACATTGCTCGAATGTGTGGATTAAATCCCCAAAATTGCACTGGGTGGCGCGGGGCGTGGGATGTCGGCGTGCCCATGGACCGTCCTTCGTCTCCCCAGGCTGCCAGCGCTGCGCCTCTGCAGCGCAGGTCGGGGCCGCTGTTTGCTGCCCATGGGCATACGGGTGGCTCCTCATGCTGTACCGATAGGCGATGGTATGCTCTGTCGGGTTGTTGAATTTGCGCATGGGATTGCCCCCAGACGTAAAAACCCCCCACCACATATGTTTCAATGCTGCAGATGTTTATGCGCCCAGTTCTGCATTGCTTGCTTTTTTCCTGTGGGGTGGCAACTTCTGCATCATCTGTGATGGCATCTTCAACATGAGTGGCATAAAATTCTTGCTCATTAGGGCTGTGCCTGATGCATATGACTTGTCTTCCTTTCTGCTTAAAAACAGCCTTCAAGCGCTTCAGGTTCTATAGCTCAGAGACCTGTCTTGAAGTTTGAGCCGGTTGTGTTATTGCTGACAGAAAAACGACCCCTTATCCTGGGGATTGAGAGCAGCTGTGATGACACTGGCGTTGCCATTGTCAGTAGCGATGGGCAGATTTTGGGGGAGGCCCTCGCTGGGCAAGCAGACATTCATACGCCTTGGGGAGGGTGGTGCCCAAGCTTGCGGAAGGGGCTCACCAGGAGGCAATCGATAGAGTGACAGATGAGGCTCTTGGCAGAGCAGGGGTGGACCCAGCTGACCTGGATGCCATTGCTGTCACAGTTGGCCCTGGTCTTGGCATCTGCCTGAAGGCAAGCACCTGTGATTGTTCGAACACCTCTTCTCTGAATTCAGTTCCAGTTCTACAGTGACGAGAACGAGAATGAGAATAATTGGTCAATTGTACCCATTGGAATGTTGCAATTGTTGGTGTTGGCACGATGTCTGCTGTTTGTGCATTTGCCCAGCATAACGCCAGCCTGGAAGATTGTTCGATGATGCTGTATGAACTGAAATGGAGAAAGCAGCCTTTTGTCCTTAGGACTGCTGTTTGGTGCACCACCGCAAGCAGAGCTCAGGTCCTGAAAATCCTTCATTGCTGCTCAGCAACGCTGACTGCTGTCTTACTGACAGGGAGCAGAACATCTGATGCAGTACACCCACCTTCCTGCGCAAGAGTATTGATGCTCGTTTGGTTTTATATGTGTTGTATTGCATGACAAAACAAGGCCCTTGCACCTGGGGAGGCGATGAAGGGCACAGCAGCATCCAATCAATTTTTGTGTTAATCCCATATTGCATCCAAATCCCGCCCAACTTGTGCTAATGAAGAAGGAATGTGTGTTTGTGTTCATGTGAAGGTTGGTGTGGTGAAGGCCAGACAGCTTGCCTATGCCCACTCGCTTCCGATAGTTCCTGTTCATCACATGGAGGCCCATGCACTTGTGGCAAGGCTGAATGCCGACACACGCATCAGGTTCCCATTTCTGTGTTTATTGGCATCAGGGGGGCACCTGCTGTTGCTTATTGTGCATGGCATCGGAAGATACACACAGCTCGGAACCACACTGGACGATTCTTTGGGTGCGCTGTGGAACACTCACTGTTGTTTTGGACAAGTGGTGAGGGCCGCTGCGGCGGACCCACAGACTTTGATTACATATCATCTTGATAGATTGTATGACAGCTGGCATACACCAGTGGTTGCCTGAACTTAGCGAGTTAGGTGCTCAATTGTATGACAGATCAATTTTCAGGTTCCGTGAAAACATTCAACCCTTCTGCATGAGAACATTTGCTGCTACAGCTTTTGCTCCGCGCTTTTGTTTTCAGAGCAATGCTTTAGTTTGTTATGTTGCTCCGTGAAAAAAGGCCAAGCGATGTGTTACTATTTATTTTTTTTCCCTCTGCAAAAAGGGCCAAGCGTTATGTTACCATGCGGAAGGGTTCGATAGAATGCGGTATATGCTATAGCACTGTGATCCAGACCCAAATGTATAATTGGGTTGTACTGATTGTCACAGTCTCACATTTGCTGCTCCAAAAGGGTAGGGCACTTGTTGCTGTAGTATGACTGATATCCTGTGCCATGCAAGTGTAACAATTATGCCCACAGACAAAGGAATTTGCAGAACATGGAGTTCACATCTGAACTTCAGATGCACTATACAGTGGTCTCTGACATGTTGGCCTTGTACCTGCTTTTGCCCTTTTGTCGCTTTGTTTAAACAGCAAGACATTGCATGATCTTAAGCCAATGCAAAGCCAGGCAATTTGACAGGAAAAATGCTGGTGATGGAATTTTGTTGTTGTTGCCCAAGACCTGCAAATTGCTTACTACTGCTGGCTGTACTGTCTGATGAATGGATAAGGGATAGAAACGTTTTCGGATCTTTTTGCCCATCATCGCATGTAAGGTGAAAAGATCCCGCTGTGCCTTTTGAAACCAAATTTGGACACCGGAAGCTAGCTGGCTCTACTGCTGGTTCAGGTGAAGCATATGACAAGGTTGCCAGGCTGCTGGGCCTTGACCTGAGGCCTAGTGGCGGCGCTGTGCTGGAGGCATTTGCCAATGAAGGAGACCCTTACAAGTACAAATTCAAGGTTCCAATGCTCAAATACAAAAACTGTGATTTTTCCTATTCGGGCCTCAAGACAGCAGTTCGACTGGCTGTTGAGAAGTTGGTGATGGACCCAAACGATGCTTCTAAAAGACAGGTAACAGCCCATGGGTGTTGCTCTTACAACCTACACGAGTTAGTATTTCTCCGCTGTGTGACAGGATGCGCTTGAGGTGCAGCAGTACATGGACGCTGCATTTTGCATGGTTTCATAAATTCTTGTGTGTCTGATTGCAGCTTTGTTTCCCACCGCTGTTTGTGGGGATATAATAATTCATCGAGGTGACAAATCTTTGCTGTTGGGGCTAGGTGCGTGCAGACATAGCTGCATCATTTCAGCACGTCGCCATTCAGCACTTGGAAGAACGATGCTCTCGTGCATGTGAATGGGCACTGTCACGCTCTCCGGACATAACGACATTCGTTGTGTCTGGGGGTGTTGCTTCAAACATGGCTGTGAGAGACAGGCTGCAGGCAGTTGCAAATTCTTCAGGACTGGAATTGGTCACCCCACCCCCAAGGTTGTGCACTGATAATGGGGTCATGGTGGCTTGGGCTGGGCTGGAAAGGTGGGTGTTTTTTAAGCCTGTTCGTTTAAGAGTGCGCAGTTGGGGAGCATGAGTTCATTTTATTGGTGTGGAAACATTGTCGATCACCAGTGGCCTAGAGCAAATGAATGTTGCAGCCCACCAGCACCAAACTGCAACCCATCAGGAAACATGCCAGTTGTTGCCTGTAGAGCAATTCATTTCAGGGTCAATGTGCTGACATCCCATTCATGTTTTGTTTTGCTCTGGTTGTAAAAAAAAATGCGCCACCCGGGCTCGGCAAGCTGAGGGCAGTCAAGAATCACTGCTTGTGCATTTCAAAATACCTTCGGAAACAATTGCAACTGCCACTGTTTGAGCTGTCCAGCACTCTTGTGCAGCTTGTTTTTGTGCTTCAATTGTCACTTGTCCTGCATTGTTGCCAGCAACTATCAAGTAGGTTTGTAGTTTGATTTGTCTCAATTGCAGGGTTCCGTTGCACGATCCCCTTGCTCATGCAAGATACACTGGCTCCCACTGCACATGCTGGTTGCTTGGCAAGTCGCAGTCACCCTTCCATTGGGTTCTCATTGCTGCCTTCATCCCACCTTGTGAATTGTGTACTCTGTACAACCAGAGCTGATACTACTGTGGTGTGAATGTGAGGTATCAACTGGGTCTACACGAACCACCACCAGCAGTGGCGCCTACAGAAGATGATTGGGTGGAAATTAGGGCTAGATGGCCACTGACAGAAGACAAGGTTTCAAGTGGCGACGAATATGTGCGCATTGTCAGAAAGAAGCGATTGGTCACAAGCTTGACGACAATGGACAGCATGCGAGACAGCCAGATGGCAACAGAGTAGACTCAAGACTGTCAATATCAATAATATTGGACAATTCCACTGTGAGCAAAGTGGAATGCAAATGGTTGTGGGTGATTTCATTTGTAAAATGAAGACAACCCTTCAAATTGTGCTTCATGGGCTTTGATGTGCTCTCTCCTCCCTCTGAAGCATCCTCAATTGAGACTGGCATATAACCACATTGATCGCTGTCGTCAGGGAATGACGAATTGCTGCCCTTGCACCCATTGGACGATGCTAGGCGCTGTTCAGTTGTACAATTAGCACCATTAACAGTGGTTGCTCAGTGCTGCAGGGCAATCAGTGTCGTTCAGTGTGCCTTTCTGTAAAACACAAAAGTGAAGTTACCCGACCATCGTGGCCGTCAATGGAAAGTAATGCAGTGCAAGCAGCAGGCGACTTCATGAACGGTCCAGGCATTCAGGCTCCCAGCACCTATCTCGTGGATGCTGCCCTCGCAGCGTGGCGACACTGGGATCTTGGGCACGGGTGCCAGGAAACGAAGCACTAACAGTAAATGATTCACTGCAACTCCAACGTACTGGGGTGCATTTAGATGGCATGTCTTGAGGGATCAGCGTCAGTCGAGTACAGTGGGGGTACCAAAAATAGCGCCTCTTCAATAGCGCCTGGCCCCCCATGGTGCCTCGTTTTTTGGCTTGGCTCCATTTCCGTGGTACGTTATGCAGTTCTGCTCTGCAGCGGGACCTCAAACCAGCATGTTGGACACTCAACAGCACCCAGAGAGGTTTCCAGTAGATCTGCAACGTTTCGTTCGGCGTGCGCAGAGTTGGGGAACAAATACAGACGCTGTGGAGGTGTTTATGGTCACCATCAGATCGCCTGTGGTGCTACACAACCATTCCCATCATGCAGTCGCAAGCCAAGTTTGTATTGCAGGGCGATTTTCATTACATTGTTTGCGATTTCAGGACATTCTGTTGAACATTGTCTATCGTAAAAAAATGGGATCCAACAATGACATAATCAAGAATGCCACAGTCCTCTGGCAGATGATTTGCGAAATGCACAAGAGAGTGGACATATCACTCCAATGCAGCCTTCCCACACGGTGCTCAAATACCGTGCCGTTTTGGTACGGGATACGCCAGTGTGATGGTTCCTTTTTGCATCTAAATAAGCTTTGTCGTGGCCAATGGGTCCTCTTTTGCGTTAAAAATGATAGGAAGTGTCATTTGATGGGTTAAAACATAACAAAATGCATTAAAGCAAGCTAACGTTTTAGCGCCCAGCCCTCAATGGCGCCCGGTTTTCGGCCATGTCATGGGTGGGCGCTATACAGGTAACCCCATTGTACTAGCAAAGAGCTTTGATGAATTGCATGAATGCAATCATTAGCCAGTAATTCGAACGTAGCTTGTGGTACACATTGCAGGTGTGCAACAGCTCAGGCGCGGGACCACAATCAATACTTGCAAGCGCAATTCCTTCTGGAAGCTGCTGTGCCAATGATTGCCCATCACCCTGATGCAAATTTCTGCTAGGACGGCTGCACCCGCTGGTGGGTATTCAACACACAAATGTGGCGATTTTCTAAGCAACCCTGCTGAGAGGACCTGTTTGAGGGCGTGTATTGTTGAGCATGACCTAGAATTAGTTGGTAAATGGCATATTAATTGTCATGTTCTATTGCTTAATGTCCAGGAACTCACCTGGAGAGAGCCGCCCTTGCTGCAAAACCCAATGCACGATCCCCTTACGTGTGACTGAGCCGGAACGGAGCTGTGAGCTAGGCCACGGAGAGGTGAGCTGGAATGACGTCTTAAGCCACATGAATCATCATTAAGGGAGACATGAGCTGGGAATTCATCTCCATCAGAACGAACGTACACAACTAAAATAGCTTATTGGAGTGCCAAGGCCAGTGCTATGGATTGCGTTGGCGGGCATTATTGACTTCATCATATTTTACTGATGTGGTTGATTCGATTGCTGGATCATTATGGAGGGGCGTACTTGGGACTGAACATGCTTGCTGGGGACTAGAATTGTTTGTTGGGGATTAGAATTGCTTGCTAGGGACTGGAATCACTTGCTTGGGACTGAAATTGAGCGGGACGTATGGAATGTATGATGGGTTGTACCATGCTGGGGACAAGTGTTGGAGAACTTGAGACATCTGGGGACAGGCTCAGGGGTTCCATACGGGGATTGTAGCTTTGGAGGCTTCTCAAAAAGGCGGCTAGGACCGGGGACTGGGACACCGTTTTGAGTACAAATACACATGGAACATTCTTGTAAACACATTCTTCTTTCTGTGCCCGCCATCGTTGCTGTGGATGTGTCTTTGTTTCCGAACTGTCCTCGGACAGTGTGTGCCGCATCCCGTTTCGCCTGCAGGGAAGGAGGCGACCGCGGCGTCTCCCGACAATCGGGACCGCATTCGATGCCCATCAGCCCATTGCGACGGCTGGTCTGCCAATTACGCCTCTGCGGCAGCACAGGGCCTGGTCTGCATCCGTCTTGCGCGGCAAAGGGCAACCGCCGCACAAACGGCAATCGCACCGGAATGTCGATGCACGTCCAATGCAGCAAATTTGGGACCCTCAGTGATCTGGCAAATCGATTCCGGGAGGCTTGTCTCTCCAGATCTCCGCCTCAGATCTGTGGCCTTTTGAGGCACCCTCTTCGCTGCCTCCTGCATCCAACCACGACTGTCTCCTGCGAGGTCGCAAGCCCCCGACCGTCCGCCCGCGCTTCGCCATGGCGTCCCTCTGCGCTTCCACCTCCACGGTGAAGGGAGTCTCGCTCTCCCAGAAGGTTGCCGGTGAGCGGAACTTTCTGTTTGTCGACTAGGAAACCCGCTGGGTCTGCGTCGCTCGGCAACAACGCCGACGGCGATCCTTCGCAGTGGGCGATCATCTTCACAAACGGGTTCAATCCAGGCGGCGAGCGCACCCGGGCTCGTTGTCGTGGTGGAGACCGTTGTGGTCACAAATTCTTGTCGAATTTGGACTCCGTTCATTGCACCCTCAAAATGCCCCAACCACCCACCTTTGCGTTGCACGTTCATGATGGACATAGTGCTCCAAGCGTGAATGGTCTCCATTTTTTGGCTGGGATGCTCACGCAGAGTTCTATTTTCAACATTGCAGCGGCGAAGCCTGCGCCCGTTCGGGCTGTCGCGTGCCGTGCCTCCCTGGAGAGCACCGGCAAGAAGGTCGCTGCGGCGGCGGCAGCTGTGGTGCCAGCAATCCTGACCAACCCTGCCCTGGCTGTGGTACGTCGCCGCTCGGCTGCCTCCGTGCTGTCGCAACGGCTGCCTCTGGCGGCGCAGTGCCAGAACGTAGAATTCTTGCCCTGGCTGTGCAAGCAGAATTCCTTGGCATGGTTCTGGTAGCCATACCTCATGAAACAGGCGCACGCACATGGTCTGCGCACAACCTGGTGGACTGCCCTGATTGTTGTATTGAACCACAAAGAAAAGACGACAAACTGTTTTGAGTTGTTTCAGAAGGGTCGGCTTCCCCAACCTCTGTACCACGGCCTCGCTTCGCTTTTCCACAGTTTGTTGCGAGGGCCGTTATTGCTCTCGTGGACCAGATCAGCAGCGTTCCTGGACTTGATGCTGTGCAGGTCGATCCAAGGCTGGGCGGGGAGGGCACTGGGGCACCCCTTGGGCTGGTGGAGGCAGCGCCTGGGTGGGCTCTGCTCCTTACCTTCGGGCTCGTCTGGTCACTGTATGCCACATCCGCCAAGGACCTCGGTGGTGGTGAATCCGACGACTCTGGCATGTCCTTGTAAACACGGATTTTGAACAAGGAGGCTGGGGTCCTTGTAAGCAGAGGTTTCAAACAAGGAGTTTTGGGCGGTTTTGGGATGGGTTGTGTTGGACCTTGTAATCGGGAGAGATAATTGCAGGCTCTTTTCATTGTAAAGTGGCTGAGAAGATATTCCGTCACCTTGGCCTTGGTTTCTCTCCTGAACTGTGGGCATGCACAAGTTCCAGCTGGGCACCAGGACTTGTTGGTTGTTACTGCCTGTGGATATCTGCAGAGGTGCCCAGATCATGAACTCAATTTCCACCTCCAGAGGATTGTTCCACCCATGGCAGCTACTGGCTGCACTGGGCATCCCACGAAGGGAGAGCGCAAGTCCAGGTGCGTGCGCCGCTCATGTTCGAAACTGCTGGCGATCTACTGACCAAGAAGCCGATTCCTGAACGTCTCGACGTGCAGACCCGTCTGCGAAGGGCATCCAAGTGCAGATACCAACGCAGAGCGCGCGTACACGCCGCATGCCATCCACTCGTACGCCACCAACACCCCGGGAACGCCGGCCATCCGCCAGGTCACCGCAGAGTGCCTCGTCGTTGGCACTTCGTGGCTCGTCACGCCATCAATTGCTGAACCAAGAATTGGGAATTCCACGTTGTGTCGTGCTCGGAACATTGCTGATTCCCAGATGCGAGGCCCGTTGCGCGCAGCGCAACGAGTATTCTGTGTGCAACACATCGATGCAAATCAGGGAAGGCTCCGCGGAGTTCATTACAGCTCCGCGGAATTCATTACACTCGAAGCGTCATTTGAAGCCAGGTGTTGGTTCAGGCCTGTGGCTTACAGACAACATAATTCCCGCACAATCGACGGAAGCTGGAAAGAGGCCCAACCCGCCGTCCACCAGGGGCAGACGGGTCACGCCTCGTTCGAGAACTTCTCGAGTGTTGAGTCTTCATGGAGGACCCCACAATATCCCAGTTGGCAGCCACAGCGTGCCAAATTCGACGCAGTGCCTTCCCCTAGAAAGGGAGGTGCGTGCAGAATGTGCACGATCCATTCGAGACATTAGGGGAGAAGGCCAGGGTGGTGAACACGTGCAAAACCGTCAAGGCAGTTGCTGGGTGGAGCAGAGAAGTGAAGAACATTGCGTTCGAAATAGGGATGCTACCAGTCAAACGAGGAAGGTGAGGGTGGGGGTCGTCGATTTCAGGGAAATCTACAACCAACCAACGTGCCGTTGGTGGGAGAGGCGCTGAGCAAACGTGCACGCCTGAACATCATCATTACTGAAGAGCATGTGCTGTAGTTCCTGTGGTCCCCACTCAGCGACCTGTGCGGGAATTGGTGGTTGTGAACTCAATTTTCTCTCCGTTTCGTCCACCACCCCAGTTTGTCTTGGAGAGGGTATGGCTATGTGCAATCCTGTTTGCACAGGTTTGAGCCATCTGTAGGGGACACCGGGGCCAATTACTGGTTTGAAGGGGTGAATGGCTCCCTTAACGTCCAGGGAAATCTCTGAGCAGCACACAGATTATTTTGATTGTCAAGAGAAGTTTGGGAGGCAGAAATCAACAAGAACTCAAACGAGCGCAGTGTTTCGGTGCTTCTGCTTAGGATCTGGTGTGGGTGCTGCATGTTAGTGGGACAGTTTGCTTAGGTTTGTTCCCTTCAGTTTCTAGAAGGAATATTGCTGCCAATACTTTTGCCAGTTGGCAACAGCAAAGAAGCATCTTATTTGGGACACACTGCAACAACCATTCCAGACAATCTCAGGTCGAAAACAAAGCAGTGGAGGCTCTCCGACAGCAAACACCTCTGGGAGCCCATGTTGAACGCAAGTCCTGAAAGCAATGTGTGGAAGCAGGAACAAGCAGTATCTCTGTTGTTGCCCCTGACAACCAGGACATGTGGCTGAACTCCAGTCTCTTGGACACTAGTCCCTTCTCTGTGAACGGCACACTCTCGTGTGCAAGTTGTCATGCAGTTAACCCAACAGCAAAAGCATGGTTGGCCTTGGTTGAATGTTGTGACACAACTTGATGTTGCTTGCCAATCACCTGTTTCATGCAGCAACACCACTGGTTCCCTACCAAATCATCGTAGTCTTTTGCAGCTGTGCTGCACACCACCATGTGTGCAGAGCCAAGTACTATACTGGCCTAGGGCAACAATGACCAACATTGTCAACTACACAGCAAAACTGGACTCCCACGCATTTTCAATAATGCTCCATTTGCACTAGATGCAGTGAGGAGCAGACATTTGTCCAATACAAACGTCCACTTTGGGACCAATTTGCCTGGACCTGATGCCAATCCCACCTTGTTGTCTGCCCCATTCGTGGAATTGCCACACCGCAGAAGCTGCAACCTCAATTACTACAGCAAGCAGTGGATTACACAATTGTTAAAGGCAGTTCAACAGCAAAGCACTCCTGACAGAGCTACGCCACAGCCCTGTACATTCCAAGCATGCACAGCGCCCCGGAAGACAGCAGAATGGTGAACTTGTGGATCCCGTTTGGCAGTGGTGACTTCAAGAGTGAGGAGGCCAACCAGACACTTGCCCCCAGGCAGACAGCAGTCCCTGTCACCCTGCAGCCCAGACAGTCCGCCTTGTGGGATGCTTGTGAATTGTGCATGGGCACATGTGAAATACGGCTCGAAGGGTCTTCCATCCCACCCTTCATTCCACACCTGCAAACACCAAGGTTCAACAAAGGTCAGCGGCAGCCCCCCCGTGCAGTCCACCAGCACACGGCATAGGCTTTCCCCAAGCCAGGGACAGCCTGGTTCACACATCAACGCATCCTGCTTGGGTTCACACATCAACGCATCCTGCTTGGTTGCTTCGGCAGGAATATGTTGGTTCCTCCAGGAGGCGCCACTTTTGCGCTACTCCCGCATTCTCCTGGGGATAGAACATACCCCCGAACGATAAAAATGCTGGCAGCACAGTTATGAACGTACGGACGTCGCACCGGGGGCTGCTTCGCATTAGGGAAGGCCATGGTGTCCGCGATTCAGAGTACCCCAGAACACACCGGGGGGGCGACAGTACCAGCCAATTCGTAGCCGTGTTGCGCTCAGAGGTAATACGAGCACACAGCAGCAGCGCCTGCTCCCCTATCCCCCTTCGTCTTTGCCTCTTAAGCGCGCGCCTCCCGCTGAAACGGCAAGCAGGTGGCTTGTGAGAAGCTCACAGCATCGGCCGATGGCAACCGCCTCGCTACGTGCATCGCACTAGTCATTATGCTCCAGTGCCTCGTTCAAGCACAACGCAATCACCTGCTAGTCTATTTCTTGCCGCTCTTCTTCAGCCCTGCCCCTCCAAACGCCCCCTTCTGGCCCGCCTTTGCCCTCAGTTCCTTCAGCTGCTTCTCCTCTTCCTTTTTCTTCCTCAGAAACTCCTTGTCGTCCTCGTCTAGCTCTTTGTTCGCCTTGGGCTTTTTCAGCGGCTTCGCCTTGCCACCGTCCTTGCCGGGCATTTTGCCGTATCAGGTCCGCTTGCCAAGGTGGGGTTGTTTCGCGCTGTGCTGTTTCTTTCTGCCCATCGACATTTCATTGCGGCGGGCTCTGCCGCGGTCCCGCTGGATCTGGACTAACAGGGCCCAGAAGGTTAGGACAAATATTATCAATTGTTCGCAACACCGCATAATGACCACCATTTCACAGGGTGGATCACTTATGCATTATGGTGTCCGACTTGTACATATTTGTACATTACCACTGAGTGTATGGGCACCTTTGACATATGTTTTATAAAGTAGGCTGCATTGCGGCAATGCGTAGGCATATTTGAAGTGTTGTATGGCTGGTTGTTGATGGATGATGGCCATTGTCATGTCAAAAGAAGAGCTCTGTGGGTGCAAACAGACTCCAACTGTTAAGTTGCGGGGGGTCGTTGCCACCGTCGGCAAGACGCTTCGTTGTGGGAAGGGTGAACAAATATGTAAAGTCCTGGGCGTTTGTGTGTGTGTGGCCTTGCGTCTGGCTGTGTGCCAACCGGTTGAAGCATCGGCGATCGTGGATTCGTACTTCCCGTGTGCACTCCAAAGGGGGCCGTTTGAATTGCATCAACGGCCTTTCCTTCAAGACAATTCAATTCTCAACTCAATTGAATTGAATGACCAACGCATGGACAAAGACATTCACCTGTTTGAAATGACGCATTATCCCAGTATTTGAGCAAGTGTTGCACGTGGGCGGCCAAATCTTCCAGGGCCTTTTGTCTGCGGTGACCCCGAGGTTTCACTAGCCACTCGCAGGTTCACACAGTTTGCAATAGAAAGCGGCCGATTGCCACTTCCATTGAGCCATTCGTGACATGACATGAACTCAACTTCGGAGTGCCACGAAATTGCTAGGCACCCACTAGACACCCAATTTCTGCGTGGAAATATGTTGTGAAGTGGGCCACATATTGTGCCGCGCTGCACACACAACTGGATTCCATTGGAATGGTGACCGTGGTGAGGTTAAGTCATGTCGATTTGCCCACGACTGAGATGATGCCCCGGGTATGTGTGGTTGCTGAGTGTGGTCACCGCCTGTGTTCGGACCGCTAGCGCTGTGGCGAGGGTGTTTGGCTTCCTGGGCCCGTTACAAGTATGCGTCTGCCTTCTATTGGTATCTTTCTAACCGTTGATCACAGGTCACACACGTATTCAGCTTTGCTGGGCCCCCGATGGGCAAGGATCTCCAATTGCAATCAGGGAAACAATCACTGATTTAACCTGTTGCCTGCTGAGGCAAATTCTTGAACATGTGCAGTGCATGTGCACCGGAGGCCTTTTCATTCCGTTGCACACAAAACGCACTCATGCGCAGCAGCGGAAGGTCTTCAAGCCTGCCATGCTACAGCTGTCTTGCAGAGCAACTGTCCACCAATTGGTGGACAAGTGGATCGATGTCTCCGCAGAATATCCACTGTCTCTCTGTAGGTAAACCGGTGAATGGCTCCATGTTTCGCCAATCGAACGCCAGCTTCATCCCCCACAGAAAACCGCACACATGGACAGCAAATATGTATGCACAACCAGGGCACAGCTGTCCTCGATGCATCTCTGCATTTCTCACAGACATTTGGCAGCAGTCCCCACTGGCTTTACTTTGCAGTGATGATCGCATCGCTGGGCCACACATGGCGCAAGAACTGCAGTTCGACTGCAAAACAAGCCAAAAGGAACTGTTCCCGTCACTGAATCTGCTTGGCCAGCAGTAGAATAGATGAATAGGCCATGATAGCATAGTTCGCTTCCACTCCTTTGTTGCCTCCAGGGGTAAAGTCCTTGGGAGGTGCCAAGTTTGTATCCACCACCCGGGCCCAACGGCAGCCTTTTGGAGGGTCGGGCAATCTCACATCGACGGAAAATTCGTGAGCGTTGAAAGCACAGTAAATGTCGCCATGAGCTGGATCCTCGCCGTGGAGCGTGAACGCAAGAAACTTGCTCTCAGGATTGTCCCAATTATCTTCATGCCATGTAACGCCGCTGGGCCTGTCACAGTGACCGCACAAATCAAGTTTAATACCAAAATAAATACCATCAGGGATCCAAGCCTGCCCGCAGCATATAAGTTTTGCACGATAGCGAACCAGTTACATTTTCCTTCCTAAACACTGTACAATGTGCTTGTGAACGTGCCATTCAACAACAAAAACCCAGCGCCCGCCTCAACCCCACTTGCAGTCTTCTCCATGTGGAAAGGGAACAGGGGATGTGAGACTGAAGAATTTCCACTTTTGTTTTTTGGTTAGTATCAATCTTGGCAACACCTCCGGCCCGTGAGCGGAGCCAACCGGACGTCGTACGAGACTTTCAATGCATTTCCAGCCACCCGAATGGTTCTCCCGCCATGCATGACCAGCGCTCCCATGTTCCTTACCATGAAAATGCTGCACTATGCCCCAGGCTCACAGCTTCCGTTGTGTGGTAGCAACTCAACGCCAGGTGGCATTGTTCCAGAAATGAGTATGAGTGTCAACAAAACTGAACAACGCAGCACTGCAAACGTGATTGCCAACGTTGATATGTGCGTAAGCTCCACAGGATGTTCACATCAATCACCTCAAAAACTCGGGTTGCCCAAGGAGGGGGTGCTCCCTGCGGAATTCGATGAGCTCAGACAGAAATCGCGACATGCCATCCTTGTCCCTCTCCAGTTCGTCCCAATGGAAGTACGTGAGCTTCGAATCTTGCCCGTACCAGTTATTGTTCCCCTCATTTGTGTGGCAATATTCATCACCTTGAAATGTGGGTAACAAGTCAGAATACGAAGAATCAGAGACCCTACAATCACTATAATGCTGAACAATGACGGCTCTACCAGAGGTACTGACACCGTGGCAGCAGCTAGGTCTAATGCATGAATGCTGCATCCCCAAGGAGCAAACTAGGTGTTATGCTTCAAGCTGCACCTGAAATATTCTTCACTTCCTGTTCGCAGCCAACTTTAGCATTGCTTCCTTCCGTCCCACAATTTCACCACCACAGTGCAATTTCATGTTGCACCAGGAGATTTCCACAACAGCGTCAACAACATGAACTACTGTCTCAAACTTCTCGCTCACGACAGGCTTGGGTTTCTCATTTTAAAACGACTCGCACAGCTGACAGTTCTGCGTACAAGCTCTGCCTAGGAGTAGCATCTTTCACTTGCAGCTCACCAGCAAGGATCATCGGCGTTCCTTGTGACACCAACAAAGCAAGCATGAAGTTTTTCATTTGCCTCTGCCTCAAGAACAACACAGTCCCGTCGCCAGTCTCTCCCTCATGTCCACAGTTCCATGAGAAGTTATCACTGGTGCCGTCTTTGCCTCCCTCCCCATTGTTATCATTGTGTTTGCCATTGTATGCCACCAAATCGTGCAGTGTGAATCCATCATGTGCAACAACGAAGTTGATTGAATGGTAGGGCTTCCTGTTGTTCTGTTGGTAGAGATCTGATGAGCCAGCAATCCTTGTTGCAAATGCTGATTTCATGCCTGGTGAATCAGTACAAAGTAATCATCATCTCGAAATGTGCGCAAAAGGGCTGCAAATAGATGTTGTCGTTTGGGACTTCTCTGTCAGTGTCATGTTGTGGGTTGTGGAGTCTTGGCCCAAGATTGGCAGAGCTATCTGGACAAAATGGAACAAAGTGCCAGCAACGCTTGAACAATGCCAGAACAATGGTTTGTGTTCATGTGCCCTTGAGACGAATAAATGAACATGAACCATAGGCAACTCTAACTGCAAACTTTGACTTGTGCATATATTGTTGCAAAACTCATCAGCATGCTGCTAGCTCTGAAAACAAACGGCAAGCATGCAGTAGATGCTGCCCATCCGTAATGCTGCAACAACCAGAGTGAACAACAAACCCAGCCCAGGTTCATTTTTTGTGTACCAATAACACTGTTCCGAGACAAGTTACTTTCATCAACGACAGAATGACAGCATCGCACTCCAAGCCAACCCTCGCTGGCATCCGCTGTGCCCAAAGCCATTAACAGGCCTTGGGTACCATTGCAATGCAGTTGATCTTCAAACCCAACACCCAGAGACCCCTTAAGTGCATGTGTTGTTGCTGCACATGGAAACTCTGCATCATCTTCCATAGGATTCCTTTGTGGAAAAGACTCACAAATTCTTGTTCAAGGGAGGGGTGACCATTGCCCCTTCATGTCAAAAAAAAAGCTGCATCAATTCCACTAACCAACTGCACAAGTCAGGGCACTTAGGGCAGCACTGCTAGGTGCTCACCTTCGTCGCCTTTGATAAATCGCCTCACATCGTCCCTGTACTTGCCATTCCATTCCGCCCAACGGTCCCAATTCGGGAAGGATCCAACCTGAGAAAGATGCAGATATACACTAGACTCACACGACCCAGAAGACACAGCTGCTGTGCTGGTTTGCTGAGCCACGCTGCTGTGCAGGACAGCAAAGCCTGCCTTTTTAGTGATCATAAAAACATGTCAAAAGTTAGCACCTCCCTTTCATGGTGCTAAGGATGCAGCCCTCGGGCACAGGTATTCTCTGGCAACCAACACCCACAGTGAGGTTCATCTCGAAGAAGAGATCAGGGACGTCAAGAAAAGAACATGGCTCAAGATGTGCACCTTTGATGGGGAGATCGTTTGCCCAAACGCAGTCATGGGCAAGTGTCCAAAAGGAACTGTAACAGACAGTGCAGCAAGGAAACAGAGACCACAATGTGTCCAAGCTCTCCAAGAGACTAAATCAACCAAAGAGTGACAGCTGTTTTAATTCCAGATCTCAGAATCGAGCCACCAAGGATACACATCTTGCCTGCGGCAAGCTCTGCCCCCGCGATGGACTACAAATTGGAATGTCTAAAATCACCACTGTGACTCCCTCAGGATCTCCTTGCCACCAGTAAGTGTGGCCCGGTCAAGCTTGTCATGGAACATGCCTTTTAATAATACAAAGGCAGCAATGCACAAGACAACTCACCACAAGGTGCTGAATGTGTATGCTCGGAATACATCTGCCAAGTGACTGCAGCACGCGATGTTTCCCGAAAGTACAGACAAACATCAAGGTACAACAATAAGTACCTGGTACATGCCCAAATCCCATGGCTCTGCAATAAGTTTTGCATCCTTGAGCACATCGTCTTTGGATATTGCTCGGATCAAAGGTGGGGCCGAAATAGGATCCCCCTTGCCATCTGTTTAAGACACAGACAAGGGTCAACGAGACGACTTCCAGATTCACAAAGTGAAGGAATATGTACAAGCAACATGTGTAGGTTCCAATAAAGCAACCTGCACCAAAATGGACATGAAGCACAACGCTCCCCACAGATACTCGATCAGGTTATTCAATCCAGTAGGCCCAGTTTTTCTTGGTACCGTCGTTGTGGCAGCATACATGCAAGCTGGCATATAGCTAAAAGTTGTTATGACAAGTGTGCAATGATGAGGCAGTGTCTGACTCAAGTATTTTGTGGATACATTCGGACTCAATCCGCAACTGTGTATCTCCACTGCCTGCTCGCCCCGCAAGCGAATCATACACTTGGACAGACATGACCAGCGTAGTAGCATCATCGTTCCCGTCGCTCCACCTGCAAATGAGCATGTGCGTGCTCCACCATTCCAATAGGTGCACAAGCGAACACTGGGAAGGCACCACTGAGCCCATTGACTCTGAGGGAGCCATGTGCGAGGCCAGCACAACTATCATTGCGCTTCCACAGCCTTGCCTGCTCTTGGATTGCATGGTGATCCAACACAGAAAGTTCCAATGCACCACAACCCAGTGTTTGACAAATGAGGAGATGCATCTGTACATCCAATTGGAGATACAAGTCCTGCGAATCGTACACTGAAGAGGGGGACCCAAAAATGTGCCTGCATTTAGATACCCGCTGGAGGGAACATTGGCCCCGCACTCGGCTTTGACACTTGCACACAGACATTTTGAGTTGTGATTGCTTATGCAGGTGACATTCCATCCACTTCTCCGATTCACTATGCACACACGCACATACCATGTGCGCAAAAGTGACTCACAGCAATGCTTGGTTGACTATAGACATCCAATGCTTGCACATCCAACGAGGGATAGAATGACTCAAGCACAGAATCGAACGATTGTTTTACAAAAGCATATCAAGAGGGGATCACCTCTGCAGAGACAGGACGCCAAGTCAAATCGAAAACCATCCACATGGTATTCCTCCACCCAGTGCCTCAGAGAGTCGATGATCAGCTGGGCAACAACAGGATGGTTGGCATTGACCGTATTGCCACAGCCACTGAAATTGATGAGCTGGATGTGCTGATTCGTGTCCACCATATAGTAAACACGGTTGTCGATGCCCCTGTTCATGAAATCACAAGCATGAACACAGAACGGTTGTGAGAACTAGTTGGTGTAGCAAATGAATCGACTGTTGCTGGACGTCCATCAGCACAGTCCAAACCCCTGGCTGACAAACCCACACTTGTGTGCTTGATGATGCCCAAACAGGCAATCCTTTGGACATTTTGCCTGATGCAACTGTTGACCCTGAGTAGTTGAAATCGCTCCTGGTGCCTGCAACAGCCAAACGAAGGTGGCAAATAACAGCAAGACAGCTAGTGAAAGACATGACAAGAGCCAGACTAAAACATGATGTGGGCAGAGCCAAGAGGAGCAAATGACCTCCGAATCTCACCGGAACGATATCATGTAAGGGTCCTTGTCATCTGACTCAGCTGTGTGGTTGTATACAACATCCAGGATTACTTCAATTCCTGCATTGTGCAGCCTATGTCCAAACAAAGACACACCACATCAGGCCAAACAAGGCTGCTGCTTGACAGTAACGAGCAGTTTTCAATACACACAAATCTCAGTGGCAGCCCATTTGGCAGTGGTGCTGTGGCTTTGCCCACCTGCTTGATGGGCACAACATGAGTCAAAATCCAAGTAGCAGCCCAATGCAGCGGCATGCACTTGTGCGCTCCCACTGCCACATCTTGCCAGGCAAGCACAGAACCAGCACACGGAACTTGAAATACATATTGCCAGCAATGCATTGATTCCTTCGATGCTGTAAGATACAAAAATAAATCACATTCCAGCCCCAAACCAGGTGGTCAAGAGCTCTGATTTTAGCAAAGCACAAAGATGCTTTGCAGTACTGCTTAAAGGCAAAAACATGCAAACATAAACATGACGAAGGTGAGTACAGGGGATGAGCATAGCCTATAGCAGGCAAGTTCCACAAAATGGCGTCGCCGTGTAATCCGTCCACCTACGCGCGCACCAGGGCTTTGAACTCCCTCGCAGCTGCTGCAGGGCCTATGTCATCAGCAGCATATCGGCTCATTGGAGCAAAAAAATTCATATGAGAATAACCCCAAATGTTGGTCATGTGCGCCCGGGGGTTGGTATATCTCTGGAACTCCAATTCATCAAACTCAAAAACTGGAAGTAGCTCCACAGCATTGACACCCAATGACACCAAATGAGGGATCTACAGAGAAAATTACACAGTGCGTCAGTCTGTATGCCCAACAACTCAAATGCAATGCCCCTGCATGCCTGTGCAGATCTCAAGCACATAATCTGCATGCTCACACTCAGCTCCCCCTTAATCGGTTTCAACAATGTGAACTTTGTGCTTTCACTTTGTGGGCCTGGCACACCAGGTTTGGGCAAAACATTGATCGAGCTGTTCTGCAACACGACACTCACACACTACAAAAGACAGGTGGCGCTGGCCAGTGGATGGCACAATCTTGTCGACACTGTCGGCTACACCCAGCAGGCACACGAGACAGACCATCAAGGATGGTTTGCATGACACACTCCACATAAAATCCACATTGTCGCATTGAACTAGTGGTCACTGGCCTGTCATTCACTGTTAGCAAGTTCACCTTGTGCACACATTACACACACCATACATGTCACATCTCCAGAATATGTGCACAACCTCCTCACACACATCTTGCAAACATCTGGGAGCAACACTTTGCAACCACAGGGACAGTCAATAGGCAAACATCTACCAATCCATGCATGCCAACACTAAATGCACCAGAAAACAACAAACTCTTTGCCAGTGTGGCCCATATTCTACTGTGTCAATGCACGTGTTCCACAGTTATGCACCTTTTCAATCAAGCCCTTGAACGTCCCCCTTTCATTTTGGGGCAAGCCACTTGATGCATCAGCAGTGAAGGTGCGAATTGGAAGTTCATAAATAATCAGGTCATGGAATGGTATGTTGGGCCGAGCGTATTCTTCTCCCCAGTCGAATTCTGGCATCAAGAAGTCATAAGTTCCCAGAAAGCGACTTCCAACCTGCGAGACCACAACACAGCCCTTTGATGAAGAGTGGGCGGCCACATCCAGAGTGGCAATGCAGGCCATAGCATCAAACAAATATTTGCCATCTGGGTCACAAACTAAAATTATGCAATCGCAGCCAGTACAAAGCAGGTTCCCAAACAGATGATGCATCTACAATCCCTGGATAGGCCACCCGATGGCACCCTGCCAGTGGTATCATTATTGGGATGCGCCCATAACAGATTGACATTTTGTTTTCACCCCCTCAACTCAGCCTGTCAAAGGAGACAGCAACAACTGCTACCTGTCAATGCAACAGACCCACCTCTTCCTCAAAGTGCTCATACTCATCCCTCCTGGCCCACCTCCTGCGCCCAGCCACTAATGGGGCATACGGATCCAATAGAACTCTTGCTGAATCCCAACGGCTGCCTGCCTCCCAACCCTCTGTGCCACTGACTTTGTAACCATATTGGACGCCACTCAAGGATAGATTTTGAATTGATGCATGCCAAACATCGCCTGCATACGACCAAGGACAAGGACGGCAAGCTTGAAACACAAACTGCATTCACTTGGCCCAGTCCTTGAATTGTTCCGTTGGATTCGCCCCACCATGGGCAACCCAAGAAGGTGGCATTTGACAAAAACAGCCACTCTGCTCGCATGAAACTGAAGGTATTAGATAGTGGCCTGCCAGGCAGGATGGCAGGCAGCTAGAAGATAGACTGGCAGACAAACAAGTAGCAACAGAAGGGAGCCACCAATTCTGGAAAGCTTTCACCCCTTTTCTGGAGTGCCCACACTGAGGGGTAGTTTCTTTTTCAGGTTGCATTTGGATACTTTTGGTGCCCCTTTTGGACATCTCTGGGGCGTTTGCCTTTCTCTCGATGTTGACCACGGATTTTATTAAGGGCGAATTGGGTGGCATATGGTTCCGTGCTCGACTGGAACAAAAACCAACGCTGCCTCGTTGCTACTGCACTCATCATCACCTCTCAAGGGGCAGCAGCCGCATTGTGCCAAGTGTCTGTTTTTGTAAAAGCAACAGAATGTGCACAGAGTGGGACACTGAGACAACACTGGGCAATACATCCTGAGAGCAGGCCAGGGCAGTAACTTGGTGATATTCTAACTATCACTTTTGACACCTCGATGCCAAAAATTTCCCCATGTCAAGGGCCATGAGACCCAGGATACGGGTACTGAACGACTCACAGAATGCAGTTGAAAATTGCGCCTACCCACAACATGAGCAGGAAGACAAAGATATACAAATGAGCCCATGTCACACACAAAACCACAATACGCAGTGTGTATTCCTTGCCTGGCATGAGTTCCAAACAAACAGGTGACTGCCTGCCAGCAACTGCCTGCCTGCCAACAACTGCCTGCCAGACAGGAGTTCTCTACTTACCTGTCCTGTGGATTGAAGGGTCAAGAGGAAACTCTTTGACTGGCTTCCCTTCTCCATTGTATAGGCACAACACAACACTGGAGGCGTGACGAGAAAACAATGCAAAGTTAACACCATCATGTTGGGGCGATGGGCCCAAGGGCTTTGGTCTGCCTGAACAACCACAGAAAGTGAATTTAGGAGCAATAATGCACGCATGGTGGGTGACAGTAGTAGGCAAAATTTGTTCAGTGCCCGGCTTCAAAGGTAATGAGGGCTGTTGCTGTTGGGCATAAAGAGCAATGTTATGTTTGCATACTCACACAAGCGATGCTGTCTCTTCGCTTGCAGTTGGGAAATTTTGTTCCTCCTATCTGAACAATCCAATGAACGAGGCCCTTGGATGCTCTCAATTCTAATACAATCACCTTGTAGAGCCTCCAAGACCCACACAGAAGGATCAAATATGCTGCACATGTGTTCTAAAGCAGGACTCGCGAATGCCTTTCAGGGCAATTTGAGGCAGCATTTTCCTTTGTTGCCCATCTCCCCACACACCTTGTTGCAATGTCAGCGTCTTTGAGACCTCGACAACTGCTGACGGTGTTGAATCCTCCACGATGCACTGAGAACGACCCCCTTGCCGGTGATGCTTGTTTGTACGGAACTGCCTCAAGCCCAAGAGCTTCTGAAAGCAGGTGACCATGAAAGAGCATGCAAGAGGGTGTCATTGCTTTTGTTGTCCCATTCAACAAAATGGTGAGTGAACGAAAAGCAGGCACAATGCAAACCCAAGGTGTACATCACGTTCAGAATTCTATTCCCGTGTTGGGCCAAAAACTATGATTAGCACTGAGGAGCAACACGGAGTCAGGTTCAGGACATTACAGTTACAGTATGCGCGTCCCAAGAGGTAGTGAGCCTTTCAGTAGCAGTGCTCTCTCAGTTCGTCAAGCAGTCTGGCCTCAAAATTAAGAGTGAAATTGTGCTCACTCTGCAATCTCATATTTGCACAAGACAGTGAAAGGTCCAACAACACTGTTGAAATCCATGCGCTGCTCCCAAATCGCTCGCGCTGCCCTGTGCTGATGTTTTACACAACCCACTTCGCTCCCATCCCATGGACAACCACGAAATCAAAAATCGCTGAGGATGTGACACGCTTTGCAAAACTAGGGACGCAGCGGATTTCTTGCCCGTCTTTCACGATTTTGGACACGTCTGGAAGGCCGCACAGGCAAACATTACCAGCAGTGGGACCAGCGGCTTACGGCAGACCCCATTGTCCACGAGATCTATTCTCACCAAGCACCCCAACGCACATTAAAGTACCACTCGTTTACTAGCAACACTCGTTTATGAAATTGCAGGTCGGCCCCCGCACCATCCTGCCCAGCTGCAATACCTGCGCAGTGACGCGCAACGTCAACCTTGATCTGCGGTGCCTGATGAGCAGTCCACGGGCACAGACCGCGAAAGTTTGTGGCAACGGACGGTGCGACGCTTCACATGGGCAAGACACCGGCCGAAGGTGTTTCGCGAAACGTCCGGACCGCATCATTCTTGCCGCTTCTTCGCCACCTCTGCAAGTGCCACTCGTCCTCCCCGAACACACTTTGGGCAACACGGGGTGGTTGTGGGCAAATACAGGGGTTGTCTACAAAAATGGTGTACGTGCGACGTTTCGTACGGTCCCCTTGACGTTTGTAAGACGCTTTTTGTGGCGACCCTCGAAGTACCCCTGCGCAACTCCGTGCCTTTTCCAATAAAGTCGTTATGGCCTCCACCATTATAGTCATTATAGCCTTTCTGGCGGCGAGCTTTGTGTTTTGGGAAGTATTATGACGTTTATAAGTACGGTGTTGGGCTTCACTACGAGGAGGGGCGACTGGGGAGCCGTGGCCTCAAGGATATGCATGACATGATGACTAAGGACGCTTACCGTTGTATATTCAACCCTTCCGCATTTTGAAATTTAAGGGCTGGTATTTTTTCTCCCCTGTTTTTCGACAGACCGTTATTTTGGGGGGGGTGCATCATGTTCAGCCAGAGTGGCCACTACAGTGAGTTCACATGGCCCCAAAAGCTGGTTTTCCGCCACAGCGGCTCATGCATTTGGGGTTGCTGGACGCCACGAGCAGTCCAGAGTCCCTCGCGTTGCGGCTGGAGCTGCTCCACATTTGCTTGGTGCCGTTTCGTTTCATTATTGATCCGCTTACAAAGGTCAAATGTTACGTTACAATTCAGAAGGGTAAAATACATTACGGCATGCTGGGACTGCTGCAGATTCGATAGCTGGGCTGATTGAGAGTTGCATGCTGTGATGGAGCATTGACGCCCTGATGAAACGCTGAGGCCATGATGACGTGCCATGCGTGCCATATTATGACGAACCACGCTCAGTGATGACATTTCAAGCCCCATTGATGATGTGCCGTGCAACATTATGATGTGCCACACTTCTTGAAGATGTGCTGTCGCATTTTCAGGAGCTGCCACACGCGATGAGGACGCGCGCCAAGGGAGTGTTTCCGTGTACAGTGGCCGGCTACAGTACTGTGGGTGCTGGCCTTGCCTCGAGGAACTGATGGGAGGTGCCGCAACATGGCGTGATGGTCGTGGTGCAGTTTGCTGCAATCTGTCAGCTTTGGGAATCACCCTGGGATGATGAGGGTCAATGACAGTCCTTTTAGTCTGGGGGCCAAACTTACAGATGCGCCAGACTCGAAGGAAAGCTGAAGGACTGGAGAAAACAATAAATGCCAGTCAAAAATCTCTTGCGCAATCCATAATCGGCATTCAGATACAAGCTGCCAAGAGCAACGTGGTGTCAGCAGCGCTGCTGAGGCAACTAGCCTTCCTCAAGATTTCTGGCCCAAAACGCCACAGTAATGAGAGTCAAGGCTCATTGGATGCAGTTCTCGCACTCACCTAACCAAAATATGGGGGGAGACGAGAAGAACAATCCACACTTACTAGAGATATCCAATTCGATTGTTCACACCTGAACATCTAGTTAGTAATACCCAGCAGCTGGCAGCAGATATACGCCATAGGGAACACAGAGCACAATGGAGTCTTGGAATCTGTTGTCAAAGTGATGGGTGCACTCTTGTTATGTTTCACTGATTGGCCATTTCAATCAGAGAACTGCAGTATGACAAACATCAATACGTAGCCATCTTATATGCAGAGCATTGGTGACTGCCATATGAACACCACCATGCCACTCATATGCATGCAAGTAGGAAGCACCTTTCCTAACTGGCAAGGAACACACACTTCAACACACATACCACATCTACAACCCCATCCCCACTCCACTTGCACTGATTCAGTGTTTGTCATCGAACGGCTTCAACCATCTGTGCCAAATCCCCACACACATCTTGTGGCGGCCTGTGTGGTGCCGGGATGCTGCCCGAGAATAGGCAGAGGGCCATCAGTTTCCCATGCACAAACTCACGACCACGGCGATCCATTTCATCACGAAGGGCCGATCCCAGCGATCGCAGGAGTGTTGGCATTGCATCAATTATCGCTGGATGCAGCAGTGCAACCTGCTTTCCATACTGCTCCGCCTCCACTGACTCACTGGGAAGGAACGTGAGCTTGGGCATAATGGCAATTGCTTCAGATGTCCTGAAGAGCAGAATGCAACACAGAACACCACTAACAACTGCAACTCCACATGCCTGCAATGTGTCAAGTTTGGACGTAAAGAGCAGCTCCAATCCATTCCAGTGAGAACATGGTATTCAGTGACTGTTGACTTTACTCTTAATTCTGTCCTTCAACAGGGACACACTGAGGAAGTCAGATCATGGTAACAAGTCAGCAAGAAATTTGCATCCTCCAGTTTACACTGTCACGGAAGGAACTTTGGTACTGCATTTGCATCGCCAATCAAAGCCAACTTGCAACGACACTGTCCCTTGAAAGGGCTGCAAGCTGGGCAATCATTTCCCAAGTTCGCACCTGTTCTGAATCTGGTTCTCAACCACAGCCTTGACCAACATCAGCTGCTCACAGGCAGCAAGCTGCCTTCTGTCATCGTACGTGCGCTCCTCTCCCACCTTCTCCTGCGCATCTGCACACCTTGATGCCAGTCTCTCCACTTCATGCCAAAGCTCTTGCACTCTTTCACCATTCATTCGCAGTTCATTGTAAAATCTTTGCAGTGCCTGGGCAATTTGTAGGTTCAGAATCTTCAAGGCCTTGACAGGCTGATCTCCTGCCATGCAGAGCTCAACAGCTTCCTCAAGCTGCGATGCATCTTGTGCTTGAGCAGCGGCCGCCCTGATCAGTTGGAGGCGCTGTGCTTCTTCAGGAACACACTCCCTCATTGCGCTCCCGCCACCCACCGTTCCACCGCCACCCAAAATTGTACCTGGCCACGTTGTGGATAAATGATAAGATGTGTCTGCTTTCAGCTACCTCACACATGGGCACCAATCCAATCAGAAGAAAATTGAAAAGCATTTTTGCGGCATAGATAAGGAAATGCACCTTGGGACGTCAACGGCACTCTCGTTATCAGATGATGCCACGCAAATCTGGCCCATGGGGCAACGCTGTCTGTCCAGCATCTGCCACCATTTGAGACAGCAATGGCAAAATTGCTGCAACAAAAACAAAGTTGTGGATCGGTGCGTTGCTTAGGGCCAGCACTTACCATAATCCCTCGATTCGCTCAGAAGGTCTCTCAGGGCTGCTGCCCGAAGCTCCAGGGAGCCACCCTTCACATCTGCTGCCTCTAGATAGTACAGCATCGCCAGAGAGCTATCGGTGTGGACAAACTGACGACCGTAGCCACGCACGAGTTCCCCAACATCGAATCCAAAGGAGTTCATTCCACTGTCTCCTTCTCCACCAGTCTGCAGCACATTATGGTGCTGTAGTGCCACTGCCATGTGCACTGCATCTGGGATGTGACTCTGCATCACTGGGGAGTTTGTGAGAAAATGCAGGGCAGTCTTGAACTGCAGGCTGGTCAGCAAAACCCTGATGTATGTGAAAGGCTCTGCCCCATTGTTGGTGTAGTAATCTGGCGGCTGGCTCCGAACCCTTTGTTGCCAGTCTGACAGTGTGAAGGCCATGACTGGGTGAGAACCTAAGGGGGGGCTTGACCTACCCACAGAGGACTCCCTGCGCTGCCTCACAGTGCTAGCGAAGAACCACAGGTACTCCTCAACATTGGCGAAAAAGTGGGGGTACTCAGTGAGGAGCCTGTCTGCTGATGCTATGTCCCCTGCCAGCAGTGCCAACGTCATCACCATGTACTTGTACATTGGCTGTCGCTTGACTCCTGTCCCAGATGTAGACACTCTTTCACACTCATGGGATAAGGTGGCTGCTGATGGTGCTGATAAGGATCCATTGCCATCTGCCCACTCCTCTATATAGTCCTTCAGGTCCTTGCTCCCCTGCCTTCCAGCAAGCCAGTACACATTCTCCGCAGCCCTGACTGCCTCCCCAACATACCCAGCCATTAGGCAGTAGTACACCTGTGCCCAGTCTGTCCTGGTGCCGCGCACCTCCTGGAAGTCGAGTGGCCTGAGCTCCCTCAGGTACACTGCGATGTACGCACGCACCTCCTTCAGCTGATCCAAGTCACCACCCCGCTCGGCCACCAGGCGACTACCTTGGATCATCTTCACCAGCTTGCTCCTGAAGTGCTCTTCCATGAAGGCCCTTGCACCACGCAGCAGCCCTCGCACGCTGTTCCAATGCATGCGGGGTCCAGGCGCAGTGGTGCTGAGCTGCCCCAGCATCTTGTTGAGGAGCTTCCAGGTGACCAAAACAGAAGATGGGGTTTCCTTCAGCTTGCCTACCGCCTCTAGGAACAGTGATCCAGCATTCAAATCCCGTCCCGAAGGCGTTGCGAGCTGACCGATGACGCTCGCATAAGCTTGGTCTTTTGGGGCCACGTTTGGCTTGCCTGGTTCGACCAGCCCCGTTGCGGGTGTTGGTGGAGGTAAAGCGAGCAGGGGTGAAGGCAAGCCGGACATAAGCCCAGGCGCCTGAGATCGGGTAGTGGTAACAGGCCCTGCGCCGTCAAATTTCCACGATTCGCCCAGATTCGATGACATTCTGCGCCACACATTCCCCATGTAATTCCTCCATGTGTGTTCTATGCATTTGTCTGCAGCTGCAATAGCCTCCACCACATTTCTCTGCTTCAGTCCTTCATAATGTCGGCCGTCAAAATACTTTTCCAGTTCAGCAGCCGGTATGGGTGATCTGCCTGCCTCCCCATCCATGGGCTGCATTGACAATCCGTCCGGCGGCCTTTCAGCTTCGATTCCCTCCCTCGCGAAAAAACGAGTCGCCGCCAGCTCCTCCTGCTTCACGTCCCTCACCGACACGCGGTCTTTCAGCTGGTGCGAGAACTGAGCCACCTGCGGCAGGTTCCTGGTCATCTGAGGTTGGCTAGGGTGTCCCCGCTCCAACAGCTGATTGGCCTGATCGTTCAGACTAGCCCAATCCATCGCGCCCGAATTCTCTCTCGTTTGGGGCCCCAACGCGGTCAGGCCTCTTCTCGAAGGTGTCGGGTGATTTTCTCCACCAGGCGGACTGCTACCCAGCGCAGTGCAAGGGGTCGCAGCGGCGCGGGGGGAGTGTTGGGGGGGGTGTTGCAGGGCGAATGATGAGAGTGTTCTTTGAAGGCCTTTTTTGGAGTTTAGGGGGCGAATGGGGTGCGACTTGTCAAAAAATGTGTTTGCTGTTGTTGTCCTTTGTTGGCCTGTGCTGTGGAAGCGTCTACAAACCTGCTCTGGTTTCCCGCACATTCAACTTCCGAGAGACCAGGCCTCGCGGGAGGGCTGTCGCTTGCAAGCTCTCTCGCGTCCCACTCGAAGGACCCGGGACCACCACGCAGCCGCTTTTGTGGCCTGCAACGGCGCATTTCGGCTGTGGGGAGAGATCGTTTGTGTGATTTTGTGCCGCATTCTGCCGTGATCAACTCGCGCGTTTGTCGCCGCAAGGCGAAAGGCGCACAAGATGAGGCTTCCAGTGACCGTGATGCGCGCAAATACCAAGCGCGAGTTCGGCAAAAAGGCACAGTCGGCCAACATCATGGCTGCCAAGGTAATGCGCCGGGTCACCTGATCTGCTGCTCGGCGGCTGCCGGAGGCCGGCTGGTGTTAAGCTCCTCGCTACATCTTGCAAGGGTGTGCGTGATGGCACCATCGGAAAAAAGTATACCAGCGGAAGGCTCCCTTTTCTCAATCACAGCCTGTGGGCTTTGCATTGCCACATTGGCTGTGGGACACTGAACGCTGATGCTCGTTTTGTGCCAGGCGGTTGCGGACATGATCCGCACCACGCTGGGTCCCAGGTCCATGCTCAAAATGCTTCTCGATGCGAGTGGAGGTGGGAAGGATTTGATTTTCGTTTTCCAGTTTCTGGCCTTAGCTGCACAGCCAACTTCTGACTATCTCATGGCTTAGATCTCTTTCAATTCCTTAGTGTGACTGACCACGTGACCTGCACTGATCCATGCTTTATGCCCAACAGTCACATTATTAGGACACCTGGCAGGTTTTGCCGTCAAGAATATGAGTGAGATGATTGTGTGCAGTCAAGGAATTGCACAGTGATGCTCCTGCTCCTACTGAAAAGTAGTTAATTTGCGAATGTGCATGACATCTGCCTTCAGACTTGCTCTCTTTTCTGAATTTTCCTGAAGGTACATTTGGGGAGGTTTGGTCGATAGCCTGTTGTGCAGAGACAAAGTGATTTGCACTACATACGTATGGCCACTTGCACTGGGATGCTTTGCACATGTGCCCCACCAGGGATTGCATATGTCAAGGTCAGTGTATACTCTTGGTAATGGTAAGTGCCGATGAGTGTGCATGACAAACAATGGTAGAATGCAAGCAACGTCCATTGGTGTACAACTTATTCTTGTTTTACCTTGTGCACTAGGTATTGTGTTGACAAACGATGGACATGCAGTGTTGCGCGAGATAGATGTGGGCCATCCGGCAGCAAAGGTGAATGAACACAACGTCAAAAGTGTTGACAGCAGCCTGCAGAGTTGGAATGAAGATATGTTTTGTAAGGAGCGCATGCAACAGGCTTGGTGAGGTTTGTTCTTGCAGATCTGAAGCCACGTTTAAGGACATTGCGTCATCCTGTTGTACTAGAATTAGCCACTGACGTTAATTTGGGACATTTGGCATTGGATAGTTCTCTTTGGGTGGAAGATAAGGTGATCAGGATTTTGATGGAAATGTTGGAGCACTTCCCATGGAGAAGTGTAGGTGAGATCTTTTCTGAGTGTGTCATGTGGTATGATGTGTCCTCATCTGATCTTTTGCCTTTCAGCACATGATCGACCTCAGTCGAACTCAAGATGAGGAAGTGGGTGATGGAACAACTTCTGTCATTGTCCTGGGTAAGGGTGGAAATCATCATTTTTATAAACTGTGGCTAGATTGTTCATGTCTTAGGCAATGGTCCATGACTGCCTGTGCACTACTGTGTAGCATGTTGATGTGGCATGATGACACTTGCTCAGATTTGCACCTTCTGTATAACGTTGCCCTTTTGTACTTGTCAAGCTCCCTCCAAGTGCTTACATGTGACAGAAATGCTTGGTCCCCTCAAGACGATAGCAAACACACTGGAGTAACACCCATGTCCCCTGCTGTCATCTGCACCTGCTGAACTCGTTTTGTCTTGCAATGTCTCCTTGCCCAGTCTTTGTCTGCTGTTTGTGTGGTACAATAGGACACTGCTGTCCTTCCACAGGGGCATTCCATTGGTTGCTGGCATGCCCTAACCTTTTGGGAATGTTACAATTTTGTATTGACTGCCATTTTGGGGCCCTTACTCTATCCAGCTGGGGAGTTGCTGCATCTGGCAGAGCCTTTTCTGGAGAAGAAGATGCACCCAACAGTCATCATCCGAGGCTACAAGAAAGCACTTGACGATGCCCTGTGCATCGTTGAGAAAATCGCTTTTCCCATCGACTTCGACAATTCTGAAGACGTTTTGAAAGTGGTGCAGAGCTGTTTGCAAACCAAGTTCACAAGCCGTTTTGGAACGCTCATGGCAGTAAGTGATTGCTGCAGGCTGTGAAGCGCCTGTCAACACCATACAACAATGTGAACAATGTTACACTGTACAGCAGTGTACCTTGAGTGACAGTGAAGGGCCTGTCGACAGTAACACTTTCATTGCAGCTGTGATTTGGGTGGTGTCCCCCCAAGCATGACTGGTGGCTTTTGCAGATTTGTCTGCCATGATGGTTTCTTTGTCCTCAATGTGGTTCATCACTGTGCTGCTCATGTTTTTGTTGCTGCTGTGTGTTCCTATCTCCATGCTCAGGAGCTTGCTGTCAAGGCTGTCCGTACAGTTGAGAATGAGCTTGGTGGAGGGATGAAAGAGATTGACGTCAAGAAATATGCCAAGATCGAGAAAATCCCAGGGGGTGCGATTGAAGAGTCGCGAGTGCTGCAAGGTGTGATGATCAATAAGGATGTGGTAACACCAGGCCGAATGAAGAGAAAAATTGAGAACCCAAGAATTCTTCTTCTTGACTGCCCCTTGGAGTACAAGAAGATGGAGAATCAGGCCAACATTGAAATGATGAAAGAGGAAGACTGGTAGGTATTCAGTGCTGCTCTGCAATGGGTCCACAGCACTTGTGTGTAAATGGTCTCACATGGCAGTGACGCATGTCAACAGTTGACAGTGCATTGCACTGGTGTTCTGAATATAGTTCATATGTTCAGTTTGGAACGCTGCTTTGTGAACCATGCTCTGTGCTTCATTGGTCTGTTGACGGGCAGGTATGATTTGTCAACATTGACAAGTGCAATCGCAGGAACACCACAATGCTGTCAGAGTGCTCTTTCTCAATAGGAGACCTGAAGTGTGGGACTCTGGTTGGTCATATCCAACAGTGTACTTTATGTGCAGGGCTGCTCTCTTGAAGGTAGAGGAGGAGTACGTGGAGCGGTTGTGCACTGCCATCATAAACCTGAAGCCTGATGTTGTGATCACCGAGAAAGGGCTCAGCGATCTTGCTGCTCACTTCTTGACCAAGGCTGGAATATCTGGCATCCGCCGTGTGAGGAAGACAGACAACAACCGCATTGCAAGGGCATGTGGAGCAACAATCGTGCACAGGCCTGAAGAAGCCAAAGAGAGCGATGTGGGCACAAAATGTGGCTTGTTTGAGGTGGTGAAGATTGGTGACGAGTTCTTCTCATTTATAGTGGACTGCAAAGAGCCAAAGGCATGCACAATACTGTTGAGGTGGGCAGAGTTGCCTTGTTTTCTGTTTTGTAAGGAACAGAACTGTATTTCTATATTGTGTGGTTGAGTGCGTTGTCCTCATGCCCTCAAGTCAGTAAGTATCATTCTCCAAGTCTTCCCACCAGCAAATTTCACAGGCTGCTAGAACTGTAACAAGGCTGCACATTGTTGCATCCACAGAGAGACACCCCTGTGCTTGCAGGTGGCGTTCACAGTGCCATGCGTGTTTGGCAGCCATTCTGACTGCATAAATCCAGCTTTCCTGTGGCCAGTAAGTGTGCTGTTCTGATCGAGAATGTATGGGGACTGCATGCACAGGGGCCCATCCAAGGATGTCCTCAATGAGATCGAAAGGAATCTGCACGATGCCATGGGTGTGGCAAGAAATATTGCAATGGACAAGAGACTCGTCCCTGGGGGCGGAGCTGTTGAGATGGCAGTGTCCAGGGGACTCACAGAAAGGGCTCAGTCCATGAAGGAGATCGAACAGTGGCCATACAGGTGAAACACTAATTGAAAAGGACACCTGCTGTAGAAGTGCATTCACCCAACTGTGGTTGTGTAGTTGTGCTTGCGGTTCTACTTCCTGTGGCAACTCTTTGACCATGCTGTTGATGAGCAGTCAAGCGCAAATGTTTTCTCCCGCTGGTTTTGCTTGTTAGGTACTGGTCGACCTCATTGGCAGCCCCAGGAAGTGGCTGCTTCTCAACCCAACTCACTGAATCCATTGTCTTGGCTGCAGGGCTGTTAGCGCTGCACTGGAAGTAATCCCCAGAACTCTTGCTGAGAACTGCGGTGCCAATGTTATTCGAACTCTGACAAAGCTGAGGGCAAAGCATGCAGATGACCCAGACTGCACATTTGGGATCGATGGGGAGTCTGGGGAGATCGTTGACATGAAGGCTAAGGGGATATGGGAGCCATATGAAGTCAAGGTGCGGTGTGCTGTCAATGAAGGGTATGGTGGATGCAGGTGTTGCGTACATCGCAGGGCCCAGTGAGGGCTCCACAGTTTTGAATACATGTATTCTGCAGGACTGGCAGTGCAGTTATTGTTTAACTGATCTTCCTTTTGAGTGGTCACTGGCACATACAATGTGAGGCTTCCTTTTTAGGTTGGCACTGTGACAGTGAGTGCCACCAGGGCACCTCCTTTGAGCTGCAATGTATAATGTGCACCATTGCTGCTCACCTGCATTGAGAAACCTGAGGATTCCAGTGCCATGTGGCTTGCCACAAGGCCACTGTGCATTTCAATGTTGCACTTGTGGAAAATTTGCGTGTCCAGGTTCGGTTTGCATTGGCACCAGCATGTCAGCTCCCTGCTTTTCTTTGCTGCAACAGGTGCAGACCCTGAAAACAGCTGTGGAGGCCGCTGCCATGTTGTTGAGAATTGATGACGTTGTCAGTGGAATAGGAAAGAAAGACAAGTCAGGCGGTGCCCCAAAGAGTCGCATGGATGATGGTGACAATGTACGTTCTCATGTTGTGTGGTTATGTGTGCTGGTTGGGGGTGTGGGTGGGGTGGGGGTGTGGGGTGGGTGTGGGGGGACAATTACAGTGAATCCTACAAATGAATGTCGCGTCACCGGCACAGGCAAGACAACCAATTTGTGGGGTCTGTACTATTGTTTGGCATGGACTGTAGGTGTTGGTGTGGGTTTGGGTGTGGGTAGGTTGGTGGGCTTTGGTTCTGGTGTTGTGAAAACGCTGGCGAAGCTTGATCCTCACAGTTCCAGGATGATATGATGGTGATGGGATGTGTTGGGGTGATGGGGAAGGGGAGGGGAATTTACCTGTTGGGTATGGGACCTGGGGGAAGGGGAGGGAAAACTTGTGTCCTTCAAACAGTGAAGTGACTGATTTTATTTGTTAATCTGTGTGCTTTTTGCAACTTGCTCCATTGAACCATTGTGTCTCATTTTGTGCATATGTGTGTGTGCCTCAAAATGTCTTGCTGTTTCAGCAGTTCTGCTGTTACAAAATGTACTGCTGGTATGGACCAATATTATGTTTTTGTAATGCGCAATACTCCTGCCTTCATGATCTTGTGTGCCATTTTGGCCTTCCTGGCCATTTTGTTCTGGCTTGGCCACAGTCCTTGTTCCACAGATTTCTGATGAAGTCTAACTTGACGTGCCAAATGCCATGCAGGTTGACTCTGAGCAGATGCTGCCTGAATGAGCATCCAGCCAGTGATTGGAAGACACAGTGCTGCTTGGTGCAACAGATCTTGCGAAGGGGGAAATATAGGGGTGTGCAGGATGTATGTTTTGCCAAAGCTGTATGGAACCCACCACTGCATTGGACATGCCTTAGTTTCTATGTCCATGGCTTCCTTGAACACAGCGATCGTTGAGCCATTGAGACACAACTAGTCTTGGCTACTCCTAGAAACATGATTGCTGTAAGTTACATGGTATGGGGAGAGATAGAAGCAGATTTGATTCGTTTTGGTTGTTGGATGTGGGAAAGTGTTCTGTGTAGTAGATAGGACCATGACACCAAATGGATACTTCTGTCGATGACTCCATTGGCATGGTCCAGAGACCTGTGAACCACCAACTTCAAGTGGTGGTGTACAGGCAGTGAATTGTTGTTTTGCAAACCTTTCACAAGATACTGGATATATGATAGACAAATTTCATCGATGTAGCCACTGATTGGGGTACTGCCTGGGTGTTTGGTTGTTGTCTGATGGACTCTGCAGAATGTCATGTGCGAATTTCTTAAGTGACGATGTGGTCAAAACAGGACAATAAAGAACCAAATCCTTTGCATCAGCATTGTTGTTCTTGTTTATTTGAAAGAATCCATTAAAATGCCCACACTGGTGATTCTGGCACATGGGACTTATCTTTGCAACTGAACTCTGCTCTGGCAGTTTCCCATGTGACACAGAATTTGGGGAAAATACATGGGTGGTGTAGTGCTTTGTTTGTTCCTTACATTGATGCATCGATGTGACGTCACAGTAACCAAAATGTAGCACATGATTTCCAGTTTGCAAGGTCCATGTCTGGGTAATACACCCTTTGAGGACTTATTGTGGAACTTAGCGGGACGAGTTTATCCTTAACCTGCTATCTAGGCAGCTGAAACCTTCAGCACCCGCTGTTGAGAGCAAGAGTTGCCTTAAGGAGGATTGTTGTGAGATGGACGCCTCCAAGCCAATACTCTGGAGATTGTGCGCTTCTCTTTGAAGACAAATGATAGTGGAAATGCTAGTAAGCAAACTTGAGAATGTTGGGGAATATGATGCTGACATTCAAGAAATTGATGGAAGATGGCAGGCCTTTCAACTGTTGCCTGCTTCACAGTCGCCTGTTCTGGTCCCAATGGGTCACCTTGCGGTCATCAGCCATATGCTTGAAGTTATGAGTCATGCATTCGAAACCCTGACATGACCACACTAAAAGCGGCAACAATTGGGCCCACTACAATGGCATACCCTGCAATTGCAGGGGGCAGTTCATCCATAATGTGTTCTGGTTTTGGCTTCAATTGTTCATCCTATTGCATGGAATCTGCCATACAATTGTTTACCGAATCGATAAGAAACAGAGGACAAACAAGTGCACACAACATACGCACAAAAGGAGACCCGCAAGGTACTCACGGTCGCTCAAACAAGACATCGGTCCTAAGCACATATTTCACGCCCTGGTTAACCGCTAAGGCCTCGTGTACCAAGCAGCGTTCCCCATGGCCATGCCAAAGCATTGCGCCCGCCAGCGGCGCAAACCGCGCTGCCTCACTGTTCCCAGCGACCCCACGGTAGAACACAGTCTCTCCGCCAACCAGCTCAACCTCGCTGTCCCGTCCCAACCTCCCAGTCCCCTCCCCTTCCGTGTTGACACCGACACCCGCACCACCACTGCCGTTCAGATAAATAAGGACGGTTATCGCTGTGCGTGTACCGGGCTTCGTTCCTCCCGTTGACTCGTCGATGTGCTTGCCAAATCGTTGCCCACCTGCCTTGTACCGGTAGACCCGAAGCTTTTCATAACACCCACAAGCCTTCCATCCGTCAACTCTCTCCGGCACCAGCGCCTTCAGCCGCAGCCAGATCCCTTCTGCAACGCGCTCATCCCACACCTCGATACGGCCGTTGTCTCTGAATGCTGTGTCGCTTGTCGCGGGGTGCCGCGCATCCTCAAAGCCTTGTACGTTGGCGAACCGGATCCACGCTTCGCATTCTTGTGCCGTCAGGAAGTTGCGCACAAAATGGACGTTGTCGCGGTAGAGCGCGACGGGCGTGAGGCTGAGCAGGATGTGCTGGTACTCGCGTTTGGCAGACTTCGCGGTTGGTGGGTACAGCGCTGGAGCACGTACCTGATGGGCGGCAGGCGTGGCCTGCGGAGTGGGGACAGCGCTTCTTTTTGGTTTGCTGGCACCGCTGGCCCCGTCTCGGGCTCCGCGCTTTGCCCTTGGCTGGCGCATAGCACTCGCTGCGCACGCACGAACATGTCTGCAGGCGGCATTTGGCAGAGTAGAAGGGCCCAAGACAAGTTGATTGAGTGATGTTGTTTGCGGTTTGATGCACGCTGTTAAGCAAGCACCGCCTTAACTGTGGCATACGTTAAATCCGACCCGACCTTTGCTATTAACACTGGCGGCGCCCGCATAATGGCCCGATACGGTGGGCGCGTGTACGGTCGCCTGCCAGGCCCACGCGCAAACTTTTGAAGTTGTTGGGCGCCCAACGTCGAGCGGCAAACTGGGGGACGTGGGGCTGGCACTGGGGGGCGTGGGGTCGGCCCGGGCATCGCTCGCACAGAACGCCCCATTGCGTCTCCGACGGCGGTGGCAGGGAACAACCAACGGCGCCGAGGCCCCCCAAGGACCCAATGGCGGACGCGAGCAATCTACCACAAAGCCCATGCGCGCAAGGCGGGCAATTGGGCCTTCACAGCCGGGCAAGCTCGATCACCAGGAGCCGCGCCGGCGCTCCCGGTGACCCGCCAACGGCTTCCTCGGACGTCGATCGACCCACGCGCACGGCGACCTCCACCCCTCCAGGGATCCCTTTACAACACACTGGCGTTTGCCCCCCCGCCCCCCCTCCCCTTCCCTTCGCACTTTCCCCAGCCCACACTCCCACCCACCGCCCCCACCTGCAAAATCGAAGACGCACTAATCTGCCAAGGGAATAAAAAGGGAGAGGACGCGCTCCGCGGCTGCTGCAGAGCGGTCGACCGCCTGATCGGCTCCCAGCCACGGGCCTATGCTCCATCCCACACGCCGGGCCACCCAAGGGGCCCTGACCCGCGCTCCTGCCCGCCAACCCAAGGTCTGGCAGGCCAGGACGCTCGGCACTGGATGCATGCGACCGCCACCGCCCAGCCCCGCATCGCACGGATCCCCATCTGCCAGCCGGCAGGCTCCCGAGGATCTCCGCAGCGAATTGCCCCGGCGGTGCTCACTCGACACGCCGAAGAGCACCGCGCTGCTCGGCAGTGATGCCGGCCCTGTCCCGCAAGCGCCGCTTCGTGCACCCCGTGCAGCCCGCGGGATCGTGTACCACCAGCCGGGGGAGGGGCAAAACGTGCCCCGAGGGGCGGCGCTGCAGGTCAAATTAATGCCCCTGGTGGGTAGTGCGGCACACCGAAGGGCTGGGGAAAAAATTGGGGGTTGGGGGAGGGAGAGCGGAGGGATGGGGGATGCAGGGGGACGAGCCCAGAGGGGGAGGGGAAGGGACGGAGGAGTGGGCTGGGCGAGCCCCGGGCGAGCAAGCCGTGTGGGGTGTGGGGTGAATGCAGGGCAGGGCGTGCTGCCTGTGTCACACCCGTAGTCGTTTGTATTGAGTCGCCGACCCTTCCGGCCATTCAGTGGCGAATGCCGATCCAAACCCCAGCCCCCCCTAGCGATCTTCGACCCCAAACGGGGGGGAAGTGGCATGTTTATGGCGCAGCTGCCCGGCCCCAGGGCATGACCCTTCGCTGGTTGTCCAGCCGGCGCCTTGTCGGCGGTCGGGGGGGGGGGCTCTGCAGTCCATCTGCGGTCTGTTCACCCCTCCAATCCAACCCCACCCCACCCGGCGATCTTCGGCGCCAAACGCCGCGAACCACCGCCTTTGGGGCTGCTGATCAGCGGGTGGAGTGGAGTGCCATCCCGGGGGAGTGGCGTGTTTGATGCCGCGGCTACCCGGCCTCTGCGCATGCCCTTCGCGCCAGTTTGTCCGTCCGTGGTCTTGTCGGCGGCTGGCTTGCGGCGATCTTGCGCAATGCAGCATGTCGGCGGAGGCCTCTGGGGACTCGTTTCTGGGGCCGGGGTGCGCGGCGGCGGTCCCCGCCCCACGGGGAGCTCCCCCAGGTGGCCGCTGGACGTTGGGCACCAGCGACTTAGGCGTTTGCGTGTGGGCCCGGCAGGCGACCGTACACGCCCCTACCGTATCGGGCCATTATGCGGACGCCGCCAGTGTTAATAGCAAAGGTCGGGTCGGATTTAACGTATGCCTTCCTTTCAACCCTGGTCCTGACGACCTGGCCAAATATCTCGCATGTATCATGTAAAGTCTCTCTTTGTCAATGTCCTTTTCGATGCCCTGCAGGACCAGAAATGCGATTGAAAGCTGCAACCTTGTTGCACATGGATGGGCTCAGACACCAACATTCCCAAACTGCCGTGGAACAGATACCAAAGGTTGAAAAATGCAAAGTACTGCACCATTACGTTAAGATGTCATATGCGGGGTATGTGTACAAGAAACACGATGAATACAAAATATCAAGAGACATATTTGTGAATACGGAGAACTTCGACCCACTTCTTGAACCGGTCATTTACATTAATAGAAATTGCTAATATGTCAAGTATGGCTAATTTTCACGACATTGTATGGAAAGCAGCCACTGCAAATTGAAACATGAAGTCGCAGCGTTGCAAACTCACCTTTACAAGAATTTCGGATCTTTCCTTGCCGTTTCGTTGAATTTCATCACTTAGATCTTTTGACCATGCATCGGGAAGAAATTTGCATCTTCTGGTTGAGTTTTGAACTGCAACGTCAGAGAGAAATTCTTACGAGGCGCCAAAATTCTGTTCGCGAAAACGACAATCTTTCCAACGCAAATTGTAATTCTTTACGGTCAACGGCACCACTGACCCACGAAAACAATGAGTCTCACTTCATCCCCAAAAAATCGGCTCCTTGAGAACAGCATCCTCGGGATCAAGCCGAGTAGCAGGCCAGTGGCCAACGTACCAAGAGCAGAATGACGGAAGCTTGGTCACTCGCCTTCCGCATCGTCCACTCTCAAGTTGCCCCAGCGAAGGCAGCCCTAGCGAAGAGGTAATTGCCGCCTGAGGCGTGCGCATGCCGCCGAATGATGCATCCGAACGAATGACATATCCCTCATGCTGTACTTGGGTGCGTCCTGGTGTAGACAGTTCAAATGATATTACTGATGATGGTAGTGCTTTCGATACTGAACTGAATTGTTTCGAGTATGGATCGTTAGCGATGGCGCAGGCTGTCAGCTCAATGCAGCTTTGGGCTCTGCAAATTGGGCAGCTGTGCCAAAAGCACATCAGCGAGAATTGCAATTTGTTACTGTTATAAGCCAGATTTGCGGACTTGGAAGCACAACGCCAGGACGCCACCAGGGGCCACAAGGTGTATGCGAGCCCATCACCAAAGGTCGGAGAGGATTGTACAGAGCGTCCCTTCATGGGATTCGGAGCGACAACATCTGTTACGGTGACGAAAGAGCGCTGCTTTGGTGCATTCTGCATCTGAGGATCAACGATGCAACTGTGCCAATAGTCATCTCGGCACCGATTGCCCCAAGGTGTGGACTCCACACTTGCGACTTGGTGCGCACCTGATCATTGGTCGAATCAATGGGGGGTCCTTCATGACCTACATCACAGAATACAAATTTGTATCCTGCGGTGTAGATCATGAGGGTCCCTTCAAGAGCCGTTCTTGGACTGTGTGCATATCACATGCTGTCGCTTTCCATTCGGGGAGAGGCATTCCCCAGAGGAGAGTCGTTTCGTATGATCAATGTACACATCGCACGGCTGGGAATCCTTGTGCCAGGCAGTCAACGCAAAGGGACTGCTGTACGCTCTGTGTTTCCTGCTGACGTTCTTGTTCAGACAATGCATGCACGGTCTAAGCAAGAACGTCTGGCAGAATGTAGAGAGTGCAGCAGCCGATGTACCTGGGACTACCTGTATCAGGATATCCAATCAGCTTGGGCGCCCCTTCCCATGGGTCCCGTCTACTTTCTCCCTGCCGTGCCATTCTTTGGAGGTGGGGATTTACCGCCCATGGCCATGCTCCACAGCATGGAACCGCACGGCCGTATAAGCACCCTGCAGGAATCCATACTTTGTATCGGGGTGTGCCAATCGTCCAAGAAAGACTTTGTGGACAGCTTTTGATGCCTCCTGTTGCAAAGGCAGAGGATTTGATGCCGGCTCACCCACCATAACGAATGGACAACCAAGCAAGAATACAGAACATTATAAGCGCTGTGCTTAAAGCACAGTTGTGCCGATGCTTTCCACTTTTGTTTGTACTTTTGTTTTTTCAAGTAACCACAATGGCTGGTCGCTCCGTGCACCGGAAATGCTGGTCCAGCATGGACATTTATGGGAGTGAGAGGCAAGACCACAATCGTATCTCGACAGCTTCTGCGTTCGCCTGCTGGTGCGCTGAGACGGGCGTCTGCCCATTCGCAACTTCCGAGAGTGCAGAGGCCAGCTTCCCCGACGCCCTGGGGTTCGAACATGGAATGGCCAACATCGTGGTGCCTTGGACACCTGATGGCACCCAGGATTAGCCTGAGGTCGTGAAGCCAGGCCAACGTACGGAGGATGGATTTCCCTGCGCAGCTGGGCAACTAGTGGACTGCTCTGTCGAGCAAAGGAACTCACGAGAGTATGCCCAAAAGGGGAGCCCTCATTGAGTCAGCTGGGAGCTTGACAAACTGTGAAGGTTAGACAGAGTGGAAACGGATGGTGAAATTGGAAAACCCCATTTGGCAACCAAATCGAATCGCTCGTTGCTTTAAGGAACGCCCGAACACCCCTGACAACCCAAAGGCTCCTTCTTATGGGTGGAGAGGGTATCTTGCGAGCCTTTGGCGAATTGGGACGCAGGGGGCGTCTGAGCCGCTGGCGGTGACTGTTGGATTAGAAAGATGGGCGAAATGCATGAGAACGCACACCATTCAGA